GAATCTGATAAGGCTAATTACACCGGCAAAATAACTTCTTTTTTTCTTTGAAAGTCTGAAAATTATATTTACAATAACGAATCATGCCAAAAAATTTGTATTTTTAATGCAATTTCTAAATAATTATCTTAAAAAGAATCTGATAAGGCTAATTACACCGGCAAAATAGCTTCTTTTTTCTTGGAAAAGTCTGAAAATTATATGTGCAATAAAAAATTATGCTAAAAAATTTGTGCTTTTAATACAATTTCTAAATAATTATCTTAAAAAGAATCTGATAAGGCTAATTACACCGGCAAAATAGCTTCTTTTTTCTTGGAAAAGTCTGAAAATTATATTCGCAATAACAAATTATACCAAAAATTTGTGCTTTTAATACAATTTCTAAATAATTTTAAAAACCGTATGGAAATCAACAACTTGAAGATCATAGCGCTGTTTGTTAAACAATAAAAATAGAACTATATTTAATCTGAAATATTGTAAGGGTTTCCTTATATTGGTAATGGGAAAAAGCCATAATTTAAGCCATTCAATACAAAAAATAATAATAACCAGGTTGATTATTTCTTATTCCTTTTGGCGGTCTCATCTAAGTACAATTTCTTTGACCTTTTTCTTATTGTGGTTGTGAATTCGGCATGGAAGCAGATGTTCCGTTTCTACGGTAATTAGAACTTGTTGTAGTATTTTGTGATAAGCTATACTTTTAATTATGTCAATTTTCTAGTTAAGAAAGAGAGTAAATCTCTCTGGTAAAAGTTAACCTCGTACAGGAATTCCTGGAAATTCCTGCTTTTTATACTTTTGATTATTATCAGACTCGTTTTTTGGAACATATCCTATGTCAAATTCATGATCAAGGAATATTTCTTAAATTTTTAGTTTAACACGTTTAACACCTCTTTCTTTAGGGTGATTCTGAGTGTAGACAGCTTGTGCCTTTCTATCTTTCGCTCTGGCACGGGTTGCCTGGGTTAAGATAACCCAGGGTTAGCATGGAATTTGATTTCAGGTCTGAAAGCTTTAAAAGAAAATTCAGTTCAAATCTTTTTACTTGCAATTTGATCATTGAATGTTCTAAAAAGAATAGGGAAAATTTTCTCTAAAAGGCTTTGGAAAAAAGAAATATAGAAACCTGCATTAAAATTTAATCCTGGGCTAGCACTAATCGGCCTTTGAACAACTGGGCCCTGAATTCTAAATTAGATAATACCACGTAGTATTTTCGGAGGGGGTACTCGTGAACGCCCCTTCTACTCCAAATTTTCTGTTTATTTTGTTGTTATGTAACAATCTTCCAAGGCTATTTTCTCTTTGTATACCTTTCCAGTGTAATTCTAATTCTGCCAATAGGTTAATAGTAATTTTTATATTATCAATCTTGTTTCTGTTCTGGCCGATCTCAATCGTAAATTTAAGAAATTTAAGGTAGAAAATGATTTTGTAACTGCGTAAATAACTCGAAGACGCATACTTAGTATGCAGGGTCTGTCTTACGTAACTTAGCGTGATTCGCTGGTTGAGATAGAATGATGACGTTAGAAGAAGATTGACAGCTTAGTATTGTCACCTTTAGTGCCACCTTTATAAGCTGTTGCATAGCATTTTTCAATCGGATAGAGCAGAATACAGCAGAGTTGAGTTGTGTTGAAAGGAATAAGCTGAACTGTATTGAGTAAGGTCAAGACTGGGCTAGTCCCCAAATGAAGAAAATTGTACCAGGAGTTCAAGCCAGAAAATAAAATAATTCAACCGAGTGTTAGAGAAATCGTCTAACATGTTAGCCAAACTAATGAAATGAAACAGTGAATTTAAATTAGCAATCGTCAAAGTTGAACCATATGCAGTTGAATTGGCCACAGCTTGACGAAGCTGCTACTCATTTAAGGGCGCTCCGGTCTTTCTCTTAGTGTATGACATCTTTGCAAGTTCTCTGCAAGAGTCAAACAGGCTTCCTCTGTAAAGGGTAATAAATTGGGAATTTCAACAGATGTTATAGCAAAATTATAACAGATCACTACCCTCCGACATGAATTTCCATTTAGAATGAAGGCAGCCATGTGTTTCACGACATTAAATAACTTTTGTGTATGTCTAGACAGCCGCTGCCTTTGATGTGATCTGAATTAACTTTAAACAAAAGCATTGAAAATCATTTTCAAATTTTTTTTTTTTCATTTAATTTTTTTTCGCTCGCCTTTTTTTTTTCCACCGCGAAGACTCTCATTTTGTATAATAAGATATTTAAGATAGTATATGCTCTCTCATCAGTCTACAGCCGCGGGTGTGTTTAGATTACAGTATATAAACACCGGTCATACGTTAGTTGTTGAATTAATTTTAGAGACATTTTATAAACCTACACAAGAATATAAGATGCGAAGGCGAAGCTAAGATACCATGACCCCTTTATTTCAAACTTACCAAATAATCACAATCGTCTAAAAATGGCCAAGATTCAAATAACTTGGCAAACTTATTCCTTACGTGCTTAGCACGTCCCGCGTGCATGCATGCTAATCACCAAATTCACTTAAAATTTGCGATCATTGAAATTGTCTACAATCATTTTATATTTCATACTTTTATTTATTTCCTCGATCTTTTATGTATTGATGATCTTATTTTCAAATGAAAATGTAGATTACAACATGAATAGCTTCCATTATCGACCACAATTTAAGCTTTGGCAGATTTAACAAACGCTAATGCAAAGGTTCGTAGGTGTGCTTTTTTCGTTTTTTTTTTTTCCCGCACTGCAGTCGCTCTCACGCACCATCTTCACACTTAGCGTGAACCAATTAGTTTCATAGGGCAATCGCGTAATTCCAGGACTCACAACCTACAATTGCAAAAGGAGTAGTAAAAAAGAGTTCTACTGAGACATCAAAATAGTACAATTTTCCTCTCACAGTTAAGATAAAAATCTAACTCCAGGGACATAAAAGTGATCCTCGGATTATCTCCTTTACTGCTTGTCTCACTTCAGTTATCTTCCAGCAGTAGAGTAGTGGGTTTAACGATGAATTTAGGTAGACTAAAAGACCTGTTATACTCCATGCAAGCAACTGTGACGATGATAATCTACTATAAGTTGAGAAAGTTATTACTATGTGATGTGGAAGATAACACACAACTAATACCACCTGCACCCAAAGCGAACTATACACTGCTTTTCTGTATCGAGCTGTGTTGAGGGGAAAAACATAGTTAAGTTGTTGTTCTTGTTGAGCATGATCTTGTACTTGGACCCGACGACGAAGTGTGTGGAAAATCTTTGTATAAGATGCGAATGAAAGTGTTAAGCACATGGGTATACCTATTCGGCCATACCAGACTGTTATACGGGGGTTTACAAAATACAGTGATGCTGCAACTATGGCTGTGACCCAAATGTTGACTACAACGAAAGATGCGCGTTTTAAAGTTACAACCTGCCTGTATCTTATCCTTAAAATCAGGGCGAGAAGTCTGTCCAGGCTTATGGCTGTCATCGTCGACAAAGATACGGAGCACAACAAATAGTTAACTACGGATGAAGCTAATATGGCGAATCGGCAAAGATAGGTGCGTTTGAACACCAAGGATAGAAGAAAAACAACAGCGACTGGTTGTGCGATCAGTCCAACACAGAGATCCGTCGTAGCCAGACAACGGAACAAGAGCTTGGACGGTCGATGAAGATAAATCGATTCCCTACGCATGGCAACTAAAATCAGAGTGTTCCCAAGAAATGCAGTAATAGATAGAAGGATATTCAAGACTGAGAAACCTTTCAAATATTTGACTGTCCCATCTGCAAAAATTGGCGTCAAACATAACAGATCTTCTGTTTCAGTCCATTTTTCTGAACTAGTGAAGTTGTTCGGCTTCATGATCCTCAAGCAATATTCTTAACACCGATGTTTCCAACATGCAAAGCCAGCTGGTGTTAACAACTTCCGTTTTACGTAGCAGCTTTTGGAAAAAAAAACTTTGCCCACAGGGGCCGCCTGTGGCAACATTGACGCGTTTCATTTTGGAGATAACATATCAGAAGAATATTTCGTGAAAGTTCTCAATTAATATTGTAGAGTCTTAGAAACACAATCATTTTATCATGGCCAGAATCTAAAGGGCAAAAAGTGAGAGAAACATAAAAAAAGAGTTAACGCCGTGTGTGAAGTTCAAGTACTGTTTTCCTCACAATGTCATAATCAAGAACTATTAACATATGAGACATCCGTTTCTCATCTATATTTAATTTGTATTTTTGCCGAAGTCTTGTCCAAGTTATTTGTTCGGGGATTCCCAGTATCCAGAAATTTGTAAAGGATTTCTGCCAAGAAATGATTTTCTCAATTTTGTGTGCATTATTACGTTGTCTGGTTCGGTTTAAATTTGATATCACAAAGAGGGCGATAAGTTGTGATACTGGCCAAAATTCGCTTCCAAAGTAACTGCTCTTGGGTATAGAAAGTGATCTCAAAATAAGATTAAAGAAAATGAAACAACTTTCTTCAACAGTGTTGGAAAACCATCAAAATTCTGAGTAAGGTTTTTCTGAGTCAGTCCTAAAGGAAATTAAACGTACAGAAGACAATTTTTATACAAAGATACCGAGTGTTGATATAATAAATAGAATTCATTTTATCACTCACTCTTAAAACAATGTAGTTATCATGTATCCTTGTATGTAGTCTCGTACCCAGACCTTTTGCATTTCAGTTATGGTTACACGGCAGGGTATGGGTACGAGATTACCATTTATCTACAGGCTTTTATAAGAGAACATTTTAATTTTTCAAAGTTCCTTGTTTATCATCACTTTGTTTATCTGCTCTTGAAAAAAATATAATTTAGAAAAAAAAAGGAGATATGGTTGAGATGAAATGCCCTCACGATTCTGTTACTCCTCGGTTCCTAATTCCAGAGTACCAGAAAGGTTCAAGTGAATTTTTCCTTTGGAGAAACCTCGGCAGTTAGTCAGCGGTCTTTCGCACGTGGGGCATTTCAAAATGGCGGCTCCGTTGGTCGGAAGTCAGTTGTTTTCTCCATTTCGAGCCCTTGGATTTGTGGCAAATCATGTTCCATTGACTTTACAGACACAAGGAACAGAAACTCTTGTGACCACTGCTGTTGGTTCAGCCTTTCACGTTTACAGTGTAAGTATATTCTAGCTTAGTTTTCATGACAGATCCACGCGTGTAAACAAAGTTGTAACTGCATGTAGCTTACTTCATTCACCCTGACATTTTTTTCATCTCTCTTATCTTTTAGTGTGCGAAGTTAAATCTTCTCTTTGTTGGTGAGTTTGATGATTTCAAGTATTATTGAAGCCTTACATGTAAGGAATAAAATGAGATCATAGTAAACTTTTGACCACCCTTTGATTCAATTTAATTTCCGACAGTAACAAAACGTGTTAATTAATATCAACCAAGTCGCCAAATGTATCAGATGAAAGAAAAATGTTTACATTTAGAAATTAACTGGTATTTATAAATTAATTCTGAAGTCTGAAGGCTACTCAAAACTTGCTACTTGTTAATGACTATATAAATGTATTATTGTAATATGCAGGATTGCTTAAATCCGGTGAAATATCATGTTTATCATCACACGGAGACTTGGTGATTACAGCTTCTGGAAATCAGTTGATTTCTTGGAAAAGAGGAAAACAGGTTTGTTTCGAAACTGATCACGTTTTTGATGAGTAAGGATTCTCAATCATAACCATCTTAATGACATCTTATTATTAGTGATAATATAGAGAACAATAATTCACCAAAGTGGTGGTGAATAGTGGTAGTGGTGACTGCAAAGATCGCAGATGTTTAACTGTATCTAGTGGTACATTAGACAGCCAGCTGAGGGAGTGCAAAGCATATACCAGAAAGTATATACCATATACATGCAAAATATATACCACAAAGGTGCCAAAAAATAAGTTCACTTTTTTCAATATACTGAAAAATGGTTGGAAATGAAACTCTTGATGCGTGATTTTGTCTAATCATGAGCTCGAAGGTGAATAGTACTTGCTACTCACTTCCAACTAGCCTGAATCAGTATTTGCAAAAAGCACTATTCTCTTGTGAGGTATAATTTTATACTAGATATTTTGTTATCAGTGTTATTATTACTACTTTTATTCCGATTATGTCCATTTATACATAATTATACTTAGCTCCAAAGAACAGAAGCAAAAAATCAGGGCAGTTTGAAAAACCTCTTAAACCAGGGGAACTTTCAAACCATAACAAAGAAGTGTATTTACTATTACAATCATTTTACTTGTGGGTTTAGATATGAGATGGTAGACAGCCAACTGGCATGTGCAAAATGAAGAAATATTACATTATAGACTTACAATAGACTTGTCATTTAACCATGGTGTAAAGCCATGTATTTCTTAATTTTATGCAGATAAGTAATGATCAGACTAACTGGCTTGTAACTTAATCAATCCATGTTTTAATGGTGTGTTTTGGTAACTTTTTTTTTTTTTTGGTTTAGGTTGCTGTGTTGGAGGGACACAAGAGAGACATTCACTTCATCTTCTCATTTGGTTCAAATTTAATATCTGTTGATGAAGACAGCACAGTCAGAATATGGATTATTGAAACAACAGGTACATGTTCATTTTATTCAGGACTATTTTATCTGATTACATTGTATAAGTATCAAAGTACTGAGAGCTTGATGACATGTATATCAAGGTATTTGAATAGGCTCAAATAATTATTCAAGGGAAACTGAATTTGGAAAAAGGTAAGGAAAGGATCAGTTATCAAAACTTTAAACCCTTTCAGGCTGGTAATTTACATGTCACTTCTGCCAATAATATCCATACATTATCCAGCAAACAGGTACTGAGAATACTTAAACTTATCAGGTAGAAGTTATCCTGATCTAGCCCCGAATTCTCACAATTAATTTACAAGGAAGTGTGTAACAGTTATAGGGGAGAAGCCATTAATCAGTTAAAGTGTGAGAGACAACTTAGTGGTAGTAATCATGAGAAGTATGGAGATTTATCTGTGATCAAACTTAATTCTTAGTTCCTCCTTTATTGAATCCATCTTTCAAACATTATTTTTGTAGAATTGTACCTTGAGATGGAATTTAATGCTGAAAACTTCTACATCACCTGTTTGATGCATCCCAGCACATACCTTAATAAGATCTTACTGTGCAGTAAGCAAGGCCAGATGCAACTGTGGAATATAAAAACAAAGTATGTGCATACCTCTTCCTCGATTACTCTCTATATATGTATAGCACTGAGTTACAAAGATCCTAATAAATTGTGAAGCCTCAGTGTAGGCAAGCAAGGTGTGCAGAGCTGTCAAACTAGTCCTCTACTGCCTGTCCTCTAAATTTAGCTTATTAAGCTTTAGTTGTTTTAATTAATTTTGATAATTTTATGTTATTTCCACAGCAAACTTATTTATACATTTTCTGGATGGTCAGAGCCAATAACTGCTGTGGAACAAGTAAGATGTATATTTTTTAAACTCAGCTTTAGAATCTAAAAAGAATATTTTATGACAAATAACTGACTAGACATCATTGTACTGATTGAATCGCTTTTTGTCCAAATCCTCTGTGCTGGTGATTTGCCTGTTACTCTCCTTTACACATAAGAACTTCTCATCAACTCTTCCTCCCTACATACCCTTAAATTCCTCCATCTTGCTGCACAGGAGGGGAGCTCATTATTTTTGCCCCGACTAAATGGACAAGTAAGAGCTGCATTTCAACTCCCGCTAGAGACAGGGTTTTCAAAAGGCTTCAAAGTTTACACAGCTTTATGCTGGGGGTGTAGACAGATGAAGAAGAAAATGAAGCAAGGTTAAGTGCATCAATTAAAATGTAATGAAAGAGACTAAATCCCAAGGTAGAGACTGATAACTCAATGGGTGCCTCCCTTCACTGAGACCCTTGAGGTACACACACTTTTGAAATGTCTCTTTATAATATCAATGCATTTACGTGGCAATCACATCATCAGTGTAGAAAAAATTGTCAGCTAGATTTGTTATCTTGATAACTTGATAAGAGATGAAATCCTCATGTATGATGTAGAGAGAAATTTATAACAGCTAGAAAGGAGTATTTTGACTTAGAACTTGTGGTTAGCCATGAAGACTTAATAGAATATTGTCTATACATTTGTCCGTACATCTATGTTGACTGGACAAAAATTTACTGAGAAAATGAACCAACTGCTCAACTTTAGGCTTGGAGGTCCAAAATAGTAACTTAAGATATTTTTGTGCACATGTACAAAATATATTTAAGAAATGACCTTAATGCTCAACTTTGGGTCAGGAGTCCAATAAGTTTTGAGGTACATGTATGTGCAACAAATGAACAGCATTTACATGTTAATATTTTTGGTTTGCATTTACTAGGCTCCTGCAGTTGATGTGGTTGGCATTGGCCTGCAGAGTGGAAAAATTATCCTCCATAATCTCAAATTTGATGAAACAGTTATGAGTTTTCATCAGGAGTGGGGTCCAGTTATAGGTTTGACTTTCAGAACAGGTATGAGGCTAGTAAGACCATTCTCACAATTATTTTTGTTTCCCATTGCCTTCCCCTTGGTTACTGTGGGTGACAAGTGGTTGAAAAAATGAAAAATATGTACTGTAATAAAAAGAGAGAAAAAAAAGAAGAATTAAAAGAGGGAGTGTGAGTTTATGAAAAGCTTCTATATGTCTTGGTTTTCTATTTTTTTCTATACCCAGCTTGTGACATGATATACAAGCTACAAGGGTGATTACTGTATGACTGATTCCAAAAAAATGCAAAGTCTTGATCTTCTTCTTCTTTAATATGATGCTGAGAATGTTTTCTTTTTTAATTTTACAAAAATGAGTCAGTTGAGCAATGGGAAAGAACAATTTGAGGATAAGGCCTAGCTAGTAGAAATAATTTAGCTTCTGACTAGGTAGTAGTCATGATTCCCTGCAACTTGAGGCAAAGGGTGAGATTTTTTCTTGAGAGTTTCTTAGATTGATTCTGCAAAAGTCTGAAGATTTGCAAAAGTGTTTTAGGGGGTTTCTCTGACAGAAGGAAATATGACCTGGATGATAGCTTTTGTTCAGGTTGTTTAAGCCTCAGTCACTACCACAGACAACAGACCTTTTCAGAACTACTCTCATCCAGATCATCAGATTACATAATAAAAGTGAAATTTGATAATTTTTGCACAATTTAATGGCAGGAAAGCATAAACGCTGACAATTTATTGTTTTCTACAGATGGAAACCCTATTATGGCATCTGCCAGTACAGAGGGCCACATTGCATTGTGGGATTTGGAAAAACGTCAACTTAGCAGCACTTTACGTGATGCCCATAAAGGATCTGTCTGTGGTATGAAATTCCTTTCCTCACAACCTCTCTTGGCTACAAATGGTCCTGATAACTCTTTAAAGGTATAGTGTTTTGATTATTCTTGTCAAGACAAGCATTAATAACAGACGTGTATTTTTAATGTACAAATTTGGGTTTCTCAGTCATACTTCAAAATAATATTAATTCTGCACACCACCAAATTATCTGGTTTAAGAAAGTCCAGAGCGACTGAATCAAATTTTAATTGAAGTCACTTTGTATAGTAAAATAGCCCACTAGGATTTTCCTGAACAGAACTATAATGGTTTTAAAATGATTATTGATACAATTTTTGAGAATTTGCACGATTCATTGTCCAAATTGTCGTTTGTGAAAAAGCTGTTTCACGTCTTCCCTTGTGTCTTATAATAACAAAAAAAAACTCTTCAATGAATATGCAGTAAAATGAATATCAGTAAAAAGCACCTTTAGCTGATTCTTCAAGACTTTTTGCGGGACAGCCTTTTTTGAGTAAATCTAGGAAGGCAAAATGTTACTACAGCTGGAAAGTACCTCTCTGTGTTGGAGAACTGGAAATGGAAATGATTCAAGTTTTCCTTCAGTTTTTTCACAGTAACTTATTTTATTTGATTAGATATGGATATTTGATCAGCCAGATGGGAGTGGAAGACTCTTGAGGTCTCGTTCAAGTCACAGTGCTCCTCCAACTAAGATTCGCTTCTACGGAAATAATGGATTTAATATCCTCAGTGCAGGTATTATACTGAAAGTTGGGGTTGCGTCATTAGTCATAAATGCTCAATACCTGCATGCAGAGCTAAGCTGAGTGGTTGAAACATGCTACGTAGATTCAAGCGAACCAAAAATCACAATGACCTTTCCCTTCATCGAGGTATTTTGTAAAGCTGCAAAACTCTAGAACAAATAATTATCTTTCCAGTCGGCTCTCTTAATCTCCTCAATATCAACGAACGCTTTTCATTCAACTAATTTGCTCATGTGTTTTTTCACGTTACCATGTTCCCATCAATAGCGTAGCTCCATCCTTCTGTATATAAACCACACTCAAGCCACAATTCCTTTATTCGCCCTGACGAAGGGATAACGCTCGCGACGTCTGCTTTTCAAACACTTTACGATGGCCAATTAACATTATGAAAGCAAACTATCTCGTAAATCGCCATGTCTATGGTGTCCTAACCCTCACATGCACGCAGTTTTGGTACTGGTGTTTAAAGAAAAAAGTGAAAACAGCTTTTATTTACAATACTTTGTGTACATCATTTTTAGGGCTGGATAGGAGCTTGAGGTTTATTTCTGTTATCAAAGATGAACGAAGCTGTGAATTTTCACAAGGTCAGTCAGCATTTGAGGATATACGATGGCTGAGGAACCAAGCACCCTAATCCATAACCATCCATGTAACTTGCCCTCTCGGTGTTTGCCTAAAAACACCATACTGTTATTCTAAGTTAAAAAGCAATGCCCAACAGCCTTATAAACAGCTCAAAATACTATCACTTGGCGTGTTCTTATTAAGAGGGCAGATTGCAGCTACAAGATCAATTCTGGCTCTAGAGTGTTAACATATAACTCAACCTCTCCCTCTCTGTTAGAAATTGTTTTCAGCTCGGAGTGCTTAAAACTCAGTCCCACATCAGTGGTGATAAACAACTTCTAAAAAGGAATTATCACTTATAAAAGACTAGAGATAGCTATGGTTTTTTGCCGTAGAGTTCCTGTTGACACCAAATTTTGTTTGGAAATAAAACAAGTGGCGCAGATGATTAATTTTACTTCTTACTGGCTTTTAATTGGAATGAATGGATAAGACATGTTCGTACCTATTGAAGCTAACTCGCAGATGTCAAAAACATACAACTTCTCACATCCACCAAAGAAAAGTGATGATAATAGACAAATTGGTTAGTTATGAAATGCGTTGTAACTAGAAGACTTTTAATCATTCACTGATCAGATTTTGGGAACAAAAAGGTAAACTGCTTCCTGTCGCTCATTTTTTTCAGGTTCATTAACAAAGAAGTCCAAGAATCGTGGAGTGCATATAGAAGATTTGAAATTAGCACCTATTGTGGACTTCGCCTCTGGTATGTGCTCACAGAATAACTGATCAAGTTATTGCAACTTTTCTGGTACACTCTCGTTGGAAACACTCGGATTTTTGCGCTCTAAGAATGCCTTCCTCAGACTTCTCATAGATTGAAAGAGAACATTTGTGGTAAAGTGTGTGTGAAGTTTATGTTACACTGTGTCTGAGAATAATGTCTTTAGACAGCAAATCCAAAAAGTTAGTGCAAGATAACGAACAGCGGCTGAACGAAGTTATCTTTGATGTCGTTTTTTAGAGGCTGTGCGCGAGAGTGCATGGGACAACATTGTCACTTGTCATCAGGGAAAAAAAGAAGCCAGAACATGGAGCTTTCAGAGGAAGTGCATTGGTAAACATAACCTGAAATCTCGTGCTGGGGAAAATGCAGGACCTGTTACGGTTTGTAATTTTGTTTTTTATTTCGTTGGAGAGGTTGAGGTGTTATCGTTTGTCGCACCATGTAGTCACTTATGTACTTGTATGATGTGGATCGCGATGTTTCTAAACACATGTTCAAAACACAGGCGTCCCAAGCTCACGTCTCGAGATAAAGCAAAAGATTAATTCATGAAAACATCATGCATTATGTGACGCAGAGTAAAGTTACGCGAGGAACCATATCTCTTTCTCCATAATATTCCTTACAACGTGTTCGTGTTCTCAACGGTTCCTTGCGTAACTTAACAACGCGTCACAGAGCGCGTCACAGAGCGCGTCACAGAGCGCGTAACGCTTTCATGGAGTAATCTTTTGCTTGGGATGCCTGTGGTTGGAAATGGACCAATCACAGCCGTTGAAAACCACCAAAGCGGAGAGGAACGCTTTATTAGTTGGTTTGTACTTCGATATTCTTTTTCGTTGTATTTATCGTTTGTTGCACTGTGTGATCTCGTATATGCTATGGATTGTGACGTTTCGAAACACATTTTCTAAATGCGCCGATTACAGCAGATTGTTTTGGTTGCCAATTAGGATTTTTGCTTCTATCTTCGTGTTTTGTAAAGTTGGTAAACAGCAATAGAGTAAACTGTGTAAAACACTGAATCCTTTGTAAACTTTTTGATCCTCAGACCACAGCTATGAGCTCTTGTGGGAATTTTGCCATCGTAGGAGACGCCCATGGTAATGTGGATATGTTTAACATTCAGTCCGGAATTCACAGGGGATCCCTTGGGGAACCAAAAGGTTTGTTTGAGACACCTCTTATTCGCCATATTGCGCGGGAAGAAACGGCACTCCAATGTTTAGCGCGCTGGATCGAGAGGTCTGGGTTGGAGAGCTGGCCGAATCATTGTGCAGTGTTCCTGACTAAGACACTCTGCTCTTCACCCAAGAGCCCAGTTGTATAAAAGTAGATTTAAAAAAATCCGACAGATGATTCGCTGTACAGCGGATAAGTGTCATCAAAGCGTAATGCGTTATCCAGTGGGTAGAGAGTTATTCAGCGGTTAGTGTTATTCACCCTTCGAACAACCGAGGCTAGGAGCTTATATGGGTAACGACAACCTGTTAAGAGAGCTTGACGCAATTCTAGTCGGGGGGGGGGGGGGTAGGGGACAACCTGCGATGGAGTAGCATTCTATGGGGGGGGTGTGTAGGGGACAACCTGCGACGGAGTAACATTCTATTCGGAGGGAATAGAGACCTAAATCGACTGAAGAAACACACCTATGAGAGAACTGTATTTCTGCGTTGCCTCTCTTGTCTGCTAAGCGCAATAAACGATGTAATTTTTCTATCGTTTGCTTTTCAGCGCACAATGGTCAAGTGAGGGGCGTGGCTATTGACAACATCAATCAACAAGTGATGACTGTAGGAGCAGATTGTAAGTTAAAGGTAAAGTGGCAACTTTCTATGTTCAATGTTTGCGTCTATTTTGGAAGTAAGTTAAATTTCTTTACAAGAATAAGGCTTTCCAGCAAGATTATGCAGCGAAAGCCTTCTTGAGATGAAAACATTTTAGAACAACACCAATTTTGGCGTTATCTTTCTCCCTTTTCTACCCTTTTTTCACCTTCATCACAAAACAATTATGTGTTAAGTCATTTAAAACAAAGATGTTAGAAATTTGTGTCCTATGTTTGAATTTAAACCCGAGCCAGTTCCGATTTCATCGTCGAATGCAGAGTTACTCGGAACTGGCTTCTGTGCACGGTCATGTAAAGGCTCGATTTCCAACGATTTCTAGTGTCGAGTCTTCGTTCCTTCCGAGATGGAAACTTTTCGGGGATGGAGCTTGGGCTCACTTCCTGAACTTCGGCTGGTAGTCGAGCCAGGGCCATATACTTGGCTCATTTGCGACAAGCTTCCTCCATGCTGCTGGAATAAGCAAACTTGAAAGCGTCGTATGTGGAGGTAGACTAGAAGAGGTGGTTAATTTTGAGCTTAGTTGTCTCATAAGGAATGATGTTAGATGCATGTTATTTGTGACATATGTCTTTTTCCTTGCAGTTTTGGAATTTTAAAGCTCGGAATCTTCTTCAGAAAATGTCGTTTGAGTCACCTATCACACAGATTTTATTACATCGAGACAGGTATGACCTGAGATGACTCTTTGAGTTTTAATCGCTAATTTGTGCAACAGAGTGCACACGTTTCATTGACTACTTTTTCTCCTTTCGCAGTTCTTTGCTGGCCGTCTCTTTTGAAGATTTCGAAATCCACGTTGTTGATGTCGATATGAAGAGAGTTGTGAGAATATTTCAAGGTCATACAAACAGAATTACTGATATGGTAAGTAAAGCCCCAGGCCTACATCGTCTAAAGAGTGCTTTCGAAACTATGTTGTGTCGTTCGAAATCTTTAAGCTCGTTCTGGTTAAGTGCCATTCGCGTTTTAAAGGAGTTACTTTACGTTACGTTTAGTAATGTTGAGTGCCTTAAAATGGAATGAAACCTTGAAATGATTATATGTTTGGGAAGACAAACACTAAGAAATAAAGGTAAAAATAAACCTACAAGGAACAAGGGGTGGTCAAGGATGGTCAATGATGGCCATGGATGGTCAAGGATGGTCAGGGATGGGCAAGGATGGGCAAGGATGGATAAGATTGACACATATGGAAAATGACGAATCTCAAGAAATTACGGAAGCTTCTTTGAATCAGCCCATTCAGCTCTCCTTAGTTCCCTGTGATTGAGTCCTTTTCCCCTCCTCTTCGCTCCCTTGTTCTGACTGACTTTGTAGACAGCTACGTTTAACTTCACATGGTTAGATATTTCGTTATTAATGTACAAGTTAAAGTAATCAGGAAGTGGTCTTAAACAGAGTCGATTATTACCCTTCTTATACAGACTTTTTAGAGCTAATGACAATTCTATTTTGGATTTCAGTCCTTTAGCCCAGACTCCCGTTGGTTGATAACGTCGTCAATGGACTCGAGTGTGAGAACCTGGAGTCTACCGGCTGCAAGGTAAAGAACTTAGTGTTTGAAGAGGACGTGGCCTACATATTAAGTTAACAGAAAAACGAAACAAGCATGCAAAAAGATACACGATAAACTAACCGAACAATAGACAGACCTTCATTGAAATTGGAAGCTGTAGAACCCAATACAGTTAAGAATTTGACGCGATCTTTTTTTTTATCCTTCTCGTGGCGATAAAATGATGATGTGGATAAGCCCAAATCAGAGTTTTCAGCGAAACTGTATCGCGCTCAGGACCGCCATGTTTGAGGTTGTTTGTACACCAGTGTTAACGGATATATTTTGCTTTTCACTGCACACAGTAGAATTATGAATGCTATGAACCTACTCATTATCGGGGTTTATGTATAAACGCTCCTAAACGGAACATTTTAAATGTCAAAAGCTTGTATTTAATTCAGTTACTCAAATAGCGCTCCTTTTTTGTCAGGCTAATAGACTGCTTTCTGGTGGAGTCACCCGTCACTAGTTTAGCCATGTCACCCATAGCAGACTTCCTTGTGACTACACACGTGGACGACTTAGGAGTGTATTTATGGTAAGAAATGAAGTGGAACTCAAGTAGCCGTCCTTTTTTTAGCTCTACGATCATGAACGGAAGAATAAAGTGCACATGTGAGGAATGACCTCCTCTCCCTCAATTTTTGCATTGATTTTTTTCATTTTCCACTGTTTTTGTAATTTTGTCATTTGTTTTATTCATTTGTATATCCACTTATTTATTTACCCATTTATTTTTTTTTTTTCTGCCATCAATAACGAGAGACGTAGTAAGATCAATAGATTGAGGTTATATCCACAATCGGGTCTTTGTTTTATGTTTATTGGAAGCGTCTTTGTGAAACCGAAGTAGAAATAGGTGTAAGGGTGCACTTGACGATTTGCTGGGAGGTAACCTATGATGAACTGACATTCCATCGTGGGTGGGGGAGGGGGGTTAGAATTCCCTCATGCTATGTGAGACGAGATGAGCTCAGACGGCGTGTGCTTCATGACGCGCTTGAGCGACCCGCTTTCTTTTTTTCTTGTCTTTTTTATGGTGGATATGAAAATTGTACGATGTCTGAAGCTTACATCTTCCTTTTGTTTGCTAGGTCAAATAAAACTTTGTACGATGAAGTATCATTGATTCCTCTTCCTGCCGATTATCAGCCGACTTTGGAAGAGCTGCCTGTTACAGGAACAGATGCTGACAAAGGTAAAATAACAAGATCAATCTTGGGTGAAATCTGAAATGAAGACTAGTTGTAGTCATGACATTTGGTTTTTTATGGAACGGTGAAAGTGGATGCCGAAGGTTTTGTTGAAGCCTAACGGGTTAAAAGGAACTTTTTCACGATGCGTTCGTCTTGAAAGACCATATAACCTGAGATGGCCAGTCTCGGATTGAGTACTTTCTGACCAAAGGACTGCAATTTCAAAGCCACTTATCAATAACCGCAGTTTATTGCATTTTTTTACGTGTTGACTTCTTCGCATACGTAGTAATATTTTCAACGTCGTTTTAGAATTTGGTGACGTAAAGGAGACCACAACTGAAGGAGATAATAAATCTAGTACTGCCGACAACACAGCCAGTTATAAGAGCCCTGATCAGCTCTCTGATGAACTTGTAACGCTGTCTCTTCTACCAAAGTCAAGATGGCGACATCTTACCAGCCTGGAGCTAATAAAGGTAATTGACGGTGTGTGTGTATACTTCTCCTACTTTTCGTGCTGTTTTCCAATCAACCAGTAAGTACCTAATCTTACCTAATTTCTTTTCAGAAAAGGAACAAACCACAGGAGCCACCTAAGGCGCCCAAAGCTGCTCCCTTCTTTTTGCCTACCACACAGGAACTGGTGCCTAAATTCCTTCAAACTGAAGAAGATCAAACCGATGAAAAAGTGAGTTTTTCTCGCAGGGTGAACCCTAAGTCCAAAAGTACTTTCATGCATTGTAACATGGAGAAGAGTCTGTGCCAGGCTCTGGCAAGGGAGCGAGTGCGCGTAAATCGACAAAGAAAAAAGAGAAAGGAAACGCTATTCATTGATTGGTTCTGACAGCCTAAAAGCACGCCACCTAGTCGTTACAACGTTCGCGCATGCGGAGACATTTGACCGCTGTATTACTTGTGGTTCGCTGATGCTTCTCTCTTCTCCTGACCGACTGAGAGCCTGCAACAGGGTATAAACAGAAGTGATTGATCTGAAACTTCTCCTTACAATGTCTATACGATACACAAATAGGTGTTAATAATAGACAAACCCTGTACCCTGGACGGTGTTTTCTTGATAAAACGTAAAATTCTTTCAATTACCTTCCAAGAATCATGTATCAACGAGAAGAGAGAATTACTAATTAGATACGGAAAATTCATTTAAACATGCATTGCCTTTGCTTTTTTAGGATGCCAAGTCTAAAATTCTAGACATGAAACAGCTTGAACAAGCTTCAGAATTTCAAAAGCTTTTGAAGGAGGGTTCGAACTCTGGAAATTGTGAGTACTAGTAGCAAGCTGTTATAGAGTAATAATGTTATGGTGGTAATTAGATTTTATAGATCTACGCGAATGTTACTTTCAGTCAGCTTCTTGATAATTTCCAAAATCTTAACTGCCTGTGCTTTGTCGGTCGGTGCGTCGTTGGCCTGTATGAGCCCACACTGAGATAAGGTCAGCGAAGTATTAAACAATGTCGATGAGTTGACATGGTAACAGAGTGGCCTTCGTAGTTTTTAGGCATGGTTTTGATCAGATAACACGAGGTGTCGTCGGGTTAGAAACCATTCCGGATAAATTCACTTACTAACTTCACTTCGTTTTCCTAATTGGCATGTTAGAGAAGTGAAAAACAGGTCAGCCATACTGGAAACTCAATTGGTAATATATATTTCATTTAGCAGATAATTTGGATGAAAGAAATTGCAGACATTTAAGTAGTTAGAATAGGATATTCCGCCATTGTCATGAAAAACTCTTAGAATATGGACAATTCTAGATCGTCATTTCTTTGAGAATATGAGTAACACTTCTTAGACATTTGAAATTTAAAATAAGTGTACTATTAGAATTTTTCTTCTCTTACAATAATTTGTGAATTTCTGTCGCCATTTGAAGATGCGTACAATAAGAAAATATTTCTATTGGCTCGGTGGTACTCTAACGCACGATGTTCGCTTTCCACATTTCGACATGCGAGCTTCGGCCATAGCCGATCTTTTACAGATTCATTCACGCAGTTAGTCGGAGTGAAGTCGGATCAACATTCGTTTTAAATCGTGGGAATGCGAAAATTTATTCCTTGTAGATGAACTTTTCCTGGGGCACCTCAAGTCCATGGGACCCTCCTCGATCGATGCAGAAATTCGATCTCTTGGTCCGTCGGCTGGTGGAGACGTCAAACTTGTTGAAGCTTTCATGTTGTTCTTGGAGTACCAGCTACAGTCGCGGCGGGACTTTGAGTTCACTGAAGGTGTCATGGGCCTTTTTCTCAAGGTATATTATATTCTGACACACATTCAAACTCTTCTCTTAGTATTCAACTTTCAAGCGGGGGGTGGGGGTGGGGGTGGGGGTGGGGGTGGGAGTGGCCAAACCCAATATGAAGATTTTTAGACCATAATTTCGTGCGATTGTGCATTTTTTTCAACAAAATTTATCCAAGATTGTCATAAAGTAAGGTTAGGGACTAGCTGGAAGAGTTAATATTTTAATCTTGGGACTACATAGAGTTTAAAATCACCTCTCATGTTCTCTCTGTGTCTCTGATGGCTGGGGATGACTCTAGTGTCACACAGCTGGATGTAAGAGGTGAGTACAATGAAAACCAGCGTTTTTCTGTCTTAGATAAATATTTGTTCGTCTTGGAGGATTTTAGTTGGAAATTCTAAATGGGCTTCTGCATAAACTCGGATGCAAAGGATGTGGTGCTCCACAAAAAATATGAAAGGCGCATCACTTTTAACAAGGCACAGGTAGCAAAATCCATGCAATGTCGGATTATTTTCCACGCGATGAACAATTGTTCCAAAACTACATGGTATAATTCTGTTTAATCTCGTAACCTATAGCTCCATGGCCCACTGATTGCCGAGCAACCTGAGCTGGGAGAGGTAGCCGCTCGTTTGCTTGAAGAGCATAAAGCAGCATGGTCAACTATCCGGGACTTAATGAACCAGTGTTCTTGCCTGGTTAGTTACTTAAAAAGTGCTGTTATATGACGGACAAAGTGCAACATCCAACAGTCGCTGACCGCAATGACAGTGTGCCCGTGTGGAAGAAGTGAGGATATTTGCATTCCCGCACAGTATTATTTTTGAGCTACCACGCTATTTCATCTTCGTCGAACAAGTATTGGAGATGGTGCGATTACCGCCGAAAAACATTACGCAGAGATTTCAAATAAAATTTTGATAAACGATTACACGTTTACACTTTACAGTGCACAGGCTTATTAGGCTGTAAATTCCTCGTGCAATTTGCGAAAAAATCCCTTGACTTCCATTCTTTACAGAGTATTAATGTCAGGGACCAATCTTTATTTCTCGTAGGGAGGGGGTGGGGTGAGTCGTAGGATGTGGGGGGATCACATGGTTGTATTTTAGAGGGAACGGAGGGGAATCAGTCGTCGCGGACTTTAAAGGGGGGGGACTATGGAAAATTCACTACAATTGAAGGGGAATCATCAGAATACTACAGAGCCTTAAGTGAGAAGAGGGGGAGGGGGGGATGGGGGAGGAGATGCGTCAGGTAAATTTTAATGTGACACAATCCAAATCCTCTGAACTCTCTCCCCAGGCAGTAAATAATGACCGCAAAAATGAATAGATATAGACACATTTATGAAAGCCACTGAAGATGTTCCATACTGAAAACAACAAGAGGAGTAATAAAACAACGAAAACCGAACTTTTTCGAAAGATATGAAAGCTAAAAGGTGGTGAACCCTCTGTTTTCAATTGGTAAAAGTTGAGAAAAAAGTATGAGTTTAGATTCTGTTCTCGGGGAAAAGCCTCTAAGTGTAAGGTATCGTGTCTGTATTCTCCTCAAAAACATGTTTCAGCTTCTGGTGCGCGTCTCTTCTGGTAACAATTGTTAGGAAAAGTTGTTCACTTCACACCTATTCTCAAACTGACTCCTCACTTTTTTTCTCAGTACAATTACGCAAAGCATCGTTATTTTGCCTCTTTCCCCGTGGTATCCGTAGTTCGCGTTGCTTATAAAAATCCTACACAACTAATTATAGCTATCCAGGTTCAGAGGCTTTCGGTTGTAATACGTATTCCAGACTCGGAGACTTTGATTTGAAATGAAACTGAAAATATTTTGTAAGGTGGGGTCAAAGCACAATAGTCACATGTCTTAACAGCTGCTTTCCATGGTTACGCATCAACTATCCGTCACACTAATGACGTAAACCACGTAACAGTCACCTGACCTTCATTTTCCACTCCATAAAACAAGATATAAATAACCCACTAGGAGTATGATATAAAGATCGATCAGCATGCAGATAAAGAGTCTCATCTAACGCTGGGAAAATCGTGATTGCATCCCTTATTTGTGACAGGCCGATTCTTACCTTTAGATAAAAGGGTGGACTCTTAGCGGTAATATATAGGAAGACTTCCTTTTGTGACGTTAAAGGATGTATCACGTGGCAGAGTCACAACAGGAAAGTCGCGTGCCTAATTCCTCCATCATAACAGCCAGTACCATGGTTATTCATTAAACATCTGTCACATCCATGACGTCACCTCGTAACAGTCAGCTGACCTTTAAATTCATTTGCCTCTCCCTAAAATAAGATCTAAATAACCCTCTCACTTGGTGTGTTGTATGTCAAGATAGATCTGTATAAAGATAAGGAGTCTTATCTAACGTAACGCTGGGAAGTTTAGTTTTACATCCCCTAACTTGCAATTGTGACGAGCGAATTTTTTCCTTTGAGTGAACCATTATAATTTTTTCTCTTTTCTGCTATGAGAAAGTAGGCTAAAACTTTCATTTTGTTACCTAATGACGACTTAGTTAACTTCCGCTTTCACATCTGGGTAATTCTCTTGAGTTAAGCATTTGCAGTCTTGCATTTAGCGAGAATGGTATCACTTATTGAATCCTTTTTAAAAAAAATTGTAATCGGAAATTCGGATAACATGTCGCCCTCAACGGTAGCTACGAGTTTGGTAAGAATTTTCACGCCTAATATCACCTTTTACCGCAAGAAGCCTTCAAAAATAAGGAAGTTAATAAAACTAATAAGAGGCAAAGAGGATAAAGTGGATCTGTGGATGTGTCGATAGTGTCAGTGTTGGAATTTATAGTGAGCTGTCAACTATGAAGTTGCTCTATTGTCACAGAATTGAAGGATTTTGATTCTTGTTAATCTGTAACACATTTGTCTTTTGCCACGTGTTGACCTTTGTTCGTTATATCGGGGTAAATTATACATTTGGGCTTCTGTTTTGTGTTAGTTGTAACGAGGATTTCGTTATATTGAGGTTCTTTCCCATACATTTTACGGTAACTTTGGCCGAGCTGAAGAGTATCGTTCGTTATACCGAGGACTTCGTTATAGAGAGGTTCGTTGAATGGAGGTTCCACTGTATCACAAGGTAGAGTCATAACACAATAGTCGCGTGCCTTTTAGTACAAAGTCTGAAACTTCTATCTAAACAGCTTGTATCCATGGTCACACATTAACTATCTGTCACACCATTGACGTAACCCTGTAACAGTCACCTGACCTTCATTTCCCACTCGTTAAAACAAGATATAAATAACCCACCAGGGGTATTATATAAAGGCCGATGTTTTTGCAGATAATCTCATCTAACGCTGTGTCTCATCTAACGCTGGGAAAGTCTTGGTTGCATCTTTTACTTGTGACAGGCCAATCTTTACCTTTTGAGGTAACTGCAATAGTTTTTCCTTTGTTACTTAAGAAAGAGACGGTTAAATCTTTAATTTTGCGATCGAACGGCCACTCGGTTTACTTCCTCTTTAATTTCTCTTACCACTGGGATATTTTCTTGAGTTAACAAACACTTGGGACCTTGCATCTGGTGAGAATATCATCGCTTATTCAATCCTTTCTGAACACAATTGAAATCGATATTCGGAGAACATGCCTGTACAGTAGGTACAACTTTGTTAGGAATGTTCATACCTCATCTCAAATCTCTTGCACTATTTATGCATGTGCAAGTTCGTGGGCATTAGTCATAAGTGAAGTTTGTCTCCTTCTTGAGCTTTTTTTTTGGTCATTTTAGAACAGTTACTGCGATCGATTTTTCTCCTCCGATCCTCAGAAGATTGATCGATTCGAAACAAAGATACTTTCGTTATGCGTGAGCCAAATTGAACATCCGCCGAACGTGCATTGAATGGTGCGTTCGTCCGAAAAGTTGAGTCGGTTATTTTGAATCCTATAGATAATGAGACGCCTTGTGCACCGATAAATTTAAAGCAGGAACGACTGTGGACTTTTTTCAGCAGACGGTATTGTTTTCAGACTGCCTAAATTACTCCAAGGTAAATCATTAACTACTATTACGCATAACTGGCCACGCGCACTAAGATATGTTCACGAGGAAATGCGAGGCTCTTGGACAAAGTAACAGCGTTTCAATCCAGAGTTTAAAGGAGGGCGCTTGGAACAATAAAACTAATTTTACAAAAAAGGTACCAAAGAAAAACCGGAAACGGCTATGACGCGAGTATAAGTACGAACCGATGGCCGGAGGAAAAATTATGGAGGACTTTTACGCAACACTTGGTAACATGAAGACTTGACCTTTGTTGAATGCGAGGATATCTTTGGTTTGTAAGAAGTATCCGGAGGCTTTGATTTGAAATGAACAGAAAATATTGTGTAAATCACTGATAAGAAAATTGCTGCTCCAACATGAAGGGGTGGATTCTTAGCGGGAATATAGAGGAAGACTTCCTGTGCTTACGTAAATGATATATCTCGAGGTAGAGTCACAACAAAGAAGTCGCTTGCCTTTAATACAAAGTCCGACATCTATCATAACAGCCGGTATCCATGGTTACTCATTAAACATCTGTCACATTCATGACGTCACCTCGTAACAGTCAGCTGACCTTTATACTTATTCGCCACTCCCTAAAAATGATATAAATACGGCAATCCTCTCACCTGGAGTAATGTATATCAAGATAGATCTGCAAACGTATAAGGAGTGATATAACGCTGGGAAAGTCGTGTTTGCATCCCTTACTTGTGACGGGCGAATTTTCCCCTTTTCAGGTAACCATTATAGTTTTTCTCTTTTCTCATAAGAAAGAGTAGGCTAAAACTTTCACTTTGTTATTTAATATCGTCTTAGTCAACTTCCGCTTTCACTTGCCTCTAAGTCATTTTCTTGAGTTAACAAAAATTCGCAACCTTGCATTTGACGAGAATATTATCACCTATTGAATCCTTTTTAAACAAAAATCAGCAATTTACATAAAATGTTGGCCTAAACGGTAGGTGCGAGTTTGGTAAGAATTTTCACGCATAATATCACCTTTTACCGCAAGAAGCCTTCACAAATAAAGAAGTTAATAGAACTAATAAGAGATAAAAAGGATAAAGTGGATCTGTGAATGTGTCGATAGTGTCAGCGTTGGCATTTATAATGAGTTGTGAACTAGGAAGTTGTTCTGTTGTCACAGAATTGAAGGATTTTGATTCTTGTTGGTCCGTAACGCAGTTGTCTTTTGTCACGTGTTGACCTTTGTTCGTTATATCGGGATATATTATACGTTTGGGCTTCTGTTTTGTGTTAGCTGTAACGAGGATTTCTTTATATCGAGGTTCTTTCCCCATACATTTTACGGTAACTTTGGCCGGGCTAAAGAGTATCGTTCGTTTTACAGAGGACTTCGTTATAGAGAGGTTCATTAAATCGAGGTTCTACTGTATTACAAAGTAGAGTCATAACACAATAGTCACGTGCCTTTTCGTTGAAGGCGAAGATATTTTTAGTTTGTAATAAGTTTCCCCAAGAGCTAACATGTCAATTAAAGTTGTCATTTTGCAACCAAGAATGCAATAAGATTTTAAATGCGGAAGCTTAATCGGATGTCCATCCAGCGGACAAAATCGTGTATTTCGGCCGATTTGTTATGGCAGTTTATCGATCCTAGAAAATTGATAGCCTCCAGATCGGCGAAATTCAAAAAGCACGTTTTCTAAGAATTTTCCTTCGAACTATGAAGTTTGATCATTTCAGTGTGTTTAAGGTATGCCAAGTTATTGTTATCTACGGACACACGTAGATGACAACTGGACAAAACATGTCCACGCATGGAAACACGGGCGGGTTCTAACAAAGCATTTTTTCTAAGCTTTATTTTCATTTCGATTTTGGGGTTTTAAAAGAGGGCAGGACTAATTAAAAACATCGCTCACGTTAATTTTAAAAGTTTTTAAAGCGAAAAATTTACAACCATGTGATACAGTGCATTGTAGTACATGAAATGTTTCTGAGACAGATCACCTTACTTTAGTTTCGTATTCGTTAAATATCAAGTTTTTTCTCTTTTTGTTGGCTATTTGCACAGGAAAGAGAGTCAGCTGCATCTCCTAATGATAAAGGGTGAAGAAGTGTTTTAAAGCGGTTATGTACTTGTATTTACCTTTTCTAGACCCTTTAAATTTCAAAGAAAGCCATTTTCTTCTTTGTCAAGAGTGACTAAGAATGTGATTTTTAATCAGCTAGCAATGATGAAGAATGTCTTCATTAAAGAAAGTTGCCAGTTTTTCACATGGCTCAATTTACGTGAATTCTCAAACAAATTTTCTTGTACTGAGAGTTCTTAGGGCCATTTCCTGTTCAGTATGGATATCAAGCAATTTTCATGGGTTCTTAATCATATGTATGGGCAACTGAAAAATTTGATAAACTTTTAGTAGATGCTAGAACCAATGTATGCAGTTATTTGACAACTCTCTCTCTTGCATTCCATATCATACATAATTATGGATGTCATTAGATGTTGGATTTTTTCGTTATTCTTCTTATGGGAATAAATCATGATGCTCGTTTACTTAATGATTGCTTTTTATTTACATGGTCAGCTATGGAACAGTTGGAAGGTGGTGCCATTCCCAAGAATAGAAGAAATGCCAAAATTTCTAAAAACGTCCAAATCCTAAAGAAAAATGATTTTCATGATGCTAATGGCGGCATATGCATGTCAACACAAAGTGAAATGTCGAAGATCAAAAGATCTGATCACCTAAAACAGTTCAAGAGAAATGTGGAATTTGATGCAGACATGTCAGATGACATGGTAAAGGAACATCTCGAGGCAACATTTCCCTCCTTGAGAGGCAGGAGGTAAGGAAACTTTCAAATTATTCAAGTAATGAACCTAGTGAGATACACGATGTATAATTTTTAATCATCAGCCATTGCATTCAGCTTTCAAGTAAAATTGGCTGAATTATTTAAACCAATGAAATGTGGATCCGTCCTTTGGAATTTGGCTAGAGTGAGGTAACAGAACACAAATAATCAGATATGAAAAATGAAAGTGATAAACAAAAAATCAAAGACTCAGTTAATAGTAATTTCAATTCCTTTTTTAGATTTTCTTGTGCAGCTGTTGTTCGAATTGACAGGGATCGCTCAAAATTTGAGCATTACGGAAATCCTCGTGTTTGGGATTCCAATTTTATTAGGACCAAGATAAAAGGAAACTCGACCCTTTACTTATTGGAGGTAATTGTCTTCACAACACCTGCATCCAAGAGATTTCTGTTAACAGTAGGCATACTTGATTTCAAACTAGATTATTTGACATAGTTGCATGATTGTACGTACTATTTTGGAACATATTATTTTAGAACATCTTTATTTGTGTGACATTTCAGTTTAGTCTAGCTTTAACTATGGAAGCATGATGTTACGCAGAGGAAGTTTCTAAAAGGGATTCAAAATAGGCTGTGTGATCTGCTCGACCAGAGTGAGTAACACAGAAAAGTGCTCTTGTTGTTGTCCGCGACTGACGTCCTGACAACATGAACAGAAGTATCATCAGATAAAGTCAGGAATTTTTGGTCAGTCGAGCATTTATAAATCTGCTTCTTACGAAAAACTGATCGACCACATTTACCGTTATGTTATTGGCTGCAAAATTCAAATAGCCTACGTCATCGAAATGCCAAAACGTCATGTGAAGTTATGTACACCCTGCTGGTTTAAAATGATAAACTATCAGTAACATATATGTGTTTGAAACAGTTTTTTCTCCATTTTTATTTAGACTTTAGATTCAGAAAGAGGGGCTGTGACTGGCCTTTGTCCAGGTAACGCCAACGTGATAGGAAGTTCCTCATGATTATCCAATGTTTAGCGTTACCCTTAGTTTGATATTCATTTCTTACGGGCTAAGCGCATGAATCTTGAGTAAAGAATTGGTCCATGCTTAGTGCGTGTATATCGAGTCATGGATGCGCGCGGGAAGTTTGGAGAGCACGAAAGAAGCGTAAGAGCTGGTTTTAAAATTCTGAAATTGTACGGTTTTAAAATTAAAATCATCTGTTGAACAATATACTTTTAGGATGTATGAACACTTAAAAATAATAGCGGAGCTCGCAAAGCGTAGACTCATAATTATACAAAATAGTAGTAACCCATCAAGCCAAAAAAATTTGGGCGTGCGACCGTACGACCGACCGTGCAAGGTGCTACTTTTAACATGCTTGGTCAATTGTACCGCGGGCACGCCAACGCCATGGCTTCGTTCAGTAGTCCAGTGGTCAGTGCACTGGGCTCTGAGTCGGACGACCTGGGTTCTAGTCCTGGCCGGGGCAAGGTGAGACGTGCGGGAAAATAAAATGCGAGCTTCGCTTTTAGCCTTGGCTAATCTATATATTATCAAATGTTCGAAAAACGAATCGAAAAACTTACAAGTTAATTACATTTACGAAACCCGTGTGGTAGATTTACTCGCTTGAATTCTTGTTTACTAGAATTAACGACTAGAGAATTGCGTACCTTTGGGTTGAAAATTCTTAAAATTGTACGATTTCGAAACATTGAACAACACTTTTAGGACGTATAAACAATTCAAAATAATATTTACCTTTAAATGACGGTTACCCAGCGTCGCAAAGCCTCAGTTAAGGTCAGAAAACTTAGTTTTGTTTGCAGCCATAACTCGTATGGCGTTTGGGAATGAAGTATCGTCAGCTACAAAACTAATTTCGTCGCTTGAAAGAACTGCATGCACATTGTTTTCGTAACAAGTATTATTTAGGATGTTTTATTTTCAATGTGAGCTCCAAAAGGTCTATCTCAATCGAGATAGCGGCTAAACTCAACGGGAACTTCAGCCGAAGCGAAATTCCACCCGACATATGATGGATGCACGCCTTGCAGTACATAGGGATTTTTACGATGGTAGCTCCTTAGCCTAAGGAGCTACCATCGCAGGTAGGCCTTGTGCGCGCTATGTTACAATAGTTAATACCATCTCTTTTCATTTAGGTTGTGATGTTGCCAATGTTGATGGTGCCATTAGTGACGAACAGCAGGTAAGATGAACATCTTTCACGCATCTCAAACGCAGATCGAGTTGCTGGTAAAATATGACATCTAATTTTTAAACCGCCTGGGTGAATGTTCAACTGTTAAGACTTTTTATGATATGAACCGTACAGCCGTCCTTATCAAGATTGAGTCCCGCGACAGCAAAGAGCGGGAAAATCTCTTAAATTATTGAAAATTATTTTTCCATTAGGAACGGGCTTTGGTGTTCGTTACCGTCGTGAAAGGGTGGCAGTTGAATGTAGCCTATAAGAGCAAATGTCCGTTCAGTCCTCCGAGACAAAAAAGGAGGCTTTTAGAGAGAAGAGACCTTAAAGGAAATTGACTATGTATGTGCCTAAAACTTCTCAGTGGTGTCCGTTTCAGTTTAAAATGAAAAGGCTTTTTCCTCTCTTTAGCAACTCATGATTTCCAAGTGAAAATGTTTTATTCGGCAGATGCTAAATGACTCCACAAGCGGAATCTCAGAAAGTGATCACGTGGTTTCAGAAGGTTAGCTCTCCACCTTACATAATTTACATTGAGTAATCTGACAACAGTAAAAGCTTCCTCACTCTGAGGTAATTTCTTGGTATTTTTCTGTGTATCTCGTTCTGCATGTGGTTGTGCACAGTGACCCACAATAAGTGCACTGCGCTAAAAGTTTGCCTGTCATTGAAAACCATTTGCAATAAAGTTCGAATATAACGCGCACTGTCATAGGTTGAAAGAGCTGTTCTATCAGATTATAAAAGCCAGAGCTGAGCCGAAGCTGTCACGCCATCTCCCAATTTGTACTATCCGACCATTTCCTGAACTTCTCTCTAACTCTTTTTTCGTTAATTGAAAGTGAAATTTCCGAACAAACAAGCCGTCAAATAGCAACAAAAGAACCAAACAAGGGTTTGTAAACATGCCAAGCGCCGTAATTGACGTTATTGTAACGTGGGCAGAGACGAAAATCCTCAAAGAGAAACGAAATGGACAGTGCGAGTTTGAAGGTTTGTAAGCTTACATTCGGTGACAAGAATCAAACACACCCAACACTCATATAGTGTATATAGTTTCGTGTTCAAAACAAAACATAAAAAAAGGAATGATGGAAAATATAGCGAAACCGGCATAACTTTTAAAATCCATACAAACAATGACGGTGTCAGAGCGACTGTGATCATGCTGAGGTCCATCGCGGCTAGCTCATCATGGCGATCTCCGGTCATCGCAATGAAGCAAGCCTCAGAAATTACATTGTTCGCTTTCGAATACACAACTCTGATATCCTTTCCGATGCGTTGAGTGGAAGGCCACATCAGTCACAGCAGCCGAATTTTACGGCGCTGTCATCCCGAGCAATCTACATGTTCCTATGAATTCGGCTGTCGTTCATTTATAAAACACACGCCTTTAGCAGTTTGTCTTTCTACTTTTCATGCATAAAAACTTGTGGGTTTTTTTGTAAGCCACAATGTGGCCGAATTTTACTGAAAATTTCCCTTTCATATATTGGGTTAAGACTTAAAAAAAAAAGGCTAAAGTTTTAAATTCGACCTGCCGGACTATTTCAGTTTGTGAACCATTGCACATTGTGAACTTTGATGGCTTGTCGACTTTGATGGTTTGACATTTTTGACAGCTTTGGTCTTATTCAACCAATCAGATAATTTGAACCATTCTAACAAAGATTCTGATTGGCTTACTGTAGCGTGTTTTATGAGGGTATAGAACATGCTTACGACGCAGTTTTGTTCGCTTCGAAAATTAAAATTCGTTTTGACAGATTCTTTATTATAAAACAAATAAAGACGCCTTGACTGCGCTCTATTCTGTTGTAAAGCACTAAGGAAACGGCTCGAGGAAAAACACTCGACTACGTCTCATGTTTCTCCCTACACTTCTTTCGTGCTCTAGCCGCTTCCTACGTGCTTTACAACAGAACAGAGCACACTCAAGGCTTCTTTTTATGTTAATTAAGAGCGAAAAATGGCAGTTTTTACCTTCAACGAAGTCTGTAACCTACCATTTTTCGTTGCTAGATTTCGTACTTTTAGTTTTTCTCGTCACGTTATGCTGTGCAGGTTTTGAAAAAAGGTTTACAATGGAAAAGTATTTTTATTGTTCCTATCGATTTGCACATTATATTGATTTGGTTATTTCAAGGATCGAAACCAAAGGCCCGGTCAACGCAAGCAAAATTTTTAAAGTAACAACATGCGACAATGTTGCATGCAACGTGTTGCACACGTTTGGTCACCCTGTATTAGATGTTGCAACATGTTGGATGGTGTTGGATCAGGTCTAGAAATGGTCAACCTTTTGTTGCAACATTTTTGGGTGTTGCAAGATGTTGTGCGCGTTCGGCCAGCTTCTTTAAATATCTCAAAACACAATTTAACAATGTTGGCAGATGTTGCGTTGAAATGTTGCGTGCGTTTTAGCGGGCCTTAAGATTTCCTTGTTCTTGAAATGCTTGTCGTGGACCCATGAAGAATATGATAACGTTGGAGGAGTTAGGCAGATTCAATGCGTAACGTGACCCAGTTCTATCTCCACTTTTTTATTTTCGCATATTTCAAGTCACCTGGTGTAAATAGCCAATCAGAGCCGAAGAGTTAAGAAAATCTTGGTCAAGCTCTAAACCTAAGAGATCTCTCGAACAATTCTTTGTATAAAGTAAATTTTGTGTTACTGTGAAACTTACGAACTGAACGGGAATTTGACTAATTACCTTTTTTTTATTTTAAAAATAGACGATTTTGCGAGTGGGCTACAGAATCTGGACACCGTGTACCCTTACGACGTCCAAATTAATCCTCAACGGAGCCCTCAAGAGGTAAAAAGATTTTTCCTCTCATTTTTAAATGAGAGGAAAAATAAAAGAATAAATGCAAAATACTTAATGCAAACACAAATTAATAATAATTTAAAGCATTTATATTCGAAGTGGTATTTTACTCTCAACCTTGGTGACACTTCGACTGAGTGATGATTTTTTTTTCCATTCTAACCGGCAGGGAGGAAGTCCTTGCGTCTTTAAGTTCACACCAAAGCCGTCATCAAACGTTACATCAGTTTCTGCTACCTTTGACTCTATAGGAGAAATTTCACTGACAAAGTTGCCAAATGATGTTGAATACCTAGGCTTAATACCAGGTTTGAATCCGGTTTCACGTTACTTTATGACTTTGTTATTGCTTTTCGTGCAAACTTGTCGAACGAAATGGTTAACTTCTATGTACAAAAAGCGGGAAAGTAGGATAAGAGCCTATCATAAATGTGTAATTTAGTATTATCAACTGAGTTGATAACGTAAATTGGCCACCGTAAAGAGTTTCAAAGCTGGTGTTTCGAGCGTCAGCGCGAATGACGAAGGGCTAACGCCCGAAAAGTCGGCTTAGAAACTCTTCACAGTGGCCAATTCACGTTATCAACTCAGTTGATGAAACCAAATTATCTGGCTCCTTCCAGGTTCGAATTCTCTTTTAGAGCTTTACCGTCTCCTTTCTGTCTCTCCAGTCTTTTATAAAGATCATTTCATTATTTGCTATTCACCTGTTACTCATTCGCTATCTTCCTCGCCCCCAAAAGGGGATCCTCAGGCTGCTTAAGAAGGGTCTCCATCCTTCACGCTCTTTCCACACTCTTCCACATTTAGCTCAAGCAAGAGAAACCCATTTTCAACGGTTCTTTGTCTCTCGATCTTCGATCTGTCAGGCACCGAGATAAAGGAGATTTCTCTTACGCATGACGTAGGCCTCAATGGTCCGATGTCAGATAACATTCGTCCTTAAGTAGGTTTACTAGCGGGCTTTTTATGGGGGGAAGTTGCTTGTCCTCTACCTACCAATCTGACTAATTGACAAGGAAACTTTAGGAATGTTTTAGTCTGAACTCTCCCTCAAGATCCCTCTAACGTGACGTGCTTAAACCTGCGTAGAGTTTGTACATCAGCCAACAGTCCAGTCTACGTGGCTTTGATTACCTGGCCACTCATGATGAGGTTTAGCCTAGGGGCCAATCACGAGTCAGATAAGATTTCTATCATTTCTATTATGCAGTAATTCGTGGCATGAGGTGTGGCTTTGTGTTCAGCAGAACCATCTTAGTCTCACCGAGACTAACCATCTCACCAGAGAATTATATGTCTTTGTGTCGTTTTGTTTTTTATTTTGCTTTGGCGCTGCATAGACGGTCGATCTTTCCGCCCCATACCGTGGCTGTCTTGGAAATGACCTTTGTCCGCACAAGAAATTTGATATTGTAATCGTAATCTTATGACCGGTGTGTAGCTGTGAAGGAAATATTTGAATAAGTTGAAGGTCATTTTACAGCCGAACTTTGTTGAAATCACTCGTATTTGATCCACAAAATATATCACGGGTGTGAAATATCATTAATTTATTATCTCTTTCTTTTCTGCAGCCTCAAAGGAACCGGGTTGGGTTACTATCACACTTCGTGCCGTTCAGGGTCGATACAAACCTGTTTTGGGAAGCACAAGAATATATTACGAAAGACCCCCTCGTGAAGAGTTTCTGGAAGAAATTGTTTTCAACCTTGACAAACAGAAAGAGTTCTATGAGACGTTCATTCATCGAAGAAGTGGAAACTCTGGAAACCGTGAAAGTGGAGACAGTGGTAATGGAAATAGTGGAGGTCGAAACAAGGGAGATGGAAAACAAATCAGAGGGGCTTTTGGTGAGTTTATTTGTGTCAAATGTCACGGAGTTATATTATATTTTTGGCGCCAAAATTCATAGTACCATTAGGTGCGTATAGGAGTCCTGCCTCGTGATAACGTTAACAAATTTTTTTTAAGTGCAGATTTTCTGAAGTAAAGAAAATTTGGTAAAAACCACTATCGTGAGAGATACTTCTTTGCCACTTCGATATATGTTGGGTGACGTACTCTACATCATATATTCTTGACCAGGACACTTAACAATATTGAAGAAAAAAAGTTCAATAGTCAATAAAAACCGTTCCACAGTTGAATTGATTGCAACAACTTTTACAACATAGACAGAAATTCCCTTTGGAGAAATATACAGCTATAGAGAAATATATTTATATGCGTGCTTTAGATGTGAGAAATAAAATACCAACATTTGATGGCGATTTTGCTAAGAATTTTACAAATATATCTGCAGAAATTTCCATCGAGATGTCTAAACCAAAAGCAGTGAATAATCATATTACATTTTACTAAGTTACCAGTAGATCTATGGAAATTTCCACACACATATCTGGATCGATTATAACTAAACATCTCACATTTTTCCATGTTACTGGAAGATCTATGGGAATTTCTGTGCATATGTCTGGATCAATTAAACAATTTAAAAAAGCTTTTTTACAATTTTTGAAACTAAACTAGTTAGCAGCACTCTGCGAACAGTAGTTGTAAAACTTGTTTATTCTCCAACGCGTTTCGTCTAACTATCGTATGCTTCCTCAGAGAGTTTTAGAAGTTAACACTGAACGTCTGTATTTATAAGCCATAGTTAGCGGCCATTACGGGGGCCAATGACAATAAAGGCTTGGCCGGATCTGCGAACAGGAACAGGCGAAGTTGTGCAAAGTTTGAAATTTTTAGGCAAGGTGAGAAAAAAAAATTGGAGACTACGGTTTTAGCTAAAACTGTGGCCCCCCAAAAACTTATTTACGCAGATTAGGTGTTGTTACAGTTTTCCTGTAACACACAATATACAATCGAAGTCTGGCAGAATATTATTGATAACATTCTTAACACGGGCGTGACTGCAGTTATGGCCTGAACACAAGACTGAGGATGACTCACTTCGTCGATCATTGTTGCAAGAGAAAGAGATGAGTCCTTTACTCAAACCCTGGAGGAATACACTCCGGGAGGGGAGGCCTATACGATGTATGTGGCCTGGAGTAGAATGTCTGCCAAAGGTGATTCTTTATTTGCGATTTTCATTTAATTTTAAAAATTTCCAGTTTCCGTTTTGTGTTAAGTCTTGAATTAGGAATAAATAACAGGGCTCAGTATGGCAAGATACATTCTTTGAATGTTTAAATTTCTTGTAAACAGCTGCGGTTGGACCGACGGATGTCATCGAAAACCCTGGTGGAATGCACTCCGGTAGGGAGGGCGTATTCGATACATTTGACCTGGAGTAGAATGTCTGCTAAAGGTGACTCTTTATTTCATTGAAGTTTGCCATCCTTGTTGAATAGGACCAAGGGTCAGTTGAAGTTTTCTGCCCGTGGAGAGGAGCTTGCACTCGAAAGAGTGGTCAAGGTTGTTGTCCATGTAAAGCAGCAAATAAGAATTGTAACACAAACTGTCCTTGTCACTGACGCTCCTGCAGTGAAGTGACTAAACGTCCGGCAGTCCAATATTTTTCCATATTTCTCTTCGAAATCCAAAATATTTATACGAAAATGTTCTACCTTTATTTACAATCCTCCAGTGCTTCCAAGCAGCCAAAAATTTCGAACTAGATGTTTTTCGCCAACCCTTTATACAGAGTACAAAGCCATTCAAGCGCTTGACACTTAAAAACTTTTCAATGACACGACCGGACACGGTCCTCCAATAACTTCATATTTCTCCTTGAAATATACCAATTTCCCTCGGAAAATATTCTACCTTCATTTACAATCCTCAAGTGCTTCTAGAAAGTGAAAAAATTCGAACGTTGTCCGTTTCGCCGACCCTGAACACAGAGTACGAAGAGATCCAAGCGTGACACGAAATTTTTCTTCAGACTCTACCGGACACGGTCTTCGAATAACTAAACGTCCTGCAGTCTGATATTTTTCCATATTTCTCTTCGAAAAATACCAATTTGGAAAATATTTTATCTTTCTTTAGAATCCTCACGTGCTTCTAGAAAGTAAAAAGAAAAATCCAACGTTGTCCTTTTCGCCGTTCGTTTTGGAAACTCATATACTTAAGGCAATACACAGTTATACACATTAAATGTCGTGAAGTTCAACATCTTGCAGTCCTTTATTTTCTGTGACATAGTGCGGTTACTGAATTCCTGAAGGAACTGAGACATAACTACTAACTTACAGTTACCTCTAGTTATTAAAACTTTTAGGAATTTCAATGGGTAATAACTAGTTTGTTTTCTTTTTTATGTGTTTCAGTAAGTTCCTGCCTAAAAACCATCCATTCAAAGGAAGTTAAACTTGTTATCCGCATATGATGACGAGAAGCCTGTTTCTGGTTTTAAGAGGATCAGGGTCCAAAGATAACGACGAGTAGATAAATTTTTCAGCAAGACGAGATGTACTGAGTGGAGATTTGTAATCACTTCACCGGAAAAATCGCTTAAGTGAAAGTTTTGAATACATACATACATCGATAGGGTTTCGATGGGATTAACCGTTAGCCGTGAAAAGGCAGACAGATTTAGCCGTTAGGCGTAAAGATTTAAAAACTTTCACCGTTTATTGTTGAAGAATTTTTGCGGAAATGTTTTTGTTTTGAAAGTAGAGGAAGGAAATTTACTGTTAGCCGTTGCACGAAGAAAAAAATATAACTGGTACTAAGCCGTAAAAGCCATTACCCTATTGAGACACTCTTATCAAAGAAAGTTTGATGCTTCTTTTTGCCCACAGGAACACAAGTAGAGTATTACATAGACGCCTCCATGGACCTCGTTTAACCTAAAATGTTTGTAATTATTTCGTATACGTGACCGAGCATTACATGGAAATTTCCATGGACCTATTTTTGGCAAGAATGCTTTTTAATATTTTGAATACTTGAATGACCATAACCAACGCACTAGCAATAGATTCAAGAGAAGTTTAATTTCCTGACGACTCGACCGATCTCTTCTATTTACACGTCATTGCCAGTGGTTCCTGGATGGAACGACTAACTGCAAGATTGGAAATAACATAGGAAATACAAATAACAAGAAATATGTATAACATAGGCAATACTAATATCTTAAGAAATACGGGACAGTTGATAAAAGGGCTATCTACCTGACGATTTTGGAATACGGCTGACATAAGGACGTACTCGCGAATACATTTCAATTCTAGCTCACACCCTTTTTATTATCATGATCCACGCGAAAGTTAAACTTGTATGGATAACCGCGCAGACTGGGGCTAGGAGGGGGATTGGTTTCTACAATGATTGTGACATGGAAATTTCTATAAACCCGTTTTGGGATAGAATTTCTGACACCTTTTTTTCACAAAAGCCAGTATTAAACAGAAAATTCAATTCATCCATTTTAGTCGAGAAGGTTTGCTATTATTATTATTATTATTTTTTTTTTTGTATGAAAGAGTATTACATGCATTGCTCCAAGTACCGGTTTTGGTCAGAAATGTTTGATACTGTTTTAATTTGTATGTGTGAATGAGTATTACATGGAAATTTCCATGGAACATTTTGGCGAGAAGCTATCATATTGAAATCGTAAAAGTATTACATGGAAATTTGCATGTAACCGTTTAGATTGTTTAAGAATGATTGATACTGTTTGTATAGGTGAATGGGTATGACATATAGATATTTCCATGGATATTTCTACGAACCCGTTTTGATTAAGAATATTTGATACTGTTATGTCCACGTGAATAAGTATCACATGTACATGGAAAATTCCATGGACCTGCTTTGGCCAAGAGTTTTTGAAACAATTTTTTTAACGCGTAAATGAGTGTCATATGAAAGTTTCCATGTACCCGTATAATCTTTTCAATAATGATTGATGTTGTTTTGAATTCGTGAAAGAATGTAATTTGTGGTAATCCTAGTCAGCATAAATTAATATTTTGCCATATCTCTCCCGTGCCGGGAGAGATATGGGATCGTGGTTTGTGAGTAGACTTCGTTAGTAGGGCAAGGCATTCCACGGTCAGCCTTCACCGTGTTTAGTTCTTCGTTTTCGTTTTCGTACAAATTTAGAGCTGTACTTACATACTACCTTAAGTTACTGTGTATAAAATGTCATTCATAGGATGCCCTAAAACCCCAAGGGTGGCACCGCTACCTTGGTTGAGGGTACACGTTCCCCTTCTTTTTCACCTGCTGATTTTTAGGGGTTTTCGTGTCCGGCTTTTATGCATTTACTTTACTTCAATCGTAAAAGACTTCTGCAAGCACATCGATTTGGCGTTAAATAAACAGTGATTTGGCCGGCCAACGCGCCCAGACATCAACTCTTTGTGTGCCCGGTTGAGTAGTGGAGGCAAAATGTGTTAAGTGGAAATTTCCATGGATCTTTTTGGTGTGGCACTATTATGTTGAGATCGCAAATACTGCTAACAAGTTTTCTTTCAAAAATTCATCAACTTTTCAATAGCGTAGTTAACCATTTGAGAGATACATGTGCAGCTGTTAGTACAAGTTCTCATGATATTAGTGTGTCGTTCACCACACTAACTGGAAAAGTAGACGCTACCATCTCATTTTTTTTCGCTGTTAGACAACAGGTTGACAGAAAACAATAAAAATGTTTTGAAATAAACTGAAATAAACATAACTCATGATGGTCCATTGAATCATTGAGATAGTCGATTGGGCCTTAAGTCTTAGTTCATGGTCTGCCGATTGGTGACTATAACGTTTTTTTGCCTTAACCTATCAATTATACCATAGCAAAGTTTGACTTTTTTCCAGATTTCTTGCTTCAGAAAATCTGTACTTAAGAAATTACGTGTTGTTTTTTACGTGAAATGTTTCAGAATCCTCACAGCCATCCCATGTGTTGAGCATCCTAATTTATGCAGCCGCAAAATTTGGTGCTAAGGAGTTCATGGAAATCATCTACAATTCCTCTGCTGGAGGACTGGTATTTAATTCTTACAAGGACAACGCAACTTTGCCAGAGTCTGTTGCGAGGGATTTTGGTAACGAAGAGATTGCAAATTACCTTGAAGAAATAACAAAGAGGTAAAGTTTTTTAAAGTGCAGTAGAAGAAGCGGTAACTACAATGCATCTGCCTTTCTTTGGTCTTTTTCAACTCGGTCTATTATTCGCAGCGTGGTCAGCTGAGAGGTTTCTTAGTTTCAAACTGCTATTCACCTATTTCTGCACCATGATCACCACGATCAGTAAGTAAAAGCTCTATGGAAAAAAATGACAAAGAGGCAAAGAGTAGACACCTAATGCTCAACTGCACCTTGCGCACAAGTGCAACAATTGTTAACCCCGAGGTTGCTTTATCAAAATAGGTGCCAGATATCACAATCCAATTATGGTAATCAAACTCCTTATTTTGTGAAAAATCTCTACAGTATTGAGTATCTTTGAAGTCTCACTGTTGTAAGTAAAGGAAAATGATCGTTGACGTGAGCTCATTGCGATTTGCACCTTTTGTATTGCTCCCTGAGCAGATTCTCTCAAGAGATCCAGAATGGTAAACAGTTTAGTGAGACGGTGGATTGGTCAGAGCTCGTGAAAGCTACTGAGGAAGCCCAAACGAAGATGAGTAAGTAAAAGGGTATACCATTGAGTCCACCAAGTAATATTTGATACTAAACTTGAAATGACGCAAAAACTTTATTACTTGAAGTTTCTTTTTTACATCGTTCTTAATTCATTGACCACGTATTTTTACCCCAATTACAAACAGATCAGGATACTGACAAAAAACACGTCATTCGGGTGGAGAGTGGCTATTCGGCGGATGTTGAGTCATTATCTAGTGCATCATCTAGTGCATCATCTGACCAGGAGCACTCTGATTGTGATGGTAACATTCCAACCATGTATTACAAGACCGCTTATTAAAAAGAAGTTTAACCATTATTTGGCAAACCACGTTCTAATTAAAGTTTACGATAGCCAAGCGTTCTATCTAAACGTTGATTTCTGTGAGCAGGTATTTCTGTTTAAATAACCGGGCTGTAACGTTTGGTAATCTCAAAAATTTAGAAAAAATTCTTTATACTGAAATAAAGAATACTTTGGCAATTACCTTCGGAAATTAACAACTTTATATGGACAAATGTCTAAGCATATAGTTTGTTGAGTTTGAAGAGCCACAAGTATTATGGAAAAACATTGAAGACAATTTGTAAGTTACACCATAAACTAAATCAATTGTAAAAGCTGTTGCAAAATAAAAGAAAAAAACTTATAAGGATCCAAACAGTTAGTTAAACAGACTAGTTTCTAATGTAATTATACTATATTTTTGAACAATTTTTGATCGGCTCTTTTTCATCTTCCTCTCTAGTTCCTTCCTCAATCGATAACTTGGAATGTGGTGAAGATAAAAACGAGAAGGAAAATGTCATCTCAATGGGAAGCAGTGGAGAAGCCTTTGCGTCATTCACAGCAAAGTCAAGGCGAACTAAAGATGGTTCTAGAGATTCTGTTGTAGGCAAAATTGACAAAGGTATATCCCAATACAATTGCCGTTTCTGCGGCGATTAGAAAAAGAACTTGTTCTTCATTATAATTATAAAAGAGATTAACAATTTCCGAGTTCAAAGAGCTCCTCTGTAAAATCCTAACGTGAACATGAATATCTGTGCATAACCTTTGATTTATCCTGCTAAGCATTATTGACAAACGTATAAGCATACAGTTTGTTGAGTTTGGAGAGCCAGAAGTATTATGTGAAAACATCGAAGACAATTTGAAAGTCCCATCGTAGACTAATTCCATTGTAAAAGCTGTTGCAAAAAAAAAAAAAAAACTTATAAGGATCCAAACAGTTGGTTAAACAGACTAGTTTCTAATGTAATTAGACTATATCTTTTATCAATTTTTGATGGATTTTTTTTTTCATCCTTCTCTCTGGTTCCTCCATCAATCGATAACTTGGAATGTGAAGATGAAATCGAGAAGGAAAGTGTCATCTCAAAGGGAAGCAGTGGAGAAACCTTTACGTCATTCACAGCAATGTCAAGACGAACCAAAGGTAGCGCTAAAGGTTCCGTTGTAGGCAAGATTGACGAAGGTACATACCAGTATAATTGTCGTTTCAGTCCGCAGGGAGCAGAAAAAGAACTTGTTCTTCATTATGATCATAAAAGAGATTTACAATTTCCAAGTTCAAAGAGCTCCTCTGTAAAATCCCAACGTGAACATGAATATCTTTGCGTAAGCTTTAATTAATCCTACTACTTGTTACATTAAACAGTGTATAGGACGTATTTTGCTTTGCTTCTGCCTTGAAGTCATGCATTGTGGTGAATCGTAGCTGCTCTAACAATGATATGGGTAAGTTGTTCCTAAAGACTCTTTTTTACATTACAATAGCCGACTCGGATGTCAATGCGTCATGGGACTATTTTGAGGTAATTGTCGTGAGTGTGTTATGTTCTGTTTGCTTAAAGCTAAAAAGCTGCATTTTTTCCGAACAGTTTAAGTTAAAAATTCATATTTCCTAAAAAAGAAAACTCAAATGTGAATTTTACTTATTTAAGGGGACTTGAAAGTCGACCGACTTGTCGAGATATTTTGAGAAAGGCATGTTAAAACATCTGTAACCACTGAAGGATCGTTAAAAAATTTAATGACGAGGCCTTTGTTCTTCAGCAGCTATCTGGGTTTGAAGAGCAAATGTTTCTTGTTGGACTTTTTGTTTAGACACAAACGACTGATTTTTTTTGCAATTTCTGACATTATTCAAACCGACATTATTCGACACAAACAAGTGTTTTCTACATCTATTTTAAGCGTTGTCTCTGGTCAAGAATAATAAGTCGTTGTATTATGTCCGATTGGAATGCTTTTCAGTGCCCCCTGTGGCTTGAATTCGGATGATGATTTGGTAGTAGAGAAGATGTGTTGGTCTAGTATCTGCTTCTAGAAAAATGCGAGTAATACACACGAAAATGCAATGCAAGGAAATACCAACGAAAATGCAAATGCAAGAAAGACAAACAAAATTGAAAATGCAAACGCAAGAAATAAAGCATTTTCATGTGCTTTCACTAGCGTTTGCGTTGGCTTTTCACACTTCTGAAACGTGGTAATGCAAAGCAAAATCAATGCAAAAAACTAAGGTTCCATCTCACCACTGCACAGTTCAAACAAGACGGCCTCGACGTCTTGTTTCACAATAAAGCTTGCCCAGAAATTTAAAGTAAAAGTAGAGACGAGTCTTGGTTAGAAAGCTGTGGCCAGAGAAGTAAGCATTAAAGACGGTATGCTGTACGTAAGAATGAAAACATATACAGGAAAAACATAGATGCAATAAAAAAAAAGCCTTGAACCATTACATAAATAGTATAAGCGAACGTTTTCTCCTTAGAATTCTGTAAAGGAAAGCTACAAAGATAAAACTTAGAGCAGTGAACTCTGCGAGAAAAAAACATAAACTATCTTTGGCATTGGAAAAATACTTCCTCCTCTCTTCCTCCTCAACGCTTACGTATCTCACTTTCCTTTTGTTTGCGTTGGACGTGTGAACATCGATTGCATTTGTATTTGCGTTTCATATGCATCGCACGAGTGAACCAGGCTTCACCTCTTACGATCAATTTTGCAGGAAACCAACAAACGTAGGCGACCAGTTTTTCCATTGCGAGCAAAGCTAATCAGATAATTTCATCTGTAAATCGATCAGTGATTAAATGAACAACATGGACAACATGAACAAACTTCTTTCGCTTCTACTTTTTTTTTCAGACAAAATACGACATATCAAACGCCATTTTAAACCGAAGAAATAGATCGATTACGTTCATCCCCGAGAATGGAAAAGAACCAAATAGGAAACAATCAGAAGAAGTCGCACAAAGTTTGTATGAAATTAGTCATAATTTTGAGCAACGTTTGGCGACCAACAATAAACACTGGATGCTAGGTTTCGCAGCAGTAGCAGCAGTAGCAGCCACAGCAAACGGAGCAGGAGGTGCAGCGGCTCTAGGTGCAGGAGCTTTCGCGCTTGGAGTTGTAAGCATTGTTGAAGTTTTCAAATCTCTCTACCAGGAATACAGTAGGTCCGAAAGACCTATGGAAACAGATGACTGAAAGGAATTTACATCATTGCCACCTCGCAGAACAAAAGCTGGGTGTCCCCCTCATTGACATTTTTGCAAGGAAACCAAAATTCAAGGAAAAGCAACGCGAATTCCTGGAATAAAGGACAACTGGAATTTATGATTGAAGACCTCATTAAAATCGAGAAATCTGAGGAGGTGAACATTCTTAAAGAGGCAAATGAAATCGACGAATTGGCTTCAGTGTCAGGCAGTGATCCATGGAACTCGAAATTCTGACTTCTGTTAGGGGAAAATTTAGTGAATTCCCGTGTGTTTTGGAACTTTTTTATTCACTCGTTTTTTCAAAATTTTAGTTCTCATTTCGTACGAGCACTTTCATTGTAATGTTTTAAAAAGATAAAAGCCCACAGTAAGATCTTCCAACTACCAATCAGTACATATCGCTCTGTTCTCGCCGCCTTTCAGTACTTTTGTGATCTCGTTAAAGCGGACATTGTTAAATAAATATTCCTGGCAGCGACCTTTTGTGGTGAATTAATTCTCAGGGAAGTTACCAGCTGAACGTGCGTCCGTAAATTAGTTCCCTTCATTAGATAATTTTCCTCGTTGCCACTTTTTCAAACTGTAACATCGTATAGGTAAGCAGAAATTTTTAATTGACTTCTCACTTTTACTTGTTAAGATATGATTTAAAGTTGTGAATTCGATCTCCGTTCTCTTAGTTGGAATCGATAACTTCAAAGAGACATTTTCCGCTTCTTTTCTGATACTATTCAAATATTGTAGATTTAGAGAACAATAGAAGCATGCTCTCGATAGTACTTAAGGAAGTATCTTGTAAAGTTTTACCGATTACATTGATCACTGTATAGCGATTACATAGTTGAGTGTGCTAGAGATCATATCGGTTGTCAGCATTAACTAGAATAAAGTTGTTGTGGAACCATCCTTGACGTCCGTATCAAGTTCACTTGAAGCAGATATCCATGTACCAAGAAATCGTGATGAGTTTCCGTTCCCGCTGCCAAGTGGTCTTTACTAATTTAATTTGAGGATCCTATAATTTTGTAGTGCGAACCACATTTTAACGAGTCGCATGATTTCGTGCCCGGAATAGATACATCGGACTTTTACGAGGCAGTTGAAACTATTACAGTGTCACTGCATTTACGAAACCCCAGTTTAGCTATTTGTCTGACAACTGTGATATTAAGTATGTCCAGGTTTCTAATTCTAAATGGAACACACATGGCATAAACTCTGATTAGATAATGGTTACGACACATAAAATCCGCACATAATAAAAAACTGATTCAAATTAAATTAATCATTTTGTTGACCTGAGGGTGAAACACAAGTCCAGGAATAGAACTCGAGGTGAGTTGAATTATAGAAACCGCAGAAACGAAGCCTGAAAAAAAAACGATTCAACAGGATTCTGACTCGTGCCCCCTTTTGTTCCCCATGTGAGATGGTCACTCGATGGATACGAAGGTTAGAGCTAGAAAAAGTAAAACGCTATATTTTTATCGAGACGTTCAGAACAGTGAATCTGAATCGCCTTGTTGTTTTGCTGTAATATTACTTACGACGTCACGATACTCTACCGATTGTTCTCTAGGTACATTTGTCATTTCCAAGCTTGAATGCAACATCGACTTTCATGACGAGAAAGTATAAAATCTACCAAGGATTTAATATGATCTGTCATAGGAAATGCACATAAGGCGCGGCACAGATGTAATGTGAAGCAAACTTTTCAAGTAAATACGTATCGCAAAACACTCACTCTTAAATCCCATGGGATATCCGAAAAGTTCACTTCGCTTTGATCGCTTGGCGAAATGAGTAAGTCTTTCTTACAGGTGTTCGAAAATAAGAAGTATTTGTGATGGTACAAACATTGATACACAAAATTTAAGAAATGAATCCTCGTTGACCAAATTACAAATTCGACGCCAGGTCTTCAGGCGGGGTTTCAGTGAGCCCGCAATCGTTTCCGCTGAAACACATTCACGACTAGGGACTAGGTTAGGCGACCCTAAACTGTTTCACTACGCGCAGTTTTCAATTACTTGTCTAAAGAAAAACAGTATCGCATCGACTTTCAATCACTGCGCGGTGTGATTGGTTAACAAATCTCTCAACCAATCAGATGCAAAATCAAAACAAATCGCACCTTCCCGTTTTCCCGCGCATGGAACAGTTTTGACTTTCCACTGGTTCCTTGTGAAGCTGTCCTATATTCTGATTGGTCGTTCAGACTACTCTCATTACAATGGGTTTTACGACACCACGAAAGGCGCAGTCATTCTTAAAAATTTAATTTTTACAGGTCGAACATTACCATGCAAGTCTTTGAACGAGCCTCCAGGTTGCAAAGGAATGGAAAGCAAAGGTACGATACCCCAAAACAACCAAAGTTTCATTACTTGCGTTTTATTTGCGAAAGATGGCGGTATTTCATTAAATACCTCATACGCTGTTAAATAAGCAATCATAAATAACGGCCAATAGGCAATTTATCTACAGCTGACGAGCAAGCTCTCGAGTAAATTAATTTTAGTTAATTGGAGTGAGTTGTATCAAGTGAGAATTTTAAAGCTACATGTAAGAGATCGCATCCGCAATTAGATTTACTTCTAAGTTACTTCTAAGAGTTAATTCTAGCTAACTGTTCACCCTAAGAATAACGTTACAGGCACCAAGCGTTTTGGAATGGTTCGGTTAAGAATGCCCCCGTCATTAAATTCGTGAATCAGTATTGGATATTTCTAGATCCTCTTAAAAATCTCCCTAAATGGAGAGGTGTGTGATCTCTTTGCTATTCCTTCCGGTACAAGATCTTACAAAATAAATTCGTTATGTTCAAGTTTAAATTTAACGACATTTTACCTCCAGCGATGGAAAATACATGTTAAAAGGATGAGTGACTTGGAAAAATGATTGTGTCAGTATAAAGCCTTGTATCGCTGTAATTGAATCGATTCAGGCATAGATCGTATGAAAATCCTATTAGACAAGTGCCTTGCAAAATGCTATTCACAGATTCAAATGGTTTAATTGAAGCTAATATTTAAAGCTTTTTGTAATGAACCTGGAACCATTTAAAAATGTTTGCCAAAATACATTTTTTTCTTCGGCGCCGAAAAAGCGGATACTTAGCTCAAACAAAATGCCTCATAATTTAGCATAACGTCCTCGAAAAACAAAGAATAAAAAAATACCCAAAAAATATTCTCGGGAAGAAATTTTCTAAAATACAAAAGCGAATCCCCCGTACCTTTGAAGAAGATCATTCGTATGACTTCACACTTACTCCCTTTTCATGCTGCATGGAAAATCACACGAGCATAGGAATCTTATACCTCATTCACACCAAAGCTTAAACATGGTTTGAAGCTTTTTTGTCAAACAAGATTTCAAATTGTCTTCTAAATAGAAGCTTCTTCACCCGAAGTTTATGTCTTCAAATTTCGCAAATTCAAAATACAAGTTAGTACCTACTAGAATCCTATGGAAAATTCAGTTTTTAGTTCTGCTTCTGATTATTATTCAGTTAAACCCGGTTTAACTGAACGTGTTTTGCTGGTGTTAATGGGGTATCAAAATCTTTTTTTCAGGTCAGCTCTTAACTTCTTTCGTCGTCTCCAGCTGAACTACCAGAAATATGATAAATCCGATTTGCGCTCAACGAACACTTCCCACTTTGCCGTGTTCGCAACTTGCTTCTGAGGCTATATGTTTTCTCGTGTTTATGAATACCGGTAATATAAGCTCCTGTTTGATCAATTCGTTAACGAAGTTACTGATTTCGAGGCTTGTAAGACACTCAAGACAACTTATGCTGAAAAAAAGGCTCGAGGGATTCACTTCCTTTTCGTTTTCTTCCAAGACCACAGATAACCACAAGCTCAAAATATTATTGTTATTAATGGGCCTGCCCATAAGAGAAATAAGCACACAAGGTGCTTTTATCGCAACTTGACACAATTTGTTTTCAGTAGGCTAACTTGCCATGAAAGGTTTTCTGCTGATGATCTTGAACTTCTTATCCAGGAGATTGACCAACAAAACCGCGACTCAAATGAAGATGGCGGAAACCGTACCGTCTTTATCAATATCGATAAAAGGACGAAATATCCAAAGCTTACTATTAATCTCTCATAGAAAGCGTGGGTTCTGTTTCCTAGGTCGCTTGGCACTGTGATCAGGAATGTCTTCCCAGTAACATAGATTAGCTGTCTCTGTGGCGGAGGACTGTAAAGTAAAACAAATTTCGAAGGACGGAATCAAAAATTGTCTTTGCAAGTCCAGCGGTTATGCATGGAATGAGTCTTCTGGACTTAAGTCAGTATCTGAGCAACAGCGCACCTACCCCTCCCCTAACCCAACATCAACCTTAAGTTGTTATCAGTTGACTGTTTTGGGTTGTTGTTCTCACGAAAACACTTCACCCAGACCTCTTCATATATTGACCATTGAACAGAGATCCCTTTCGCCCAAAGTAGCGCCTCTTTGATGTTCGTTTAAACTTACCAGTCGCTGTTGCACTTTAAGAGGAAGTTCTTCACTTGCTTTGTACACGTCCTCCCGGCGGACGCTTAACCACGAATCATCTTCGAATTCAACCTAATCCAAAACAAAATCGTTTAAAAATTTCTCGTGTTCGTTCAATGTTACGAAGAGTAACGCCAATCGTTACATTGTACGTTCTGTATTTTCGTGTTTTGTAAGTACTGTGGTATTCCTAAACCTTCAGTTAATGGGTGAAATGATGGGGAACATACAGATGTTAAGAGAGAAGTTGTCAGAAAAAAAGCGTAAAAGTGAACGCGACAACCCCGAAATCTGTTGTGGGTAGTCTTCAGGTCACGGTTCCTTGAGCTCGGGATTTCAGGGAAACCTGGAAAATGTCACGGCAAGGACGAGGCATCGCGGGTTTGATGAATTCTGTTAATCATGTATTTATTTGACTTATTAAAATTCATTGGTTACCGGATACCCAGAAGACATTTCGAGATTGCGGCGTGCACTTTCGTCTTTTTTTGCCGACAACCTTTTCTCGTAACAGCTGTATGCGGGAGTATGACTAATTCCGCAGGAACACGTGATCCTATTTGAGCTAATGAGGATAGCTTTGTGGAGTTAATTCCTTCCAGGAGGACCATCCTACCCGTCCAAGTTGCTTTATAAGTAGAGGATCCCCCTTTATCTACCCTTTCTTTGCACCTTAATCGGAAAAAAAACATCTTTGCGAATTTTGTGGACCTCTCATAGAGTCATGTAACTTACATACCTGGTATGTAACGCTTATTCTTCGGCCAGTGACTCTGGCTTTATACAGTCCACCGTCCTCGCTCCACCTGACTTGAATAACCCTTCCTACAGGAATATCCTCTTGTGTGTTGTCATGACCCTACAAAGAACAAGAAAAGCAACATCATTAGTAAAAAAGCTGTGGTCATTCTTCTAAAAGAGCTCAACTACGGTCTGTGCAACATGGGAAATTTATCTTTATTATCTGAGTGCGTCATTTGCAATCTAACTATGGCCACTTTTTTCCCTTCTTCTACCCACTTTGGTCTTTCTCTCTTTCGTCGCACATATTAAGCACTTCGATCAATGAGCAACATTTGAGCCTAGAAACCCTTGAGCCTTAGAGGTCACTGACTTAAAAAACCCGGTTGGCCAGAAAATTCACCGAGTCGCCAGGTCGTTACTGTAGTGCGAGTCCTGCCCGATTCCTAAATTTTTTCGGGCTCACATTTACTTATCTCACTGTGTAGATCAACACTTCAGTACTGAAGTGCTCTAAACTTGCCTTTTTTAATTAGCCCACAAGTAGTGTTTTTGCATGTGATATCTAAACTATTATCATTTATGCCTCATAAAGAGGAGTTATAGGAATATCTTATTTAGCTATAACTATTTCCTCATTTTTTTTTCTAACGATTTTAAACGATTTTTAGAAGCTCACTGATTTTGATCTGCGCATTAAATCATATTTACAAGTATTTTCCGCTATATAAGTTATACCATCATTACAATTCTTATCAATTTTATTATTATTATCATTACTGTTATTTCTTCATTTACCACAAGCTTCTTACCACAATGTCAGTTGGAGGTAAATTATCGCAGTACGTCCCATCATCAAATGACACCACATAATACTCGTCAGTTGTCGTGTCCTGCACCACGCCCCTGTAATATCTGAGACAAATGGAGCAGACCCAAGTTAAGAGTCCATCAAGATACGCAGACTATCTAAACTAACTTGGTAAGTTAGTTAAAATTTACGAGTTGATTTAAGGCACATTACTGTCTCCTCCACCCCTCCCCTGCCCTACCCCACCCCGATGTGATGCTAGTCAATCGCAAATGACCTCACTAACCAAAGGTTTCCTTCTGCCTCCTTACAAGGAGGCTCTGTAAGAGTAGTGAGAAAAACAGAATGCATGGGAAAAAAAAAGTAACAATATTTGAACTGATCTAATTTACCTTCCATTTTTGTGCTTGGCTACAACGGATTCACCGAAATGAATAACAGAGAAGTCTCTCTGCTTTCCCTGAGAAAAAAAAGGGAAAAGATGAAGTTGTATAGGCTATCTTTTACCTTTCCTATTAAAGAAGAATGAAATAATCGTTAGGCAATTTGCGTTACCCCATGAATCACCTCAAAAACCTCTCGTTTGTCCTCAACCTAAAGAGTAGCATTATTTTCAGCTTCCAGAAAAATTACGTCCTTTTTTCTTTTCAACATCTTATCGCTCCGTGTTATGAACAGCGGATCACAGAGCCAAGTAAAAAGCAAATAAGGAATATCAAGGAAATTTGAAGTTTATGATCGGAATACGCTCTTAGTGGCAACAAGGCATTTGCACTACATAAAAGAATCTTACTTTAAATCTTGTTCTCAGATGTCTCTCGCAGTAGGTTTCCGTAGGTTGCGGCCAATCACTTGGCTCCAGCACGAACCCGGCCAAAACAAAGCACGTCACATGAAAGGATACTGCACACTTTCCCGCGCAACATTGTACGCATGCACCATTATCCCTTCCGCTAGCCGTGGAACTTGATCGACAATAAAAACATTTCTAAAGAAACGCAAAAGAAGAGCATGACGCACTGAACCAGGTACCGTGGGACTGACTCGAAAGCAACATAACAGAAAAAGGATAGCGTGACGCATATCATAATGTTAACAGGGTGAAACAAACATACATACATGCCAAAAAATCAGAACGCCACAATGATAGAAACAAGGCGTATAGAGATAAAGTTACCACAATATTATAATGAACGAAAAGGAAAGAACAAAAGTGTTCCACTTACAAGTTTTCTTCTTGCTGAAGTAATTTTATCGATGTTAACTCCTTCCCTAAGATTCACATCGACAAAGAACACTTCAGGTACAGCTACTGCACATCCTATATGAACCCATCTGCAAGAAATGACACGAGAGAGTAGTTGTAAGTGATATTAGGGGCCTTACGCGGTCAAGAATCAAAAAAAATGATTTTTTGTTTTTAGCAAGAATTTCGCAAATAGCAAGAATTTCGCAAATAGCAAGAATTTCTCAAATGGCTGGATATGTTTACCATCTCTTGCGGCGTTACACCCCAACTTCAGCATAACACATGTGCGCAGCGTTAAGTTCCAAAACTTTTAAAAATTTTCCGTCGGGGTTTCCGTTCTAAGACCACATCAATTTTGGTGATTTCACGCTGTTTTTTCAAAACGCACGCGCTCAACTACGGTTCTGCTCACTAGTTCTTTTGTTTTGATCGTTCTGGGGATGTTTGCTCATTGGCCAGTTTGTGATCCACACTTTAATGAATAAGAAGGAGTCCCTATGGAGAAGACTGACTCCGCATCGCAATGATAAGGAAGTTGTCGACCATAAACATGACAAGTTATTATCCTCGGGAACGTTGAAAATACCTGCTGTCTGTTGTCCTCTTCAAAGCACCACCACCCAGTCTACATAACGAGCAATACTGTGGGGGAAAAAAAAACAAACAATCTCATGAGAAATACGAAATAGCCTTTCGATATTGATGATATCAATAGCGAGTTGGCGTCCAAATCTGGCTTTCGTAACATTTTACAGACAGTATTGCACATTTAAAGGGTAGCAATGCGCACATCAAGGTACAAGGTCTTCACCTACTCACACTATTTTCAATGGCTGATTGATCGTCTTGAAGACATCTTTGACATTTCCACTGGCCATCACTTGGAGCATGACTTACACCATAACAACCTAACACAAAATCCAGTAAAAACTCTTCAAACTGATTTCAAACAGCTGGTTGTTTATGTTATGGTACCCTTTATTCCAACAGGCTCTGCCCTGAAGACACATATTTCAATCAACTTTACGTCGATGTATTACTCACTCAAAGTACCGGTGAGTAAATGTTTAGCGCAGTCTCATGAGTTCCTTTTAGAATTTGTGACCGACCTGTACTCTTGAAAGCATATGTATTTCCCCTTAAATCAACGAAACATTATAAGAACACAGCTGTATTTCGCTAAGAACCAGTTCGTGGGGGCCGCGAGACATGGCGGGAGTAAAGAACCTCGACCACAGGGCCACCACGTAACTCACCACAAAATAAAGCAAATAAAACTAACACTCCTCACAAAAAACTCTTTTTCGTCAAAACAACACATTCTTTTCCGTGATACAGTTTTCTACTCACTTGCATGAACAAGTAATTTACATGATGCACATCGTAGCAGAGGACTTGCTGTATCTGTGGTGAACTTTTTGTCCAGCCAAGAGCTCATACTCTCAGGACTGGAGTCGTCCGACATGAAGCAAATCTCTGGTACTTTAGGGACAGACAGCTTTTCGGTTAAACCAGTTAGGTTTATCGTTAAATTGGAAAGCGGTTTGTGGAGATTTTCTCTTAGATGTACTAGCAGATTATCCTGAGAAATAAAACATAAGTGGCTAGTAAGTTTCAGTTGAGGAAAGAGTAGGAAGGTGTGACAGCTGCGCAGCAAAGTAGGCTAATGAAGCATTTAAGGTAAACATACGACTGGTGCCTCGGACTAGCGTGGGAAAATGCAATTGCTTCGAGGCGCAAGAAATTTTAGACTAGTGTTTTGTGTTAGAAATGCACTTGGAAAATCATGCACACGAGTTTGAGAAGAGTGCGATCAATGACACGCTTGATAAAGCAATAGATACAAAGGAGTATCACTCTTCCAAGTGAAAATACGAAATATTTACCCTGATCAGAGTATAACGCACGGATGTTTTCGGCAAAAGACAACGCACGGCAGACCAAACAATCGCCTCGTGTTGGTCATTGCATTGCGTCCCTAATCTCAGCTTTTTCCCAAAAAAAACCTTTCTTACCTCTGATTTTGAGAAGAAGCTACAAACAGAACAATGAGGTTCCTGCTGTGAGAAGACGATGTTAAAAGCCTGTTCCATCTCAAAATTCGGCAGCTGGTGATGCCATAGCCCGTCTAGAATACTAGACAGTATTTTATTGGATGTGCTAGTTTTTCCTCCTTGATCTTTCCGACCTGCAAGTTAAAAAAAATCGAGATTTTGACGTAAAAGGGTATTTCCTCCAAAGAAAGAAGCTTTTGGCCGGAGGGTTGGAATAAAATTATTCCGTTACCTCTCGGCAAATTCTACTTTACCTGGCTTACTTTGAGGCACTTTTTCAAACTTTTACCACTTTTGGCCAGAAGATCATCAGCATTTTGTTACCAACATTAAGACACTTTACCCTTCAACCCCTAGAGTGACTAGTATCTAATTTCTCCTTACAATATCGCCCCTGGATCAAACATGAAGGTCACGAGAATAAAGGAAAAGATCACCAACTAAAGAAGCTTTTGATTGTTAGACAAAATCTCCTTGTCAGCACCTAAGGTTTTGTATACATAACAGTATGGAGAAAATGCATATTGATGTTAGGGTTTAAAAAGGTTAAATCAAGTATATCGAGATTATGTTGTCGAGAAGCTTCTCCAGGTATAATAACTGCAGTAAGTTGCCTCATGGCAGGGATGTTTACTAACTAATATCTATTCAACATCTATCTAAGCCCATCGCTTCTCCTGGGGCATGGGCCGTCAAAAACAGTCCGCCAGAGATCTCTCTTCTGAGAAATTCTTTCTTATTGGCTCCATGAGTGGCCGCTCTTTCTGATGTCAGCCTCAAGGTCATGAAGCCAGGTATTCCATGGTCGCCCTCTTTTGCCCTTACCGTGGGGATTCCAGCAGAGGGCCCGTCTTAGGACATTTAATAGAGTGGTTTAGCAAGAGGAAGGGAATGTCATTTGACAACGGCGCGCGTAGCAAAAATATTGATAAGAAACTGGGTCGAGAACGTCGCCCCGTCGTGTCTCAGAAGAGACTTAGCAGTCGTTGCAACGAACCATCAACGTTGTATTTGTTCTTGAACATCCTCACCTCGGCTCTTTAAAGATCACTATCACCTTTGAATTTTCGGTTTCATAGACGACTAAAAGGACAACGAAATTACCTTCTTTGAGAGTGTAATAAGTGCAAACAGAGGATAGTTTACTACAAGTGAATTGTTAATATGAATCCACAAGGGCGATGAAACTTTGAACTATTCCATTCCAGTTAAGTCTCAAATCTGCCGATTCATCTATCAAATTTTGAAGCCCACTAACTATGTTTTTTTCTATGATTTGTTAAGCATAATTTGGAATCGAAAATGTCGTCGTTTTTCCCCTTGTTTACTAAATATTCTTCTCAATCATGACAGTACACCTCTCTTGAGCACCACCTTCTTATAGTTGCAATGCATTTTGAACGGAGTTATCAGGAGTTATGGCGAAAACATGTAGAAATCAAGCGACCCAAAGACGGAGTTCTTTACGATCAGTTCCCGTTTAACCATGACGTCACCAACGAAACGGTTAGACTGAGGAATAAGACTTGTTTTATTTTGTTTTTGTTTAATTTAATTTTTTTAACGAATAAAGTCTATATTTAGAGCTATTCTCAATTTTTTTTTATCTCTGACTTCAATTCACAGAACACTTTTTAATCACGGTTAAAACGACAATGACAACAAATAACACTGGATAATACAGTAGGTAAGCTGTGTTGTTTCATTTTGATAAACTTCAACATGAAGCAAGTTTCATTTACTGATGAATTCACGATAAAATTATCAGCATCCCATTCTTAGAGTTTTCATACAGGGTTTAAGAAATGTATCAAAGAAAACCCCCTTACGTTGTTTAAAGCCTAGCTCAATTACGAAAAAAGGTAACTGAGCCTGAAATCTTGGATCGCTTGCTAACGAACGTGTTTCCTTTCGGGAATCCAGAATTAACGTAGCGGTAAATTTTCACATGTACACCGAATAAAACAAAGAAAGGGGCCTGATTATCCTGGAAATGAGTTCTGAAATCATTCCAAACAGTATTATCTCGTTTATAAGTGCACAATTAACGCAAATCCTAGGCGTTTTGATCGCGACGGGAAAACCAGCGAAATGACGTTCTGACCATGATGGGGAGAGTGGCAACGCTAACAAGGGAAGTCGAAATAGAGTCGTGTCTAGATTAACCGCGCGCTTTCCTGTTCTGAAATGACGTTCCCGTCCTCTTGCTAAATCATTCTAATGTTGGTTTGCGCAAGGTGTGTCCTATTACTAACTAACAAATGGATCTCATTAGGTACGAACAAGTGAGGTGAAGGTGCACCTTTTCTTTTCTTGGTTTCTTCCATTTTATTTCTTCTCCCAGCACTGCTGGGGACAGTGAAGGATTTTGTAACCACGGGCTGTCTTTTAGATGCAGATTTTCGTCTCTCAAAAGACCCTCTAAGAGTTAATCAAAAACATATTTTAGCTGTTATTTCATTCCAAAGAAATGAAATGCGCATTCAAAATAATACAGTAATGATTCTTTTTAATCTGTATGTATAGGGCCAAGGAGGCCTTCGAACTACTTTTATGAGGCATTCGATCGTACAATTGGAACGGGAAATTATTCTTTCAACAAATTTATCACGATTTTTCGGCGGGTTTAACGATTTTTTTTACGAGTTTTTTTTGTGATTTAGAGGCACTGGGGTTGAAATCCTCAAGGGGAATGTTGATTTTGATTTGTTCCGCGTCAGCGATAAATGCTTATTGCCCTTCTTTAGAGCGCATTCCAAATTCATCGTAAAACTAGAAGCAAAAGAAAAAAGAAAAAAAGAAAAAAAACGGAAAATCAGAGAGAGGGAAGATATCGCAAGTACCCAATCAGAATTTCAAGTAAAAACAAGCAATCTTCGCGAAGGGCAGAAAAAAGCGAGAGATCTCCGGGCTAATTATCGAGCGAAAAAATGCAAACTAACTCAGGGTAATTTATCATTATCAACCGAGTTGATAACGTGAATTGGCCGCCTTAAAGGATTTCAAGCTGACGTTTCGAGCATTAGTCCTTCGCTCTGACGAGGGGCTAAAGCTCGAAACGCCAGCTTTAAACTCTTTACGGTGGCCAATTTACGTTATTAACTCAGTTGATAATACTTAACAACCTTGCTATACCCTCCCGCTGAAACAGCACCCCGGTTTCTTTAAAAAGTTACCCCCTTCCTTCAAAACTAATTCAGTTGCTTTAGACAGGAAACGTTCTCTAAATACCTTGCTAGCGTTTCTTTCAACTTAGCAAGGGGCATGTCATCATCGACATCTATAAGAAGACCCTCTGACTTGATTTTTTCTTTCCCCTGCGCTCTATCTTTTTCGTTTTTCTTTTTCTCGTTCCCTTCCTCGTGTTGCTCTTCTTCCTCGTCATCCTCGCTGTCACTGCTGTCGTCATGTTTGGACTTCAGATACTCTTCCCACTTGTCTGGCTGGAAAATCAACAACAGCCTTTAATGTTAATACACTTTAATTCAAGTAATAATAATGTTCACAATGATGGCAATAAAAAGCGAAAGTAAGCAATGGATGTTCCACAAGGTGGCCCTTCTTAACCACTGTTTCCAGGTCGAACCGGAATTTAGAATGTAGAATTCAGTGGAGGAAGGAAAACCATAGGACGTGGAGAAAACCCTCGGTTACTAATGGATTGCGTATCTTGTCAAACTTCGGCTTAATTTTTCAAGCCCTCCATTTCCAATATATCCGTTTTCTCTTCATCCATGGCCAGCTTTGTCCCTACTTGCGTTTTTATTGTCTCTTCGAAGATTTTTTTAATTGTTTCTCTCTTAAAACTAATATTTCTTTTTCTCCCTCAAGTGGAGGAAATTTTCGCAACGATTACTCTAAATACTACAAGGCATTGTGTTAGTCATTTATTTTTACTTTGTTGAGCTAACTTACTTGAAATGTCTTAACGAAGACATCCATGCAAATCTTAACGGTGTCCTTTTTACACATACACTGAAAGAAATCAAATACAAGGTTACCAATGTCAAGGAAGCCAATTTGCAGCTCGATACAAGGTTAAAATCCCAGAAAGGGCATCCTCACAAAAAAAAAAAAAACATTACCAAAGATGATCATCAGAACTATTGAGGAAAGAATCACGGTATATCCTCACTTCTATGCTCTTTTTTGAGTTTTCATAACTCTGTCCTACTAATAAGATAACGAAAGTAAATACATAACATAAGAGTATTGTAAAAAGTCTACTACTCACAACTTGTGCTTTCTTTCCAAAATCAATCCATCTTTCAGACGCAAAATTCGTCGACTCAGCACAGTTAAAACCATTGTTAAAACCACAGTGATAGCCATAAGGAAAGGTGATCATAAATTCGCCAGCTTCTTGTGTTATCTGAAAACGAACAAGGTATTTCAGATTTCATTGTAAAATAGGTACATCTAAATAGAGGTGTAGATAATCACTTGCTTTCGAGTGCAGTTTGGGATAAATCAGCACAAGTAAATTTTTCAGAGGCTAACCAAATTACTAACTTATCTTAAATTGCATGATATAAACAATTTGGTTCCTTGTTAATAATATAAGAACAAAAATTGAAGTCTGTTTTCCAAACTAGTTGTGTTTAGACTGTGTCATGGCTCACTGATTTGGCCGTATAGCTTTGCATTGTTGTCGGAGTAGTTGGGCTCTTCCTTTAAGAACTTGCTCTGAGCTTTTAAAATCTCTGTTACGAATAATTGAGCGTTTGTACTCTTTCTCTGATAGGTATTGTTCAATAGCAGTAACCATTACACGAAGGCTGTCAAGCTCGTAATCTTCCCCGTCTTTCTTACGAAATGTTGTGAAAAACTCCGCAGCAATTTTGTTCAGGGCCTCCGTCCTAGCCACTTTTGGAAGCCCACGACTTCCAGACCTTAAGCCGGTTTATTGTGCTCTGTTAGGTGTTTTTGGTTACTAGCATCCTCCTTCAAACTCTAGGTTAAAATGTTGTTCCTTTCTCCTACCTGTCCGCCATCTTTTTTTTTTTTGACCACTCGAGACTTTCTCGTCAATGAATTCAATTTAAACTGTTTTTACCAAATCTCAACTTCTTGTTCTGTTTAAGATTAATTAACGCGTTTTCAACCACTTCATATGCTAAATTTTTGGCGCACATATTACTTTGAAGAGAACGCCTTGAAATTACTTCCAAACTTTGCTTTGCAGACGAAGACCTAGGCGCTCAAAAGGTGGATATGTAATTGTTAAGATACCTTATCATATGGTATTGAAAACTTTCTAAGCACTTGGGGTGAGATAATAGTCATCTTGTGTCTAAGAAACTGGGAACAGCTTTGAAAGCTTCCGGGAAAGAAACCTGTAGGAAAAAAGTTGGAAAGCATAAAGATTGAAGGTTAAGGCTGGCTACAGTCTATATTTATTACTTATATGAGAAAGCGCAGAATCTAAAATCTTTGCAATTCTATCCATTACCCATTTCCAAACCTGCCGTTTAATAACTTTTCACCACATCTTTTTCTCAAATTCAACACTGTCACGTGAGTCACGTCGATGTGTGACAGCAGTCTCATCACCTTACTGTCGCACTTTAGTAGTGCAGGAAAGACCACAGAGGATATCGGAGAGAATTTTGGTCCCGAAGTTTGACGGAAATTGCTTTCCTTACATGCTCCAACTAGAAGAATTCCAAGGCGAATTTTGTCAAACGAACAAATGGTAGCCCAGAAATTAAACGGATGGGGGAAGAGGGCTTATGATCGACATTTTTCGGCCGAAAGGACCAAATTTCCTCTCTCGTTACTTTTGCACCATACTGTAAAAAGTTCTATACAGCTTCACAACTTAACTACGAGCATTCCAGTTTTTCCCCTCATTGCCAATTTTTTCTCTTTTTCTGGTGAGAAAAGATCGGGTGGAAGTACGAGGAAAAGAAAACAGATGAGAAGGGTTATAATCAGGGATTTCAGTAACTTTTTCTGCCGATGGTGTAATAGGCAGCTGTGCCCAATTAAGAGGCCGTAATGCGAAATCTAAACACGTTTACTTACCTGCAGCAAGTCTTTCCAAGCGCTGGCCATGTTCGGGAGGGATTGCATACCTGAAAAATGTAGAAAAAATCAGACTAATGTTGTCAATATTTACGGTGTGTTTGATTCCCTTCAAAAGCCTATTACTGAGGACATGTACATAATATTTTCCCCAATAAGCCTTGATCATCATTTGTTAACAAACATTTCAGTAACTGAGTGAGTTCTCACCATGTCTTTGGAGCTCCAAAATGTAAGTAGTTTATACTGTAGAGATCCATATCCTCAGTATGCCATGCAAATGTAGCTTTCCACATCCCAAAGTACAAATACGGGGTGTTTACTCCCTCAATATGGACTCCATATTGATTCTTGATCAAATCAAGAATTGTTCCTAATCTTCCTATGTTCCATTCTTTCACATCCTTGTCGTACACTGTGCCAGGAATATCAGCTGCGTAAACTGGGTTGTTGAATGTCACGTTTTTCCAGTATTTTCTTTCAATCTCATCTTGATCTCCCGTGGGAGGTCTGTGCCTGAAAACAAAGATACAATGGAGTTCAACAAGACTTAGAAAGTAAAAGTACTTGTTGGGAGTGAAAAAACACTCAGCAGCTCCAGTGAGCTCCACTCATTTCCCCATTATGGGAGGTGTAGGGCACCCATGTTTCACTTAGTCCTACCCCCTCAACGCCACCCTCTTTTCTGGAACCATATGAATTCCATTCAAGGTAACTCACTGATTCAGGAAAGATCACTGAGGGTGTTGAAATAATTCAAACACATCTAATCAATCGTGATGGAGTAATTTGACTTGGCAAACCCAGCTTTGAAGGGGGGAAGGGGAAAGGAATTAATCTCAACACATCCAGATTAAAAGTCGTTTACAAAGGCCAATCGTCAGACAGGTTCCAAAACTAGACCCAGTATAGGTGACAGAGGAGTGAAAATTAGGTTCTATCACTTCCTGACAAGCTGACAAAAAATTCCAGATCAAACGACCTCGTTTTAAAGAGATTGTGTCCTCTTCTCAGCACTTGTGCGCCAACTCTACAAAACCTCATAAGTTCCAACATCATAAAACTTGTTTTAAATGTGTCTCCTCACACCAACGTGTACCTTTCACTGTTGGCAAGTTTCTTGAATTCACTAAAAGACATTGCCTTCTTCTGCACATTGAACAGCTGGAACAGTCCTTTGAAATAAGCAAGACATAACATACACTACTCAGATGGTTCAGTGTAATTATCATATTCCTTAACAATTCAAGATTAATGTCAAGCAAAGTAGGAATACCTCTGACTGACAGAAACCTTTGTAACAGCAACAGATAAAAAATGATCTTTGGCACAGTTGTGCAAACTATTAATGGTGAATCCTTATGATGTAATAGACACATTTTTGAGTCCTTGGGCAAAACTGGCCGTCTTGAAAATAAAATAATGGATTGCAAAAGTCAACCAAGTGGAAGAAAATGTAAAAACCTTCCACATGGTTGAAAATGCAATGAAAAATAAGAAATACCAGCTGTGAACATTATTCAAGCTCAAAGGATTTTATTCATTCATTACTTAAAAACTTCTTGGACTGTTGCATATCCTTTGCTTTTTTCCATTCCTCTCTTGCAAGTTACTCTAATACTTTATGATTTCAATCCTGTACAAACCAAGCCAAACTACATGTAACTAAATGAGTAAAAAATTGTAAATCACAGGACATTCTATATAAGCCTCAATAACTTGCTAGTTGCTCTCATACTATGATCTGAGGTGATCGAGTTGAAATTCTACCCAAGATGTCAAGTTCCAAGTGATGACATTGTATGGTGTAATTAAAGAAGGTTTAAAGCTAAGGAACTTTCAAAATCAGTTGTCACATCAGTCACAAAAATCAAACAATCAATGGCAATTAGTGAGTTTTTTCTCAAATTTAAGAGGTACACATAAATCAAGCCCTGTGTGTACCATAATATTAAACCAAGTGAAATACAATGAATCCAAAACTGGAAAGCCATGTGACTACCTTAAGTTTAATTAAAGATATAATAATCTGTGAACTTTTATGGTAGGTGGTTTTAGTGTCAAGTTTCCAGACAAATTATTGCACGTTCTTTGCCTGATCTAATCTGCTGACTGAAGCAAATGGTGAGGTCATAAAAGGTGACTCATGTTGACTGGGTGAAGATCATGGTGAAAACTTTTATGGTAGGTGGTTTTAGTGTCAAGTTTCCAGACAAATTATTGCACATTCTTTGCCTGATCTAATCTGCTGACTGAAGCAAATGGTGAGGTTGTGCAAGTAAATCAGTCCAGTTTACTTGCCAGCTAGCTCTTAAAAGCAGTCCTGGAAGGAGTGACCATTTTTCTTAGTATGATGTTAAAAAAAGCATTGGTTTGATATATTGTTGCCTTAAAACTGTACAGAGAGGCCACAGTAAAAATTTTATCAAACATCAGTTTCTTTTACAAGTAACACAGACAGAAACTAAGTACTTTATTCCAAGTACTTACAAAAAACTTGTGACATTGTTGATCCAAACAGTATACAGCAGCTATGTTGCCTACAAAACCAGGGCTCAACATAAAAGGCCAGTTATTTACTCAAGGTCTAACCCAAACAATGGTTTTACACAGTCTGTGGGCTTTCACCATAAGAGGGTTGATTTAATGAACTGAATGTCCACCCACTGTTAGCTTTTGACCGTCTTGACACAGTTCACAAAAATAAATGTTCAGATAAAAAGTTCAGCTAAATCAAGTATTGTTAAGGATGCAGTATTGTTAAAAAAAGACTAAACTTTGTTTAAATAACCTGCCTAAAGTCTCTACAGCTCAGTGGTAAAGCATCAGAGCACAGAATCTGAAAGTCTGAGTTTAAACTTCTCACAACCTTTTTTTTTATGTCACGTTTGAGGCAACACAAAAAATCTCCTTTACAGATGCCCCCATCTTAATGTGATGGTTCCTTAGAGACAAAGGACTCTTTGATTAGTAACTTCAGTCTTTTGTCTTTTACAAGGTTTAACAAAAGCCAAATGGAACTTTTTTCGGATGACATCACCTTCGCATCATTACACTGACATACAACCCTTCTCAGTTTTCATAAATATGGTAAAGAGTTAGAGGAAAGTAGCAAAAGGTTAATTGTCATGAGGAATGATTAAGCTAAAAATAATAAACAATACCTGAATTTTACACATAGGCAAGGGAAGGTGAGATTTGAAGTTTTCCCTTTTAAATTTGTGAAGCATGAAATATGGTTTGAAGTACAAGTGACTTGTTTATTTTTCTAAAATTTGCGGGTGAAATAGGATTAGCCACTTAAAGATTGAATTTAGCGCTTGACTTCAAAGATAGCTTTTTCACTTTCTCCACGCTAGACCCTAAAATCTTCCAGTTCCTCTTTTACAGGTTTCTAATCAGTAAACCATCAATAATACTTAGCAGCAACTTCATAGCTAAAAATTGGCACGTGACGATCGGAAAAGGTGGGTCTATAACCTTTGTTTCCACATTTCTAACCTTTAAGGTAAATCGGAAATAATTATTAACGGGTGGTAATTAAAACTCTTAACACAAGTCTTGAAATAAGCTACTTTTTGGTCACCACAATGGAATGTTTCACTTTGCAATTTAAATTTCTTCAGGATTACTTTTGTGAGGTTTTGATGACTTCGCTAATTAACAATAGGAACTAATCATCTACAGATGCTGCGGAAATGAGGCACAAAACCAGTTCGTTGTCGGAAGAAAACGTGGTTTGCATTTTAAAAACCACGAGTTCACTGATACCCATGGATGCTAAAGTTAACTGTGAACAATAACACAATCATAGACCTTGGTAGAAAGTATGTAAACACCTTTTGCAGCGCCTGTTAAACGCAAGTGAGTTGTTTTTGTTTCGCTCTTAAGTATTAAATGCTTCATTGAACCTGGCTGCAAAACATTTCAACAGAACGCAGTTTTATGCAATTGCCTGAGTGACAATGAAACTGTAGCTAAGTTCTGTCTTTTCACTCATAATCTAACATATGGCTGAGTACAAATTTATTGTCGTGTATGAAATTTCGAACTTTACTTTACTGACTATCTAGTGTGAAACAATTAAGACTTATATTTTGCGCCTATGAAAATAAGCTTAGCTTACTGTCACGGAACCATTTCTGGTTCTCGTCTTTGTCGAGTTAAAAGCTCACTCTCACCTCGAGCCGACATTTCCTTCTTAATGGAGAATTTGAATTCGATAGTGAAATTTATCATGTCTCTTGTTTAGAGAAAATGGACCACTAAGCTTATTATTTTAGCTCACTAAGTTTTTCTTTCAGTACACCTTGGGTTTCAACCTACCTTGAGTGCCAGTTACAACTTGTAATATTGGCGCCGGAATCATAGTGTCTATGTCTTCATAACTTTTACGAGGAACCCATTCTTTGGGAGGTATGACCTGAATATAATTCAAAGAGAACAAATACCTTCACAAGCTGTTTATTAACTCGGTGTAGTCTTGCTATTTTTCAACACGTGTGTTCAAACTGGACGCTTTGTAAACAAACGAAAGCTTTAAAATAAAGAAAGGTTCAGGCCAGTTTTATACCGCTAACCTTAGCAACACCAGCTCGATGAGCTCCCATCTCTTCCATCTTACGAATATAAGCGGAGAAATCCGCAAACTCTTCCAAAGTTGGACGAAACACCATAATTTTGTTCCCCTCTCCTGAAGCCATCTTTCGTCCTTGGGTTTTGTATGCACAACTCGACTGGTCCCTCAGATTTCTCAATTAAAACCACTCCAATCCGCGGATTAAGTTCGAGGGCCTACATAATCACGTTTCCTGCTTTTCATTGCGACGTGCCAAATGTAAGGAAACGCTGAAAGTTTTTCGTTTCGCCCACAGAAACTTTTTTTCTCTGTGATGTTTCTTTGTTCGCGGCTTTCTGTTGTGACATGAGCAACTTGACGTATTAGCCACGCCTCCGATCAAAAATCTTCCCTAGTGGGGATGGGAGGGGATCAAAACAACTCTGAGGAAACACTGGGAACGACACGAACCGCGTAATAAGGAACCGGTAAACAAAGCGTTGGAGTGCAGCAGGTGTGAAAGTAAGACTCGTTTCTCGTTTCCAAAACGTTTCCTCGGCTTTTCTGCAAGCGAATCAAGCGGTTTGTGTTGAGGAATAGATGTAGAAAAGAAAGAGCTAAAATGGCCGCCAGTGCGGTCAACTCTCACCGCGTACCCAGGTAAGAAAGACGTTCTTGACAGCGTTCGAAACTAAACAATTTAAAAAGTGGTGATTGTCTCCAGGTTGTTTTGTAAGTTTTAACTTAATTCGACATGGTTGGTAACTTGAAGTCGTTTCTTTGAGAAGTCATTTCTTTTTAGCTTAGGATAGAAATCTTTTATATCATGTCAGCATTTTGACAGCGATAAAACGAACTTGCTAAAAGTGGAATTTGCAGATAAGCGACCTGTCTCTGAACTTTCGTTCACATTTTCCTGGATGTATTTTGTGTATTATGGTTGTCATGCAGGATCCATCACGTTCAATTAGTTAAAAAATTCTGCCTTTGACCATTTGTTTTCCTTTGTATCTCAAACAAATCTTGACAGTGCGCTCAGCAGACGAAACTCAAGCCCGTTAATTAGATTATCGAGAAGAGGGGAATCGCGGGCGTAAATTGTCAATAACCCTTGTGGAATATAAATGTAAAGTATCAAATACTGGCATTTGTGTTTTACATACTTAATATAGACAGAGAGGAGATCAATAGTTTATTTTAATTATCAGTTGCTTGGAATTTAATAGGCTCAAATCTGCTTATCGAGAAGAGGGGAATCGCGGGCGTAAACTGTCAATAACCCTTGTGGAATATAAATGTAAAGTATCAAATACTGGCATTTGTGTTTTACATACTTAATATAGACAGAGAGGAGATCAATAGTTTATTTTAATTATCAGTTGCTTGGAATTTAATAGGCTCAAATCTACTGCTTATGGCATCCAAAAAATTATTTTTTTCTACCTTTAATGCACCTCTTTTCAAAGAAAGAAATGGTTTGGAGGCATTCTAAATGTATCTTGATGTAAATTTTTTCTCTTTTCTCATCCTAAGAGGACTATTGTCATCTCTAATTATTTTGCATGTAATTCTCATGTGATATGATTGAGAAAAATCAAATCAAGCCCAATTTATAGCAAGATCAGAATGATTGTATCCACAATTAAGAAGGGGTATGCAATGCATTTGGCATAGAGGGCATACTGCCAAACTTAATCATCAAGACTGTAAACATTAACATAATCAGAATCATTTCAAAATGATCATAGATTTTCATGTGATTGTGATGATCATGTGTCACAGTGGCATCATGAAATATATATGCCTATGGATGGTATTGAAAAAGCATTTTCATGTTCATTGCTGTACTTAGGAATTTGGGGCTGGTATTTTTATGATTGTGATGATGAACATGTGTCACATAGAATCTATAGCTTATGGATGGTATTGAAATAGCATTTCCATGTTCTTTGCTGTGCCTAGGAATTTGGGGCTAGTATTATTCTCAGGTGGCGTAGACATGTGCAAGGCATATTTTGCAGCCTTGTACAAGTCAATATCACTTGCTCATGTGAACAGCCCTTAAGAAATGACTTAACTGTGGAAAAGTACTGAAGTCTGCTAACTGATTCTTAAGACTGGAAAAGAATAAAAATAGAAACAGCATCTTTAAAATTAAAAAAAACAAACAAACAATTGGGTGACAAATCCAAGTCTTTCCCAGAAGGGTAATAGGTGCCATGATTGCTGGATGATAATTTTCTGTGGGAGATGGTTTGTGAGGTGGACTATGGGTCAAGAAGTTACTGTTCTGAGACATAGCCAGGTGTTTGTCTTGTGTTTCTGGGCAAGACACTTTAATCTCCTAGTCTCTCTCTCCACCCAGGAGTATTTTGTACTGAATTGTAAAAGGGAGGGGTGCTAGAGGGGTCCTTGGTTGGAGTGCTAGAGCAAAAGGCTTAGTTAGAGGAGTCCTGGGGTACCTGTGACCCTCCTTTTGTAAGCCTTTTTAGTCACATTGAGTAAAACACTGTGTGAAGGTTGACATGATAATCTGGTGAGTACCCTCTGTTTGACAAAGTGTGATCCCCCCTTTGAAAAATCCTGTCAATGCTTGTGTAGAGTGCCACAATTTTCACCCAGTATATAGTTTGTAATCCTTTGTTAAACATCCTCAAGGACTCGCTAAAGATCCTCCAAAGATTCTCCAAAGAACCTAGCAAAGTTCCTTGTGAGGATCCTTCAAAATCCTCAAGGGCAAAAAAAGGGGTTTCAAATTTAAAATAATTCACTCTAAATTGTTTACAGTGGTGATGTGGATGAAAAAGTGTTAGCTGATGCCATTAAGATGACAAATATTGCTGTCAACCTGTGTTTGTCAAACAAGTTCCTTCAAGCACAAGCTAAACTGGAACCATGGTAATCAACAGTGTACCTTACCTGTACTCTAAGCAAATTTTAGAACTTGAATTGGCCCTCAGATTGTCCATACAATACTGGGATCAATGTTTGTATCTAAGCAACTGCCCACCAACCCCTCCCCTAACCCAACATTAAACCCTAACTTGTTATCAATTGACTGATGTTGGATTAGGGGAGGGGTAGGTGCATGGTTACTCAGATACTGACATTGATTTGGGTACTGCATCATCAATAAGGCTTTGCATTTGAAGCTGAACTAATTTTGACTCTGGCATAAAATTTGGATGCTTTTACAGTGTCATGAATAAGACCAAGTAAAAGTGAAATTGAGATTAATCCTCATTTTCTGTAAAATTCAATGGAAATTCACAGTCAATGTTTGTGATAAATTTCACTACTCAATATGTAGCCTTTGGGTCTTTTTTTTTAATTTTCGCAGATTAATGATAGAGATGACTTGAGATTTTCTTGACTGATTTTAGGATAAATGAAAGCATGTACCATGCTCTTGGTTACAGCACCATCATGTATCTCCAGGCTATGATGACATTTGAACCTGTGAGTACTACAGGGTTAACTCTTTGAATCTCTTGGTTACTGGAATCAACATTTAACTTCTTGTTACAATACATTATTTTGTATTAATAAAATAAATCATCTAATAAACAGGCACTGAGAAATCCATGAAAAACTTGTCAGGGAGTGGACAGTTACAAATTATCTAGCTTCAGCTGATAAACTGTTCCGTTAAACTTACTCTCTTAAGATCTCAGAAGTAGTTCTCCTTACTGTCTGCCAAAAAGTTCTCAAGATGTTGTTTCAGTGAATTTGGTATTGGATCAACAAATAATCCCTTCCAGAAATTATTATTTTCTTTACTATTGTTACCTGGCCTGTCTGTGATGATTTTGTAACAAGAAGTTATCTCTGGGTCTCTCATGGGAATTTAAGGGTTAAGTTCCCTCAGCCCTTTTACTTTTACCCAAAAGTGATTAACAAGTAACTTCTCCGTATATTATCCTCATATTGTCTAGCCAACAGGTAATGAGAATACTCAAACTTATCAGGTAGAAGTTGTCACCTTGATCTAACACCAAATTCTTGTAACTAATTTACAAGAAAATGTGTAGCAGCTAGAGGGGAGAATTAACAATCAGATCTTGGGAGTTAAAAGGTTAAACTTATTTACAAGGAAGTGTACAGCAGCAAGAAGAGAGGATTAATTGAAGTAAAAAGGGGTACATGGCAATAAGATCTCTAAAAAATTCCACTAAGGAAAATGTATTTTTGCGATGAAGACTCTCTAGATGTTGAAAATTTCATTCAAAAAATACTTAATAGGTCAAGGAACAGAAAAAGTTGAGGGTAATTGAATCATTGTTTTTTTTTCATAATGATATGTCTATTATTGATTTGCATTTTCTGATTTTCATTCATTTTATTTAGCAAGCTATACAGCAAGCAAGTAACAGCAATAAACTTGCTCTAGATGTGTGTGAAAGGTAATGATTTTAACTCCTTTTTTTGTTTATAATTTTAAGTTTTTAATTTTTACAATCTGATATACATATATATTATAATGAAGTGTAGTATGACAAAATTGGGCAGTGCAAGTTATGTTAATGGATTTGAAATTTGAAATTTTAAGATTTAATTTGAAAGAAAAGGGAGAAATAGGAAATGAAAGAAAAAGATAACTAGTGAAGCCATGAGAGGGGAAGAACAAAGGAAGTTATGGAAGGAAGGAAGTATCAGTGGTTGTTAATGAGAAGGAAGGAATAAAGGGAGAGAGGGATGGAAAGAGGGAGGGGACTGAGGTAGGAAGGAAGAAAGAGTTGAAAAAGTTGGAAGGGAGGTGCAGGAGTGAGGAAGGAGGGTGCAGGAGGGAGGAAGGAAGGTGCAGGAGGGAGGAAGGAAGGTGCAGAGGGAGGAAGGAAGGTGCAGTAGGGAGGAAGGAAGGTGCAGGAAAGAGGAAAGAAGGTGCAGGAAAGAGGAAAGAATGTGCAGGAGGGAGGAAAGAAGGTGCAGGAGGGAGGAAAGAAGGTGCAGGAGGGAGGAAGGAAGGTGCAGGAAAGAAGTTGCAGGAAGGTGGGGTGGAAGGGAAGTGGGTATGGGGGTAGGGAGCAAGGATGGAAGGAGAGTAGGAAGAGGGACAAGGTGTGGCTAAGTCAGGCAAAAGGCCCACACCGCTGTCTAGTGGTTATGCCAGTTTTCTTAACATGAAGCTACTTGGATTGTTGCTACTACCTCAGGATGGGATGCTTGTAAATTGCAAGAAGAAGGAAATAATAATCATGGTTATTTTGATGTACTCTGTAATGCTAGAATGTAATTTATTTCTGACCTTTTTTCATGTTTTGTTATTTTTTTTCTAGATACAGAAGGAAGCACACATGGACAGAGTCATTTACGAGCTGGATTTGGAATCCATCCTATGATAATTTAACAGAAGGTACTCTCCCTTGCACTGTTCTTGTTTTAGTTTTCTACCTTCATCATTTGATAATGTTTCACAACAGGACTGGCCCTATTTTTGATATGTTTTGTATTCATTCTAGTGGAAAGACATGCTGAGCTGTGCTATGCCGAGTGTTTATTTATGAGGGCATTACTCACATTTATTCAGGTATAGGTAATTATTGATCAACTCTATTTCACTCTCAGTAAATATTTAACATCTGTTTACCAAACTGGAGTTGGCTGGTGCTGGATGTTTACTGAGCCGCAAACAAACTCATAAATATCCCACACCACTAGCCATCAACACTGACATTAACAGTGGTTTCAGTTCATACTAGAACAGTGAGCCAACAGAGGAAAAAAGGATGATTTTGACTCATTTATTCCTACAATTATTGAAATATTTTCAGGAGCAAATCCCACTCGCCAGTTGCAGGGAGGTGAATAATAAACAATTACTTCACAAGTGCTCATTGAATATGAGATAATAGATAGCCAACAAGGCCCATAGAGCCAAGTTGACTAAATCATGTCATATTCAACAAGTGTGAGTGGAATAGGTAATTGTTTTGCTAAAACCCTATAATATAGATAAATTTTCCCAACTGCATTGTTAAATACCAAACTGAATTCACCCAGTGTACCTATCATATTTTTAGAGCATGTTATATTGGCCCAGAACACATGATGGCTAAGCCAATGAAAATTCTTGAATTGCAATATCCAATGATCCAGATTTTAATAACAAAGAATATTCAGTGTTTTAATAACCAATCAGAGGGCATCTTCAATGCCATCCACTGTTTTAGTTTGTACTAAACTCAACTGTATTCATCAGAAATAAACCATTATAACTTTATAATCACATGATGAATAGAAATCTGCAGGTTTACTGTAGGAAGTCACTAACCATGAACAATAAATTAGCATGTCTGTCTGGAATGACTCTTAAAAATTTCTCATCAGGATGAAAATCTGGTCAGCTTCATTCGCGGAGCTCTAAAAATCAGAAGTGCTTATCAAACTTACAAGTAAGTTTTGGATTCAATTTTGAATCATAACAATGTATTAATTCATTGAAGATAACCTTTTGCACAGCAATTTTTATTGCAGACCCATATGATTTTATAATTTCTTTTGTTGATTTATATATTGTGATATTTCTCTAAAATCAGGACTTGCCTGGACATGGTCACCCATCAGCCATCATCTCTTCAGCATTCACCCCAAAGAAAGGACTTTGAAGGAGGAGTTCACCTTGGCATTGGAGGATTTAATTTGGTGAGTCTACAGAAACCTAAGTGAACTTAATTTTGTCACCCCATTAAAAATTATCATCATGATCTTATTGTTTCAACTGGTATGTTATGTCCATTCTAAAGCTATGAGTATTTGGAAGTGCTTCCGGTTGCCTTCAATGCTAGACTGTGGATTTAGTTGATTGTGTCTTGTGGTGCCTCTATCCATGCACCCATGATTGGTAGGGACAAACTGTTGGAGCAGTTCAGAAAGTATGATGCTGGAAGTGGAAGAGAGATAGACCACTTTCCATTTCAGGAAGCACAGCAATTTTCCTTGTCACTCCATATTGAAGAAGCTAGGATGAGTCTTCCTCAAAAGTAAATTTTCTTATGGAGGCTGCCAAAATAACATTTTTGTTACAGAATGTTAACATGTTGACAATTTAATTGTCTTCTTTTAGATGTTGTCCCTACTTCCTGCAAAGATAATCAAGTTGTTAGAGTGGGTTGGTTTTTCAGGAGACAAGGTAATACCGCCTTTCTTCAGACTGAGTCAAAATCCAAATCCTTAGACTGCAAAGATAATCCTTCAAAGAGCCAATTTCAGTTGGGTGGAAACTAAAATAAATGCAGTTTTGTACTGCCTTTTGCTTAACTTCAATGTGAAGTTTTAAAAGCTTACTTATTGAATTCTTATTGACTTTAAAATGTGATATCACTTTTGATCACTTTTGTATTCATTTCAGTTAATATAAAACACTCAATCAAAATGCCATACAGGTTTCAACAAGTAATTTCATTTTGAACATGTCAATTCCCCAGAGGTGATTTACATAAAACATGATCTAGTTCTACAACCAGATGTTTGGAGTGCAATAACTTCCACCCTTTACACCCTAACATCAGTATGCATTTTCTCCATACTGTTTTCTATACATTTCCCAAGGTGCTGACAAGGAGAATTGGTTTATCAATCAAGAGAATATTTAGTTGATCCTTCCCTTTATTCTCATGACCTTACTGTGTGATGCAGGGGTGATATTGTAAGGAGAAATAGATGCTAGTCACTCTTAGGGGTTTAAGGGTTAATCCAGCTCTCAGTAGAGGGCATTATTTGGATATATAACTTAATTCTCGAAACTTATCTACATGAAGATGTGTAGTAATAAGAATGAAGAATTGATTATCAATTGTTGAAAAAACCCAACTATGAGATGTGACTCCCATTTTATGACCAGTTTTTAGGTCTGGATCATTTAGACCAAGGATGCAGAGACCAGAACTTAAGATCGCCCATGTGTGCCATGGTTCTGCTCGCCTATCACAGTGTAATAACTTATTACCTTGGTAAGTGGTCAGATTTATAACTTATAACCTTGATAAGTGGTCAGATTTATAACTTATTAGCTTGGTAAGTGGTCAGATTTATAACTTATTGCCATGGTAAGTGGTCAGATTTATAACTTATTGCCATGGTAAGTGGTCAGATATATCAAAAGAATTGTCTTAAGATGTTTTCTGTATGACTACGTTTGTGCCGCTTTGTGGTCAGATTTATCGATACAATTGTCTTAAGATGTTTACTGTATGGCTACATTTGTGCTGCTTTGTGACCAGATTTATTAATAGAATTGTCTTAAGATGTTTACTGTATGACTACATTTGTGCTGTTGTAAAAAGCTGTGAAATTAAGCCAAAATCGGTTGAAACTTAAGAAAGGCACTTGGTGTATGCAGCGTTCAATATGTGCATTTACTTGACTACTATTCTGCCTGTAGAAGATTTTGTTATGAGCAAATAATCTCCCAGCTCTAGCTGATTTCTAAGCACTCTTAAGGTCTCTTTTTACGAACTTTAACCAGTGTTTTAGCTGACAGTTGTACCATACAGAAAATCTCACTGTTCCAGGCCTGCGTTTATCTCTCTTTGATGAAAACCATAACATTTTAAGAATGAAGACATTGCAATAGCTTGCTACTTGACTGTAGTAATAATACGTTTCTTTTTTTATCGTACAGCGTTGACATTTATCAAAGTAAATTACGTTAATATGAAGATTTCATAAATTCCCATTCATTTTCCATAAACTCAAAAATTACAAACGGACGCAATTTCGTCGGAATCCCTTTTCCTACTCGACTACTCGGCTCTTGTAAATTTGCAAATTACTCAGACATGCAATTTTGTTCAGACATGCAAATGAAAATCTCTGAAATATCTGATAAATACAACTAATCAAAGAATAAAATTAATTGAAACTGCACTACATAAAGTATTATTTTTTTCCAAAAATGTTGAATACAAGCGCTTTGTCAACACCCTCTTAAATTGATGTGCACGAGTTGCGCACTAAATGCCAGTAGAAAAACTAAGTTTCTGCTCTCAAGCACAGAGCGTGGAAGTATAAACAACTCACTCAGGTCAGTCGTATTCGTAACTACTTTTAAACATACCTCCATCTATGGCAATCAATCGTGAGAACTATTATAATTTTTTCATTATCAGTGTATCTTTTGCTGCCTGATATACTGTATGTTGAGTAAGTTCTAGTTTGCGTTTTCCTCAGTGGTTTCCTCGTTGTCTTCCTCACCGGTTTCTTCGTTGTCTTCCACTTTGTTTTGCACACTGGTTTTCTTGGTTTTCTTTTGTCTAAAAAGAAATTTCCAATTATCGTAATGCTTCGTTTTTATTATTTCAATTACCTTTTCGAAATATATATCTGGAATATCTGAGGGCTGCATCAACCACCTCAAGTAACTGGTGTGTTGTCCGTCTCCACTGCAACCTTTCTTAATATCTCGCACGATGCAGGTGACGCTGACGGAGCTGTTGAAGGTATATAAGCCTTTGCCCGGCTTAGCATAAAATGAAGTTGTAATCTCAATTACCCTCGAGAAGTCATTGCGGAAAATAAGCATCACTCTCGGCATACTTGTTTGACCACTTTTGGTTTTAGTGCGACGGACTTCATCTTCTATTAGGAAATGTGGGTAGAGTTGGTCATATTTGCTCCAGTAGTATCTCGCTTTATTCTTGTTTATTGCGAGACGGAAAAGCGGTTTAATGAAAACCATTTTTTCTATATTCTTCTTGTTCCTTTTCCTCGTCAGTTTCCCGATATTCGGCCAGAACTCTGATTTGATACCCACTGCGCTCAGCATGCACATACGTGCAACTGCTGATGCCGTTCGACCAAAACTCACGTTGGACATTGTTGCCGCCTTTTTACCACCGAACCTGTACTTCCGTTGGGGATCATCACTTTCTATCAAAGAAATCCAGGCTGTTTGACACTTTATTACCTGAAATCGATTTTTATCTCTTAACTCCGAGATGGCTTAAAGGACTGAATTAAACGCTGGATCCGTTTGAAGGAAGATAGTCTCTTTTTGCGTCATCTTTTTCCTCACGATAACAGCGTGACGCGAATAGGTTAATGAATGTTGGTGCGGGGTTTCTAAAGGGTTTCTGTCATAAATGCTGTTATCCGATTGGCTAAGCTACACTTCATATTGTCCATGATAGATAGTGCGTAGTATGAGTTGCCTAGCAGAGTGCGATCGTAAACAATGAACGAGTTGCCAGTAATCCGGGATCCTTGCGTTTGCAATCAAAGGGCTCTTGGAGCCAGCTCATTCATTTCATGGCTTAAGTTTGTATCGATTTCTTGGACTTGTTGGATATAGGTACGGTTGAATTCTCGGTTTGCAGCTGACGTCACACATTTATGCAAATTAAGCGTCCGCCATGTTGGTGCTCATCTCAGGTGTGAAATTTCATGCAAAATCTCTACCGTGCACAAGAGAATATTCTCCTTAGGATACCTGTGCTTTTGAACTAAGCGGAGGGCCTGGAAAGCCACGTTCGAGAGCGATATATTAAGAAAATTTATGTAGTTGGTGTCGATCCAGTAGCCATCCGAAGCGAGCACTGAATTCAACTCAGAATGTCTGTCCTCAATAGAAGTCTCGGACCTTCTTTCTAATTTAGTTCTGGAGACAAGTTATTGTGCAAATAAGCAATTTAAAGCATTCAAAAGTCATGAGGCGTACAAGCAAATGGTGTCTGGCTTCGTAACATCGGTTCAGGAGCAGAGATTGTTAACGAGATTGTAGTTGTGGCGAAAGCGAGATATTAGCAGTGGATGAACAATCCTCTTGTAGACATTTGGATTGTCGCAGAAAGTGGTACATAAATATACGTAAAGAAAAAGGAACGAATATAGTATGAGAAACATACGAAACGTTCCTCAGTCATAACGCATCGATCCCAACGCACTATCTCACGGAAATGCTTGGCTTAATCCTTAAAGAAAATTCGTTTTAATTCATTAAGGAGAGTTTCCTCCAAAAACATGGAACCGCTTTGGGTATGAAAATAGCAGTGTCATTTGCCAATACTCTCAGGGCGGAAGTTGAAAAGAAATTAATCCAACAAAGCGAAACCAAACCAAAAGAATTGAAACGTTACATTAGTGACGTTTTCTCCTTTTGAGATTGCGACAGAAAAGAGGTAAATCGGTTCATTAAACGGGCTAACTATTTCCAACCAACTATCAAATTCACAGCTGAAATATCAGGGAATCAACCAAATCACTTTCCTCGATACCACGGTCTTCAAAGGGGAAAGATTCGCAAAAAATTCCAAATGGGACATCAAAACTCATTAGTGGCAGACCGAGACTTTCCAAATCACGCACTTCGCCTCGTGCCACCCACCAGGCGTAAAATATGTTTTCATTAAAGGCGAGCAATAAGATTGCTTAGAACTAACTCTTGGAAAAAAGCATTTGAAGTGGGCCGTTTGAAATTCAAACAAAGCCTCAAAGCAAGAGGGTACCCAGAAAACATCATAGAAAGGTGTCTGTTAGGGGTCAACTTTGCCTCTTGACAATCGGCGTTTAAAAATACACGAAAGCCGAAAGGTCACGCACGTTTATTACCTTTCCTCACAACTTACCACCCGGCAGTTAAAAATTTAAAACAAATGTTGATGGAACAGTGGAGTCTGATCTGCAATCAGCCCTAGCTGAAAACAAATTTTACAAAACCTCCGATCATCTTTTCTAAAAAGGGAAAATATCTTTAAGGCATGCTTAGGAGAGCAAATAATATAATTTGAAGGCGGTAATACGACGCGACCACGAAAGCCATAGGGGAGTCCGTGCTGGTCTATCTTTACCTTTATTCCCTCATCGTGTCGCTGCGACTTATCGCTTGTATCCACTTTTATCTCCTCTCTGTTGTTAATTCTTCTTAGGAGGAAGACTTACTTTTAACAACAGATGGTATTCGATAAAATCCAATCCTTTTGTCCCGATCACTTCTGCTGTCATAGCCGAAAACTACACAAAGAACCATTTCTACTTTCTCACTCACACATTGCTACAAGCGTACTTGTAACTATTTGTTTGGGCACTAACATGGCGGATAGCATCCGTCGTCAAGACAAAACTTTCAATACCTACGGAATAAATTCTCTCTTATCTTTGGTCAGTTGTGTGATAAGAAAACTTGTGCGCTCGTCGTCATGAGAATTGGGAAAAAGGTTGTGTGGGTTCGCGGTAGGATGGGCAGAGGTCATTGGGCAGACTGTGTCCCTTTTGTTGGTAGTTACGAAAACGAAGACCTAAGACACCCCCTTACGAAAACGAAAACCCATCACGAAAACGAAGACACATTACTAAAACAAGTTCAAAAGAGGTTGGTATTACATTTGTGGACAAAGGTTATGTTCATGAGACACTACGAAAACGAAGATCCTTACAGAAATCTTTAATTCTAAATTTGGCATGTCTGTAATTTATTACGGAATATTTCAACATTAGAGCCCCATGGAGCCTTCAATGGGAATACTTTAAAACTAAAACGAAATTTAATAGAAGAGACATGACATGCGTATGGTGGTATATAATGAAGCAACAAGATATAAGTTTATTAATGAAAACAACATCGACTAGCGGTAATTGCACTTCCGGCGAGGAAAAATATACTGTTGTTTGAATAAAACATGGTAATTTTACCGATTGATTTCAATAAAACTTTTCTTGCGGGTAAAAAATTACAAATAAATACCTTAATCAAAGCGTTACGCTACTCCTCCTAGCGATTTATAAGTTTTGGGACCAGAAAAGCTCTTGGCTACTGTAACAAAACCTTGAAAACCACTTCAATGTAAACGTCACTTGTTCAACAAGAGACGTGACATGCATATGGTGGTGTATAATTAAGCAACAACATAACGATAACATCGACTAGCGGTAATTAAACTTCCGGCGAGGAAGAATGTACAGTTGTTTGCCGAACAAAACATGGCAATTCATGGCAAAGCTCTCAATATTGTTTCTCGAATATTGCGCGTGTTAAATATTCAATAGTGACATCTCATTTACATCTACAGCTACATCTACTTTTATTAAATTGGTAACTAACGACATCACACCAACCAACTCGCGTGCAAAGTGAGAAGACTATATGAAGGCTTGAAATTATATTAAGAACAATTGTGATCGAGAAACGGGCGAGGAATATACCATGATAGTGCAAATAATCATGAAAGATGATCGTGGAAAGCGATTGCGTGACGCTCGGCAAGTTGTAAGATGACATGTTATCACGTATCAGACGTAAAAACAGTATAAATTCTCAGTCTGCATTTTGTACTGACCGGATTGGTATTGTTGTCTTTGTTCGAGCGAGCCACAAGTCCGGACCGAAATATTGGAGCTCGAAAAAAAATTCTAGTGAGACTATCTTGGCCGCTATGATTGATATGTGGACTGTGTGTTGAAGAAAACAGTGATAGAGCTATGTTTACTTTATACTAACTGAAGACGAACGCAAACGCGCAGCTTACCAACATTACCTCTGATGCTCTTTCGCGTGGTCACAGCATGTGTAGAAATGAACCCGCTGCGGGTCCCCTAGGTGTGAACATTTCGACTTCTCCATTCAAGTTGCGTTTTCAGAAGTTGAGGTTATTATTTTATTAAACGATATAAACATTTTATTTCTTTCCACGTGAGTTTCTGAGCTTCATCGAAATTGATTTTGACCTTCACTAAGTGGGGAGGGGTAGCATGCGAGACTACTTCCTTTCACGGTCCGCAAGTCTCGAGAGGTGAGCTTGGACCGCATGTGCTTTAACAGATGCTGACAGTTATACCATACACAAAATCTCATTCTTCCAGGCCTGCGTTTATCTACCTTTAATTAAGATCGACATTGAAACAGCGTGCTACTTGACTGCAGTAACATTAATATTTTTTTCGCTGTCATACAGCTTAAAGGGCATGTAAACCCCAAAATACATGTTTTTCTTATACTATGTAAAAAGTGGCGTAGAAAACGAATTTGAAATTAGTTTTGTCCAATTCGACTTATGTTAGGAGAAAATCGGCATTTTCAACTGAAATTCCATTTCCGGTAAAAACAATAGCGAGAAGTCGTGACGTAAGCGGTGGAACCAAAATATTGCGCAACACATATTCCCCAGTAGAACTGGTGTGGGAGTTCGTGTAAGTAGCGGTAGTTCGGAAGATGTTTTTTCAGAAGATAGCGACTCGAATGCCTTAAGCTTAGTACATGACAGCGCTGGGGATAATCCAGAATCTTCAAGAGAGTCTGGGCCAAGTCCTTAACAATATGAGCCGCGTAGGGTTCACCGAAGCGATCCGCACGAAGACAGTACAGAACATGTCGACAGCGATGCGACCGTCTCGGAAACTCAGACTGGTATTTAATTTACTTTGTGATTTATTTGTATTTAACATGAAAATGCAATAAAGCGAGGGTACAATCTAAAGGAATGCAACATAATTTTTTTTAACTTGAGCTTCTGAAAGTGTTTTATATAAAATTATCAAAGATGCGAGTGTGGAACTTGTCAACCAATGCCGACAACTCATGAAAGTGTTTGTTGTACGGAAATCGGGCAATTGTGGCAAAATGGCCTGAAACCCAGATAAGTTATATCACTGAGCATCCAGGTTTTCAGTCAATTTGCCTCGATTTCTGGGTGCTGGAGACGGCCAAGTACGCGTACAGGCAGCAGCAAAGCACAGATAATCACACCGGAAACGACTAAGCTAAATATTTTCTGTTTCATCTGTTTTGTTACATTTTGAGATCGATTTACTTGAGTTGTTTCTGCCATTGATTTAATAATACAGTACTAGAGCTAGTTGTTTTTCGCTTCTTTCCTGGCAGGAAATTTCGTTAAATTGCCTACAGATAGCTTGTTCGTTGGTGTTGGGGATATCTCGGCAAACACTTTAGGGTCGCTGTGCTATCTTGTGCGGTAAACAATATCCTTCATCTCAGAAGCATTTCCATCGATAAACAAGTTTTATCATGTACATTTCCTTGTGTGGCCTTCATAATTATCCAACCCTGTTTGTGTTTGCTTCGATTTGAAATATTGAAAAGATAGTTTTGCAAGCTGAAATCAGGATCTTTTAAGTTGTACTCAAAATGATGAATATTGTCCTACTGACCTTTGAATTTATTTTCACTGCTGTGAAAACCGTGACACAAATTCTTCTGCTGTTTCTCTGCAGGGTTTCTCAAAGGAAGCACCAAGCGGGGCTGGCTTGGATTTTCTTATAGAACATAAGGGTTGATTATGGGATCCTGTATAGAATTCTTTGAATCGAACCGACAAAATTCCAGATCACGTTATTACACACTGATATCAACGAATTCTCTTTCTTTGATACGTGTTTCGAATTCAGGCAAAGGTTCAGACATGTCAGTGTCTTTAACGGGCTCAGCGCTGGCCCCCGAACAACTGGCTTCCCCATAATATTTCATTAGATGAGAAAAAAGATCTTTTTAGAGAACCAATAAAGCTATTGTTGTTTAATTAACGAAACGTTTTCATGTAAATCGATTTTGTACTTTCTCTGTTGACCTCTAACTTTTGAAGAGCTCAACTTCTTTCTCAGTTCGGTCGGCCACTTCCGAATCCTCGTCGTCTGCCGACTGTATGGGTCGTTTTTATACATCCGAATAATTTGCTTCTAGTGAGGCCTGAATCGTCGGTACAGCACCAAGAAGAAAAATGACTGCTACAAACAACAGAACGTTCGAACGGCTCGACGAAATCGGCTATTTTCACTTGTACAAATTTCACAAATTGTCGCTTCAAATTTGCGTCATTTGGAAATATTTGCATTGTATGCCCAGTTTTGTTTGAATCAGTACAAAACTGGACGACACAACGCTTCACCATTACGAAAAAATCGAATATATTGAAGCAAACTGTAAGTAAAAAAATCATGCGAGACCAGCAAACAACGGCTGTAGAAAAGACTCCTTCGTGCCTCACGCGATTATAAAACGAGACTTTGGAGGGTCCACCCGTGACGTCACGGGAAAGATGGCGCCATTCAAGATGGCGAATGTTTCGAATTTGGAAGAGCTTTTACAAAGTGAAAATGGACTTTTGAGAATAAACGAATGGTACCTTTGATGTACTTGATATATTTACTAAACATCTATGTGAAAAGAAAATGAACGTTTTTTGGGTTTACATGCCCTTTAAGTTGACATTTATCAAAATTAATTACGATGATATAAAGACTTCTTAAATTCCTATTCGTTGTTTCTGAACTCTCAATTTACAAACGGATACAATTTCGTCGGAATCCCTTTTCCTACTCGGCTCGCGTGGTTATGAATTTCTAAATTTGCCTATTACTAAGACATCAGCTTATCATATAGCTTACGTTGACATTTATCAAAGTACATTACGATTAAAGGAAGACTTCATAAATTCCTATTCATCGTCCCTTAACTAACAAATTACAAACGGACGCAATTTCGTCGGAATCCCTTTTCCTACTCGGCTCGCGTGGTTATGAATTTCTAAATGTGCACATTACTCAGACATCCAATATTGCAGTACACACAGTATTATTTTTGTATCTATGGTTGTTTGAAGTACAAATAACTATACATACTTCCACCTATACCAAACGATCTTAAGAACTATAATAATTATAATGTTCTCATTATCAGTTTATCTTTTGCTGCTTAATGTATGTTAAATAAGTTCTAGTTTGCGTTTTTCTTTCTGTCTTTCGTACGTACTGTCTACCTCGTGGCCTTTAATTCTTATTGTCTCCCTCGTCCGCTTCGCTTTCATCAGCTTCGCTTTCATCAGCTTCGCTTTCATCATCTTCATCTCCTAGAGGATTTGGCAAATTTTGGGCATCCTCCTCGTTTCTTAAGCTCATTACTTGATCAAAGTATTCAACTGAGATGTTAAAGGGCTGCATCAACGCCTTCAAGCGGATGGTGTGTGGTCCGTCTTCACCTTCGCGAATTTCTCGCACAATGCAGGCGACATGGACGTAGCTATTGAACCGATGCTTTTCCCTCCGCGTAGCACTAAATGTGGTGGTTATCTCAATCAGCTCCGTGAAGTTGTTGCGGAAAATAAACATCATACTTGGCATACTTTCTCGTTGATTGATGTCCAAGCCTCTGACTGCTTCTTCTATTCGAAAATGTGGATAGAGTTGATCATATTTCCACCAGTAGTATCTCGCTGTCCCCCTGTCATTTGCGAGACAGAAAAGCGGGCCTATAGATACTACTCTTTCTAGCTTGTCCCTGTTCCTACGATCCGATTGTGGCCCGATTTGCGGCCAAAATGTTCGCCCAATACCCACCGCTTCCAGCATGCACATACGCACAACTGCTGATGCCGTTTTACCAAAACTCCCGAAGGCCATGTTCGCCGCCCTTACACCGCCAAACACCAACTTATGATCCTCTCGTTTATCATTACTTTCTATATCTTTCATACAGGCGGTTTGAAGGCGTTTCACGTGCAATCGATTTTGGTTTTTTAACTCCTTGGAGACGGCAAGGACTACCTTAAACGTTGGGTCCGTTTGTACAAAGACAGTCCCTCCTTCCATCATCTTTTTCCTCGCGATAAAGGCGTGACGCGAATAGGTTAATGAGTGTAGATGCTGGGTTTTTTACAGGGTTTCTGTCATAATGCTGTTATCTGATTGGCTAAGCTACACTTCATATTGTCCATGATAGGTTGTGAGTAGTATGAGTCCGCCCACAGGTGGCCTAAGCTCCAGCTGTAAGATGATCATCTTGCGCAATAACAGTTATGACGGAATTATAAGAGTTTGTATGGGAATATTTACGACCGCTCTAAGGAATAAAAAATTCGTAAAATTCTCAATAAAAATACCTCACCTTCCACAGTTTATCAGACCGCTTACTTTGATGAAAAGAACCCATTTTAGCGAGTTGTCCATTTCGAGGTTTACTACGCACGCTTTTCTTATAATAAATTAATATATAACTAAATTATATTGCTGGTGTAAAATTTACATTATGTATATCACCGACTGGATAAAATTACGCCGTTAGTTACTGGCGTAAAATCATACAGCTATACATTACCGACTGGAAGAAATTACGCCGTTAGTTACCGGTGTAAACTCATACAGATATACATTACCAACTGGAAGAAATTACGCCGTTAGTTACTGGCGTAAAATCATACAGATATACAATACCGACTGGAAGAAATTACGCTGTTAGTTACTGGTGTAAAAACTTACATGTATAAATTTCCGACTGTAAGTTAGCTACTGGCGTAAAATCATACAGATATACAATACCTACTGTAAGAAATTACGCTGTTAGTTACTGGCGTAAAAACTTACATATATAAATTTCCGACTGTAAGTTAGCTACTGGCGTGAAATCTTACATATAGTGATCACCGATTGGAAGAAATTACGCCGTTAGCTACTGACATAAAATCGTACAGATATACAATACCGACTAGAAGAAATTACGCCGTTAGTTACTTGCGTAAAATCTTACATATATAAATTGCCGACTGTAAGTAATTACGCTGTTAGCTACTGGCGTAAAATCTTACATATGAAGATCGCCGATTGGAAGAAATTATGCCGTTAGCTACTGGCATAAAATCGTACAGATATACAATACTGACTGGTAGAAATTACGCCGTTAGTTACGGGCCTAAAATCTTACAGTATATACATCACCGACTTAAAGAAATTACGCCGTTAGTTACTAGCGTAAAATTTGGAAGAAATACATTACCGACTCGACGACTTCGCGTTTTTTAGTTAACGTATACGCTAGCGGTACTGTATATTTAATGTATATTTTCAATGTTGCAACGCTTTTAAAAACGGGTGTGTGTATATATAATTACGTTTTTTAACATGAAAGAACAATTAAAATGCCAAGAACTACTTGATTCTTGAAAAAAGAAATAAGGCTCATTCACTTTTTGCCGATCTGATGACCCCGTACACTGCCAAAGCAAAATTTTATCACACCATCGAATTCCTCCCAGTATGCAATATCTTCCTGTTCAAAATGTTCCTGCTGCAAAAAATGACATACAAACAATCTAGCTACATCGAAAAATAAGGCATTCAACCTTTTCTGACAAAAACAACACTCTCAGTGCTCTCCTACAAGCCCTTAAGCCATTCTTGATATACTAATATTATGGTCAACCCTTTTACTCCTGTGAGTGACTAAGAATTTCTCCTTACGATATCAATACAATATGAACCAGATAAGTGATGAGAATAAAGAAAAATATCAATTTGGGGATAATAAGGGTTGATCCCATACTTTGTTTGAAACAGGAGTCCTACTAGAATAAAAAAGATGGTAAGGTTTGAGCTCTTTAGAGAATGGAGAAGGATGTGTTTTCGTCTTGCCACGAGCGTGGGACAAAGAGTTCTACTCTGTTGAGTTTCAGCTTATTCTATTAATTTGAAGCTTTTATTAAAGTATTGTCATTTATTCCGTCAGGAAACGGCGAGGGAGACGTCATGTACGCCGAGGAAATTCTCCAGCCACATCTGAAGGCATTTCCGAAGGTATTTTAATCAAGGAACTGCACTAATCATGCACTAATGCTGTAATTCCCGGGCTAGCAATCTGATCGGCTGTACAGGCTGTCGTACTAGCATAACCAGGCCCTCCTAATCCGTGCGTCGTTCTTGATGCCTTCGAAGTGAAAAAGAGATGTACATGTATCACGAACGTATGGCATAAAAGATTGACAAGGAGCTGCAGTCAGATTTGACGAGATAGAAGCGAAAGTATCGCAGGAATAATGCAGCAAATAGAGAAGTTTCCAATAGCATGAGCTATAAATTGTACTTACCCTTTTATTATTTTAGGGAGCGATATTCTTGTACTACGCTGGTCGTATAAAACAAGTTCAAGGAAAGTTGGATGAGGTCAGTGATAATGCAAACGAACCAGATCGACTCATAAAGGATGCATCATTCAGAATAAGAAACATTATGTTTAACTGTTGTGATGTGATACACTATCACAGCTACCCATGCTCCTGGAGGATAGGGGCTTGGGGAAATGATTCATTTGGTGATATGTAAGGTCATGAATAGCGTTGCACGATGTGGCCTGAAAGTACGTTACGTAACGTGACATGACATCGCGACATCACGTGCTGTGCAGCGTGACTCGACATGTCACGAATTGCGTTACATGATGCGGTATGATAGTACATGAATTGACGTGACATGATATCGGCAACATGACGTTATATGATTTTACTGTAAGCTGTTTGTCTTTTTTTTAATTTTGGTTACAGGCCACCAAAAGCTACAACGACTCAATTGCAGTTCAGTCTGAATGGAAACAGTTCCATCATATCTGTTACTGGGAGTTGATGTGGTGTTATTCGTAAGTTTATCGTCACACAAGACTGTTCAGTTGTCGTTTAATTTGCGTCCCCTTGGTCTCAGTCACAAAACGTTCTCCAATAGAAAGTATAGATTAAGTCATCTCCCTTGTCATAACTGCTGTCGCATGGTAAAGTTTTGTTTTTATTGTAGGAAAATTATAACTAAAATCCTCTTTTTCTCTCTCATTAGGTATGAGGGGGACTGGGCCACAGCGTACCACTATGCAAGTGTTCTTTTGAAGGAAAGCCGCTGGTCACGGGTAAGGACGGAAGGAATTTAAGAGAGAACGTGTGTGAAATTTAACTAAAACACCATTGTTGTCAAAGAGAAAGTGAATGGAGGCCTTAGTAACTTGCACATTTTTCTCAATGGCATTAACGTACGTAGTTGTTAAGTCTCATTTTCCACGACGTTTAGAAGATTTGCCGAACAGATGCACGGTTAATGAATAAAGGGACTAAGTTTGTAAAGAATCGGTTTGAATTGATACAGGATTATTTGTATTTATCAACCAAGTTATGATGTAAATCGTTCGTCGCAAAGAGTTTTTGATGTTGCGAGCTTTAGTCCTTTGTCGGGGCAAATGACTCTAAGGTAACACGGTTACTCAGTCTTCCGCTTTCATATGCTGCTGGAACAGAATTGCAGCTACATTGCATGGCCTTAACTAAAGCCTGGACAAACCCTCTCCTCGGCAGACATCCTACATGTATCTTAAAGCTTGCTTCAGAGTTATGGCGAGAATCACAAACCTGGAGCTCGCGAGAGAAGACGATCAGGGTGAAAAGGACACTGAGGAGTATCTTTTCAGGTAAATAGGAAGGAAAAGAGAGCGGAGAAAGAGCGGCAAACTTTTGTGGATTATTTCTACCACTATTTCTGTTATTATTGCCTCTGTGACTCCGACCCCAGTTACTTGTTATTTGCATTTTATGTAAATTTATCGCCCTGAACGAAGGCTCTCACATTGCGCCAATGCTTTACCGAAAAAAGAGTCGAAACCTAGAGCGCCCAGAAAGACAGGCCATTGAAAGATCCAAAGGGGAAGTTTCCACGCTAAGTTTAACCTCTCGGAGCCAACCTGTACCCGTGAAATCCCCACCCTTTTATTTAACATGAAGCCTGAACAAGGCTCCCCTTGAGTTTGGGATACTAGCCTCCCTATAATGGACAAAACGGGAGTAAATTACCCCTTCTCTTTGAGGCGAACGCTGAAGTGTTAAAGGAAAACTTGAAAGGCGTAATACAATTGTAATTAAAAACGTAAGTTTGTGCTATTGGAATGGGAGATAGAAGAAATGTCCCTCTTTTGCCCTCTCCTAAACCATCATACGTTGCGCTCCCGCGCCGCTCACATGTGGTTTGAAACGATTGGACACCAGTTGGTTTTCTTTGTATCAGGCGACTTCCGGAATACAAGCAGCGTATCGCTGGAAAGTCCGTTCCATTTGAGAAATTTTCCATTCACAAAGCTAACAAGTACCTGGAACAAGGCAACCATTTATTTCTTCCTGGAATGGTAAGTGCGAGGAGAATCGTAGGTCAAAATCTCTTTTCTCCGTTGGTTAAATTAGAATTGTAAGGCGGACAGATCTAATGATAAGGCAAATCATTGGAGCGAGTCTATTTCTAGCCAAATTGGTGCAACACTTTTTGTTTTCGTACACGTGAGAAATGTCAGCTTGGCTAGTCACATGGATGTTTGTATAATTACGTTGTTAGAGAATACATTTTTTTGGGTCTAATCTTGTAATATCAAAGAATGAGCCATTCTCAAACGGCAGCAATGTCGTTCCTAGGCTCCTTAGGTTTTTCTTTCGAGACGACAAGAGGAGAGGAATGGAGACGAATTAGGATATATGTAAGACAAATGATATATACGCGAGGTTTTTTTTTCCTCTTGGGAATTAAAGAACCCCTAAACTGACTCTCCCTTCAGGAACTTATATTGCTCTGGAATGGCTTCAAAGTTCTTCATCGCAGGCCGGACTTAGTGGAGCCAATGTTGAAACTTGTCCAAACGTCGCTGGTAGAGTTAGAAGAAACTAAAGGTAAACTATAATTAGTAAAAATTACAGTCGAAAACGCACCAACACAGGTTTCCTATTAAATCACCTTTTTTATTCTAGAAAACCCATATTTCTGCTATTACATCTGCGGTTCAACTAACGAACATAAATGACGACCTTTTTCCGAACAAAACCATGATCACGAGTTTCCGGTTCCTTATTCACTTATTTCCGTGTTATTGGTACCGCCTAACCATGAATACTCCAGGAGTCCTGGATAAAGAGTAGCAATGTGAAATTTAAGCCCAGTCAAGTACTGCATCACCTACAACATTATATTGTCGGCGGCTATGATTAGAACCCAAACCCCGTCGAGGAGCAGACTTGCAGTTTTGCGTAGACCTTTCAACTGCACTTACCTCTTTAGTTCCAGGTCTCCAGCGTCATTCCAAAAAAACAAAACAACCTGACAGTCTTTCCTGTTTTTTGTTTTTGTTTTTTGTTGTTGTTGTTGTTGTTTTTTTTTTTTAGGTAAAAATACAAATTACATGGATGATTTGTGTCTTGGATACCTGCTTCAGGGAATGTGTTACCGTTGTGTGAACAAACCGAAAGAAGCAATGGAGAGCCTCCTTAATACGGTAAACAGGTCAGTAACATTGCTTCCGGCAACTTGCCTTCTCGTATCATTTCCCTCCTAATTTTTGTAATGGATCTTGAGTGAAAGAGTTAAAACCACGGGTTTGTTTTATATGATCCGCGAAACTCCCTTTCGAGTATGGGAACAAAAAACAAGCGCGAGAAAATTATGTCAAATGAGCGTATCTATCTGAGAGAGGTCTCGGGGGAAGGATTCAGGCCACTCTCGGCCAGCTCTAACAGCCCATTTTTTTTCCCATGGTTCGTTTTTGGCGTGATATTTTGTCGGCCTCCTTTCCCAACCAGGGAGTGCAAGCACCTTATTCCTCCTTTTTCGTATTGCAGATCAAAGGACCTAGTTAAGGATTTCTACTTGGCTCCTTTCGCATGCGCAGAAGTTGGCTTTCTGTACCTAGAGGAGGGAGATCTGGATCAAGCCAAAGAATACCTCAATAAAACAAGGTATGAAAAAGCAAGTCGATTTTTCTAAGTGATGGTAAATTTTCAGAACAGAAAGCAAGGCAGAACTCATAGAAGACGTGCAACCGATGTTCTAGAAAAGCTGTCTAGTGCGTTAATATTAGCAAGTATTGTTAAGCAGCGTGGAATATCCAACATACCTGCAAGTGCAAGTAAAGCGCGGGAAAAAGTGCCACTGGTGTTAAGTGCGGGAAAACGTGCAACCGGTGATAAACGTGGCTCGGTGTTGCCGTGTTTAAGCGCGGGAAAAATGCAAGAGCTTCTAGGTTTGGAGCGTGGCAAAGGATCAAAGCAGTTCAGTGCTTAACTTTTATCCTTAAGAATGCACCGTAATCTGTTCATACTGTTTTCTCTCACATAAATCTGTATGCATGTAGGACGCTTGCTATTGGCCTCTGTTAAATGAGCTAAACTCCGATAAGTGCGAGTGCTTGAGTGGGGTTCTAATTGAATGATGTTAATTTTAAGCTATGTGTAGTTAAACTGATGGTTGAGGGACTCATCACGTGGTGCATTGATACTGCTCTCCTGGAATACACTGCGCATGGTATGAAGTATGGGATCCCAATGGGATGATATAAGTATCTAAGCAACTGCGCACCTACCCCTCCCCTAACCCAGCATTAACCCTAACTTTTTATCAGTTGACTGTTGCTAGGTAACGGAAGGGGTAGGTGTGCAGTTGCCCTGTGCCCTGTGAGAATCATACTTTTATACCATATATAGTGTGCACTTGGAGAGAATACTGACATTGATCCGCTAGTTTTTATACCCCAGCGTTCCTCACAAAATCTTGAAGAACATGTCTTTTGAACCGACAGGAAAGACTACGAAAACCATTTGTTACAAAGCAGACTTCACTTCAGAATCCACTCAGCGCTTCAAGAAATCAAACACAGACGCAAGCAGGCGAAAGAAGCAGCTAAAATGGAAAAAAAGCAATCCAAACGCTCCAAGAATGGTGTCACTAACAATAATTCCTCAATAGACGAGGATTCTATCAGCATCTCTCTCGGTGGATCCGAGAGTCTCTCGCACCAGGACTCAAACTCGTCCTTTGAGACAGCTCCTGAATATTCATCGGAAGATGAGAGGAACCTGGGAGACATGGAACGGGATAGCAGTCCTAAAGAGAATGTTGTTTTGGAAACCACAGTGTGAAAATTTTCCGTCTCTTGAAGTTATTTAAATTTCCTTTAGTATCTTTTACGTGGTGTTACAGGGTGATGAAAAAGCCTCGGTAATAAATTTATTAGTTGTTAAAAAAAACCTAGATAGAGCCATACCAAGTCCACTTCAATGAAGCCAATGCAGTGATATTTTGTTTTCTAAAGGTGTTATTTCTTTTCTTTTCTTTTTTTTTCTGTTTCCCTTCACTAGAGCTTCATTTTCGTGGACATGAACGGAGTCTACTTCCCTAATTTTATTTATTTCTTTATTTTTTTTAACAAGGCTGTATTTTTTGTGTATGTTAGTGTTGAGTGAGGGGAGGCGCGGTGGCCTTATGGTTAGTGCGGATCGGGTAGTCCGGGTTCGAGCCCTGGCCGGGGTCATTGTGTTGTGTTCTTAGGCAAGACACTTTACTCTCACAGTGCTTCTCTTCACCCAGTTGTATAAATGGGTAACAGCAAGTGTGCTGGGGGTAATCCTGCGATGGACTAGCATCCCATCCAGGGGGGAGTAGCAATACTCCCAGCCGCTTCATGCTAAGAAAACCGAAGTTAAGCACTGGCCCCATGGGCCACTTGGGCCACTTGGGCCCGTATAAAGGCTTTACTTACTTACTAGTGTTAAGTGAGGGAAGTCGTTTCTTCGACAAGCCGAGTTGATTATTACATTAGGCACAGCATTTCGTTTACTTTGGGGGTTAGGGGTAGCCTCTGTAACGAGCGCTTTATTGAATCACGTACAAGTAATTTTTTGTGACTCGTGATCTTCACGAGTGCTTTTAACAAAATGAGTTTGTCAGGGGAGGCGGGGCTCGGGTTGATAATTTGAAGGAATGTGTCAACGGATCATCACAAGAAGTTAATAGAGGAAAGCTCAATCCGAAGAGTAAAATGTCCCTGCAAAGAGCACCTCGCGTGGCGTGATGATATCGAGATATGACTCGGTCTTCGGCCAATGAGATCGCTCGCATTAATTTCTATAATCACGTGAGCAATGATCTCGCTCTTTTAAGTTCAGTTTACAAGGGGAAGTAGTTTGGTGTGCAAAATTTCCCTCTGAAGTCTAAAGTTAAACACCTCAAACAGTTAGGAGTTTTAACGGATTACAGATCTTATTTATTCTGTCTGTTCTTATATATTTGCGTTGTTCCTAACCGAGCATGTAGATTCTCCCAAACTTGAAATATTCATTTTAAATTTATTTATTTTTAAGCCAGAGATATTCTAAATTAACAACAGGAAAAATAAAACTATATCTGTACATACGTCGCGTGAAGCGAAATTGTTTTTATATAATCACCCAATGTGATGAAATCAGGAGAGCTTTAATCTTTCATCGAGCAGTTTTTTTGTCAGTTAGGTCATATTTTTGTGTGCACGCAGACTTATTTTCCACCGAGCAATTTTAAGATTTTAGGGTTAAAATGAATGCTTCGGGATGAAGGAAATTTCTGATTTTTCAAACGCGCGCAACGGAAAATAATAGCGAAGGAACTGTGGATTAACTTACTTTACATCGTTCTCAGAAAGTTTTAGATCTGGCTTATTTAGATAGGAAAAGTTTGTTTACATTTGCTTAGAGTTTATAGGAATAAAAGAAAAAAGCTTTCTTGTTGTTATTACGTATCCACTTATTTCACCGGACTTTGATTAGCTCGACAGAGAATGGTGGTGGCTAACGCCTTTCATCCTAAATAAATGGTCTATTTTGTTGCAAAATTCATAAGTTGCAGTGATCAATATGCCGCTGATCAGAAATAAAATGCAAACAGAGACGGTTATTTAGACGGATGGAATACTGTTTCCTCGAATTCAATATTAAAAGCGCACAAAATCAGTGATGCTATAGAGCACGAGCAGTAGTTGACTCCTTCCCAGCTTAATCTGTGTTGCGCGGCACTGAAAACAAACGAAGTTGATATCTTGGTGTTTCCCGGAGTTCACGCGGAGCAGGGATATCTTAAGGGATCCCGCCATTCTTACCTGGGATCCTGGGTGGGATTGCCGGGATCCCGCCTATGTCCCGCCCGACATTTTACCTGGGAGCGACCGTGATGTAAACAAATGATTTCACGAAAGTTTCAAGAATTCAAAATAATTTAAAGATTATAGGCTAGCCGTTCGATAAGTCATCATACAAGCTTAAGATCAAAACAAATAAAGAAACTTAGATGTACTATAGCTTAAATGAATGTAGGAAAGGGCGACGAGTCTTGACCGAGTAGTGATTTAAAATATGCATGATTCGTCGGGTAACATGGCCGTGAACTTGAATTTTATATATTTACACAGAAATTTTGTAAATAGGTCGTTTCTCCTTGTAAATAAAAAGTGAAACAGTTTGCAGGTTTTTACATTGACTTCAGAGGAGGGAGCATTGGTGACAATTACTTTCGAAATGGCGTCCTTAGCGTTGGGTCGTCATGTTCGTATGTGTGTAGTGGATGGTGTACTGTCAAAACTAAAAGGTTTTTCGTTTAACAAAGGAAAAGTAAAAGAAGTACTCGTTCGAATAGGGAGTTCTTTACATTTTCATAGAGACAAATATTTGTTCCTTTCTTCAAGTAAGAATAGTGATCGTGTTCACAAGCGTTTCGATCTAGTTTAAGTTATTACGTAAATGAATGTCTACGTTCTCGCCGTTGGATCTTATTGAAGGTCACTATCAATTAGTATACCTTTTTCATTGATGTTTCTCACCTATAATTTTTGTGCGAAATGACCACTAAGAACGGTCCAAAACTTGTGCTAAAAGACTTGTGCGAAAAGTCTTTTGTAAGGCTGTGGTAACTTGACTTTTTAACTAGGTGTGACAAACTGATCAGCAGGTGTAAATTGGAAATATGTGGGAGTTTTAACCTGCAGAGAGGAGTTAATATATTAGGCCCTAGGTGTGAAAAGCCCCAGCAATATTGTAAATATTGTCTACCTGAAATAACCCTTTAACTCCCAGTGGTGATCAATATGCAACTTCTCCCAATAATATTCATACATTATCCAGCAAACAGGTAACAAGAATACTCAAACTTTTCGGCTAGAAGTTGTTATCTTGATCTAACTCCAAATTCTCATAACTAATTTACAAAGAAATGTGTCAGTGGTTAGAGGGGAGAATTAACAATCAGATTTTGGGAGTTAAAGGGTTAAATTACCGACTCGTACCTGTTCAAATTTCAACAGAGCTTGAATGCACATAATACTGCTGTGTGCAATTGCATGGTACATGCTTTTGTTGATCCTGAAACCATAGACTAAACTTCGATATCCATTTATCCAACATTCTGATATTACAAATACACGATTTGTCGAGCCAACAAATATTTCCACTTGACTGTATCCTTAAACAAATTGTACATGTTGGGAGATTTTCTGGCTGAGGGAAATCCTGGAAAGGTATATTTATTGTGGAAAGAACTGGCTTTTCAATAACAAGAATTATTATGGTAGTTTTTCACCAAATGAAAACCAGAATCTGATGATGATTTGTGCTCAGATTGTCTCACAAAATAGATTGGAGTAATGCAGGGCAATTACATTAATTATTTTTTTTCTGATAGCCACTTGGCTCCTAAATTTTTCAAAGTAGTAGTCAATTCAAAAAAGTTGGTTACCATTTTTAAAGATAAGGTCATGATGAAGCATTCTAGTTGCCAATTTGGCAACTAATTTTCAGGATTTGGTCGCCAAAGTGAAAAATGCAGTCACATTGGCACCTGTATTAGGCGCAATTTCACGCCCTGTAAAGGTGTAATTATATAAATTCTAGACTAACGCTTTATCTAGCAATCATTGTCCATCAGACAAATAATAGGGGGAGGAGGGGGCTTTCCAAGAGAGCCAGACAAAGTACCATAATTTTCTCTAACAATTTTAATTAAAATCTGTTTTGTTAAACTCCAAAAATGAAGAAAGAGAGATGCCCCCTTGAACAGGTAGTGAAACCCACGAGTTACTTGATTACAATTTCCTACAGAGACTAATGTAATTTTTAGGCGGAAGAGGAGTCAGCCCTAACAAAAACTTTTTCACACATCATTAAGTTTGTACATAAACCTATAAATTGAAATTTCCATAACATGGCTCTATGTCTGCCTTTGCTTGTAGGAACTTGTTTGAAAAGCAGAGGTCATAAGCTTTGGTGATCATTTTGATGGCTTCTGTCATAGTAGGGGAATCATTATTGGTACTGTAAAAGAAGATAATTTAAAAAAATCAAATTAACCAATTATTAACTTAAAGTTAAACATGAATTCATTGCTCATGATTACTAGTATTGACTGGTAATCCAAATAAATTATATTGATGACTAGGGGAAGGGTCACTGGGGATATATAACTACTTCGGATTTCATTTTCTGTCATGATTCAAATTTTGAATTTGCATAGATAATTTCCTCCCAATTTTACATTAACTTTCACTTATTTTAGTTAAAGGGAACAAATACTCAAGGGAAAGTCCAAATCAAACTGGTAAGGAAAAATCCTAAGTCCATAAACAATTTAAAAGAACAAACATGAATACTTTTAACCCTATGAATGTTGCAGCATGATTTTCCAGAAAATATCCCCACAACCCAATGGAAGGTCATTGGAAAATATGAGGGGGGTGGAGAAGGGGTTCTTCATTATTGTCCGCCACGGCGTATTTCGTAATCCTTGTTTATTTACTAGTGCCCAGTTTTCTCTCTGTGTAGACTTGTCTCGTCCCAATGCTCACACCTGACGGATTAGTTGACAGCCGTGCGAACTAAGTTCTGTTGCAATTTTCTACTTAGACTGCAAAAGGAATCTTTTTTAAGGAATCAACATAGTATCAGATTGGAAAGGTAGAAAGACACGAAAGAGCAAACAATAAACCAAAACTACGAGAAAAGACGGCTGAGAATGAAAACTTCGCTCTATAGAAGTGCTGAGTTCGGCATTAACATACATGTTCAACATTCTTTTCAACGAGACCTGAGGTCCATGTATCGCACATTCTCGAACGGCAGATGCATTTGATATCCATTTAGTATCCGAGTTGGTACCTAATTTTCATAAGTTAGTAACTTTCCAATCCTTTTGTCCACACTTTCTTAAAATATATGCAATAAGCTCTATAAAACAGTCGTTTTCGTTAGTGGACGGCGCTAATGACTCGTTTTGATCAACCAGTTTTATGTTGGTTGTGGAAGTATCTTGATTCCACCGTTTATTGTTGTCATACGAAGTGTGTGAAGCGACTCAAATAATAGACGTCTGCGGAAAGATATCCCTGCTCCGCGTGAACTCTGGGAAACACCGAGATATCAATTTCGTTTGTTTTCAGTGCCGCGCAACACAGATTAAGCTGGGAAGAAGGAGTCAACTACTGCTCGTGCTCTATAGCACCACTGATTTTGTGCGCTTTTAATATTGAATTCGAGGAAACAGTATTCCATCGGTCTAAATAACCGTCTCTGTTTGCATTTCATTTCAGATCAGCGGCATATCGATCACTGCAACTTATGAATTTTGCAACAAAATAGACTGTTTATTTAGGATGAAAGGCGTTAGCCACCACCATTCTCTGTCGAGTCAATCAAAGTCCAGTGAAATAAGTGGATTCGTTATAACAACAAGAAAGCTTTTTCATTTTATTCCTATAAAGTCTAAGTAAATGTGATACAAACTTTTCCTACCTAAATAAGCCAGATCTAAAACTTTCTGAGAACCATGTAAAGTAAGTTAATCCACAGTTCCTTTGCTATTATCTTCCGCTGCGCGCGTTGGAAAAATCAGAAATTTCCTTCATCTCGAAGCATTCATTTTAACCCTAAAATCTTAAAATTACTCGGTGGAAAATAAGTCTGCATGCACACAAAAATATGACGTAACTGACTAAAAAACTGCTCGATGAAAGATTAAAGCTTTCCTGATTTCACCACAGTGGGTGATTATAATAACACAATTTCGCTTCACGCGACGTATGTACAGATAGAGTTTTATTTTTCTTGTTGTTAATTTAGAATATCTCTGGCTTAAAAATAAATAAATTTAAAATGAATATTTCGGTTAGAAGCAACGCAAATATAAGAACGGACAGAATAAATAAAATCTATAATTCGTTCAAATTCCCAACTATTTGAGGAGTTTAACTTTAGACTTCTGAGGGAAATTACACACACCAAACTACTTCCCTTTGTAAATTGAAATTAAAAGAGCGAGATCATTGCTCACGTGATTATAGAAACTGATGCAAACGATCTCATTGGCCGAAGACCGAGTCATATCTCGATAATATAACGCCACGCGAGATGATCTTTGCAGGGACATTTTTCTCTTCGGATTGAGCTTTCCTCTATTAGCTTCTCGTGAAGATCCGTTAACACATTCCTTCAAATTATCAACCCGAGCCCCGCCTCACCTGACAAACTCATTTTGTTAAAAGCGCTCGTGAAGATCACGAGTCACAAAAAATTACTTGTACGCGATTCAATAAAGCGCTCGCTACAGAGGCTACCTCTTACCCCAAAATAAACGATAAGCTGTGCCTGATGTAATAATCAACTCGGCTTATCGAAGAAACGGCTTTCCTCCCTTAACACTAACATACACAGAAAAAAAATACAGCCTTGTTGGAAAAAAAACATATATAAAATTAGGGAAGTAGACTCCGTTCATGTCCACGAAAATGAAGCTCTGGTGAAGGGAAACAAAAAAAAAGAAAAAAAAAAAAGAAATAACACGTTAAGAAAACAAAATATCACTTCTTTGGCTTCATTGGAGTGGACTTGGTATGGCTCTATCTAGGTTTTTTTTAACAACTAATAAATTTATTACCGAGGCTTTTTCATCACCCTGTAACACCACGTAAAAGATACTAAAGGAAATTTAAATAACTTCAAGAGACGGGAAATTTTCACACTGTGGTTTCCAAAACAACATTCTCTTTAGGACTGCTATCCCGTTCCATGTCTCCCAGGTTCCTCTCATCTTCCGATGAATATTCAGGAGCTGTCTCAAAGGACGAGTTTGAGTCCTGGTGCGAGAGATTCTTGGAACCACCGAGAGAGATGCTGATAGAATCCTCGTCTATTGAGGAATTATTGTTAGTGACACCATTCTTGGAGCGTTTGGATTGCTTTTTTTCCATTTTAGCTGCTTCTTTCGCCTGCTTGCGTCTGTAATTGATTTCTTGAAGCGCTGAGTGGATTCTGAAGTGAAGTCTGCTTTGTAACAAATGGTTTTCGTAGTCTTTCCTGGCGGTTCAAAAAGTACGTTCTCAAAGATTTGTTGAGGAACGCTGGGGTATAAAAACTAGCGGATCAATGTCAGTATTCTCTCCAAGTGCACACTATATATGGTATGAGGTATGATTCTCACAGGGTAATTTGGATTAACGTCAGTATCTGAGCAACTGCACACCTACCCCTCCCGTAACCAGGCAACAGTCAACTGATAAAAAGTTAGGGTTAATGTTGGGTTAGGGGAGGGGTAGGTGCACAGTTGCTCAGATACTGATATCATCCCATTGGGATCTCATACTTCATACCATGCATAGTGTACTCCAGGAGAGCAGTATCAATGCACCACGTGTTGAGTCCCCCAGCCATCAGTTTAATTACACATAACTTAAAATTAGCATCATTCAATTAGAACCCCACTCAAGCACTCGCACTTATCGGAGTTTAACTCATTTTACAGAGGCCAATAGCAAGCGTCCTACATGTATACAGATTTATGAGAGAGAAAACAGTATGAACAGATTACGGTGCATTCTTAAGGATAAACGTTAAGAACTGAACTGCTTTGATCCTTTGCCACGCTCCAAACCTAGAAGCTCTTACATTTTTCCCGCGCTTAAACACGGCGACACCGAGCCACGCTTATCACCGGTTGCATGTTTTCCCGCGCTTAACACCAGTGGCACTTTTTCCCGCGCTTTACTTGCACTTGCAGGTCTGTTGGATATTCCACGCTGCTTAACAACACTTGCTAATGTTCATGCACTAGACAGCTTTTCTAAAACATAGGTTGCACGTCTTCTCCGAGTTCTGCCTTGCTTTCTGTTCTGAAAATTTACCATCACTTAGAAAAATCGACTTGCTTTTTCATACCTTGTTTTATTGAGGTATTCTTTGGCTTGATCCAGATCTCCCTCCTCTAGGTACAGAAAGCCAACTTCTGCGCATGCGAAGGGAGCCTAGTAGAAATCCTTAACTAGGTCCTTTGATCTGCAATACGAAAAAGGAGGAATAAGGTGCTTGCACTCCCTGGTTGGGAAAGGAGGCCGACAAAATGTCACGCCAAAAACAAACCAAGGGAAAAAAATGGGCTATTAGAGCTGGCCGAGAGTGGCCTGGATCCGAGAACTCTCTCAGCTCGATACACTCATTTGCCATAATTTTCTCGCGCTTGTTTTTTGTTCCCATACTCGAAAAGGAGTTGCACGGATCATATAGTATAAACTCGTGGTTTTAACTCTTTCACTCTCAAGATCCATTTCAAAAATTAAGAGGAAAATGATACGAAATAGCAAGTTGCCGCAAGCAAAGTTACTGACCTGTTTACCGCATTAAGGAGGCTCTCCATAGCTTCTTTCGGTTTGTGCACACAACGGAAACACATTCCCTGAAGCAGGTATCCAAGACACAAATCATCCATGTAATTTGTATTTTTACCTGAAAAAAAAAACAACAACAACAACAACAAAAAAAGGAAAAAAAAGGAAAGACTGTCACGTTGTTTTGTTTTTTAAATATGAAAAAATTTGGAATGACGCTGGGGACCTGGAACTAAAGAGATAAGTGCAGTTGAAAGGTCTACGCGAAACTGCAAGTCTGCTCCTCGACGGGGTTTGGGTTCTAATCATAGCCGCCGCCAATGTAATGCTGTATGTGATGCAGTACTAGACCGGGCTTAAATTTCACATTGCTACTCTTTATCCAGGACTCCTGGAGTATTCATGGTTAGGCGGTACCAATAACACGGAAATACGTTAATAAAGAACCGCAAACTCGTGATCCGGAAACTTGTGATCATGGTTTTATTCGGAAAAAGGTCGTCATATATGTTCGTTAGTTGAACCGCAGATGTAATAACAGAAATATGGGTTTTCTAGAATAAAAAAAGTGATTTAATCGGAAACCTGTGTTGGTGCGTTATCGACAGTAATTTTTACTAATTATAGTTTACCTTTAGTTTCTTCCAACTCTACCAGTTACCGTTTGACAAGTTTCAACATTGGTTCCACTAAGTGTGGCCTGCGATGAAGAACTTTGAAGCCATTCCAGAGCAATATAAGTTCCTAAAGAGAGAGTCAGTTTAGGGCTTCCTTAATTCCTCAGAGGAAAAAAGACCTCGTGTATGTATCATTTGTCTTACATATATCCTAATTCATCTCCAGTCCTCTCCCCTTGCCGTCTCGAAAGAAAAACGTAAGGAGCCTAGGAACGACATTGCTGCCGTTTGAGAATGGCTCATTCTTCGATAGTTCAAGACCAAAAATAAAAGTATTCTCTAACAACGTAATTATACAAACATCCATGTGACGCTCTAGCCAAGCTGACATTTCTAACGTTTACAGAAGACAAAAACTGTTCTGCCAATCGGGCTAGAAATAGTCTCACTCCAAAAATTTGCCTTATCATCAGATCTGTCCGCTTCACAAAACGGAGAAAATAGATTTTTGACATACGATTCTCCTCGCACTTACCATTCCAGGAAGAAATAGATTGTTGCCTTGTTCCAGGTGCTTAGGTTAGCTTTGTGAATTGAAAATTTCTCAAATGGAACGGACTTTCCAGCGATGCGCTGCTTGTATTCCGGAAGTCGCCTGATACAAAGAAAACCAACTGGTATCCAATCGTTTTCAAACCATATGTGAGCGGCGCGGGAGCGCAACGTATGATGGTTTAGGAGCGAGCAAAAGAGGAACATTTCTTCTATCTCTCATTCCTATCACTCCCTGTTCCCCCATATTCCCAGTTGCTCGTGCCCTATGGGAACAACTGGATACGATATTATTCTCTGGTTTTTAGAAAGGACTTTTTGAAATTTCCCGTCAACTGCAGCTGTTAGTAAGTCTCTCTTACACAATCTAAGAGGCAATAGCACAAACTTACGTTTTTAATTACAATTGTATTACGCGTTTTTTTTTTTCCATGCTTGATACCCTTCCAAGTTTTCCTTTAACACTTCAACGTTCGCCTCAGAGAGAAGGGGTAATTTACTCCCGATTTGTCCATTATAGCAAGCGGCGGCAAGTATCCCAAACTAAAGGGGCGCCTTGTTCAGGCTTCATGTTAAATAAAAGGGCGGGGATTTCACGGGTACAGGTTGGCTCTGAGAGGTTAGACTTCGCGTGGAAACTTCCCCTTTGGATCTTTTAATACCCTGTCTTTCCGGGCGCTCTTGGATTCGCCTGTTTTTTCGGTAAAGCATTGCGGGCGCAATGCAAGAGCCTTCGCCCAGGGCGATAAATTTACATAAAGTGTAAATAACAAGTAACTGGGGTTGGAGTCACAGAGGCAATAACAGAAATAGTAGTAAAAATAATCTACAAAAGTTTGCCGCTCCTTCTCCGCTCTCTTTTCCTTCATATTTACCTGAAAAGATACTCCTCAGTGTCCTTTTCACCTTGATCGTCTTCTCTCGCGAGCTCCAGGTTTGTGATTCTCGCCATAACTCTGAAGCAAGTTTTAAAATACATGTAGGATGTCTGCCGAGGAGAGGGTTTGTTCAGGCTTTAGTTAAGGTCATGCAATGCAGCTGCAATTCTGTTCCAGCACCATATGAAAGCGTAAGACTGAGTAACCGTGCTACCTTAGAGTCATTTACTCTGAAAAAGGACTAAAACTCGAAAAATCAGCTTTAGAAACTCTTTACGATGGCCAATTTCCATTATCAGCTTCGTTCATAAATCCAAATAATCCTGTATTAACTCAAACCGTTTCTTTAGAAACTTTCTCCCTTTATTCATTAACCGTGCTTCTGTTCAGCAAATCTTCTGAACGTCGTGGAAAATGAGACTTAACAACTACGTACCTTAATGCCACTGAGAAAAATGTGTAAGTTACTGAGGCCTCCATTCACTTTCTCTTTAACAATGGTGTTTTAGCTAAATTTCACACACGTTCTCTCTTAATTTCCTTCCGTCCTTACCCGTGACCAGCGGCTTTCCTTCAAAAGAACACTTGCATAGTGGTACGCTGTGGCCCAGTCCCCCTCATACCTGATGAGACAGAAAAAGAGGATTTTAGTTATAATTTCCTACAACAAAAACAAAACTTTACCATGCGACAGCAGTTATGACAAGGGAGATGACTTCATCTATACTTTCCATTGGAGAACGTTTTGTGACTGTGACAAAGGGGACACAAATTAAACGTCACCTGAACAGTCTTGTGTGACGATAAACTTACGAATAACACCACATCAACTCCCAGTAACAGATATGATGGAACTGTTTCCATTCAGACTGAACTGCAATTGAGTCGTTGTGGCTTTTGGTGGCCTGTAACCAAAATTTAAAAAAAGACAAACAGCTTACAGTAAAATCACATAATGTCATGTCGCCGATGTCATATCACGTCACGTCATGTACTATCATGTCGCATCACGTAACGCTATTCGTGACATGTCGAGTCACGCTGCACAGCACGTGATGTCGCGATGTCATGTCACGTTACGTAACGTACTTTCAGGCCACATCGTGCAACGCTATTCATGACCTTACATATCACCTGTGTGTGGTTAGAGGGGGATAGGCAGAGGGACAACTGAATCATTTTCACAAGCCCCTATTCTCCAGGAGCTTGGGTAGCTGTGATAGTGTATCACATCACAACAGTTAAACATAATGTTTCTTATTCAGAATGATGCACCCCTGTATTAATGAGTCGATCTGATTCGTTTGCATCATCACTGACCTCATCCAACTTTCCTTGAACTTGTTTTATACGACCAGCGTAGTACAAGAATATCGCTCCCTAAAATAATAAAAGAGTTTCAAAGAAAAATTTGAGACAAACAGTTATCCCAGAGACTATATATACTAATAACCAACGGTCAATTTTGCCAAGTCCTTGTAGAAAAAAAGGACGCAGCTAACACAGCAAATTTGCGACACTGGAATGGTGAGCATATTTTATCCTTTACACCCTTGTATCAGTATGCATCTTCTCCAAACCGTTCTCTTTACATTCCTGAGGTGCTGAAAAGGAGAATTTATTTAACAATCAAGAATTACTTCTAGTCTTTTCCCTTATTATTATGACCTTAATGTTTGATCCAGGGGTGATACTGTGAGGAGAAATTTGCATCTTATTCAAGTGGAAGGCTGGGAAGTCGCATTTTAAATGTTTCAAAAAACACGAATGAACTGTAAGTACAATTTATAGCTCGTGTCATTGGAAACTGCTCTCTTTGCTGCATTATTCCTGTGATATTGACGGTTTTGTCTCGTCAAAACTGACTGCAGGACCTTGTCCATCATTTGTGCGATTTGTTGGTGATACATGTACATCTTTTTTTAGTTCAAAGGCATCAAGAACGACGTGAGGACTAGGAGGGCCTGGTTACACTGGTACGACATTCCTTTACAGCCAATCAGATTGTGAGTTTCCAAACAATTGCCCAGGAATTACGGCAATAGTGCATGATAAGTGCAGTTCTTTGATTAAAATACCTTCGGCGGAAACGCCTTCAGATGCGGCTGAAGAATTTCCTCGGCGTACATAACATCTCCCTCGCCGTTTCCTGCCGGAATAAATGACAATATTTCAGTAGAGGCTTCAAATTAATAGAATAAGCTGAAACTCAACAGAATAGACCTCTATCCCATGCTAGTGACAAGACGAAAACCCATCTTTCGCTATTTCTCTACCGAACTCAAAACTTACCATCTTTCTTGTTCTAGTAGAACTCTTGTTTTAAACAGAATTTCTATAAAATTTTTTAAGGAAACAGGGTTTTTTTTTTTTTCGATGACCGTAGGTAGGGTATCCATTAATAAGAATGACTATATTCGTTAGAGTATTAGCAACTCCTCTCACCAAATGCGTTTCCATTTTACGAATCCTTAACCCAACCTGTGTGTAACGCGTGCCTATCCAAAAGTTAAAATTTTGGAGAACCGGAAAAGCAAACACAACGCGCAGCAAATTTCCATAAATCATATTTTCCCAAAAACAAGCTCCAGTGAAAGAGGACCATTGAAATAACTTATTTTCAACGAAAAAGGCGACAGATGCATATTAACTATAACTTCTACTTTGTGATGTTTTAATTTTGTGATTGCATATTCTGATCGCGCGGGTGAATGTAGTCCTGTGGGGGACTGTTGACGGTGGTTGACACTGATCTCAGCGGAAGTCATCACTCGACTCTGATGATCGCTAAGGTTGTAGAAGCGGCATTTAGGGCCTGTTTACATGGAGGTAGGGGACCCCACGTAGAACCTCTTATTTTATCTTGATCACGTTTACATGATAGGTGGGTGACCCGAATTTTAAACTTCTTAGTTGCAAGTGTAATAACAACCTCGAGAAACCTCACTCCGGCATCCAGGGGTTGTAAGATCGTATGTAAACGCGGGCTATTTTTCGACATGGCTAGGCCGGTTACCTCACCTACCAGCTGGGGTTCCCCACATCCATGTAAACAGGCCCTTGGTGCTGCCGACAACAGTTGTTGGATACTGTACAATACGTTAATTATTCTTAATTTGATTGACATTCACTAGTGATTTCATTTATCTCTACGTAACCAAACAAACATGTATGCGGCACGCGTTGTATCGTCCCTTATATAGCACTGTTCAACGTGCTTACAACGGGACGTTTAGTGCGTGTTTCTTTCAAATAAGCCGAGAGTTGTGAGTTGGAGTTAACCAAAGTGTTGCAGTAAAATCCGGCGTTAAATCAAGTGAATAAACCGTGACTTAATAAGGAAGCGTAGTACAGCTTTTTCACGTTTTTAACACAGTCCTTCTCTTATTGGACTACCCTCACCCGGACGTTCAGATTACACGATCAAACGTTTCCCACGGGTTCACGCCACTATCTGCGTCGGTGTACATACTATAAGATTTTAAGCCGTTAACTAACGGCGTAAAATCTCTCAGTATGTATATATACCTTTCCTCCTTGCAACTTGCAATGTTTGCCCGGTGGCGATCACAGAAATCTCTGCGTAAACGCAAGGATCCGATTACTGGCAACTCATTCATTGTTTACGATCGCAGTAGGTGGTGTGCGCACTCTGATTACGTTGCATCATGGTCGCAATACAAAAAGTAAGTCATTTGCATCCTGTCGCGGTTGAATGAACATCTTTGGTGGCAACAAGGTAGCGTGAATATAAGTGGAATGTAATGAGGATTCACTGTCTGTTGCCGTTCCTTCGAAAGTAAAAAGTTGTTTCCGGGCCTGCGCGACTCCTGTAATTCCCCCGTGACGAATTCGCTCAACACCTAACGAGATACCTACGATGACTTTGGCAGGAGTCACACAAGCCTATCAACACCTTTTAACAGTCGACTGCCTTTTTGTTTTCCGGCTCACCAGGCGTGTCGCCTCGCGCAATGTAGAGTTATTCATTAGTCAAGTGATTCCTTTCACTGCTCTAATTCAACTGTCCTTCATTCAATGATCAAGAAAGTAGATTTACCATAAGATACTCGCTATTAGTTAATTTGCTTTTGCTTAGGAAAGTAGATTTACAACACGACTGAGTATATATAGGAATGTCCTTACAATAGTAACGCTGTGTTAACGGTCATAACCGGTCTCCAACAATATCACTTGAAATTCATAAAACACGTTGGAGAGCGTTTAGTCAGAGCTGTTAAAGAAGGATCAAAGCGGCCATTCAAATCTTTGAAAGGCTTCAAACTGAGACGTACCCCGAATTTGACCTTCTCGAAAACCGGTCTCAAGTTACATACTAAAAACAGTGATTGCATTTGTCCTTGAGAACCATTGGATACAAGACAAATACGTACAAAAATACTTCTACAAATTAAGAATCAATCAAATTTCATGTACCTATGGTGAAAAAAAAAAAGGAACGGTCCAGTTTTTACGGAACGTTCAGACAAAATCTGCCGATTTCTGCCGCTTTCACAGCCATATTGAAAATAACGCTACCATAATGCAACACAATCGGAGTGCGTACACCGCCTGCGATCGCACACGCGACTCATACTACTCACTATCTACCATGGACAATATGATGTGTAGCTTAGCCAATCAGATAAAAGCATTTATGACAGAAACCCTGTAAAAACCCCGCACCAACACCCACTTACCTATTCGCATCACGCCCTTATCGCGAGAAAAAGATGATGGAAGGAGAAACTATCTTCGTTCAAACGGACCCAGCGTTTAATGTAGTCCTTCTCGCTCTCCAGGAGTTAAGACACAATAATCGATTTGAAGTGACACACTGTCAAAGAGCCTCTATTGAAGATATAGAAAGTAACGATGAACAAGAAGTTCACAAGTTGAGGTTTGGTGGTCAAAATGCACCCAACATGGCCAGCGAGAGTTTTGGTCGAACGGCATCAGCAGTTTTACGTATGTGCATGCTGAAAGCGGCAGGTATTAATGAAGCTTGGTGGCCGCAAATCGGGCCCAGAGCGAATACTAGGAACCAGGCCAAGCTGCAACTTGAGGTGTTGATACAACCGCTTTTCAGTCTCGCAAATGACCGGTCTACAGCGAGACACTACTGGTGGAAATATGATCAACTCTACCCACATTTTCGAATACAAGATACATTGGAAAACTTAAACATCAATGATGAAGGTAGTATGCCAAGTATGATGCTTATTTTCCGCAACAACTGCACGGAGGTGATTGAGATAAACACCACATTTACTGCTCGGCCGAGGGAACAGCATCAGTTCAATAGCACAGTCAGTGTCACCTGCATTGTGCGAGAAATTTTAGAAGGTAAAGACCGACCACACACTGCCCGCTTGAAGGAGTTGATCCAGCCCTTCAACATTCCAGATGAATATTTCAAAGAAGTAATGAACTTAAAGGACGAGAACGATGCACGCCACTATCTTCAAGGTAATAAAGATGATGAAAATAGCGAAGAAGTCAAAGAGGAAGACAGCGAGGAAGACAGTAAGGACGACAGTAAGGAAAGCGCAAACTAGAACTTATTCAACATACAATAGGCAGCAAAAGATAAACTGATAATGAAAACATTATTATAGTTCTTAGGATTGATTGCTATAGGTGGAGGTATGTTTAAAAGTAGGTAGGCATCTGACTGACTTCAGTGAATTGTTTGTACTTCCACGCTCTGTGCTTCAGAGCAGAAACCTAGTTTTTCTACTGGCATTTAGGACAATTTAGTACGCAACTTGTGCACATCAATTTTACAGGGTGTTGAGAAAGCGCTCGTGTTCAACATTTTTGCACAAAAATAATACTGTTTGTACTACAATTTCAATAAATATTATTCTTTGATTAGATGAACTCAACAGATTTTCATTTGCATGTCTGAACAAAATTGCATGTCTGAACAAAATTGCATGTCTGAGTAATATGCAAATTTACAAATTCATAACCACTCGAGCAGAGTAGGAAAAGGGATTCCGACGAAATTGCGTTTGTTTGTAATTTGTGAGTTTAGGAAAAATGCATGGGAATTTATGAAGTCTTCATATTATCGTAGTTTACTTTGATAAATGTTAACGTACGCTGCACTATAACAATAAACGTATTATTACTACAGTCAAGTAGCAAGCTGTTGCAATGTCTTCATTCTCAAATATGTTATGAACTTACTTAAGTGCCACTCTCGCTAAGAGCGGTCCTCTTGACTTCCCGTCGGAAAAAAAAGTTTTCTTTTATTTTTTGCCCATGAAAAGGGTTTAGGACACATGTTTCAAAAAATAGTTGAGTTGTTCTCCAATTCTCTTTTTTTTGCGTCGCCACAAGTCAAAAAAATGATTTTTTGGCCAGACCACTCCTGTGTTGTAAATTTCAAAGATTTTGTTCAGCGCGCAGTGACTGCAACAATGTAGCTCACGTAATACTATCTCGCTACAAGTTACAAGATGTATTCAGTTAGTTCACGGACAAAATATGGAAACTTCAGCTGAAATGTTTTTCATACCAGCGTGATCAGAGCAGACCCTTCTCTACGACCTTAATTTGCATATCAAAAATTCACTACTTTGTACGAAAGAATTCTCAAAATGCAGGCGTTAATCAGGCTGAAAAAGCATATCAGTGCATAGTTTATACACCAATGAGGTCACGGATTGCCTCAAACCCGCGGGTATATCTCTAGCTTCCATTCACCAACCTCTTAAAACAACGCAAATCCATGTGTTTGCTCAACTGCGCTTGTGTCAAAGATCATTTGCATGATTCTTAAAATTGACCAAGATCTCCTTTTGACCGTTCAAACTTCGTTCGTTTATCTTCTACGTTGAGGATTTTAGGTTTTCACAGCAACTGAATGGAGATTAGATGCCGAGTTGTCCTAAAACGTTGCGTAATCGTGATCGGTCGTAACGCTTGCGCGCTTGCATGATTTACAAAGTAGACAAAGGTGATCGGAAGGCGCCTTCTCGATAATTTACGTTGAAATATCAGGTCATGAACTACGCACAGTGTGGAGAAGATCAAAATTAAAGAATAAAATTTGGCACTCTGGTCATAACAGACATATCGCGTTGCTTAAAAGGACACAAAAACAAGTTAAATAGGTTACAGTGTTTATATTTACAAAATAACACGCATACACTCTGAAACAATTCTTGCAGGTTTTTCCCGAGATTTAGTATACGGAACCCGATGAACTAACCCTCCTTTCTGCAAATTTGTTTCCGTCATCAATGATGTTACATTCTAATGGACCACAACGGTTTTGAGCGACAAACTCGACATTTCCCTGCGACCATCAAAATCAACTGGACAAACCCTGCTTGATGTATTGCGAGACGTGATTGTGCAAACTCTCCTCTTTGTCATACGACCTGTTTCGCACGCTCTATAAGTTGGAACCAAAATTAGTTAATGTAACTAATTAGCATCGAAAGTTATTAAAGTGGACTGAAGAATTTTACATTTTAACGAGAATTTCATCTTTTAAAATGTTTACTTGACCGCTTCTTAGTGCTTAGAGTGGCACTTCAAGAGATATAAACGCAGGCCTGGAACAGTGAGATTTTCTGTGTGCTACAACTATGAGCACTTGTTAAAGTTCGTAAAAGGAGACCTTAGAGTGCTTAGAAATCAGCTAAAGTTGAGAGATTATTTGCTCACAACATAATCTTCTGCAGGCAGAATAGTAGTCAAGTCGATGTACTTAACGCTGCAAACACCAAGTGCCTTTTTCAGGTTTCAAACTGTCGTTTGCTTAATTTCGCAGCTTTTTACAGCAGCACAAATGTAGTCATACAGTAAAAATCTAAAGACAATTCTTTTGATAAATCTGACCACAAAGCAGCACAAATGTAGTCACACACTTAACATATCAGGACAATTAAATTGATAGATCTGACCACAAAGCAGCACAAACGTAGTAACTATTATACAGTAAACATTTTAAGACAATTCCTTTGGTAAATCTGACCACAATAAGTAATAAATCTGACCACTTACCAAGGTAATTAAAGCTGTAAATCTGACCACTTACCAAGGTAATAAGTTATTACACTGTGATAGGCGAGCAGAACCATGGCACACATGGGCGATCTTAAGTTCTGGTCTCTCAGCATCCTTGGTCGAAATGATCCAGACCTAAAACTGTTCATAAAATGGGAGTTAAAAGTCACATCTCATCGTTGGGTTTTTTCAACATCTGATAATCAATTCTCCTTTTCTTATTACTACACATCTTCAAGTAGATAAGTTAAGAGAATTAAGTTATACATCCAAGTATTGCCCTTCACTAAGAGCTGGATTAACCATTTAACCCCTGAGAGTGACTAGCATCTAATTTCTCCCAGCAGTATAACCCCTGCATCACACAGTAAGGTCATGAGAATCAGTGTTCTCCAGAAGCACAGGCAGCTAGCGTTTTAGCTGGCTACTCGCATCTCAATCACTGGCTACTTTTGTTAGACAAAACCGCAGAAAATTATTTCCCTTTTTTTGCAAGACAATTTCAAGCATAGCTTGAATTTGCGCTTGATTTGGAAGCGCTGGCTACTTTACAATTCTAGCTGACTACTTCAAAATCTGTGGAGAACACTGGAGAATAAAGCAAATGATCAACAACTAAATATTCTCTTGATTGATAAACAAATTCTCTTTGTCAGCACCTTAGGAAATGTATAGAAAACAGTATGGTGAATATGCATACTGATGTTTGGGGGTAAAGGGTTATTAAGTTTGTGCACTCCAAACATCTGGTCATAGAATTATATATTGACTTAATTGTGAGGATCATGTTTCATGTAAATCACCTCTGGAGAGTTGACATGAAATTTCAAAATAAAATCACTTGTCTAAACCTTATGGCATTTTGATTGAGTTTTATATATTAACTGAAACGAATAAAAAAGTTATCAAAAGTGATAATCACATTTTAAATCCTATATGAATTCAATAAGTAAGCCATTAAAACTTCACATTGAAGTTAAGCAAAAGCATTTATTTTAGTTTCCACACAACTCAAATTGGCTCTTTGAAAGAATCTCTGCCATGTCTAAGGATTTGGATTTTGACTCAGTCTGAGGAACAACAGTGTTACCTTGTCTCCTGGAAAACCAATCCACTCTAGCAACTTGATTATCTTTGTAGGAAGCAGGGACAACATCTAAAAGAAGACAATCAAAATGTCAACATGTTAACATTCTGTGAGCAAAATGTTACATTGGCAGTCTAAATAAGATAATTTACTTTTGAGGAAAATTAACTCATCCCAGCTTCTTCCACACAGAGTGACAAGGAAAATTGCTGCTCTTCCTGAAATGGAAAGTGGTCTATCTCTCTTCCACTTCCAGCATAATACTTTCTGAACTGCTCCAACATTTTGTCCCTACCAATCATGGGTGCATGGATAGAGGCATTACAAGACACAATTGTCCTAATCCATGGTCTAGTATTGATGGCAAACACAAGCACTTCCAAATACTCATAGCTTTAGAATGGACACAACATACCAGTAAGATAATCGTGATAATTTTTAATGGGCTGACCAAATGAAGTTCACCTAAGTTTCTGTAGACTCACCAAATTAAATCCTCCAATGCCAAGATGAACTCCCCCTTTAAAGTCCTTTCTTTGTAGTGAATGCTGAAGAGATGATGGCTGATGGGCGACCATGTCCAGGCAAGTCCTGAGTTGAGAGAAATACCACAATATACAAATCAACAACAGAAATTATACAATTATATGGGTCTGCAATAATAATTGCTGTGAAAAAAAATTATCTTCAATGGATCAGTACATTGTAATGTTCCAAAATTCACTCCAAAACTTACTTGTAAGTTTCATCAGCACTTCTGATTTTTAGAGTTCTGCAAATGAAGCTGACCAGATTTTCATCGTGATGAGAAATTTATAAGAGTCGATCATATATATACAGATAGGAAAATTCATCTATATTATTGGGCATTTTTAAGAAAACAATTATTCCAATTGCAGTTGTTGAATATGACATGATTATAGCCAACTTGGCTCTATGGGCCAATTTGCAGGTGGGATTTGCACCTGAAAGTATTTCAATCATTGTAGGAATAAATGAGCTAAAATCAACCTTTTTTCCTTCTGTTATCTCACCGTTTTAGTATGAACAAAAACAACTATTCACGTCAGTGTTGCTGGCTAGTGGTGGACATATATGTGCCGGTTTGCAGCTCCCATAGGGTGAACAATTGTTAAATATTTACTGACAGTGAACTAGAGTCAACCCTTTTTACAATAATCTATACCTGAATAAATGTGAGTAATGCCCCCATAAATAAACATTTGGCATAGCACAGCTCAGCATGTCTTTCCCCTAGAATGGAACAAAACATATCAAAAACAGGACCGGTCCTGTTGTGAAACATCATAATCAAGATATAAAACTAAAACAAGGACAGTGTAAGAGAGTACCTTCTGTTAAATTATTATAGGATGGATTCCAAATCCAGCTGATAAATGACTCTGTCCATGCGTGTTTCCTTCTGTATCTCCCTCAAACTTGTTTAAGTTTAATGCAATCATCATAAAACAGAAAGAGCAATCCCTGTTCCAAAGATTTAAAAAAAGAGTTACATTGATGTAAAAACTATCACTTATGAAACTCTTTGATCTGCAAAATAGACTTCACTCCTTAAAAAAAAATTATGTTGTTTCGAGTACTGGCTTGTGATTGGCTGAAAACTATACTAAAGAACACTTACTCTGAATGAGAATTTAGAACTACTGAATAATATAAATAGTTACAGTAAAATGTGATTGTTCAAACGATGATTTAGAACTATTGAAAATTAATTTACAGGAATATTTGCACAGGAACTTGATTGTTTATTATCTGGTAAGTAGCTAACACTACTTTAGTCCTTACTTGTAATTCTGACAACAGGTCCTAATTTTCAAAGCTCCCCACACAAAACTGACAAGATTGTCATCCTGCAGTAATCAATCAACATATTCAGACATAATTTTAATGAACACAAATGTGACTGAACTGCACTGTTTTATAGCATATGGTATACATCAACACAAGAATCCTTCGGCAAAATAAAATTTTTTAAAACCAGACCTATGGAGTGGGTAATGCACAATATTTATTGTTCTCTATTACCTGAATAAATGTAAGTAAAGCATCAAGAAGAAAACATTCTAGCACAGCTTAGCATGCATCTCTTCTGCAAAGAAAGATTCATTTACATCAAAAATGATTTCATTTCATTCTCAATTTAATTAAATTTACTTTAGTTCAACTACTTAGTTTCAAGCCCTCAACTCAAAAAAAAATCAAATAAAATTAGAGAAAGATTTAAAAAATAGCAATAAATCTCGAAACCAAAACCTCTTAAAACAGTAAATAAATTAAGTCTAGCAGTTAGCTTATCAAGTCTCTATTAAATTTAATGTGTAGAGTTACTAGCATCAACGACTTTTAATTTAAAAACTTTGTTTAATAATGAAGAAAAACTGAAGATCAATGTACAAACCAATACAAAACTCATTCTATGCAGAACTCCATATCCAGCTTGAAAATGTTTCTGACCATGTTGGCTTTTTTCTTTGTCTGAAGATAAAATAATCAAAACAATTCTGTTTCAATCAATAATCGTAATGCCTCATGTATTTTATTGGTGTATTCCTTTATGAATAAATAGCCACTGTCAACATGTCCATAAACAGATCATTGTTAGTACCTTTAACATATATTCACAGCCAACTTGACACTTTTACTTGCCTTTTGAATTGCTGGCTGGAAACAGAGAAAATAATTTCAATTCAATTCTCTAGATTAGCATCTTAAATTTTACAATGTGAACCTTGTGAATACCAATCATACTTCTGTGACAAATCATGTAGTTCAAGTTATCAAATATGACAAGATTCTACCAGCCAACTGTTTTGGAGTCAAAGGTATAAGATTTCTATTCTGGAAGAAAACCCCATTACATTCAAAGGACAAGAAAAGAGTACATTTTCAAAGATGTTCTAAATATTTGCAAAATTAATCTGAATCGTATTATTTCCAAGATGTCCTCTGTCAGGCGCTTGGAAAAAACTTTTTCTAGACTGCTCTGTTCTCATCTTGATTGGAATCAACTTTATATGTATTTTACTCTCTAAACTTTTCATTAGGTAACCGGACATTTCGCACAAGTCTTTTAGCACAAGTTTTGGACCATTCGCACAATTCTTAGTGGTCATTTCGCACAATAATTATGAGTGAGAAACATCAATGTAAAAGGTAAACTGATTGATACTGATAAGACATTTCACCTTCACAAGATCCAACGGCGAGAACGTAGACATTTATTTACGTAATAACTTCAACTAGATCGAAATGCTCGTGAACATGATCACTATTCTTACTTGAAGAAAGGAAAGATACAAATCTCTCTCTCTATGAATATGTAAAGAACTCCCAATTCCAACGACTACTTCTATAACTTTTCCTTTGTTGAACAAAAAACCTTTTAGTTTTGACAGTATCACCCACTACGAACATGCAAACATGACGACCCATGGTAAGGACACCATGCTGATTTCGAAAGTCAAGCCTCCTTGTTTGATCGCCTTCAAATAGCATATTTTATCCATCTGTAAGTGTTTCAAATAAAGCTATTGAAAACTTGCTTCTTATATCTTCGTTATATAATGAAAATTAGGCATACTGGTAATACGTACAGCAAAAACAGTTCGACGTTAATAACTCGATATTTAGAGAGTGATTCACATCGAATGTCAGCACATGCAAGTGTTGTGATTTGACAACTTGAACGTGTCAGTGTAGGTAGTAACTAGTGATCTTGTGGAAAGACAAGTTCGATCTGTAATCATTTTAAAGATCGAGAAGTTTAATACATCTATCAAGTAGTAACCTTTCAAATTATTCTAATAACAATTACCTAAGTGATGGAGAGTTCAGTATCGATCGATAAGCATCATAGCTCCCAGGTGAAAATATAAGGTGGGATCCCGCCAATCCCACCTGGGATCCCAGGTGTGTCCCAGGTGGGATCCCACTTGGGATTATGGAACATCCCGCATGAGATCCCGCATGGGATCCTGCCTTAAATTCCTAATAGCATCCCACCAATCCCACCTGGGATCCCAGGTGTGTCCCAGGTGGGATCCCACCTGGGATTATGGAACATCCCGCATGGGATCAAACATGGGATCCTGCCAATTGAAGTTGGGATCCCACCTTAAATTCCCAATAGCATCCCACCTGGGAAAGCACATCCCAGGCAGGATTAAACCTAGAATCCTACCAATCCCTCTTGGGATCCTGCCTCAAATTTCAGTTAGTTTCCCAACCGGGGAAATCATATCCCAGGCAGGATTGCACGTGGGATCCTGCCAATCCCAGTTTAGACCCTGCATAAAATTTCAGATGGCTTCCCACTTTCAGAAAATTCCTTAATGGGATCCTGTTTAACACTGGAGACCACAGATTTATGAAATGTACCAGATGGGATATCTTATCAATTCCTTTTGTAACCTAATCCTTCAAATTAAGAAGATAAAATTTTCTAGGTGAGCTATAGACCCCCATCAATCCACTGAGGGTCCAAAACTTTCCAACTAGCTATAGAACATACTGACACCTCCAATTGTAACATCAAACAGTACATGAATACACAGACTATATGTGATCAAGATCTCACAATTTATTTGCAAAGAACCAGCATGTGTTCGACGTTGTTTCATCGACAAATTTCTTAACCGAACACTTTTAAAGAATAACAGCACAACTCAGCATATTACTTTTTCTTCATTATTTATGCAGACCATTTACAGTGTAATATGGCTCAAAGTTTAAAAAAATTGGCTGTTGTATATCAAAGAATAGAAGGCAAAACCTCAATAATTCATGTTATCAAAAATTTGACAAAGAAGATAGTGATTTAAATTCTGCTCTCTCTTTAGTCGAATTTTTGAAAGCAAAGCAAGATCAGAATGTTCCCAGACGTGACTAAAGTAATCTTGAAACCTTACTCATAGACTTATTTCATTGTAAAGTGTAAGCGTAGGAAACTGCAGCAAGTGACCAATTCGATTCTCAGAATTATTCGAGTTTCAGTTGCGCCGAGCGTTACGTGAGCTTAATTTGATAAGACTTTGATCACGTAACGAATATCGCAATTTGTACTCACCACAAACTTTCAAAATCCTTGCTTTATAAATGGCCACTCGATCGTTGTTTGAACCAGTCAATGTCAACTGTTTATTGTCCCTTCTTTTAATTCCACGGCGCCAACGACTTTCTTTTCGTTTACAACACTCACGCTGTTCTCGTTTTCCCATTGAACCACAATAAAACCCATCTTTAGAAGTGTTATATTAAGCAAAACAGTTGAGGAAAGAAACAACTTGAAGCAAGAGCGGTTAACCGATGAAAAGTACATTCAAAGATGAGCGCCAAATGGAGTTTTCTTTGTTTCCGATCACGGGCATGATCACGTGGATCTTTTAGCAAAGAGAATCCGCTGGCTTGATCGATTGCAGTCTCAAGAGAAGCGCGCAAAATTATTCTGTCTTTTCTGACTGGTTCTCTTCTAAAATATATATAAAAAAAATAAAATATAATAAAATATATATATATAATATATTCACACGGCAACCAGGTGGACAATCAGACATAGTTTGATGCTACTCTGGTTTGCAGATTTAATTAATGTAACCGAAGAAGTTACAATTCATAGACCCAACGTTTCGACACTCCTGTCTAGTGCCTTCATCAGGGGTGATCTAAACGCTGCAACAAGAGGTCCTTTTATATGACCACTAATTGTAACTTCTTCGGTCGTTGGCGCCGTGGAATTAAAAGAAGGGACAATAAACAGTTGACATATTGACTGGTTCAAACAACGATCGATCAATAGAATATTTAGTTGGTGATCATTTGCTTTATTCTCCAGTGTTCTCCACAGATTTTGAAGTAGTCAGCTAGAATTGTAAAGTAGCCAGCGCTTCCAAATCAAGCGCAAATTCAAGCTATCCTTGAAATTGTCTTGCAAAAAGAAGGAAATAATTTTCTGTGGTTTTGTCTAACAAAAGTAGTCAGTGATTGAGATGCGAGTAGCCGCCTAAAACGCTAGCTGCCTGTGCTTCTGGAGAACACTGATTCTCATGACCTTACTGTGTGATGCAGGGGTTATACTGCTGGGAGATATTAGATGCTAGTCACTCTCAGGGGTTAAATGGTTAATCCAGCTCTTAGTGAAGGGCAATACTTGGATGTATAACTTAATTCTCTTAACTTATCTACATGAAGATGTGTAGCAATAAGAAAGGAGAATTGATTATCAGATGTTGAAAAAACCCAACGATGAGATGTGACTTTTAACTCCCATTTTATGAACAGCTTTAGGTCTGGATCATTTAGACCAAGGATGCAGAGACCAGAACTTAAGATCGCCCATGTGTGCCATGGTTCTGCTCGCCTATCACAGTGTAATAACTTATTACCTTGGTAAGTGGTCAGATTTACAGCTTTAATTACCTTGGTGAGTGGTCAGATTTATTACTTATTGTGGTCAGATTTATCAAAGGAATTGTCTTAAAATGTTTACTGTATAGTAGTTACTACGTTTGTGCTGCTTTGTGGTCAGATCTATCAATTTAATTGTCCTGATATGTTAAGTGTGTGACTACATTTGTGCTGCTTTGTGGTCAGATTTATCAAAAGAATTGTCTTTAGATTTTTACTGTATGACTACATTTGTGCTGCTGTAAAAAGCTGCGAAATTAAGCAAACGACAGTTTGAAACCTGAAAAAGGCACTTGGTGTTTGCAGCGTTAGGTACATCGACTTGACTACTATTCTGCCTGCAGAAGATTATGTTGTGAGCAAATAATCTCTCAACTTTAGCTGATTTCTAAGCACTCTAAGGTCTCCTTTTACGAACTTTAACAAGTGCTCATAGTTGTAGCACACAGAAAATCTCACTGTTCCAGGCCTGCGTTTATATCTCTTGAAGTGCCACTCTAAGCACTAAGAAGCGGTCAAGTAAACATTTTAAAAGATGAAATTCTCGTTAAAATGTAAAATTCTTCAGTCCACTTTAATAACTTTCGATGCTAATTAGTTACATTAACTAATTTTGGTTCCAACTTATAGAGCGTGCGAAACAGGTCGTATGACAAAGAGGAGAGTTTGCACAATCACGTCTCGCAATACATCAAGCAGGGTTTGTCCAGTTAATTTTGATGGTCGCAGGGAAATGTCGAGTTTGTCGCTCAAAACCGTTGTGGTCCATTAGAATGTAACATTATTGATGACGGAAACAAATTTGCAGAAAGGAGGGTTAGTTCATCGGGTTCCGTCTACTAAATCTCGGGAAAAACCTGCAAGAATTGTTTCAGAGTGTATGCGTGTTATTTTGTAAATATAAACACTGCAACCTATTTTAACTTGTCTTTGTGTCCTTTTAAGCAACGCGATATGTCTGTTATGACCAGAGTGCCAAATTTTATTCTTTAATTTTGATCTTCTCCACACTGTGCGTAGTTCATGACCTGATATTTCAACGTAAATTATTGAGAAGGCGCCTTCCGATCACCTTTGTCTACTTTGTAAGTCATGCAAGCGCGCAAGCGTTACGACCGATCACGTTTACGCAACGTTTTAGGACAACTCGGCATCTAATCTCCATTCAGTTGCTGTGAAAACCTAAAATCCTCAACGTAGAAGATAAACGAACGAAGTTTGAACGGTCAAAAGGAGATCTTGGTCAATTTTAAGAATCATGCAAATGATCTTTGACACAAGCGCAGTTGAGCAAACACATGGATTTGCGTTGTTTTAAGAGGTTGGTGAATGGAAGCTAGAGATATACCCGCGGGTTTGAGGCAATCCGTGACCTCATTGGTGTATAAACTATGCACTGATATGCTTTTTCAGCCTGATTAACGCCTGCATTTTGAGAATTCTTTCGTACAAAGTAGTGAATTTTTGATATGCAAATTAAGGTCGTAGAGAAGGGTCTGCTCTGATCACGCTGGTATGAAAAACATTTTAGCTGAAGTTTCCATATTTTGTCCGTGAACTAACTGAATACATCTTGTAACTTGTAGCGAGATAGTATTACGTGAGCTACATTGTTGCAGTCACTGCGCGCTGAACAAAATCTTTGAAATTTACAACACAGGAGTGGTCTGGCCAAAAATCATTTTTGACTTGTGGCGACGCAAAAAAAGAGAATTGGAGAACAACTCAACTATTTTTTGAAACATGTGTCCTAAACCCTTTTCATGGGCAAAAAATAAAAGAAAACTTTTTTTTCCGACGGGAAGTCAAGAGGACCGCTCTTAGCGAGAGTGGCACTTAAGTAAGTTCATAACATATTTGAGAATGAAGACATTGCAACAGCTTGCTACTTGACTGTAGTAATAATACGTTTATTGTTATCGTGCAGCGTACGTTAACATTTATCAAAGTAAACTACGATAATATGAAGACTTCATAAATTCCCATGCATTTTTCCTAAACTCACAAATTACAAACAAACGCAATTTCGTCGGAATCCCTTTTCCTACTCTGCTCGAGTGGTTATGAATTTGTAAATTTGCATATTACTCAGACATGCAATTTTGTTCAGACATGCAAATGAAAATCTGTTGAGTTCATCTAATCAAAGAATAATATTTATTGAAATTGTAGTACAAACAGTATTATTTTTGTGCAAAAATGTTGAACACGAGCGCTTTCTCAACACCCTGTAAAATTGATGTGCACAAGTTGCGTACTAAATTGTCCTAAATGCCAGTAGAAAAACTAGATTTCTGCTCTGAAGCACAGAGCGTGGAAGTACAAACAATTCACTGAAGTCAGTCAGATGCCTACCTACTTTTAAACATACCTCCACCTATAGCAATCAATCCTAAGAACTATAATAATGTTTTCATTATCAGTTTATCTTTTGCTGCCTATTGTATGTTGAATAAGTTCTAGTTTGCGCTTTCCTTACTGTCGTCCTTACTGTCTTCCTCGCTGTCTTCCTCTTTGACTTCTTCGCTATTTTCATCATCTTTATTACCTTGAAAATAGTGGCGTGCATCTTTCTCGTTCTTTAAGTTCATTACTTCTTTGAAATATTCATCTGGAATGTTGAAGGGCTGGATCAACTCCTTCAAGCGGGCAGTGTGTGGTCGGTCTTTACCTTCTAAAATTTCTCGCACAATGCAGGTGACACTGACTGTGCTATTGAACTGATGCTGTTCCCTCGGCCGAGCAGTAAATGTGGTGTTTATCTCAATCACCTCCGTGCAGTTGTTGCGGAAAATAAGCATCATACTTGGCATACTACCTTCATCATTGATGTTTAAGTTTTCCAATGTATCTTGTATTCGAAAATGTGGGTAGAGTTGATCGTATTTCCACCAGTAGTGTCTCGCTGTACACCGGTCATTTGCGAGACTGAAAAGCGGGTGTATCAACACCTCAAGTTGCAGCTTGGCCTGGTTCCTAGTATTCGATCTGGGCCCGATTTGCGGCCACCAAGCTCCATTAATACCTGCCGCTTTCAGCATGCACATACGTAAAACTGCTGATGCCGTTCGACCAAAACTCTCGAAGGCCATGATGGGTGCATTTTGACCACCAAACCTCAACCTGTGAACTTCTTGTTCATCGTTACTTTCTATATCTTCAATAGAGGCTCTTTGACAGTGTGTCACTTCCAATCGTCTATTGCGTCTTAACTCCTGGAGAGCGAGAAGGACTACATTAAACGCTGGGTCCGTTTGAACGAAGATAGTTTCTCCTTCCATCATCTTTTTCTCGCGATAAGGGCGTGATGCGAATAGGTAAGTGGGTGTTGGTGCGGGGTTTTTACAGGGTTTCTGTCATAAATGCTTTTATCTGATTGGCTAAGCTACACATCATATTGTCCATGGTAGATAATGAGTAGTATGAGTCGCGTGTGCGATCGCAGGCGGTGTACGCACTCCGATTGTGTTGCATTATGGTAGCGTTATTTTCAATATGGCTGTGAAAGCGGCAGAAATCGGCAGATTTTGTCTGAACGTTCCGTAAAAACTGGACCGTTCCTTTTTTTCTTTCACCATAGGTACATGAAATTTGATTGATTCTTAATTTGTAGAAGTATTTTTGTACGTATTTGTCTTGTATCCAATGGTTCTCAAGGACAAATGCAATCACTGTTTTTTAGTATGTAACTTGAGACCGGTTTTCGAGAAGGTCAAATTCGGGGTACGTCTCAGTTTGAAGCCTTTCAAAGATTTGAATGGCCGCTTTGATCCTTCTTTAACAGCTCTGACTAAACGCTCTCCAACGTGTTTTATGAATTTCAAGTGATATTGTTGGAGACCGGTTATGACCGTTAACACAGCGTTACTATTGTAAGGACATTCCTATATATACTCAGTCGTGTTGTAAATCTACTTTCCTAAGCAAAAGCAAATTAACTAATAGCGAGTATCTTATGGTAAATCTACTTTCTTGATCATTGAATGAAGGACAGTTGAATTAGAGCAGTGAAAGGAATCACTTGACTAATGAATAACTCTACATTGCGCGAGGCGACACGCCTGGTGAGCCGGAAAACAAAAGGCAGTCGACTGTTAAAAGGTGTTGATAGGCTTGTGTGACTCCTGCCAAAGTCATCGTAGGTATCTCGTTAGGTGTTGAGCGAATTCGTCACGGGGGAATTACAGGAGTCGCGCAGGCCCGGAAACAACTTTTTACTTTCGAAGGAACGGTAACAGACAGTGAATCCTCATTACATTCCACTTATATTCACGCTACCTTGTTGCCACCAAAGATGTTCACTCAACCGCGACAGGATGCAAATGACTTACTTTTTGTATTGCGACCATGATGCAACGTAATCAGAGTGCGCACACCACCTACTGCGATCGTAAACAATGAATGAGTTGCCAGTAATCGGATCCTTGCGTTTACGCAGAGATTTCTGTGATCGCCACCGGGCAAACATTGCAAGTTGCAAGGAGGAAAGGTATATATACATACTGAGAGATTTTACGCCGTTAGTTAACAGCTTAAAATCTTATAGTATGTACACCGACGCAGATAGTGGCGTGAACCCGTGGGAAACGTTTGATCGTGTAATCTGAACGTCCGGGTGAGGGTAGTCCAATATGAGAAGGACTGTGTTAAAAACGTGAAAAAGCTGTACTACGCTTCCTTATTAAGTCACGGTTTATTCACTTGATTTAACGCCGGATTTTACTGCAACACTTTGGTTAACTCCAACTCACAACTCTCGGCTTATTTGAAAGAAACACGCACTAAACGTCCCGTTGTAAGCACGTTGAACAGTGCTATATAAGGGACGATACAACGCGTGCCGCATACATGTTTGTTTGGTTATGTAGAGATAAATGAAATCACTAGTGAATGTCAATCAAATTAAGAATAATTAACGTATTGTACAGTATCCAACAACTGTTGTCGGCAGCACCAAGGGCCTGTTTACATGGATGTGGGGAACCCCAGCTGGTAGGTGAGGTAACCGGCCTAGCCATGGTCGAAAAATAGCCCGCGTTTACATACGATCTTACAACCCCTGGATGCCGGGTGAGGTTTCTCGAGGTTGTTATTACACTTGCAACTAAGAAGTTTAAAATTCGGGTCACCCACCTATCATGTAAACGTGATCAAGATAAAATAAGAGGTTCTACGTGGGGTCCCCTACCTCCATGTAAACAGGCCCTAAATGCCGCTTCTACAACCTTAGCGATCATCAGAGTCGAGTGATGACTTCCGCTGAGATCAGTGTCAACCACCGTCAACAGTCCCCACAGGACTACATTCACCCACCCGCGATCAGAATATGCAATCACAAAATTAAAACATCACAAAGTAGAAGTTATAGTTAATATGCATCTATCGCCTTTTTCGTTGAAAATAAGTTATTTAAATGGTCCTCTTTCACTGGAGCTTGTTTTTGGGAAAATATGATTTATGGAAATTTGCTGCGCGTTGTGTTTGCTTTTCCGGTTCTCCAAAATTTTAACTTTTGGATAGGCACGCGTTACACACAGGTTGGGTTAAGGATTCGTAAAATGGAAACGCATTTGGTGAGAGGAGTTGCTAATACTCTAACGAATATAGTCATTCTTATTAATGGATACCCTACCTACGGTCATCGAAAAAAAAAATCCTGTTTCCTTAAAAAACTTTATAGAAATTCTCTGTTTAAAACAAGAGTTCTACTAGAACAAGAAAGATGGTAAGTTTTGAGTTCGGTAGAGAAATAGCGAAAGATGGGTTTTCGTCTTGTCACTAGCATGGGACAGAGGTCTACTCTGTTGAGTTTCAACTTATTCTATTAATTTGAAGCCTTTATTGAAATATTGTCATTTATTCCGGCAGGAAACGGCGAGGGAGATGTTACGTACGCCGAGGAAATTCTTCAGCCACATCTGAAGGCGTTTCCGAAGGTATTTTAATCAAAGAACTGCACTTATCATGCACTATTGCCGTAATTCTCGGGCAATTGTTTGGAAACTCACAATCTGATTGGCTGTAGAGGAATGTCGTACCAGTGTAACCAGGCCCTCCTGCTCCTCACGTCGTTCTTGATGCCTTTGAACTAAAAAAAGATGTACATGTATCACGAACATATCGCACAAATGATTGACAAGGTGCTGCAGTCAGATTTGATGAGACAAAACCGGCAATATCACAGGAATAATGCAGCAAAGAGAGCAGTTTCCAATGACACGAGCTATAAATTGTACTTACAGTTCATTCGCGTTTTTTGAAACATTTAAAATGCGACTTCTCAGCCTTCCACTTGGATAAGATGCAAATTTCTCCTCACAGTATCACCCCTGGATCAAACATTAAGGTCACAATAATAAGGGAAACGACTAGAAGTAATTATTGATTGTTAAATAAATTCTCCTTTTCAGCACCTCAGGAATGTAAAGAGAACGGTTTGGAGAATATGCATACTGATACAAGGGTATAAAGGATAAAAGATGCTTACCATCCTAGTGTCGCAAATTTGCTGTCTTAGCTGCGTCCTTTTTTTCTACAAGGACTTGGCAAAATTGACGGTTGGTTATTAGTATATATAGTCTCTGGGGTAACCGTGTGTCTAATATTTTTCTTTGAAACCCTTTTATTATTTTAGGGAGCGATATTCTTGTACTACGCTGGTCGTATAAAACAAGTTCAAGGAAAGTCGGATGAGGTCAGTGATGATGCAAACGAAGCAGATCGACTCATTAATACAGGGATTCATCATTCTAAATAAGAAACATTATGTTTAACTGTTGTGATGTGATACACTGTCACAGCAACACAAGCTCCTGGAGGATAGGGGCTTGAGAAAATGATTCAGTTGTCTCTCAGCACACCCCCCTCTCACTACATAGTAAGCTTTCCACACAGACAAAATAAGTGAAGGGAAGGTGTGGCGTGACGTTGCTTAACATGGGTTAATCATGACGTGATATGCAGCGTGACTCGACATGTCACGAATAGCGTTACACGTTGCGACATGATAGTACATGAAGTGACGTGATATGATTTGGCTGTAAGCTGTTTATTCTTTTTTTTTTTTTTTTCGTTACAGGCCACCAAAGGCTATAACGACTCAATGACAGTACAGTCTGAATGGAAACAGTTCCATCATATCTGTTACTGGGAGTTGATGTGGTGTTATTGGTAAGTTTATCGTCACACAAGACTGTTCATTTGTCGTTTAATTTGTGTCCCCTTGGTCACAGTCACAAAACGTTCTCTAATGGAAAGTATAGATTAATTTGGTCCTAAATGTAATAAAGTCCTAAATGTAATAACATTTAGTCCTAAATGTAATAAGCCTCCAATGCAATCGTTTGACTCCTGCAGTGCATTGTTGTCATGGCGGACATCCACATTGATATGTTAGTGACAGCTGTTGCACCAAAAAACCGCTGACCAGTATACATGTCACATTATGGGCTCACTGATATCAATTAGCGTCTTTTTACTTGCTAGACATAAGAAATATCAGCAGTCGAAGTATGGCCCTTAAAGCGGTTTATCGATCGAGGTGAAGAAAATAATTTCCAACCCAAAGTGGGCTAGTGCTTGGCTGGAAGCTCAATAGGCAGGGATTAGGAAGGCCGTGCGCCATGCGCGTATGGCGCATAAAGCTACGAAATGGCCCATTATAAAAATACTTACCGGGCCCGTGATGCGCCCTGACCGCACAAAGCTAGTGAAATATAAACTATTTTGTGAAAGGATTTTAGTTTGTAAAAGTTTCACTTTGGTGAGACATAAACAAGCGAAAAACTACGGTGCCTTCGCTCGTTTGATCACGCTCGCTTCATTCTTGTTCCCAGATCCTGAACTCGGACTTTGCATGCAAATGAGGCTATTGCTCGGAGTTCCATGTACATGTGCTTTCGTTTTCGAGCAGAGTTCGAGCGTTTTCGTCGCTTTGAATGTATTTGCATCGATTAGCCTCATGCCTCCGAAAAAAATCTTGAGATTGGACAGCTCACGTTGTCTACATTTTTCAACACAACGGCGAACTTTTTCTGCCCAGAATCTTATCTTGACCAAACTGAGGAATAGGCTCGCCCCTGAAATCAGTGATAAACTACCACGGATCAGGATCCATGGCAAGGGCCTGAAAGAACATGATTTTAGCAAGACTCTTGTCATTTGGCACCAACAAAAAAAGAGATTTCTTAAGGCTGGTCAGTCTGTTAGCTACAAACTAAAAACAGGAGTCTAAAATTAAAATGAGTAACACAGGCACCAAAATAGAGAAACACTGTAAAAACTGACCAGTTACAATAACCTTTTCAAAAGGCTATAGCTTATTGAAATGGTTGGTTTAACCTAAACTTAATGGTTTAAAATCTGTAACCTATTTGTTATTGGCAAAACGAACAAACATTTACTGTTATTGAACTTATTCTGACCTTAAAATATGGTTATAACAATAATGGTCAAAACAAATAATTTTTTGTTGTCAAAAACAAACTAATTAAAAAATATAACTCATGTCAGAAACAATTATGTTTCATTTGGTTAGTGTCAGGTTAGTGCAGCTTTTATAGAAGACCACTGTCAATTACTGAACTGCCGAATGGTTGATAGCAATTTATCATCACCGTTTTGTTCTGGTGGTCACACGACATTTCAAAAACCTTGAAGATCACTTCAAGTTAATATAGCGGATGGTTATTCATGGCAACGGTTTTTCATGCCTAAAACCATGTCTCTGTATAGGTATAGACTGTAATACACAAGCAATAAACCTTTGTTAAAATTCTTACTGGCCCATTTATTTACCCTATTGGCCCAAACGTTTTATAAATGGCCCATAACTTTCCAATGAAAGGGGCCATAGGCTCATTTGCCTGTTAAACCTTCCTAATCCCTGAATAGGATGGAATCGATTGGTACGTAACCATTAAGACTTTTTGGAAAAGAAATTGACTACAATTGATGATGAACTAGCATGCTATTGTTGATGTTATCGTTCGCGTTAAAGTCTTTAGTAGTGATGCACCATTTTAGAGCAGTTTGAATGATTTCGCTGTGTCACATGTTAATCCAAAAGAAAATTATTATTATCAGTAGCGTTATTGAAATTTTGCACGTCAATGTTATTCAGTATCGATTGATTCTGATGAAGCATTTGAGTTCATTTTTAAGAATGACTATCCTGATTTATTCAATTTTGAACTTGGGGTATTGCATTTCCAGCCCTCTATGGCTTTACTCCACCTCAGTAATCAGTTCATGTACCATATGACTATAAGTGGAAACTGTTGAGCTTTCTTTTTTCATTCATCTATTTATCTATTCATTTTCTCCCCTCACGGCGGGTAGAAGAGGTGAAGACAAAAAATGAAATATAAACTTGAGATCAACTGTAAAATATATGTTTTCCTAATATTTCGGTTCGCGGAACTAATGAACCCGTCATAAGGGGCTAAAGGAAAAAAATGAATGGTTCATTAGACCGTCAACTGACCATCATGTGTTGATTGGTGTAGCTCAATGGTTCAATTTGACTCTTGCGTGGAAAAAAGGTAACATGTCAAGACCTGTGATCGTGAAATGGGATAGCATATGATTGGTCAGTCGATATCTTGCTCTGCAAGTCACTTTATCAAATAGCTAGCAGCGCACGTGGGCAAGATGAAGTGAATCCTGTGTTCTGATTGGCTACCTGAGCGGGCATGATGGGCCCACCCTCGCCCGCTCGGGATACCCCGTATTGAGCCCACGCAAGAAAACTTACAAAGTTCGTAACTTTTGGACAATGTTTGCATATACATAGAAAAAAATAAACGACCCTCTTGGGTTTATTGTACTGCAAACACAGTTGGCTTTCACTATTGGCTCTCGAAATAAAGAGGCCATTCTTGATTCTTATCAAAGCGAAATCTTTTGCTATACAATGAATCCTTTAATGATTAAGCCAAGAGAATATAAACTCTCTTGACCAAGCTTGTATGGTCAAGATTACTGGATATTAGCCTCGTTCTTTTTCTACTTTTTTATGGACCGTGACCTCGTCTCCGTCCATAAAAACGCAAAAAAAAAGAACTCAGCCAATATATAGCCATTTTGACCTCACGCTTGGTCAATAACGAATATGAATATATTTTATGCAGACTCGTACAAATCTGGCAAGGGAAGACAGTACAAAGAATGCCCTACTGAGCCCAGAATTTGTCTAACGTATGAGTCGGTGGACTTCTTTTTCCTTGTAATTCGGTTCATCAAGTGTTAACTTCAGCACTGATGACAGAAGTATTTCGTCAAAATCTGTTACACTTAAGAGTCTGAGCCAATGATATAGAGAGAGCTATTAGTCAACGTTCTCGTTGCTTTTGCGTCCGTCAATTTGATGCCAAAAGCACATCAGGATCAGTATAAGGTTTTGTAGCCAATGCTTCTCAACCTACCTCTTTAACAAATAAAAAGACGCTGATTAATATCAGTGAGCCCGCAATATTCCATAAATATTGGTCAGAGGATTCTTTAGCGCAACAGCTGTCACTTTAACATTTCAATGTTAGCGCAGTTAAACGATTGCATAGGAGTCTTATTACATTTAGGACCGAACGTTATTACATTTAGGACCAAATGTTATTACATTTAGGACTTTATTACATTTAGGACAGTTATTACATTTAGGACTTCAACAAGGTGTAGGTGTGCAGTTGCTCAGATACTGACGTTGATCCAAGTTAGCCCTGTGAGAGTCATACCTCATACCATATACAGTGTGCGCTTGGAGAGAATACTGACATTGATCCGCTAGTTTTTATACCCCAGCGTTCCTCACAAAATCTTTGAGAACGTATTTTTTGAACCGACAGGAAAGACTACGAAAACCATTTGTTACAAAGCAGACTTCACTTCAGAATCCACTCAGCGCTTCAAGAAATCAAACACAGACGCAAGCAGGCGAAAGAAGCAGCTAAAATGGAAAAAAAGCAATCCAAACGCTCCAAGAATGGTGTCACTAACAATAATTCCTTAATAGACGAGAGTCTCTCGCGCCAGGACTCCAACTCGTCCTTTGAGACAGCTCCTGAATATTCATCGGAAGATGAGAGGGACCTGGGAGAGATTGAAAGGGATAGCAATCCTAAAGGGGATGTTGTCTTGGAAACCACAGTGTGAAAATTTCCCTTCACTTTTAGTGATTTAAATTTCCTTTAGTATCTTCTACGTGATGTTACAGGGTGATAAAAAAGCCTCGGTAATTAATTTATTAGTTGTAAAAAAAAAAAATAGATAGAGCCATACCAAGTCCACTTCAGTGAGGCCAGTGAAGTGATATTTTGTTTTCCAAAGGTGTTATTTCTTTTCTTTTTTGTTTCCCTTCACAAGAGCTTCATTTTCGTGGACATGAACGAAGTCTCTTTCCCAAATTTTATATATGTTTTTTTTTTCGAATAAGGCTGTATTTTGTTTGTGTGTGTGTATGTTAGTGTTAAGGGAGGAAAGTCGTTTCTTAGACAAGCTGAGTTGATTATCACATTAGGTACAGCATATCGTTTACTTTGGGGGTTAGGGGTAGCCTCTATAGCGAGCGCGGCTTTATTTAATCACATACGAGGAATTTCTTGTGACTCGTGATCTTCACAAGGGCTTTTAACGAAAGGATTTTGTCAGGGGAGTCGGGGCTCGAGTTGATGATTTAAAGAAATGTATTATCTGATCTTCACAAGAAGCTAATAGGGGAAAGCTCAATCCGAAGAGTAAAATGCCCCTGCAAAGATCACCTCGCGTGGCGTGATATACCGAGATAGGACTCGGTCTTCGGCCAATCAGATCGCTTGTATCAGTTTCTATAGTCACGTGAGCAATGATCTCGTTCATTTCATTTCAATTTACAAAGGGAAGTAGTTTGGTGTGTATAATTTCCCTCAGAAGTCTAAAGTTAAACTCCTCAAACAGTTGGGAATTTGAACGAATTATAGATTTTATTTATTTTGCGTTGTTTGCGTTGCTTCTAACCGAAATATTCATTTTATATTTATTTATCTTAAAGCCAGAGATATTCTAAATTAATGACAGGAAAAATAAAACTATATCTGTACATACGTCGCGTGAAGCGAAATTGCGTTAATATAATCACCTAATGTGATGAAATCAGGAGAGCTTTAATCTTTCATCGAGCAGTTTTTTCGTCAGTTACGTCATATTTTTGTGTGCATGCAGACTTATTTTCCACCAAGCAATTTCAAGATTTTAGGGTTAAAATGAATGCTTCGGGATAAAGGAAAATTTCAGATTTTTCAAGCGCGCGCACCGGAAAATAATAGCAAAGGAACTGTGGATTAACTTACTTTACGTCGTTCTCAGAAAGTTTTAGATCTGGCTTATTTAGATAGGAAAAGTTTGTTTCACATTTGCTTAGAGTTTATAGGAATTTTAAAAAACCTTTCTTGTTGCTATAACGTATCTACTTATTTCACCGGAATTTGATTAGCTCGACAGAAAATGGTGCAGGCTAACGCCTTTACTCCTAAATAAACGGTCTACTTTGTTGCAAAATTCACAAGTTGCAGGGATCGATACGCCGCTGATCTGAAATAAAATGCAAACAGAGACGGTTATTTAGACCGATGGAATACTGTTTCCTCAAATTCAATGTTAAAAGCGCACAAAATCAGTGATGCTATAGGGCGCGAGCAGTGGATGACTCCTTCCCAGCTTAATCTGTGTTGCGCGGCACTGAAAACAAACGAAGTTGATATCTCGGTGTTTCCTTGGGTTCACGCGGAGCAGGGATATCTTTCCGCAGACGTCTATTATATGAGTCGATTCACACACTTTTCGTATGACAATAATACAACGGTGGAATCAAGATACTTCCATAACCATCCACCAACGAAAACGACTGTTTTACAGAGCTTATTGCATAGATTTTAACAAAGTGTGGACAAAAGGATTGGAAACTTACTAACTGAAAATTAGGTACCAACTCGGATACTAAATGCAATCACCGTAATGCTCGATAAGATTTAAGAATCTTACACTGTTCTCACATCTTGAATATCAAATTCATCTGACGTTCGAGAATGTGCGATACATGGACCTCAGTTTTGGTTGAAAAGAACGTTGAACATGTATTTTAATACCGCACTCAGCACTTCTATAGAGCGAAGTTTTCATTCTCAGTCGTCTTTTCTCGTAGTTTTGATTTATTGTTTGCTCTTTCGTGTCTTTCTACCTTTCCAATATGATACTATGTAGATTCCTTAAAAAAGATTCCTTTTGCAGTCTTAGCAAAAAATTGCGACAGAACTTGGTTCCCACGGCTGTCAACTAATCCGTCAGGTGTGAGCATTGGGACGAGACAAGTCTACACAGAGAGAAAACTGAGCACTAGTAAATAAACAAAGATTACGAAATACGCTATAGCAAACAAGAGAAATAATTAAGTTTTAAGTTGTTTTGAAAAAGTTATCTGTGCTTTCTCCTCGCTAAATTGAGAATTAATCAAGTAGAGGATGGACGGAACCGTGGTGTATCAGTCAAGGTTAGCCTAGTTTGTACAGTTTAAGTTAAAATTTTGGAAAATTTCACGTGTCTGTTCAAATCCTTCCAAGTACCGGCTGACCTCGAGCTCTAAGTAAGCCTATTGACTGTTTGGTTAAATACGTTGAACACCTTTTATTTCAAATTCATATGAATATAAACTTGTTTTCTATAGTTACCTAATGCTTTCCACGATAAGCACACTACAGGTAAATCAGTTGCTGGTACGTCACATGTTGTGTAAACAAAGCCGATAACCTCCGACGAAAGTGCTGTGGTGTCCAACGTTGGATAGTGATTAACTTCCTTCAATCGAAAGTGCCAGCGGTAGTCAATCTGTATCAAGTTTTTTACCCCACCAAGTCATCGCTGATTTCAATTTTCAGAAATTTGTCGCGCTGTGGAGAGTGTCCCGATCAATTCCTAAAGACTTAAGTAATTTATACGTTTATCGGACGAATATACGGCATAAAATTAACCTTCTACATCCCAACATTAGTATGCAAGTTCTCCATACCGTTTTTTATACATTTTCTATGGTACCTACTAGGAGAATTTGACTTAATTTCGTGAGCTTTATGAGTTCATGATCATTTTCTCTATTCTCGTGACCTGAAAGTTTTATTCAGAAGTGTTACTTTTGGGAGAAGTTATATGCTTATCACCATCAAGGTTCCAAAGGTAGAAGCAAGATTTCAATCTCTTCGGTGATGCTTTAAGAATGTTGTACTTGTGCGGCTTGTGTTGTTGTAGTATGAACTCAAAATGCCATGCAAATGCTACTCTTATAAAAGTTCTGTGGTCATAATGAAGAACCCCTTCTCCACCCCCCTCATATTTTCCAATGACCTTCCACTGGGTTGTGGGGGATATTTTCTGGAAAATCATGCTGCAACATTCATAGGGTTTTAAGTATTCATGTTTGTTCTTTTAAAATGTTTATGGACTTAGGATTTTTCCTTACCAGTTTGATTTGGACTTTCCCTTGAGTATTTGTTCCCTTTAACTAAAATAAGTGAAAGTTAATGTAAAATTGGGAGGAAATTTTCTATGCAAATTCAAAATTTTAATCATGACAGAAAATAAAATCCGAAGTAGTTATATATCCCCAGTGACCCTTCCCCTAGTCATCAATATAATTTATTTGGATTATCAGTCAATGCTAGTAATCATGAGCAATGAATTCATGTTTAACTTAGTTAATAATTGGTTAATTTGATTTTTTAAAATTATCTTCTTTTACAGTACTGATAATGATTCCCCTACTATGACAGAAGCCATCAAAATGATCACCAAAGCTTATGACCTCTGCTTTTCAAACAAGTTCCTACAAGCAAAGGCAGACATAGAGCCATGGTATGGAAATTTCAATTTATAGGTCTAGGCACAAACATAATAATGTATGAAAAAGTTTTTGTTAGGGCTGACTCCTCTTCCTCCTAAAAATTACATTAGTCTCTGTAGAAAATTGTAATCAAGTAACTCGTGGGTTTCACTACCTGTTCAAGGGGGCATCTCTCTTTCTTCATTTTTGAAGTTTAACAAAACAGATTTTAATTAAAATTGTTAGAGAAAATTATGGTACTTTGTCTGGCCCTCTTGGAAAGCCCCCTCCTCCTCCTCCTACTATTTGTCGGATGGACAATGATTGCTAGATAAAGCGTTAGTCTAGAATTTATATAATTACACCTTTACAGGGTGTGAAATTACGCCTAATACAGGTGCCAATGTGACTGAATTTTTCACATTGGCGACCAAATCCTGAAAAGTAGTTGCCAAATTGGCAACTAGAATGCTTCATCATGACCTTATCTTCAAAAATGGCAACCAACTTTTTTGAATTGACTACTACTTTGAAAAATTTGGAAGCCAAGTGGCTATCAGAAAAAAAATAATTAATGTAATTGCCCTGCATTACTCCAATCTATTTTGTGAGACAATCTGAGCACAAATCATCATCAGATTCTGGTTTTCATTTGGTGAAAAACTGCTATAATAATTCTTGTTATTGAAAAGCCAGTTCTTTCCACAATAAATATACCTTTTCAGGATTTCCCTCAGCCAGAAAATCTCCCAACATGTACAATTTGTTTAAGGATACAGTCAAGTGGAAATATTTGTTGGCTCGACAAATCGTGTATTTGTAATATCAGAATGTTGGATAAATGGATATCGAAGTTTAGTCTATGGTTTCAGGATCAACAAAAGCATGTACCATGCAATTGCACACAGCAGTATTATGTGCATTCAAGCTCTGTTGAAATTTGAACAGGTACGAGTCGGTAATTTAACCCTTTAACTCCCAAAATCTGATTGTTAATTCTCCCCTCTAACCACTGACACATTTCTTTGTAAATTAGTTATGAGAATTTGGAGTTAGATTAAGATAGCAACCTCTAGCCGAAAAGTTTGAGTATTCTTGTTACCTGTTCGCTGGATAATGTATGGATATTATTGGGAGAAGTTGCATATTGATTACCACTGGGAGTTAAAGGGTTATTTCAGGAAGACAATATTTACAATATTGCTTGGGCTTTTCACATCTAGGGCCTGATGTATTAACTCTTCTCTGCAGGTTAAAACTCCCACATTTTTCCAATTTACACCTGCTGATCAGTTTGTCACACCTAGTTAAAAAGTCAAGTTACCACAGCCTTACAAAAGACTTCTCGCACAAGTCTTTTAGCACAAGTTTTGGACCGTTCTTAGTGGTCATTTCGCACAAAAATTATAGGTGAGAAACATCAATGAAAAAGGTATACTAATTGATAGTGACCTTCAATAAGATCCAACGGCGAGAACGTAGACATTCATTTACGTAATAACTTAAACTAGATCGAAACGCTTGTGAACACGATCACTATTCTTACTTGAAGAAAGGAACAAATATTTGTCTCTATGAAAATGTAAAGAACTCCCTATTCGAACGAGCACTTCTTTTACTTTTCCTCTGTTAAACGAAAAACCTTTTAGTTTTGACAGTACACCATCCACTACAAACATACGAACATGACGACCCAACGCTAAGGACGCCATTTCGAAAGTAATTGTCACCAATGCTCCCTCCTCTGAAGTCAGTGTAAAAACCTGCAAACTGTTTCACTTTTTATTTACAAGGAGAAACGACCTATTTACAAAATTTCTGTGTAAATATATAAAATTCAAGTTCACGGCCATGTTACCCGACGAATCATGCATATTTTAAATCACTACTCGGTTAAGACTCGTCGCCCTTTCCTACATTCATTTAAGCTATAGTACATCTAAGTTTCTTTATTTGTTTTGATCTTAAGCTTGTATGATGACTTATCGAACGGCTAGCCTATAATCTTTAAATTATTTTGAATTCTTGAAACTTTCGTGAAATCATTTGTTTACATCACGGTCGTTCCCAGGTAAAATGTCAGGCGGGACATAGGCGGGATCCCGGCAATCCCACCCAGGATCCCAGGTAAGAATGGCGGGATCCCTTAAGATATCCCTGCTCCGCGTGAACTCCGGGAAACACCGAGATATCAACTTCGTTTGTTTTCAGTGCCGCGCAACACAGATTAAGCTGGAAAGGAGTCAACTACTGCTCGTGCTCTATAGCATCACTGATTTTGTGCGCTTTTAAAATTGAATTCGAGGAAACAGTATTCCATCCGTCTAAATAACCGTCTCTGTTTGCATTTTTTTTCTGATCAGTGGCATATCGATCACTGCAACTTATGAATTTTGCAACAAAATAGACCATTTATTTAGGATGAAAGGCGTTAGCCACCACCATTCTCTGTCGAGCTAATCAAAGTCCGGTGAAATAAGTGGATACGTAATAACAACAAGAAAGCTTTTTTCTTTTATTCCTATAAACTCTAAGCAAATGTAAACAAACTTTTCCTATCTAAATAAGCCAGATCTAAAACTTTCTGAGAACGATGTAAAGTAAGTTGATCCACAGTTCCTTCGCTATTATTTTCCGCTGCGCGCGTTTGAAAAATCAGAAATTTCCTTCATCCCGAAGCATTCACTTTAACCCTAAAATCTTAAAATTGCTCGGTGGAAAGTAAGTCTGCCTGCACACAAAAATATGACCTAACTGACGAAAAAACTGCTCGATGAAAGATTAAAGCTCTCCTGATTTCATCACATTGGGTGATTATATAAACACAATTTCGCTTCACGCGACGTATGTACAGAAATAGTTTTATTTTTCCTGTTGTTAATTTAGAATATCTCTGGCTTAAAAATAAATAAATTTAAAATGAATATTTCAAGTTTGGGAGAATCTACATGCTCGGTTAGGAACAACGCAAATATATAAGAACAGACAGAATAAATAAGATCTGTAATCCGTTAAAACTCCTAACTGTTTGAGGTGTTTAACTTTAGACTTCAGAGGGAAATTTTGCACACCAAACTACTTCCCCTTGTAAACTGAACTTAAAAGAGCGAGATCATTGCTCACGTGATTATAGAAATTAATGCGAGCGATCTCATTGGCCGAAGACCGAGTCATATCTCGATATCATCACGCCACGCGAGGTGATCTTTGCAAAGGCACCTTACTCTTCGGATTGAGCTTTCCTCTATTAACTTCTTGTGAAGATCCGTTGACACATTCCTTCAAATTATCAACCCGAGCCCCGCCTCCCCTGACAAACTCATTTTGTTAAAAGCGCTCGTGAAGATCACGAGTCACAAAAAATTACTTGTACGTGATTCAATAAAGCGCTCGTTACAGAGGCTACCCCTAACCCCCAAAGTAAACGAAATGCTGTGCCTAATGTAATAATCAACTCGGCTTGTCGAAGAAACGACTTCCCTCACTTAACACTAGTAAGTAAGTAAAGCCTTAATACGGGCCCAAGTGGCCCAAGTGGCCCATGGGGCCAGTGCTTAACTTCGGTTTTCTTAGCATGAAGCGGCTGGGAGTATTGCTACTCCCCCCTGGATGGGATGCTAGTCCATCGCAGGATTACCCCCAGCACATTTGTTGGTACCCATTTGTACACCTGGGAGAAGAGAAGCACTGTGAGAGTAAAGTGTCTTGCCTAAGAACACAACACAATGACCCCGGCCAGGGCTCGAACCCGGACCACCCGATCCGCACTAACCATAAGGCCACCGCGCCTCCACTCACTCAACACTAACATACACAAAAAATACAGCCTTGTTAAAAAAAATAAAGAAATAAATAAAATTAGGGAAGTAGACTCCGTTCATGTCCACGAAAATGAAGCTCTAGTGAAGGGAAACAGAAAAAAAAAGAAAAGAAAAGAAATAACACCTTTAGAAAACAAAATATCACTGCATTGGCTTCATTGAAGTGAACTTGGTATGGCTTTATCTAGGTTTTTTTAACAACTAATAAATTTATTACCGAGGCTTTTTCATCACCCTGTAACACCACGTAAAAGATACTAAAGGAAATTTAAATAACTTCAAGAGACGGAAAATGTTCACACTGTGGTTTCCAAAACAACATTCTCTTTAGGACTGCTATTCCCGTTCCATGTCTCCCAGGTTCCTCTCATCTTCCGATGAATATTCAGGAGCTGTCTCAAAGGACGAGTTTGAGTCCTGGTGCGAGAGATTCTTGGAACCACCGAGAGAGATGCTGATAGAATCCTCGTCTATTGAGGAATTATTGTTAGTGACACCATTCTTGGAGCGTTTGGATTGCTTTTTTTCCATTTTAGCTGCTTCTTTCGCCTGCTTGCGTCTGTAATTGATTTCTTGAAGCGCTGAGTGGATTCTGAAGTGAAGTCTGCTTTGTAACAAATGGTTTTCGTAGTCTTTCCTGGCGGTTCAAAAAGTACGTTCTCAAAGATTTGTTGAGGAACGCTGGGGTATAAAACTAGCGGATCAATGTCAGTATTCTCTCCAAGTGCACACTATATATGGTATGAGGTATGATTCTCACAGGGTAATTTGGATTAACGTCAGTATCTGAGCAACTGCACACCTACCCCTCCCGTAACCAGGCAACAGTCAACTGATAAAAAGTTAGGGTTAATGCTGGGTTAGGGGAGGGGTAGGTGCACAGTTGCTCAGATACTGATATCATCCCATTGGGATCTCATACTTCATACCATGCATAGTGTACTCCAGGAGAGCAGTATCAATGCACCACGTGTTGAGTCCCCCAGCCATCAGTTTAATTACACATAACTTAAAATTAACATCATTCAATTAGAACCCCACTCAAGCACTCGCACTTATCGGAGTTTAACTCATTTTACAGAGGCCAATAGCAAGCGTCCTACATGCATACAGATTTATGAGAGAGAAAACAGTATGAACAGATTACGGTGCATTCTTAAGGATAAACGTTAAGAACTGAACTGCTTTGATCCTTTGCCACGCTCCAAACCTAGAAGCTCTTACATTTTTCCCGCGCTTAAACACGGCGACACCGAGCCACGCTTATCACCGGTTGCATGTTTTCCCGCGCTTAACACCAGTGGCACTTTTTCCCGCGCTTTACTTGCACTTGCAGGTATGTTGGATATTCCACGCTGCTTAACAACACTTGCTAATGTTCATGCACTAGACAGCTTTTCTAAAACATCGGTTGCACTGCCTTGCTTTCTGTTCTGAAAATTTACCATCAGTTAGAAAAATCGACTTGCTTTTTCATACCTTGTTTTATTGAGGTATTCTTTGGCTTGATCCAGATCTCCCTCCTCTAGGTACAGAAAGCCAACTTCTGCGCATGCGAATGGAGCCTCTTAGAAATCCTTAACTAGGTCCTTTGATCTGCAATACGAAAAAGGAGGAATAAGGTGCTTGCACTCCCTGGTTGGCCGACAAAATGTCACGCCAAAAACAAACCAAGGGAAAAAAATGGGCTGTTAGAGCTGGCCGAGAGTGGCCTGGATCCGAGAACTCTCTCAGCTCGATACACTCATTTGCCATAATTTTCTCGCGCTTGTTTTTTTTGTTCCCACACTCGAAAAGGAGTTGCACGGATCATATAATATAAACTCGTAGTTTTAACTCTTTCACTCTCAAGATCCACTACAAAAATTAAGAGGAAAATGATACGAAATAGCAAGTTGCCGCAAGCAAAGTTACTGACCTGTTTACCGCATTAAGGAGGCTCTCCATAGCTTCTTTCGGTTTGTGCACACAGCGGTAACACATTCCCTGAAGCAGGTATCCAAGACACAAATCATCCATGTAATTTGTATTTTTATCTGAAAAAAAAACAACAACAACAACAAAAAGAAAAAAAAAGGAAAGACTGTCACGTTGTTTTGTTTTTTAAATATGAAAAAATTTGGAATGACGCTGGGGACCTGGAACTAAAGAGATAAGTGCAGTTGAAAGGTCTACGCGAAACTGCAAGTCTGCTCCTCGACGGGGTTTGGGTTCTAATCATAGCCGCCGCCAATGTAATGCTGTATGTGATGCAGTACTTGACCGGGCTTAAATTTCACATTGCTACTCTTTATCCAGGACTCCTGGAGTATTCATGGTTAGGCGGTACCAATAACACGGAAATACGTTAATAAAGAACCGCAAACTCGTGATCCGGAAACTTCTGATGATGGTTTTATTCGGAAAAAGGTCGTCATATATGTTCGTTAGTTGAACTGCAGATGTAATAACAGAAATATGGGTTTTCTAGAATAAAAAAGGTGATTTAATAGGAAACCTGTGTTGGTGCGTTATCGACAGTAATTTTTACTAATTATAGTTTACCTTTAGTTTCTTCTAACTCTACCAGCGACGTTTGGACAAGTTTCAACATTGGCTCCACTAAGTGTGGCCTGCGATGAAGAACTTTGAAGCCATTCCAGAGCAATATAAGTTCCTAAAGAGAGAGTCAGTTTAGGGCTTCCTTAATTCCTCAGAGGAAAAAAGACCTCGTGTATGTATCATTTGTCTTACATATATCCTAATTCATCTCCAGTCCTCTCCCCTTGCCGTCTCGAAAGAAAAACGTAAGGAGCCTAGGAACGACATTGCTGCCGTTTGAGAATGGCTCATTCTTCGATAGTTCAAGACCAAAACAAAAACTATTCTCTAACAACGTAATTATACAAACATCCATGTGACGCTCTAGCCAAGCTGACATTTCTAACGTTTACAGAAGACAAAAACTGTTCTGCCAATCGGGCTAGACATAGACTCACTCCAAAAATTTGCCTTATCATCAGATCTGTCCGCTTCACAAAACGGAGAAAATAGATTTTTGACATACGATTCTACTCGCACTTACCATTCCAGGAAGAAATAGATTGTTGCCTTGTTCCAGGTACTTAGGTTAGCTTTGTGAATGGAAAATTTCTCAAATGGAACGGACTTTCCAGCGATGCGCTGCTTGTATTCCGGAAGTCGCCTGATACAAAGAAAACCAACTGGTATCCAATCGTTTTCAAACCATATGTGAGCGGCGCGGGAGCGCAACGTATGATGGTTTAGGAGCGAGCACAAGAGGAACATTTCTTCTATCTCTCATTCCTATCACTCCCTGTTCCCCCATATTCCCAGTTGCTCGTGCCCTATGGAAACAACTGGATACGATATTATTCTCTGGTTTTAGAAAGGACTTTTTGAAATTTCCCGTCAACTGCAGCTGTTAGTAAGTCTCTCTTACACAATCTAAGCGGCAATAGCACAAACTTACGTTTTTAATTACAATTGTATTACGCGTTTTTTTTTTCCACGCTTGATACCCTTCCAAGTTTTCCTTTAACACTTCAACGTTCGCCTCAGAGAGAAGGGGTAATTTACTCCCGTTTTGTCCATTATAGGGAGGCAAGTATCCCAAACTAAAGGGGCGCCTTGTTCAGGCTTCATGTTAAATAAAAGGGCGGGGATTTCACGGGTACAGGTTGGCTCTGAGAGGTTAGACTTCGCGTGGAAACTTCCCCTTTGGATCTTTCAATACCCTGTCTTTCCGGGCGCTCTTGGATTCGCCTGTTTTTTCGGTAAAGCATTGCGGGCGCAATGCAAGAGCCTTCGTCCAGGGCGATAAATTTACATAAAGTGTAAATAACAAGTAACTGGGGTTGGAGTCACAGAGGCAATAACAGAAATAGTAGTAAAAATAATCTACAAAAAGTTTGCCGCTCCTTCTCCGCTCTCTTTTCCTTCATACTTACCTGAAAAGATACTCCTCAGTGTCCTTTTCACCTTGATCGTCTTCTCTCGCGAGCTCCAGGTTTGTGATTCTCGCCATAACTCTGAAGCAAGTTTTAAAATACATGTAGGATGTCTGCCAAGGAGAGGGTTTGTTCAGGCTTTAGTTAAGGTCATGCAATGCAGCTGCAATTCTGTTCCAGCACCATATGAAAGCGTAAGACTGAGTAACCGTGCTACCTTAGAGTCATTTACTCTGAAAAAGGACTAAAACTCGAAAAATCAGCTTTAGAAACTCTTTACGATGGCCAATTTCCATTATCAGCTTGGTTCATAAATCCAAATGATCCTGTGTTAACTCAAACCGTTTCTTTAGAAACTTTCTCCCTTTATTCATTAACCGTGCTTCTGTTCAGCAAATCTTCTGAACGTCGTGGAAAATGAGACTTAACAACTACGTACCTTAATGCCACTGAGAAAAATGTGTAAGTTACTGAGGCCTCCATTCACTTTCTCTTTAACAATGGTGTTTTAGCTAAATTTCACACACGTTCTCTCTTAATTTCCTTCCGTCCTTACCCGTGATCAGCGGCTTTCCTTCAAAAGAACACTTGCATAGTGGTACGCTGTGGCCCAGTCCCCCTCATTCCTGATGAGACAGAAAAAGAGGATTTTAGTTATAATTTCCTACAACAAAAACAAAACTTTACCATGCGACAGCAGTTATGACAAGGGAGATGACTTCATCTATACTTTCCATTGGAGAACGTTTTGTGACTGTGACCAAGGGGACACAAATTAAACGTCACCTGAACAGTCTTGTGTGACGATAAACTTACGAATAACACCACATCAACTCCCAGTAACAGATATGATGGAACTGTTTCCATTCAGACTGAACTGCAATTGAGTCGTTGTAGCTTTTGGTGGCCTGTAACCAAAATTAAAAAAAAGACAAACAGCTTACAGTAAAATCATATAACGTCATGTCGCCCTTGTCATATCACGTCACGTTATGTACTATCATGTCGCATCACGTAACGCTATTCGTGACATGTCGAGTCACGCTGCACAGCACGTGATGTCGCGATGTCATGTCACGTTACGTAACGTACTTTCAGGCCACATCGTGCAACGCTATTCATGACCTTACATATCACCTGTGTGTGGTTAAAGGGGGATGGGCAGAGAGACAACTGAATCATTTTCACAAGCCCCTATTCTCCAGGAGCTTGGGTAGCTGTGATAGTGTATCACATCACAACAGTTAAACATAATGTTTCTTATTTAGAATGATGCACCCCTGTATTAATGAGTCGATCTGATTCGTTTGCATCATCACTGACCTCATCCAACTTTCCTTGAACTTGTTTTAAACGACCAGCGTAGTACAAGAATATCGCTCCCTAAAATAATAAAAGGGTTTCAAAGAAAAATTTGAGACACACAGTTATCCCAGAGACTATATATACTAATAACCAACGGTCAATTTTGCCAAGTCCTTGTAGAAAAAAAGGACGCAGCTAACACAGAAAATTTGTGGAACTGGAATGGTGAGCACATTTTATCCTTTACACCCTTGTATCAGTATGCATCTTCTCCAAACCGTTCTCTTTACATTCCTGAGGTGCTGAAAAGGAGAATTTATTTAACAATCAAGAATTACTTCTAGTCTTTTCCCTTATTATTATGACCTTAATGTTTGATCCAGGGGTGATACTGTGAGGAGAAATTTGCATCTTATTCAAGTGGAAGGCTGGGAAGTCGCATTTTAAATGTTTCAAAAAACACGAATGAACTGTAAGTACAATTTATAGCTCGTGTCATTGGAAACTGCTCTCTTTGCTGCATTATTCCTGTGATATTGACGGTTTTGTCTCGTCAAAACTGACTGCAGGACCTTGTCCATCATTTGTGCGATTTGTTGGTGATACATGTACATCTTTTTTTAGTTCAAAGGCATCAAGAACGACGTGAGGACTAGGAGGGCCTGGTTACACTGGTACGACATTCCTTTACAGCCAATCAGATTGTGAGTTTCCAAACAATTGCCCAGGAATTACGGCAATAGTGCATGATAAGTGCAGTTCTTTGATTAAAATACCTTCGGCGGAAACGCCTTCAGATGCGGCTAAAGAATTTCCTCGGCGTACATAACATCTCCCTCGCCGTTTCCTGCCGGAATAAATGACAATATTTAAATAAAGGCTTCAAATTAATAGAATAAGCTGAAACTCAACAGAATAGACCTCTGTCCCATGCTAGTGACAAGACGAAAACCCATCTTTCGCTATTTCTCTACCGAACTCAAAACTTACCATCTTTCTTGTTCTAGTAGAACTCTTGTTTTAAACAGAGAATTTCTATAAAGTTTTTTAAGCAAACAGGATTTTTTTTTCGATGACCGTAGGTAGGGTATCCATTAATAAGAATGACTATATTCGTTAGAGTATTAGCAACTCCTCTCACCAAATGCGTTTCCATTTTACGAATCCTTAACCCAACCTGCGTGTAACGCGTGCCTATCCAAAAAGTTAAAATTTTGGAGAACCGGAAAAGCAAACACAACGCGCAGCAAATTTCCATAAATCATATTTTCCCAAAAACAAGCTTCAGTGAAAGAGGACCATTTAAATAACTTATTTTCAACGAAAAAAGCGATAGATGCATATTAACTATAACTTCTACTTTGTGATGTTTTAATTTTGTGATTGCATATTCTGATCGCGCGGGTGAATGTAGTCCTGTGGGGGACTGTTGACGGTGGTTGACACTGATCTCAGCGGAAGTCATCACTCGACTCTGATGATCGCTAAGGTTGTAGAAGCGGCATTTAGGGCCTGTTTACATGGAGGTAGGGGACCCCACGTAGAACCTCTTATTTTATCTTGATCACGTTTACATGATAGGTGGGTGACCCGAATTTTAAACTTCTTAGTTGCAAGTGTAATAACAACCTCGAGAAACCTCACTCCGGCATCCAGGGGTTGTAAGATCGTATGTAAACGCGGGCTATTTTTCGACCATGGCTAGGCCGGTTACCTCACCTACCAGCTGGGGTTCCCCACATCCATGTAAACAGGCCCTTGGTGCTGCCGACAACAGTTGTTGGATACTGTACAATACGTTAATTATTCTTAATTTGATTGACATTCACTAGTGATTTCATTTATCTCTACATAACCAAACAAACATGTATGCGGCACGCGTTGTATCGTCCCTTATATAGCACTGTTCAACGTGCTTACAACGGGACGTTTAGTGCGTGTTTCTTTCAAATAAGCCGAGAGTTGTGAGTTGGAGTTAACCAAAGTGTTGCAGTAAAATCCGGCGTTAAATCAAGTGAATAAACCGTGACTTAATAAGGAAGCGTAGTACAGCTTTTTCATGTTTTTAACACAGTCCTTCTCTTATTGGACTACCCTCACCCGGACGTTCAGATTACACGATCAAACGTTTCCCACGGGTTCACGCCACTATCTGCGTCGGTGTACATACTATAAGATTTTAAGCTGTTAACTAACGGCGTAAAATCTCTCAGTATGTATATATACCTTTCCTCCTTGCAACTTGCAATGTTTGCCCGGTGGCGATCACAGAAATCTCTGCGTAAACGCAAGGATCCGATTACTGGCAACTCATTCATTGTTTACGATCGCAGTAGGTGGTGTGCGCACTCTGATTACGTTGCATCATGGTCGCAATACAAAAAGTAAGTCATTTGCATCCTGTCGCGGTTGAGTGAACATCTTTGGTGGCAACAAGGTAGCGTGAATATAAGTGGAATGTAATGAGGATTCACTGTCTGTTACCGTTCCTTCGAAAGTAAAAAGTTGTTTCCGGGCCTGCGCGACTCCTGTAATTCCCCCGTGACGAATTCGCTCAACACCTAACGAGATACCTACGATGACTTTGGCAGGAGTCACACAAGCCTATCAACACCTTCAAACAGTCGACTACCTTTTGTTTTCCAGCTTACCCGGCATGTTGCCTTGCACACCGTAGAGTTATTTATTGGTCAAGGGATTCCTTTCACTGTGCCAATTCAACTGTCCTTCATTCAATGATCATGATAAAAGATTTACCATACAACACTTGCCAGTGGTTAATTTGCTTTTACTTAGGAAAGTAGATTTACAACATGATTTAGTATATATAGGAAATGTCCTTACAATAGTAATGCTGTGTTAACGGTCATAACCGGTCTCCAACAATATCACTTGAAATTCATAAAACACGTTGGAGAGCGTTTAGTCAGAGCTGTTAAAGAAAGATGGAAGTGGCCATTCAAATCTTTGAAGGGCTTCAAACTACGACGTACATCAAATTTGACCTTCTTAAAAGCCAGTCTTGAGTTACATACTAAAAAACATCGATTGCATTTGTACTTGAGAAGCATTGAATATGTGACAAATGCATACCAAAAATACTTCTGCAAATTCAGAATCAATCAAATTTCATTCACCTATGGTGAAAGAAAAAAAGGAACGGTCCAGTTTTTACGGAACGTTCAGACAAAATCTGCCGATTTCTGCCGCTTTCACAGCCATATTGAAAATAACGCTACCATAATGCAACACAATCGGAGTGCGTACACCGCCTGCGATCGCACATGCGACTCATACTACTCACTATCTACCATGGACAATATGATGTGTAGCTTAGCCAATCAGATAAAAGCATTTATGACAGAAACCCTGTAAAAACCCCGCACCAACACCCACTTACCTATTCGCATCACGCCCTTATCGCGAGAAAAAGATGATGGAAGGAGAAACTATCTTCGTTCAAACGGACCCAGCGTTTAATGCAGTCCTTCTCGCCCTCGAGGAGTTAAGAGACCAAAATCGATTGCACGTGACACACTGTCAAACAGCCTATATTAAAGATATAGAAAGTAACGATGAACAAGAAGATCACAGGTTGAGGTTTGGTGGTCAAAATGCACCCAACATGGCCTGCGAGAGTTTTGGTCGAACGGCATCAGCAATCGTACGTATGTGCATGCTGAAAGCGGCAGGTATTAATAGAGCTTGGTGGCCGCAAATCGGGCCCAGATCGAATACTAGGAACCAGGCCAAGCTGCAATTTGAGGTGTTGATACACCCGCTTTTCAGTCTCGCAAATGACCGGCGGACAGCGAGACACTACTGGTGGAAATATGATCAACTCTACCCACATTTTCGAATACAAGATACATTGGAAAACTTAAACATCAATGATGAAGGTAGTATGCAAAGTATGATGCTTATTTTCCGCAACAACTGGACGGAGATGATTGAGATAACCACCACATTTAAAGGCTACGCCGATGGAACAGCATCAGTTCAATAGCAAAGTCAGTGTCGCCTGCATTGTGCGAGAAATTTTAGAAGGTAAAGACCGACCACACACTGCCCGCTTGAAGGAGTTGATCCAGCCCTTCAACATTCCAGATGAATATTTCAAAGAAGTAATGAACTTAAAGAACGAGAAAGATGCACGAAAATTGAAACTATTTTCAAGGTAATAAAGATGATGAAAATAGCGAAGAAGTCAAAGAGGAAGACAGCGAGGAAGACAGTACGGACGACAGTGAGGAAAGCGCAAACTAGAACTTATTCAACATACAATAGGCAGCAAAAGATAAACTGATAATGAAAACATTATTATAGTTTTTAGGATTGATTGCTATAGGTGGAGGTATGTTTAAAAGTAGGTAGGCATCTGACTGACTTCAGTGAATTGTTTGTACTTCCACGCTCTGTGCTTCAGAGCAGAAACCTAGTTTTTCTACTGGCATTTAGGACAATTTAGTACGCAACTTGTGCACATCAATTTTACAGGGTGTTGAGAAAGCGCTCGTGTTCAACATTTTTGCACAAAAAATAATACTGTTTGTACTACAATTTCAATAAATATTATTCTTTGATTAGATGAACTCAACAGATTTTCATTTGCATGTCTGAACAAAATTGCATGTCTGAGTAATATGCAAATTTACAAATTCATAACCACTCGAGCAGAGTAGGAAAAGGGATTCCGACGAAATTGCGTTTGTTTGTAATTTGTGAGTTTAGGAAAAATGAATGGGAATTTATGAAGTCTTCATATTATCGTAGTTTACTTTGATAAATGTTAACGTACGCTGCACGATAACAATAAACGTATTATTACTACAGTCAAGTAGCAAGCTGTTGCAATGTCTTCATTCTCAAATATGTTATGAACTTACTTAAGTGCCACTCTCGCTAAGAGCGGTTCTCTCGTTTTCTTTTATTTTTGCCCGTCGGACACATGTTTCAAAAAAAAGTTTTGTTTTTCTTTTTTTGCCCATGAAAAGATTTTTAGGACACATGTTTCAAAAATAGTTGATTTTGTTCTCCAATTCTCAATTTTTGTGTCTATCACAAGTCAAAATGAGTTTTTTGGCCAGACCACCCCTGTGGTGTAATTTCAAAAAGATTTTGTTCAGGCGCAGGCTGAAAAGCATATCAGTGCATAGTTTATACACCAATGAGCTCACTGATTGTCAAATACTATCTCGCTTACAAGTTCTTAAAACAAAGCAAATGTATTCAGTTAGTTCAACTGCGCTTGTGTCAAAGATCATTTGCATGATTCTTAAAATTGACCAAGATCTCCTTTTGACCGTTCAAACTTCGCTCGTTTATCTTCTACGTTGAGGATTTTAGGTTTTCACAGCAACTGAATGGAGAATAGATGCAGAGTTGTCCTAAAACGTTGCGTAAACGTGATCGGTTGTAACGCTTGCGCGCTTGCGTGACTTACAAAGTGGACAAAGGCGATGGGAAGGCGCCTTCCCGATAATTTACGTTGAAATATCAGGTCATGAACTACGCACAGTGTGGAGAAGATCAAACTTAAAGAATAAACTTTGGCACTCTGGTCATAACAGACATATCGCGTTGCTGAAAAGGACGCAAAAACAAGTTAAAATAGGTTACAGTGTTTATATTTACAAAACAACACGCATACACTCTGAAACAATTCTTGCAGGTTTTTCCCGAGATTTAGTAGACGGAACCCGATGAACTAACCCTCCTTTCTGCAAATTTGTTTCCGTCATCAATGATGTTACATTCTAATGGACCACAACGGTTTTGAGCGACAAACTCGACATTTCCCTGCGACCATCAAAATCAACTGGACAAACCCTGCTTGATGTATTGCGAGACGTGATTGTGCAAACTCTCCTCTTTGTCATACGACCTGTTTCGCACGCTCTATAAGTTGGAACCAAAATTAGTTAATGTAACTAATTAGCATCGAAAGTTATTAAAGTGGACTGAAGAATTTTACATTTTAACGAGAATTTCATCTTTTAAAATGTTTACTTGACCGCTTCTTAGTGCTTAGAGTGGCACTTCAAGAGATATAAACGCAGGCCTGGAACAGTGAGATTTTCTGTGTGCTACAACTATGAGCACTTGTTAAAGTTCGTAAAAGGAGACCTTAGAGTGCTTAGAAATCAGCTAAAGTTGAGAGATTATTTGCTCACAACATAATCTTCTGCAGGCAGAATAGTAGTCAAGTCGATGTACCTAACGCTGCAAACACCAAGTGCCTTTTTCAGGTTTCAAACTGTCGTTTGCTTAATTTCGCAGCTTTTACAGCAGCACAAATGTAGTCATACAGTAAAAATCTAAAGACAATTCTTTTGATAAATCTGACCACAAAGCAGCACAAATGTAGTCACACACTTAACATATCAGGACAATTAAATTGATAGATCTGACCACAAAGCAGCACAAACGTAGTAACTATTATACAGTAAACATTTTAAGACAATTCCTTTGATAAATCTGACCACAATAAGTAATAAATCTGACCACTTACCAAGGTAATTAAAGCTGTAAATCTGACCACTTACCAAGGTAATTAAAGCTGTAAATTACACTACCAAGGTGATAGTTATTACACTGTGATAGGCGAGCAGAACCATGGCACACATGGGCGATCTTAAGTTCTGGTCTCTCAGCATCCTTGGTCGAAATGATCCAGACCTAAAACTGTTCATAAAATGGGAGTTAAAAGTCACATCTCATCGTTGGGTTTTTTCAACATCTGATAATCAATTCTCCTTTCTTATTACTACACATCTTCAAGTAGATAAGTTAAGAGAATTAAGTTATACATCCAAGTATTGCCCTTCACTAAGAGCTGGATTAACCATTTAACCCCTGAGAGTGACTAGCATCTAATTTCTCCCAGCAGTATAACCCCTGCATCACACAGTAAGGTCATGAGAATCAGTGTTCTCCAGAAGCACAGGCAGCTAGCGTTTTAGCTGGCTACTCGCATCTCAATCACTGGCTACTTTTGTTAGACAAAACCGCAGAAAATTATTTCCTTTTTTTGGCAAGACAATTTCAAGCATAGCTTGAATTTGCGCTTGATTTGGAAGCGCTGGCTACTTTACAATTCTAGCTGACTACTTCAAAATCTGTGGAGAACACTGGAGAATAAAGCAAATGATCACCAACTAAATATTCTCTTGATTGATAAACAAATTCTCTTTGTCAGCACCTTAGGAAATGTATAGAAAACAGTATGGTGAATATGCACACTGATGTTTGGGGGTAAAGGGTTAAGTTTGTGCACTCCAAACATCTGGTCATAGAATTATATATTGACTTAATTGTGAGGATCATATTTCATGTAAATCACCTCTGGGGAGTTGACATGAAATTTCAAAATGAAATTACTTGTCTAAACCTTATGGCATTTTGATTGAGTTTTATATATTAACTGAAACGAATAAAAAAGTTATCAAAAGTGATAATCACATTTTAAATCCTATATGAATTCAATAAGTAAGCCATTAAAACTTCACATTGAAGTTAAGCAAAAGCACTTATTTTAGTTTCCACACAACTCAAATTGGCTCTTTGAAAGAATCTCTGCCATGTCTAAGGATTTGGATTTTGACTCAGTCTGAGGAACAACAGTGTTACCTTGTCTCCTGGAAAACCAACCCACTCTAACAACTTGATTATCTTTGCAGGAAGCAGGGACAACATCTAAAAGAAGACAATCAAAATGTCAACATGTTAACATTCTGTGAGCAAAATGTTACATTGGCAGTCTAAATAAGATAATTTACTTTTGAGGAAAATTAACTCATCCCAGCTTCTTCCACATAGAGTGACAAGGAAAATTGCTGCTCTTCCTGAAATGGAAAGTGGTCTATCTCTCTTCCACTTCCAGCATAATACTTTCTGAACTGCTCCAACATTTTGTCCCTACCAATCATGGGTGCATGGATAGAGGCATTACAAGACACAATTGTCCTAATCCATGGTCTAGTATTGATGGCAAACACAAGCACTTCCAAATACTCATAGCTTTAGAATGGACACAACATACCAGTAAGATAATCGTGATAATTTTTAATGGGCTGACCAAATGAAGTTCACCTAAGTTTCTGTAGACTCACCGAATTTAATCCTCCAATGCCAAGATGAACTCCTCCTTCAAAGTCCTTTCTTTGTAGTGAATGCTGAAGAGATGATGGCTGATGGGCGACCATGTCCAGGCAAGTCCTGAGTTGAGAGAAATACCACAATATACAAATCAACAACAGAAATTATACAATTATATGGGTCTGCAATAATAATTGCTGTGAAAAAAAATTATCTTCAATGGATCAGTACATTGTAATGTTCCAAAATTCACTCCAAAACTTACTTGTAAGTTTCATCAGCACTTCTGATTTTTAGAGTTCTGCAAATGAAGCTGACCAGATTTTCATCGTGATGAGAAATTTATAAGAGTCGATCATATATATACAGATAGGAAAATTCATCTATATTATTGGGCATTTTTAAGAAAACAATTATTCCAATTGCAGTTGTTGAATATGACATGATTATAGCCAACTTGGCTCTATGGGCCAATTTGCAGGTGGGATTTGCACCTGAAAGTATTTCAATCATTGTAGGAATAAATGAGCTAAAATCAACCTTTTCCTTCTGTTATCTCACCGTTTTAGTATGAACAAAAACAACTATTCACGTCAGTGTTGCTGGCTAGTGGTGGACATATATGTGCCCGGTTTGCAGCTCCCATAGGGTGAACAATTGTTAAATATTTACTGACAGTGAACTAGAGTCAACCCTTTTTACAATAATCTATACCTGAATAAATGTGAGTAATGCCCCCATAAATAAACATTTGGCATAGCACAGCTCAGCATGTCTTTCCCCTAGAATGGAACAAAACATATCAAAAACAGGACCGGTCCTGTTGTGAAACATCATAATCAAGATATAAAACTAAAACAAGGACAGTGTAAGAGAGTACCTTCTGTTAAATTATTATAGGATGGATTCCAAATCCAGCTGATAAATGACTCTGTCCATGACTATTACTTCCTTCTTCGTGTTTCCTTCTGTATCTCCCTCAAACTTGTTTAAGTTTAATGCAATCATCATAAAACAGAAAGAGCAATCCCTGTTCCAAAGATTTAAAAAAAGAGTTACATTGATGTAAAAACTATCACTTATGAAACTCTTTGATCTGCAAAATAGACTTCACTCCCTAAAAAAAAAAATTATGTTGTTTCGAGTACTGGCTTGTGATTGGCTGAAAAACTATACTAAAGAACACTTACTCTGAACGAGAATTTAGAACTACTGAATAATATAAATAGTTACAGTAAAATGTGATTGTTCAAACAATGATTTAGAACTATTGAAAATTAATTTACATGAATATTTGCATAGAAACTTGATTGTTTATTATCTGGTAATATTAAGTAGCTAACACTACATCAGTCCTTACTTGTAATTCTGACAACAGGTCCTAGTTTTCAAAGCTCCCCACACAAAACTGACAAGATTGTCATCCTACAGTAATCAATCAACATATTCAGACATAATTTTAAAGAACACAAATGTGACTGAACTGCACTGTTTTATAGCATATGGTATACATCAACACAAGAATCCTTCAGCAAAATAAAATTTTTTAAAACCAGACCTATGGAGTGGGTAATGCACAATATTTATTGTTCTCTTTTACCTGAATAAATGTAAGTAAAGCATCAAGAAGAAAACATTCTAGCACAGCTTGGCATGCATCTCTTCTGCAAAGAAAGATTCATTTACATCAAAAATGATTTCATTTCATTCTCAATTTAATTAAATTTACTTTAGTTCAACTACTTAGTTTCAAGCCCTCAACTCCGAAAAATCAAATAAAATTAGAGAAAGATTTAAAAATAGCAATAAATCTCGAAACCAAAACCTCTTAAAACAGTAAATAAATTAAGTCTAGCAGTTAGCTTATCAAGTCTCTATTAAATTTAATGTGTAGAGTTACTAGCATCAACGACTTTTAATTTAAAAACTTTGTTTAATAATGAAGAAAAACTGAAGATCAATGTACAAACCAATACAAAACTCATTCTATGCAGAACTCCATATCCAGCTTGAAAATGTTTCTGACCATGTTGGCTTTTTTCTTTGTCTGAAGATAAAATAATCAAAACAATTCTGTTTCAATCAATAATCGTAATGCCTCATGTATTTTATTGGTGTATTCCTTTATGAATAAATAGCCACTGTCAACATGTCCATAAACAGATCATTGTTAGTACCTTTAACATATATTCACAGCCAACTTGACACTTTTACTTGCCTTTTGAATTGCTGGCTGGAAACAGAGAAAATAATTTCAATTCAATTCTCTAGATTAGCATCTTAAATTTTACAATGTGAACCTTGTGAATACCAATCATACTTCTGTGACAAATCATGTAGTTCAAGTTATCAAATATGACAAGATTCTACCAGCCAACTGTTTTGGAGTCAAAGGTATAAGATTTCTATTCTGGAAGAAAACCCCATTACATTCAAAGGACAAGAAAAGAGTACATTTTCAAAGATGTTCTAAATATTTGCAAAATTAATCTGAATACGTATTATTTCCAAGATGTCCTCTGTCAGGCGCTTGGAAAAAACTTTTTCTAGACTGCTCTGTTCTCATCTTGATTGGAATCAACTTTATATGTATTTTACTCTCTAAACTTTTCATTAGGTAACCGGACATTTCGCACAAGTCTTTTAGCACAAGTTTTGGACCATTCGCACAATTCTTAGTGGTCATTTCGCACAATAATTATGAGTGAGAAACATCAATGTAAAAGGTAAACTGATTGATACTGATAAGACATTTCACCTTCACAAGATCCAACGGCGAGAACGTAGACATTTATTTACGTAATAACTTCAACTAGATCGAAATGCTCGTGAACATGATCACTATTCTTACTTGAAGAAAGGAAAGATACAAATCTCTCTCTCTATGAATATGTAAAGAACTCCCAATTCCAACGACTACTTCTATAACTTTTCCTTTGTTGAACAAAAACCTTTTAGTTTTGACAGTATCACCCACTGAACATGCAAACATGACGACCCATGGTAAGGACACCATGCTGATTTCGAAAGTCAAGCCTCCTTGTTTGATCGCCTTCAAATAGCATATTTTATCCATCTGTAAGTGTTTCAAATAAAGCTATTGAAAACTTGCTTCTTATATCTTCGTTATATAATGAAAATTAGGCATACTGGTAATACGTATAGCAAAAAACAGTTCGACGTTAATAACTCGATATTTAGAGAGTGATTCACATCGAATGTCAGCACATGCAAGTGTTGTGATTTGACAACTTGAACGTGTCAGTGTAGGTAGTAACTAGTGATCTTGTGGAAAGACAAGTTCGATCTGTAATCATTTTAAAGATCGAGAAGTTTAATACATCTATCAAGTAGTAACCTTTCAAATTATTCTAATAACAATTACCTAAGTGATGGAGAGTTCAGTATCGATCGATAAGCATCATAGCTCCCAGGTGAAAATATAAGGTGGGATCCCGCCAATCCCACCTGGGATCCCAGGTGTGTCCCAGGTGGGATCCCACTTGGGATTATGGAACATCCCGCATGAGATCCCGCATGGGATCCTGCCTTAAATTCCTAATAGCATCCCACCAATCCCACCTGGGATCCCAGGTGTGTCCCAGGTGGGATCCCACCTGGGATTATGGAACATCCCGCATGGGATCAAACATGGGATCCTGCCAATTGAAGTTGGGATCCCACCTTAAATTCCCAATAGCATCCCACCTGGGAAAGCACATCCCAGGCAGGATTAAACCTAGAATCCTACCAATCCCTCTTGGGATCCTGCCTCAAATTTCAGTTAGTTTCCCAACCGGGAAATCATATCCCAGGCAGGATTGATTGCGTGGGATCCTGCCAATCCCAGTTTAGACCCTGCATAAAATTTCAGATGGCTTCCCACTTTCAGAAAATTCCTTAATGGGATCCTGTTTAACACTGGAGACCACAGATTTATGAAATGTACCAGATGGGATATCTTATCAATTCCTTTTGTAACCTAATCCTTCAAATTAAGAAGATAAAATTTTCTAGGTGAGCTATAGACCCCCATCAATCCACTGAGGGTCCAAAACTTTCCAACTAGCTATAGAACATACTGACACCTCCAATTGTAACATCAAACAGTACATGAATACACAGACTATATGTGATCAAGATCTCACAATTTATTTGCAAAGAACCAGCATGTGTTCGACGTTGTTTCATCGACAAATTTCTTAACCGAACACTTTTAAAGAATAACAGCACAACTCAGCATATTACTTTTTCTTCATTATTTATGCAGACCATTTACAGTGTAATATGGCTCAAAGTTTAAAAAAATTGGCTGTTGTATATCAAAGAATAGAAGGCAAAACCTCAATAATTCATGTTATCAAAAATTTGACAAAGAAGATAGTGATTTAAATTCTGCTCTCTCTTTAGTCGAATTTTTGAAAGCAAAGCAAGATCAGAATGTTCCCAGACGTGACTAAAGTAATCTTGAAACCTTACTGATAGACTTATTTCATTGTAAAGTGTAAGCGTAGGAAACTGCAGCAAGTGACCAATTCGATTCTCAGAATTATTCGAGTTTCAGTTGCGCCGAGCGTTACGTGAGCTTAATTTGATAAGATTTTGATCACGTAACGAATATCGCAATTTGTACTCACCACAAACTTTCAAAATCCTTGCTTTATAAATGGCCACTCGATCGTTGTTTGAACCAGTCAATGTCAACTGTTTATTGTCCCTTCTTTTAATTCCACGGCGCCAACGACTTTCTTTTCGTTTACAACACTCACGCTGTTCTCGTTTTCCCATTGAACCACAATAAAACCCATCATCTTTAGAAGTGTTATATTAAGCAAAACAGTTGAGGAAAGAAACAACTTGAAGCAAGAGCGGTTAACCGATGAAAAGTACATTCAAAGATGAGCGCCAAATGGAGTTTTCTTTGTTTCCGATCACGGGCATGATCACGTGGATCTTTTAGCAAAGAGAATCCGCTGGCTTGATCGATTGCAGTCTCAAGAGAAGCGCGCAAAATTATTCTGTCTTTTCTGACTGGTTCTCTTCTAAAATATATATAAAAAAAATAAAATATAATAAAATATATATATATAATATATTCACACGGCAACCAGGTGGACAATCAGACATAGTTTGATGCTACTCTGGTTTGCAGATTTAATTAATGTAACCGAAGAAGTTACAATTCATAGACCCAACGTTTCGACACTCCTGTCTAGTGCCTTCATCAGGGGTGATCTAAACGCTGCAACAAGAGGTCCTTTTATATGACCACTAATTGTAACTTCTTCGGTCGTTGGCGCCGTGGAATTAAAAGAAGGGACAATAAACAGTTGACATATTGACTGGTTCAAACAACGATCGATCAATAGAATATTTAGTTGGTGATCATTTGCTTTATTCTCCAGTGTTCTCCACAGATTTTGAAGTAGTCAGCTAGAATTGTAAAGTAGCCAGCGCTTCCAAATCAAGCGCAAATTCAAGCTATGCTTGAAATTGTCTTGCAAAAAGAAGGAAATAATTTTCTGTGGTTTTGTCTAACAAAAGTAGTCAGTGATTGAGATGCGAGTAGCCGCCTAAAACGCTAGCTGCCTGTGCTTCTGGAGAACACTGATTCTCATGACCTTACTGTGTGATGCAGGAGTTATACTGCTGGGAGAAATTAGATGCTAGTCACTCTCAGAAGTTAAATGGTTAATCCAGCTCTTAGTGAAGGGCAATACTTGGATGTATAACTTAATTCTCTTAACTTATCTACATGAAGATGTGTAGTAATAAGAAAGGAGAATTGATTATCAGATGTTGAAAAAACCCAACGATGAGATGTGACTTTTAACTCCCATTTTATGAACAGCTTTAGGTCTGGATCATTTAGACCAAGGATGCAGAGACCAGAACTTAAGATCGCCCATGTGTGCCATGGTTCTGCTCGCCTATCACAGTGTAATAACTTATTACCTTGGTAAGTGGTCAGATTTACAGCTTTAATTACCTTGGTAAGTGGTCAGATTTACAGCTTTAATTACCTTGGTAAGTGGTCAGATTTATTACTTATTGTGGTCAGATTTATCAAAGGAATTGTCTTAAAATGTTTACTGTATAGTAGTTACTACGTTTGTGCTGCTTTGTGGTCAGATCTATCAATTTAATTGTCCTGATATGTTAAGTGTGTGACTACATTTGTGCTGCTTTGTGGTCAGATTTATCAAAAGAATTGTCTTTAGATTTTTACTGTATGACTACATTTGTGCTGCTGTAAAAAGCTGCGAAATTAAGCAAACGACAGTTTGAAACCTGAAAAAGGCACTTGGTGTTTGCAGCGTTAGGTACATCGACTTGACTACTATTCTGCCTGCAGAAGATTATGTTGTGAGCAAATAATCTCTCAACTTTAGCTGATTTCTAAGCACTCTAAGGTCTCCTTTTACGAACTTTAACAAGTGCTCATAGTTGTAGCACACAGAAAATCTCACTGTTCCAGGCCTGCGTTTATATCTCTTGAAGTGCCACTCTAAGCACTAAGAAGCGGTCAAGTAAACATTTTAAAAGATGAAATTCTCGTTAAAATGTAAAATTCTTCAGTCCACTTTAATAACTTTCGATGCTAATTAGTTACATTAACTAATTTTGGTTCCAACTTATAGAGCGTGCGAAACAGGTCGTATGACAAAGAGGAGAGTTTGCACAATCACGTCTCGCAATACATCAAGCAGGGTTTGTCCAGTTAATTTTGATGGTCGCAGGAAATGTCGAGTTTGTCGCTCAAAACCGTTGTGGTCCATTAGAATGTAACATTATTGATGACGGAAACAAATTTGCAGAAAGGAGGGTTAGTTCATCGGGTTCCGTCTACTAAATCTCGGGAAAAACCTGCAAGAATTGTTTCAGAGTGTATGCGTGTTATTTTGTAAATATAAACACTGCAACCTATTTTAACTTGTCTTTGTGTCCTTTTAAGCAACGCGATATGTCTGTTATGACCAGAGTGCCAAATTTTATTCTTTAATTTTGATCTTCTCCACACTGTGCGTAGTTCATGACCTGATATTTCAACGTAAATTATCGAGAAGGCGCCTTCCGATCACCTTTGTCTACTTTGTAAGTCATGCAAGCGCGCAAGCGTTACGACCGATCACGATTACGCAACGTTTTAGGACAACTCGGCATCTAATCTCCATTCAGTTGCTGTGAAAACCTAAAATCCTCAACGTAGAAGATAAACGAACGAAGTTTGAACAGTCAAAAGGAGATCTTGGTCAATTTTAAGAATCATGCAAATGATCTTTGACACAAGTGCAGTTGAGCAAACACATGGATTTGCGTTGTTTTAAGAGGTTGGTGAATGGAAGCTAGAGATACACCCGCGGGTTTGAGGCAATCCGTGACCTCATTGGTGTATAAACTATGCACTGATATGCTTTTTCAGCCTGATTAACGCCTGCATTTTGAGAATTCTTTCGTACAAAGTAGTGAATTTTTGATATGCAAATTAAGGTCGTAGAGAAGGGTCTCCTCTGATCACGCTGGTATGAAAAATATTTCAGCTGAAGTTTCCATATTTTGTCCGTGAACTAACTGAATACATCCTGTAACTTGTAGCGAGATAGTATTACGTGAGCTACATTGTTGCAGTCGCTGTGCGCTGAACAAAATCTTTGAAATTTACACCACAGGGGTGGTCTGGCCAAAAATCATTTTGACTTGTGGCGACGCAAAAAAAGAGAATTGGAGAACAACTCAACTATTTTTGAAACATGTGTCCTAAACCCTTTTCATGGGCAAAAAATAAAAGAAAACTTTTTTTTCCGACGGGAAGTCGAGAGGACCGCTCTTAGCGAGAGTGGCACTTAAGTAAGTTCATAACATATTTGAGAATGAAGACATTGCAACAGCTTGCTACTTGACTGTAGTAATAATACGTTTATTGTTATCGTGCAGCGTACGTTAACATTTATCAAAGTAAACTACGATAAAATGAAGACTTCATAAATTCCCATTCATTTTTCCTAAACTCACAAATTACAAACAAACGCAATTTCGTCGGAATCCCTTTTCCTACTCTGCTCGAGTGGTTATGAATTTATACAATTTTGTTCAGACATGCAAATGAAAATCCCTGAAATATCTGTTGAGTTCATCTAATCAAAGAACAATATTTGTTGAAATTGTAGTACAAACAGTATTATTTTTGTGCAAAAATGTTGAACACGAGCGCTTTCTCAACACCCTGTAAAATTGATGTGCACAAGTTGCGTACTAAATTGTCCTAAATGCCAGTAGAAAAACTAGGTTTCTGCTCTGAAGCACAGAGCGTGGAAGTACAAACAATTCACTGAAGTCAGTCAGATGCCTACCTACTTTTAAACATACCTCCACCTATAGCAATCAATCCTAAGAACTATAATAATGTTTTCATTATCAGTTTATCTTTTGCTGCCTATTGTATGTTGAATAAGTTCTAGTTTGCGCTTTCCTCACTGTCGTCCGTACTGTCTTCCTCGCTGTCTTCCTCTTTGACTTCTTCGCTATTTTCATCATCTTTATTACCTTGAAGAATTTTCAAATTTCGTGCATCGTTCTCGTTCTTTAAGTTCATTACTTCTTTGAAATATTCATCTGGAATGTTGAAGGGCTGGATCAACTCCTTCAAGCGGGCAGTGTGTGGTCGGTCTTCAGCTTGTGAAATTTCTTGCACAATGCAGGCGACACTGACTTTGCTATTGAACCGATGCTCTTCCATCGGCGTAGCCTTTAATGTGGTGGTTATCTCAATCATCTCCGTCCAGTTGTTGCGGAAAATAAGCATCATACTTTGCATACTACCTTCCTCACTGATGTTTAAGTTTTCCACTGTATGTTGTATTCGAAAATGTGGGTAGAGTTGATCATATTTCGACCAGTAGTGTGCCGCTGTCCGCCAGTCATTTGCGAGACTGAAAAGCGGGTGTATGTACACATCAAATTGCAGCTTGGCCTGGTTCCTAGTATTCGATCTGGGCCCGATTTGCGGCCACCAAGCTCTATTAATACCTGCCGCTTTCAGCATGCACATACGTACGATTGCTGATGCCGTTCGACCAAAACTCTCGCAGGCCATGTTGGGTGCATTTTGACCACCAAACCTCAACCTGTGATCTTCTTGTTCATCGTTACTTTCTATATCTTTAATATAGGCTGTTTGACAATGTGTCACGTGCAATCGATTTTGGTCTCTTAACTCCTCGAGGGCGAGAAGGACTGCATTAAACGCTGGGTCCGTTTGAACGAAGATAGTTTTTCCTTCCATCATCTTTTTTCTCGCGATAAGGGCGTGATGCGAATAGGTAAGTGGGTGTTGGTGCGGGGTTTTTACAGGGTTTCTGTCATAAATGCTTTTATCTGATTGGCTAAGCTACACATTATATTGTCCATGGTAGATAGTGAGTAGTATGAGTCGCCTAACAGTGTGCGATCGCAGGCGGTGTACGCACTCCGATTGTGTTGCATTATGGTGGTGTTATTTTCAATATGGCTGTGAAAGCGGCAGAAATCGGCAGATTTTGTCTGAACGTGCCGTAAAAGTTGGACCGTTCCTTTTTTTCTTTCACCATAGGTACATGAAATTTGATTGATTCTTAATTTGTAGAAGTATTTTTGTACGTATTTGTCTTGTATTCAATGGTTCTCAAGGACAAATGCAATCACTGCTTTTTAGTATGTAACTTGAGACCGGTTTTCGGGAAGGTCAAATTCGGGGTACGTCTCAGTTTGAAGCCTTTCAAAGATTTGAATGGCCGCTTTGATCCTTCTTTAACAGCTCTGGCTAAACGCTCTCCAACGTGTTTTATGAATTTCAAGTGATATTGTTAGAGACCGGTTATGACCGGTTGTGTTTATTGTGTTTAATGTACTGCGTTACACAGCGTTGCTATTGTAAGGACATTCCTATATATACTCAGTCGTGTTGTAAATCTACTTTCCTAAGCAAAAGGAAATTAACTAATCGCGAGTATCTTATGGTATATCTACTTTCTTGGTCATTGAATGAAGGACAGTTGAATTAGAGCAGTGAAAGGAATCACTTGACCAATGAATAACTCTACATTGAGCAAGGCGACACGCCAGGTGAGCCGGAAAACAAAAGGCAGTCGACTGTGAAAAGGTGTTGATAGGCTTGTGTGACTCCTGTCAAAGTCATCGTAGGTATCTCGTTAGTTGTTTAGCGAATGTCACGCGGCACTATCCAGAGTCTTTACAACTTCTTACACGGGAGTACTAAGCGCCATGCGTTATTTAAGGACATTGAAGTTCATGAAGAGGATGTTGCGCTTACATTAAAATCTTAGAGTACCACTAGATGGTCCTGTCGCTGGGTGGCGGTGAGGGCCGTGCTAGAGCAAGTGCCGAGGATAATGGAAGCCCTGGTCACTTTATCAAAGGATCGCGATCCCAAGACCTACAACGAAAGTAATTCGCGTCTCCACTCCATTTGTGACTTTGAGTTTGTTTATGGCTTGATGGTTTTGAAGCTCATCTTATCTAACACTGATAATTTGAGTAGATATCTACAGGGAGAACAGATGGATGTCATCACTGCCAAGAAGACTGCTAATGTTGTCGTTAAGACATTGAGCAATTGTCGTAATGAAGAGAGCTTCACTCAGATGTGGTCACATGTTAATGTTATAGCGCAAAAAATCAGAATAGGAATCGAGGGTACGAAATTTACCTTCAGAGATTCTAAGGTGCCTTGAACCAGACCATCACGCCAACGTCAGAGCCTTACTGGCGAGACACCTGCTGCAGCGAACGACAGCTCACAAAAGACGGCAAAAGACCACTTTCGTATCACAGTTTATTACACAAGTATTGACAAAGTCGTCAGTGAACTTCAATCAAGGTTTGAGGGCAATGACCAGGAGGTTCAGCCATTCTCCAAGCATCAACAACATCCAAACTGTATCAAATTTCTATGGCGTGGATAGTGAAATGCTATCAAGTGAGAAGTCAATCTTTGAAAACTACGACTGCGTGGACCCATGCCAGAGAAAAAACGCAGCCGTGATGATAAAGACCATGCATCAAAATGGTCTTCATGACATTTTACCCGTTCTATATAAATTAAAGTTGCCTCCATCCTGGCCACAATTCCTGCAACCTCGTGCTCTGCTGAAAGGTCTTTCAGCGCACTTCGTCGCATCAAGACATTTTTAAGATCCACAATGGGACAAGACAGACCCAGCAGTTTTGCCGTTATTAACATTGAAAGAAAGTATGCGAACAAGACAATGCAGAATGACATGCAAAGGATCATTGACATATTTGGGTCTCGAAGTAATCGTTCTTCATACTTCTTTTAGAGCTTAAATGGGCACGCTTTATCTCTCACTTCTTGGTTTTGTATTTTAGAAATGTTGATCTCGATTTACCGAAAATATTTGCACTATTTTGAACGCCCGAGCTCTCAAGTTATGGCGAAGAAAACTTGATGTTATGAAAGAATCATCTTGAGCATCTGTTACCAACAAGTTTCATTCGGGAAAATTATGTTCAGCCTCCCCCAACAAAATTTTTCCCGTACGCCGATGACTGCGATCGTAAACAATGAATGAGTTGCTAGTAATCGGATCCTTGCGTTTACGCAACAATTTCTGTGATCGCCACTGGCCAAACATTGCAAGTTGCAAGGAGGAAAGGTATATGTACATATTGAGAGATTTTACGCCATTAGTTAAAGGCTGAAAATCGTATAGTATGTACACCGACGCAGCTAGTGGCGTGAACCCGTGGGAAACATTTGATCGTGCAATATGAACGTCCAGTTGAGGGTAGTCCAATAATAGAAGGACTGTGTTAAAAACGTGAAAAAGCTGTACTACGCTTCCTTATTAAGTCACGGTTTATTCACTAGATTTAACGCCGGATTTTACTGCAACGCTTTGGTTAACTCCAACTCACAACTTTCGGCTTTTTCGAAAGCAACACGCACTAAACGTCCCGTTGTAAGCATGTTGAACAGTGCCATATAAGGGACGATAAAACGCGTACCGCATACATGTTTGTTTGGTTATGTAGAGATAAATGAAATCACTAGTGAATGTCAATCAAATTAAGAGTAATTAACGTATTGTACAGTATCCAACAACTGTTGTCGGCAGCACCAAGGGCCTGTTTACATGGATGTGGGGAACCCCAGCTGGTAGGTGAGGTAACCCGCCTAGCAATGGTCGAAAAATAACCCGCGTTTACATACGATCTTACAACCCCTGGATGTCGGGGTGAAGTTTCTCGAGGTTGTTATTACATTTGCAACTAAGGAGTTTAAAATTCGGGTCACCCCAACTATCATGTAAACGTGATCAAGATAAAATAAAAGATTATAAGGACAGGCGGGTCACCTCAATTACGTGGGGTCCCCCACCTCCATGTAAACAGGCCCTAAATGCCGCTTCTACAACCTTAGCGATCATCAGAGTCGAGTGATGACTTCCGCTGAGATCAGTGTGAGTGTCAACCACCGTCAACAGTCCCTCACAGGACTACATTCACCCGCGCGATCACAAAATTAAAACATCACAAAGTAGAAGTTATGGTTAATATGCATCTATCGCTTTTTTCGTTGAAAATAAGTTATTTAAATGGTCCTCTTTTACTGAAGCTTGTTTTTGGGAAAATATGATTTATGGAAATTTGCTGCGCGTTGTGTTTGCTTTTCCGGTTCTCCAAAATTTTAACTTTTTGGATAGGCACGCGTTACACACAGGTTGGGTTAAGGATTCGTAAAATGGAAACGCATTTGGTAAGAGGAGTTGCTAATACTGTAACGAATACAGTCAGCCTTATTAATGGATACCCTACCTACGGTCATCGAAAAAAAAAAATCCTGTTTGCTTAAAAAACTTTATAGAAATTCTGTTTAAAACAAGAGTTCTACTAAAACAAGAAAGATGGTAAGTTTTGAGTTCGGTAGAGAAATAGCGAAAGATGGGTTTTCGTCTTGTCACTAGCATGGGACAGAGGTCTATTCTGTTGAGTTTCAACTTATTCTATTAATTTGAAGCCTTTATTGAAATATTGTCATTTATTCCGGCAGGAAACGGCGAGGGAGATGTTATGTACGCAAAGGAAATTCTTCAGCCGCATCTGAAGGCGTTTCCGAAGGTAAATAGTTAAAGAACTGCACTTATCATGCACTATTGCCGTAATTCTCGGGCAATTGTTTGGAAACTCACAATCTGATTGGCTGTAGAGGAATGTCGTACCAGTGTAACCAGGCCCTCCTGCTCCTCACGTCGTTCTTGATGCCTTTGAACTAAAAAAAAGATGTACATGTATCACCAACAAATCGCACAAATGATGGACAAGGTGCTGCAGTCAGATTTGACGAGACAAAACCGGCAACATCACAGGAATAATGCAGCAAAGAGAGCAGTTTCCAATGACACGAGCTATAAATTGTACTAACCGTTCATTCGTGTTTTTTGAAACATTTAAAAATGTGACTTCCCAGCCTTCCACTTGAATAAGATGCAAATTTCTCCTCACAGTATCACCCCTGGATCAAACATTAAGGTCACAATAATAAGGGAAAAGACTAGAAGTAATTCTTGATTGTTAAATAAATTCTCCTTTTTAGCACCATAGAGATGCAAAGAGAACGGTTTGGAGAAGATGCATACTGATACAAGGGTGTAAAGGATAAAATATGCTCACCATTCCAGTGTCGCAAATTTGCTGTGTTAGCTGCGTCCTTTTTTTCTACAAGGACTTGGCAAAATTGACCGTTGGTTATTAGTATATATAGTCTCTGGGATAACTGTGTGTCTCAAATTTTTCTTTGAAACTCTTTTATTATTTTAGGGAGCGATATTCTTGTACTACGCTGGTCGTATAAAACAAGTTCAAGGAAAGGTGGATGAGGTCAGTGATGATGCAAACGAAGCAGATCGACTCATTAATACAGGGGTGCATCATTCTGAATAAGAAACATTATGTTTAACTGTTGTGATGTGATACACTATCGCAACAACACAAGCTCCTGAAGGATAGGGGCGTGGGAAAATGATTTAGTTCTCTCTGCCCATCCCCCTCTTACCACATACAGGTGATATGTAATGGCATGACTCGATATGTCACGAATAGCGTTGCACGATGTAGCCTGAAAGTACGTTACGTAACGTGACATGACATCGCGACATCACGTGATGTGTAGAGTGACTAGACATTTCACGAATAGCGTTACATGATGCGACACGATAGTACATAACGTGACGTGACATGATATCGGTGACATGACATCAGTAACATGACATCGGTGACATGACATCGGTGACATGACATTATGTGATTTTACTGTAAGCTGTTTGTCTTTTTTTAAATTTTGGTTACAGGCCACCAAAAGCCAACGACTCAATTGCAGTTCAGTCTGAATGGAAACAGTTCCATCATATCTGTTACTGGGAGTTGATGTGGTGTTATTCGTAAGTTTATCGTCACACAAGACTGTTCAGTTGTCGTTTAATTCGTGTCTACTTGGTCTCAGTCACAAAACGTTCTCCAATGGAAAGTATAGATTAAGTCATCTCCCTTGTCATAACTGCTGTCGCATGGTAAAGTTTTTTTTTTGTTGTAGGAAAATTATAACTAAAATCCTCCTTTTCTGTCCCATTAGGTATGAGGGAGACTGGGCCACAGCGTACCACTATGCAAGTGTTCTTTTGAAGGAAAGCCGCTGGTCACGGGTAAGGACGGAAGGAAATTAAGAGAGAACGTGTGTGAAATTTAACTAAAACACCATTGTTGTCAAAGAGAAAGTGAATGGAGGCCTTAGTAACTTACACATTTCTCTCAATGGCATTAACGTACGTAGTTGTTAAGTCTTATTTTCCACGACGTTTAGAAGATTTGCCGAACAGATGCACGGTTAAGTTTGTAAAGAATCGGTTTGAGTTGTTACAGGATTATTTGTATTTATCAATCAAGTTAATGATGTAAATCGTTCATCGAAAAGAGTTTATAATGCTGATATTGCGAGCTTTAGTCCTTTGTCGGGGCAAATGACTCTAAGGTAGCACGGTTACTCAGTCTTCCGCTTTCATATGCTGCTGGAACAGAATTGCAGCTGCATTGTATGACATTGACTTAAGCCTGAACAAACCCTCTCCTCGGCAGACATCCTACATGTATCTTAAAGCTTGCTTCAGAGTTATGGCGAGAATTACAAACCTGGAGCTAGCCAGAGAAGACGATCAAGGTCAGAAGGACACTGACGAGTATCTTTTCAGCTAAATATGAAGGAAAAGAGAGCGGAGAAAGAGCGGCAAACTTTTGTGGATTATTTCTACCACTATTTCTGTTACTGCCTCTGTGACTCCGACCACAGTTACTTGTTATTTACACTTTATGTAAATTTATCGCCCTGGACGAAGGCTCTCGCATTGCGCCCGCAATGCTTTACCGAAAAAACAGGCGAATCCAAGAGCGCCCGGAAAGACAGGGTATTGAAAGATCCAAAGGGAAGTTTCCACGCGAGGTCTAACCTCTCGGAGCCAACCTGTACCAGTGAAATCCCCGCCCTTTTGTTGAACATGAAGTATGAACAAGGCGCCCCTTGAGTTTGGGATACTTGCCTCCCTATAATGGACAAAACGGGAGTAAATTACCCCTTCTCTCTGAGGCGAACGTTGAAGTGTTAAAGGAAAATTTGAAAGGCTATCAAGCATGGAAAAAAAAGGCGTAATACAATTGTAAATAAAAACGTAAGTTTGTGCTATTGTCGCTTAGATTGTGTAAGAGAGACTTACTAACAACTGCAGTTGACGGGAAATTTCAAAAAGTCCTCTCTAAAACCAGAGAATGATATCGTATCCAGTTGTTTCCATGGGGCACGAGCAGCTGGGAATATGGGGGGACAGGGAGTGATAGGATGGGAGATAGAAGAAATGTTCCTCTTTTGCTCGCTCCTAAACCATGATACGTTGCGCTCCCGCGCCGCTCACATATGGTTTGAAAACGATTGGATACCAGTTGGTTTTCTTTGTATCAGGCGACTTCCGGAATACAAGCAGTGCATCGCTGGAAAGTCCGTTCCATTTGAGAAATTTTCCATTCACAAAGCTAACAAGTACCTGGAACAAGGCAACCATCTATTTCTTCCTGGCATGGTAAGTGCGAGGAGAATCGTATGTCAAAATCTCTTTTCTCCGTTGGTTAAATTAGAATTGTAAGGCGCACAGATCCAATGATAAGGCAAATAATTGGAGCGAGTCTAGTTCTAGCCCAATTGGCGCAAAACTTTTTGTTTTCTGTACGCGTGAGAAATGTCAGCTTGGCTAGTTCGTCACATGGATGTTTGTATAATTACGTTGTTAGAGAATACATTTTTTTGGGTCTAATCTTGTACTATCGAAGAATGAGCTATTCTCAAACGGCAGCAATGTCGTTCTTAGGCTCCTTACGTTTTTCTTTCGAGACGACAAGGGGAGAGGAATGGAGACGAATTAGAATATATATGTAAGACAAATGATATATATACGCGAGGTTTTTTTTTTCCTCTGGGGAATTAAAGAACCCCTAAACTGACTCTCTCTTCAGGAACTTATATTACTCTGGAATGGCTTCAAAGTTCTTCATCGCAGGCCGGACTTAGTGGAGCCAATGTTGAAACTTGTCCAAACGTCGCTGGTAGAGTTAGAAGAAACTAAAGGTAAACTATAATTAGTAAAAATTACGGTCGAAAACGCACCTACACAGGTTTCCTATTAAAGCACCTTTTTTATTCTAGAAAACCCATATTTCTGCTATTACATCTGCGGTTCAACTAACGAACATATATGACGACCTTTTTCCGAACAAAACCATAATCACGAGTTTCCGGTTCCTTATTCACTTATTTCCGTGTTATTGGTACCACCTAACCATGAATACTCCAGGAGTCCTGGACAAAGAGTAGCAATGTGAAATTTAAGCCCAGTCAAGTACTGCATCACCTACAGCATTATATTGTCGGCGGCTATGATTAGAACCCAAACCCCGTCGAGGAGCAGACTTGCAGTTTTGCGTAGACCTTTCAACTGCACTTACCTCTTTAGTTCCAGGTCCCCAGCGTCATTCCAAATTTTTTCATATTTAAAAAACAAAATAACGTGACAGTCTTTTTTTTTTTTTTTTTTTTTTTTTTTTTTTTTTTTTTAGGTAAAAATACAAATTACATGGATGATTTGTGTCTTGGATACCTGCTTCAGGGAATGTGTTACCGTTGTGTGAACAAACCGAAAGAAGCAATGGAGAGCCTCCTTAATGCGGTAAACAGGTCAGTAACTTTGCTTCCGGCAACTTGCCTTCTCGTATCATTTTCCCTCCTAATTTTTGTAATGGATCTTGAGAGTGAAAGAGTTAAAACCACGGGTTTGTTTTATATGATCCGCGAAACTCCCTTTCGAGTATGGGAACAAAAAACAAGCGCGAGAAAATTATGGCAAATAATTATGGCAAATTGGTTCGTTTTTGGCGTGACATTTTGTCGGCCTCCTTTCCCAACCAGGGAGTGCAAGCACCTTATTCCTCCTTTTTCGTATTGCAGATCAAAGGACCTAGTTAAGGATTTCTACTTGGCTCCTTTCGCATGCGCAGAAGTTGGCTTTCTGTACCTAGAGGAGGGAGATCTGGATCAAGCCAAAGAATACCTCAATAAAACAAGGTATGAAAAAGCAAATCGATTTTTCTAAGTGATGGTAAATTTTCAGGACAGAAAGCAAGGCAGAACTCAGAGAAGACGTGCAACCGATGTTCTAGAAAAGCTGTCTAGTGCGTTAACATTAGCAAGTCTTGTTAAGCAGTGTGGAATATCCAACATACCTGCAAGTGCAAGTAAAGCGCGGGAAAAGGTGCCACTGGTGTTAAGTGCGGCAAAACTTGCAACCGGTGATAAGCGTGGCTCGGTGTCGCAATGTTTAAGCGCGGGAAAAATGTAAGAGCTTCTAGGTTTGGAGCGTGGCAAAGGATCAAAGCAGTTCAGTTCTTAACGTTTATCCTTAAGAATGCACCGTAATCTGTTCATACTGTTTTCTCTCACATAAATCTGTATGCATGTAGGACGCTTGCTATTGACCTCTGTTAAATGAGCTAAACTCCGATAGGTGCGAGTGCTTGAGTGGGGTTCCAATTGAATGATGTTAATTTTAAGCAATGTGTAGTTAAAGTGATGGCTGAGGGACTCAACACGTGGTGCATTGATACTGCTCTCCTGGAGTACACTGTGCATGGTATGAAGTATGGGATCCCAATGGGATGATATAGGTATCTAAGCAACTGCGCACCTACCCCTCCCCTAACCCAGCATTAACCCTAACTTTTATCAGTTGACTGTTGCTAGGTCACGGGAGGGGTAGGTGTGCAGTTGCCCTGTGCCCTGTGAGAATCATACTTCATACCATATATAGTGTGCACTTGGAGAGAATACTGACATTGATCCGCTAGTTTTTATACCCCAGCGTTCCTCACAAAATCTTTGAGAACGTACTTTTTGAACCGACAGGAAAGACTACGAAAACCATTTGTTGCAAAGCAGACTTCACTTCAGAATCCACTCAGCGCTTCAAGAAATCAAACACAGACGCAAGCAGGCGAAAGAAGCAGCTAAAATGGAAAAAAAGCAATCCAAACGCTCCAAGAACGGTGTCACTAACAATAATTCCTCAATAGACGAGGATTCTATCAGCATCTCTCTCGGTGGATCCGAGAGTCTCTCGCGCCAGGACTCCAACTCGTCCTTTGAGACAGCTCCTGAATATTCATCGGAAGATGACAGGGACCTGGGAGACATGGAACGGGATAGCAGTCCTAAAGAGAATGTTGTTTTGGAAACCACAGTGTGAAAATTTTCCGTCTCTTTAAGTTATTTAAATTTCCTTTAGTATCTTTTACGTGGTGTTACGGGATGATAAAAAAACCTCGGTAATAAATTTATTAGTTGTTAAAAAACCTAGATAGAGCCATACCAAGTCCACTCCAATGAAGCCAATGAAGTGATATTTTGTTTTCTAAAGGTGTTATTTCTTTTTTTTTTTTTTTCGTTTCCCTTCACCAGAGCTTCATTTTCGTGGACATGAACGGAGTCTACTTCCCTAATTTTATATATGTTTTTTTTTTCCAACAAGGCTGTATTTTTTTTTCTGTGTATGTTAGTGTTAAGTGAGGAAAGCCATTTCTTCGACAAGCCGAGTTGATTATTACATCAGGCACAGCATTTCGTTTACTTTGGGGGTTAGGGGTGGCCTCTGTAGCGAGTAAAAAATAAGTAATTTTTTGTGACTCGTGATCTTCACGAGCGCTTTTAACAAAATGAGTTTGTCAGGGGAGGCGGGGCTCGGGTTGATAATTTGAAGGAATGTGTCAACGGATCTTCACCAGAAGCTAATAGAGGAAAGCTCAATCCGAAGAGTAAAATGTCCCTGCAAAGATCATCTCGCGTGGCGTTATATTATCGAGATATGACTCGGTCTTCGGCCAATGAGATCGTTTGCATCAGTTTCTATAATCACGTGAGCAATGATCTCGCTCTTTTAATTTCAATTTACAAAGGGAAGTAGTTTGGTGTGTATAATTTCCCTCAGAAGTCTAAAGTTAAACTTCTCAAATAGTTGGGAGTTTGAACGAATTATAGATTTTATTTATTCTGTTCGTTCTTATATTTGCGTTGCTTCTAACCGAAATATTCATTTCAAATTTATTTATTTTTAAGCCAGAGATATTCTTAATTAACAACAAGAAAAATAAAACTCTATCTGTACATACGTCGCGTGAAGCGAAATTATGTTATTATAATCACCTACTGTGATGAAATCAGGAAAGCTTTAATCTTTCATCGAGCAGTTTTTTAGTCAGTTACGTCATATTTTTGTGTGCATGCAGACTTATTTTCCATCAAGTAATTTTAAGATTTTAGGGTTAAAATGGATGCTTGGAGATAAAGAAATTTCTGATTTTTCCAACGCGCGCAGCATAAAATAATAGCAAAGGAACTGTGGATTAACTTACTTTACATCGTTCTTAGAAAGTTTTAGATCTGGCTTATTTAGATAGGAAAAGTTTGTATCACATTTGCTTAGAGTTTATAGGAATAAAAGGAAAAAGCTTTCTTGTTGTTATAACGTATCCACTTATTTCACCGGACTTTGATTGGCTCGACAGGGAATGGTGGTGGCTAACGCCTTTCATCCTAAATAAACGGTCTATTTTGTTGCAAAATTCATGAGTTGCAGTGATCGATATGCCGCTGATCTGAAATGAAATGCAAACAGAGAAGGTTATTTAGACCGATGGAATACTGCTTCCTCGAATTCAATATTAAAAGCGCACAAAATCAGTGATGCTGTAGAGCACGAGCAGTAGTTCACTCCTTCCCAGCTTAATCTGTGTTGCGCGGCACTGAAAACAAACGAAGTTGATATCTCGGTGTTTCCCGGAGTTCACGCGGAGCAGGGATATCTTTCCGCAGACGTCTATTATTTGAGTCGCTTCACACACTTTTCGTATGACAACAATACAACGGTGGAATCACGATACTTTCACAACCAACATTAAATTGATTGATCAAAACGAGTCACTAGCGCTGTCCACTAACGAAAACGACTGCTTTATAGAGCTTATTGCTTATTGCTTATTGCATATATTTTAAGAAAGTGTGGACAAAAGGATTGGAAAGTTACTAACTTATGAAAACTAGGTACCAACTCGGATACTAAATGGATATCAAATGCATCTGACGTTCGAGAATGTGTGATACATGGACCTCAGGTTTGGTTGAAAAGAACGTTGAACATGTATGTTAATGCCGTACTCAGCACTTCTATAGAGCGAAGTTTTCACTCTTAACCGTCTTTTCTTGTAGTTTTGGATTTTTTTTTTACTCTTTCGAGTCTTTCTACCTTTCGAATCTGATACTATGTAGATTCCTTAAAAAAAGATTCCTTTTGCAGTCTCAGCAAAAAATTGCGACAGAACTTGGTTCTCACGGCTGTCAACTAATCCGTCAGGTGTGAGCATTGGGACGAGACAAGTCTACACAGAGAGAAAACTGGGCACTAGTAAATAAACAAAGATTACGAAATACGCCGTAGCGGACAAGAGAAATGATTAAGTTTTAAGTTGTTTTGAAAAAGTTATCTGTGCTTTCTCCTCGCTAAATTGAGAATTAATCAAGTAGAGGATGGACGGAACCGTGGTGGATCAGTCAAGGTTAGTCTAGTTTATACAGTTTAAGTTAAAATTTTGGAAAATTTCACGTGTCTGTTCAAATCCCTCCAAGTACCGGCTGACCTCGAGCTCTAAGTAAGCCTATTGACTGTTCTTGGTTAAATACGTTGAACATAACGGGTTTATACACCTTTGATTTCAAATTCATATGAATATAAACTTGTTTTCTATAGTTACCTAATGCTTTCCGCGTCAAGCACATGACAGGTAAATCAGTTGCTGGTACGTTTCATGTTGTGTAAACAAAGCCGATAACCTCCGAAGAAAGTGCTGTGGTGTCCAACGTTGGATAGTGATTAACTTCCTTTAATCGGAAGTGCCCGCAATAGTCGATCTGTATCAAGTCTTTTACCACACCAAGTCATCACTGATTTCAATTTTTAGAAAGTTGTCACGCTTTGTAGAGCGTCCGGATCAATTCCTTAAGATTTAAGTAATTTATACGTTTATTGGACGAATGTACGGCATAAAATTAACCTTCTACATCCCAACATCAGTATGCAAGTTCTCCATACCGTTTTTTATACATTTTCTATAGTACTTCCAAGGAGAATTTGACTTACTTTCATGAGCTTTGCGAGTTCATGATCATTTTCTCCATTTTCATGACCCGAAAGTTTGATTCAGAAGTGTTACTTTTGGGAGAAGTTAGATGCCTATCACCATTAGGGTAGTCAAGCAAGATTTTAAGCTCATCGGTGATGCGCTAAGAATATTGTACTTGTGTGGCTTGTAATGTTGTAGTATGAACTCAAAATGCCATGCAAATACTATACTCTTATAAAAGTTTTGAGGTCATAATGAAGACCCCTTCTCTACCCCCCTCATATTTTCCAATGACCTTCCATTGGGTTGTGGGGATATTTTCTGGAAAATCATCATGCTGCAATATTCGTAGTGTTAAAAGTATTCAGATTTGTTCTTTTAAAATGTTTATGGGCATAGGATTTTTCCTTACCTGTTTGATTTTGACTTTCCCTTGAGTATTTGTTCCCTTTAATTAAAATAAGTGAAAGTTAATGTAAAATTGGGAGGAAATTTTCTATACAAACTTGAAATTTGAATCATGACAGATGATAAAATCTGAAGTAGTTGTATGTCCCCAGTGACCCTTCGCCTGGTCATCAATATATTTGGATTACCAGTCAATACTGGTAATCTTTAGCATTGAATTCATGTTTAACTTAATAATTGTTTGATTTTATTTTTTAAATTATCTTCTTTTACAGTACAGATAATGATTCCCTTACTATGGCAGAAGCCGTCAAAATGATCACCAAAGCTTATGACCTCTGCTTTTCAAACAAGTTTCTACAAGCAAAGGCAGACATAGAGCCATGGTATAGGAATTTCAATTTACAGTCTCAGTAGTAAACTGTGTCTAACAGGTTATAGGTCTGGGTACAAACTTGATAACGTGTGAAAAAGTTTTTGTTAGGGCTGACTCCATCTTCCTCCTAAAAAGTACATAAGTCTCTGTCGAAAATTATAATTAAGCTTTATGGGTTTCACTACCTGTTCAAAGGGGCATCTCTCTTTCTTCAGTTTTGAAGTTTCACAAAACAGATCTTAATTAAAATTGTTAGTGAAAATAATGGTACTTCGTCTGGCTCTCTTGGAAAGCCCCCTTCTCCTCCTACTATTTGTCTGATGGACAATGATTGCTAGATAAAGCATTAGTCTAGAATTTATATAATTACACCTTTACAGGGCGTGAAATAGCCCCTAATACAGGTGCCAATGTGACTGAATTTTTCACTTTGGCAATCAAATCCTGAAAATTAGTCACCAGATTGGCAACTAGAATGCTTCATCATGAAATCATCAAAAATTGAGGAGCCAAGTGGCTATCAGAAAAAAAATATATAATTTCACAGTTTGCATTGCTCCAACCTATTTTGTTAGGCAAACTGAGCATAAATCATCATCAGATTCTGGTTTTTATTTAGTGAAAAACTACTATAATAATTCTAGTTCTTTTCACAAAAAAATTTACCTTTTCAGGATTTCCCTCACCCAGAAAATCTCCCAACATGTACAATTTGTTTAGGGATACAGTCAAGTGGAAATATTTGTTGACTTCACAAATCATGTATATGTAATGAATAAATGGATATTCAAGTTTAGTTTATGGTTTCAGGATCAACAAAAGCATGTACCATGCAGTTGCATACAGCAGTATTATGTGCATTCAAGCTCTGTTGAAATTTGAACAGGTATGAGTCTGTACTTTCACCCTTTAACTCCCAAGATCTGATTTTTAATTCTCTCTTCTAGCTACTACACATTTCTTTGTAAATTAGTTATGAGAATTTGGTGTTAGATCAAGATAACAACTTCTAGCTGAAAAGTTTGAGTATTCTCATTATCTGTTTGCTGGATAATGTATAGATATTATTGGGAGAAGTTGCATATTGATCGCTGCTAGGAGTTAAAGGGTTAATTCAGGAAGACAATGTTTACAATATTCCTTGGGCTTTTCACGTCTAAGGCCTGATATATTAAATCTTCTCTGCAGGTTAAAAGTTCTCCCATATGCCTGCTGATCAATTTGTCACACCTAGTTGAAAAAGTCAAGTTACCACAACCTTAATGAAAAGTTTAGAGTCCAAGTAAAATACATAAAAACTTTATTCCAATCAAGATGAGAACAGAAAAAATTTTGTCTGAGTGCCTGACAGAGGACATCTTGGAAATAATATGTATTCAGAAGATAATAAATTTATTTGCAAATATTTGGAACATCTTTGAAAATGTACTCTTTTCTAGACCTTTGAATGTATTGGGGTTAATTTCTTCCAGAGTAGAAATCTTACACCTTTGACTCCAAAACAGCTGGCTGGTAGGATCTTGTCATATTTGATAAGTTTTAAACTACATGATTTGTCACAGAAGTATGATTAGTATTCACAGAGTCAACATTGTAAAATTTAAGATGCCATATTAGAGAATTGAATTGAAATTTTTTTCTCTATTTCCAGCCAGCAATTCAAAAGGCAAGTGAAAGTGTCAAGTTGGCTGTGAATATCTGTGAGAGGTACTAACAATGATCTGTTTATCGACATGTTAACCATGGCTATTCATTCATTAACCATTTAACTCCCAGATCAAATTTGTAATTCTCCTCACTGTCAACCATACAATTCTTATCATGTTAGTTCAGAGAATTTAGTATTGGATCAACTAATTATCCCCAAATTGATGTTTTTCTTTATTCTCATCACTTATCTGGTTGATATTATATTGATATTGTAAGGAGAAATTCTGTCTTGGTCACACATGAGAATTAAAGGGTTAAGGAATACACCATAGCATAAGGCATTATGATTATTGAATGAAATGGAATTATCCTAATTATTTTATCTTGATTCAGACAAAGGAAAAAGCCAACATGGTCAGAGACATTTTCAAGCTGGATATGGAGTTCTGCATATGATGAGTTTTCCATGGGTTTGTGCAATGATCTTCAGTTCTTTTTCAAACAAAGTTTTTTAAAATTAAAAGTCATTGATACTAGTAACTCCACGCATTGAATTTAACAGAGACTTAATAAGCTAACTGCTAGACTTAATTCATTTACACTGTTTTAGAGGTTTTTGTTTCAAAATCTTTCTCTAATTTTTCTTGATTTTTCAGAGTCGAGGGCTTGAAATTAAGTACCTGAACTAAAGTAAATTAAATTAAATGGAAAATGAAATTAAATCATTTTTGATGTAAATGAAATCTTTCTTTGCAGAAGAGAAGCATGCTGAGCTGTGCTATACAGAATGTCTTCTTCTTGATGCTTTACTTACATTTATTCAGGTAATAGTGAACAATAAATATTGTGCACTACTAACTTCATAGGTCTGGTTTTAAAAAATTGTATTTTGCTGAAGGATTCTTGTGTTGATGTATACCGTATGCTATAAAATGCTGCAGATCAGTCACATTTGTGTTTGTTAAAATTATGTCTGAATATGTTGATTGATTACTGCAGGATGACAATCTTGTCAGTTTTGTGTGGGGAGCTTTGAAAATTAGGACCTGTTATCAGAATTACAAGTAAGGACTAAATTAGTGTTAGCTACCTATCAGACAATAGACACTCAAGTTCATATGCAAATATTCATGTGAATTAATTTTAGATGGTTCGAAATCATTGTTTGAATAATCACATTTTATTGTAACTATTTGTATCATTCAGTAGTTTTAAATCCTCAATGTCCATAGCTTTATATTCTATTTGAATTTTTTTCCTATGTATTTCTATTAATATCATATTTCAGTCTCCATTTATTCTGAGGGCCATAAGTTAATCAGTTTAATTACTGTCTAATATTATCTCCTTTAAACTAGGTCTACTTATTTACTTACGCACTATTTTGGTGAGATATTTGGCTCATCATTTTAACTACTGACATAATAGTTCAATCAATCTCGTAGAAAAAGAATTTTATTAACCATCAAAGATAATGGACCAAGTAATTTTCAACCTTTAAGAAAAGGTTTAACAGCAATAAAGTTGTGTGATATTGGTCTTTGTCTCTGTTTAGCCAATGAATTAAGTTTTAGTATCCTTGTTTTGAACAGGACTTGTCTTGAAATGATAGCAGACCAACCACATTCTTTATCCCAGTCACCTCTTGAGAAAGACTTTGAAGCAGGAGTTCATTTTGGAATTGGTGGGTTTAATCTGGTGAGTGGCACCGATGGTATAAGTGCTGAAATAAACAATTATTCCACAGGCACACATTGGATATGAGAGTATATAAGTGGAGTGAAACTATTTTCATTTTCTTGTTTGTTTATTTGCTTTTCAGGTGTTGTCTTTACTTCCACCCATAATTATAAAATTGTTAGAGTGGGTTGGTTTTTCAGGAGACAGGGTAAGTATCTATTTATCTATTTTCATGTACCATCTTTTAGTTCACAGTTAGTGACGCTTTCTAAATTTCATTTTTTCTTCGTTTCTGGGACACCACAGTTTCTAGGGATAAATCATTTACACAAGGGAAGTAAAGGCCAGAGTCTGAGGTCCCCACTGTGCTCTTTACTTCTCCTTGCCTACCATACATGGATTACCCAGTATTTAGGTAAGTTACACATTTTGCAAGCATTGAAGTTTTGAAGTAAAAATAAACTTTTGATTGTGTGCCAAAAAAAAAAAACAAAAATAATTCAAAGGACCATTTAGATCGAGTCTTGGTTAATAGAGTCGTTTTTAATTGGCTTGAGATACTTCGCTCTGTGATTGGTTAAGAAAACGTGCTCCACCTTAACAACCGATTAAATTCAAAACTGAAACAAATCACGACTCGGTCGTTCGCGTTTTCCCGCGATTTTCTGACCGTGCAGTTTTGCTTGTTTTCACATTGAGTCTTCTTCGGCTTCTTGTGACGTGATTTTTTATTAAATTATTTTGTTGTGGTAACTCTGGTTTTGATTTTATGACTCTCCATAAAAAATAACAAGCAAAGCAGAAGGAAATGATAAGTCAACTGCCTGATGCGTAGGGAAACGCAAATGATAAAGTCGTTATTGGTTTGATTAGTATTTGTAATGGGACTGAGTAGAGTCCAATTCGGTCTGTGATCATACGAGTGATTCGTTTGTCGCGAGTACGAGAAATTTTTTTTTTTCGGAATTTTTAACGAATTACTACCAAAAAAAATCATCCTTGCCATGGTTTGCACGTATCTTCATAAACTCCAATTTTGTTGGTCCGGTACTGATCTTGTTAGTGCGCTTATGGGTAATTTTGTTAGAAATTGTTCTTTAATCACAGCCTCATTCCCAGGTCTGGGATCCGGATTAAAACACTGAAAGTTGAAGTTTTCTTTGTGTGTAAAATTACACTACTATGATTATGTGTTTATTGTAGGGAACGGTGATGGCGATATAGATCAGTCTGAGGAAATCCTTCAGCCTCTTTTGACAACATTTCCAAAGGTACTTGCAATTGTGTATTTTTGGTTTAAACGCACTTTTGACTTCAATTCGAGAGGTTCTCTAGGCTATGTAGTAACGCTTTGTTGGCAAAAACTGTATTTTTTCAGTGTTGGGAAAAGATGCGATTATTTTGTTATCAGTTCTACAGATTCTCGTTCTGTGTTAGTGTTCTTCAGTATAGTTTTTCAGCAAATCACAAGCCAGTACTAGAAACGACGTAATCGAAAACTGATGTCGCCTCACTTACAGTCTTTTTCTTATATTTTAGCTGAGCTCTTGTTGTTCTCCTATTTTTCGATGAGCAGAGTGTATTTTGCAGATCAAACAGTTTAAGTGGAAGTTTTTACATCATTGTAACTCTTTTTGTAAATCTTTGGAACAGGGATCACTCTTTCTGTTTTACGATGGTCGCATTAAACAAGTTCGAGGGAAACTGGAAGAGGTAAGTGCCAATAGTTTTCAACGCATCTGAGGCCGAAAATCGCCCGGCTGTTTTCTCTCATGCAATGGCGAGGACTCGCTTCTCCAATTCCCTTTTTCGATTTTTAAAGATATAATTTTTTTCGAGGTCAGCGCGCGTATCATAGCACCAAGTGAGCAGGGTAACTAAAGGAATGTACACTTTTTAACCTGGGTTTGTTTGTTTAAGTTAAAGCTTTCTATCATTTGTTTCTAGGCCATCAACAGATACAAGCACTCGATCACAATTCAGTCAGAGATTAAACAATTTCATCATATTTTCTACTGGGAGCTGATGTGGTGCCACGCGTAAGTATAACAATAAATAGCTGAATAGGCTTCGTTGCGAAATTTTGCGTCAGCTAGAATATTTCCTTGGTCTTGCTGATAAGATTACATTTTGCAGGTGCAAAGGAGACTGGGCCGAGGCTTATCAATATGCTGGCAATCTTTTTGAAGAGAGCATGTGGTCGAAGGTAAATAACGCACAATAAAATGTTATTTTTATGTAGAGAACAGACATGTGTTAAAATTGTATGTCTTTGCCAATAAGTGGTGAGGTTAAGGGAGAAACATTTTTTGCCTCAACTCCACGCTCTTAAACTTTAATAGTTCGAAACAACAGTAAAAGTTGTTCCTCTTTGATTACGAAAGCTTCTCGAAGTTTCATGAACATAGCACGTTATTCAAACGTTATCCTGTTTCCACAACAAAAATGTTTCTATTCTTCGTTGTGTCCTTTTCTTGGCGCTCCCTGAAGTCGCATTTTATTTCAGGAATTCACGGTCCTTTTATGATTGTACTCATGCAGGGCGTATGTCCCCCTGTAATAGCCTTTCATACCACATAGTCTCTGTGGCTTAGTGGAAGAGCATCGGAGCGCGAAATCTGAAAATATTAGGTGTGATTCCTCATGGAGACTCAGTATTTTTCTCTTCACCCCACCCTCGGACAACACGAAAAAGGTTCAGCCAATCATAGCAAGGAAAATATCACGAGGAGCCAATGAGAACTCTAAGTAGAAACATGCAAACGATGCAGTAGATTTTAGTTGTAAATCTGATTGGTTCAAAAAGTGGCGCGAGTTTCCTAGACCAATCACATAACAAAACAAAAATCAAGCAATCTCGAATTACTTTCGACACTCAATTGAAAATTGCTCTATGTAAGAAACAAATTGTTTCTTTCCTTCGCTCGTGTCAATTTTGAAACGTCTCTATATATTCAGACTGTTTACATGCACCTCAAGGCGTCGTTCAAACTCACGGCCAGACTGGCCAACCAGCCAATCAGCGATGAAGAAGGACGTCACACAGAGAGCTTTATGTTTAGGTAAGCGTTTAAAAATTTAATGAAGGCTACAAATATTGACAATCTTTCGCCTTGTTTTTTACCGTCTCTCCATGTCATCGCATGATTCACAGCCCTCCCTTTTTCCGCCACCACACCCCGGGCGCCTCAGTGATATTGTAATTCCCATTTTTCCCACAATTAATTTGTTCCTTTGTTTTTTTTTTTTCTAATTTCCCTTTTTTTTTCCAAGGCGTCTTCCAGATTTTAAGCAGCGTATCGCAGGTCAGTCTCTTCCATTTGAAGACTTTGCCATCCATAAGGCAAACAAATATTTTGAACAAAAGGGCCGTCTTTTTCTGCCTGGAGTGGTAAGTCCAATCTTGTTTGATATACTCTTAACCCTTTACTCAGTAACATCAGTATGCATATTCTCCATACTGTTCTCTATACATTCCTTAAGGTGCTGACAATGAGAATTTGTATAACATTCTAGAGCTGATTTAGTTCATGATTATTTCCTTTTGTCTCGTGACCCTAATGTTTGATTTAGGTGTGATATTGTCTGGAGAAATTAGATGCTGGTCACTCTTTGGGGTTAATTAATTAAAATGAAAAAGAACATTACACGAGATTGTCATTTCAATTTCCCTTTTGATTACGGAAAATATTATTTTCTCCATTTATCATCAGGAGCTTCTATTTATATGGAATGGCTTCAAAGTCCTCGCTCACAGACCTGACTTGGTTCCGCCTCTAATGAAACTAGTGGAGAGTTCTTTACATAAACTGAAGCAAACAAAAGGCAAGTTATGCAGGCCAGCATCGTGTGATTTGTGATAAAGCTAACTCGGAGTCGCTGTTATTATTTTTTTTCTGATTCAGTTTTGTAGCTTTGTAGACTGTTTTTCTTTCTACATTTTGTCTTCCCGAGTTTAACCTTACAGTAGTTTATATATCTTTGGAAATTTTTCTGTACACGTTCAAAAACTGGTCGCGTTTAATCTCGAAGCAGAAGACTTGTAAAACCTTATGATACTCAGTTGAAGAATGTTGTGGCGCAAAATGTATCAACTCGCTTGTCTTTCTCGGATACCGTATTTCCTTTTATCAATAAAGGGCAAAATTACTGAGCGCTGATTGGTTGAGAGAGAGGGCATTTTTTCTTAATCGAGGGCATTTTTAGTAATCAAGAGAGGGTATGATTACCTTGTTCAGTTAAAAGCACTTTGTTGTTTTTCTGTTGGCAGAAACGCTCTGTTGAAATGAGCTTTGTTTTCTAGACTTTTGGCAGTGTATCACGACACAGTTTTGGAGAATAAAATTTCATTGAATCGATTGGTCAGTTCAATTTGATTGATGATTTGCCGTAGCGCTAAACAGGCTTCCCAGATAAAAATAGACTGCGCGCGTGATTTTCCTTCGTATAAATTTTGCCCTTTATTGATAAACAAGTAATCCCATGAGACCTCGTACTATTAAGGATTAATTGCACTTGAGATTTCAAAATTTTGGAAAATTTTGAAAACTCTCGTGCAATTAATCCTTAATAGTACTTGGCCTCATGTGATTACATATACTAATAAGCGCCCACGCTCTAATAAGCGCCCTACCCTGAATAAGCACCTACCCCCTAGGCCATATATCAAACAAGCGCCCCTTTTCCCCTACCCCATCAATTTCTTAAATGGTAGGGATACAAGAAGAAACTGTATTAATTGTCACTTTATCGAGAACATTTTAAGATTTCACTACAGCAGAATCAGAACAAGAGGACAGTTTCTTAATACGCGCCCCCTTGATTAGGCGCCCTTCTTCCAACAAGCGCCTCTACCTTCCAGCCGAAATTTTAAATAAGCGCCCTGGCGTTGAGTCGAAGAAATACGGTGTGAGCGCGGTTTCTATCGGATTCGAAAATTCTCAAGGAAAATTTACCATTTTCTCCCCGCAATTATGAGGGTTGATATTCATAACACACTTTTTTTTCTTCTAGAAGAGAATGAAAATTACGTAGACGACTTGTGTTTGGGTAAACTCCTGCAGGGAATGTGTCATCGTTGCTTGAATAACAGGAAAGAAGCAATGGAATGTTTGAGAAATTCTTTTGACAGGTAAATGATCAGGGTTCATGCTAACATTGCCAAGCATAAAATTTCTCTTTCTTTTTTCTTTCCCTCCTCACTTTTTCTTTCTTTCAAGATCTTATGGGAACATCAACCCATTCCATCCCATGCCCGGTGGTTAACGCACTGGACTCCATATATAGAGGCTCAGGTTCCACCCTGACTGGGTCACTACTATGTGTTCTTTGGCAAAGCACTTTTCGGTGCCTCTCCCCAACCCAGAGTAGAGAAAACTGATGGTGAACTCTGAAAAACCTGACGAAATGTTGTCATGGATTAGCTTCCCATTCAGGAAATATTAGAATACTCTCCCCGCTTCATGCTAATTTTAATTTTAAAAACTGGGACGCGTTCAACCTAATGAGACTGGCTCAGATTTTAACATCTTCACTATCTCGTTCCAATCCTTCTTCCATATTCAAATCAGCTTTGTACCGTCTCCAGATCTCTCTCGCCAATTAATCCAAGACGGCTGCTCCATTTTCTTTTGCCGTTGTTGTTCTCAGTCGAGTGAAGAGCCCAGATATGGATGTGCATACAGGTGTATGGATAGAATTTGTATGACCAGTGACTCGGTCATGTCGTGCAGTAAATAACTGCAATATGAACATGTGTGTGCGGGACGGTTGTGTTTCTTATTTACAGATCAAAAGATTTGAAGCAGGATTTTTACCTCGCTCCTTACGGATGTGCAGAGATTGGATTTCTGTATTTGGACGAAGGGGACCTTGGGCGAGCTCAAGAATATTTGGAGCGGGCAAGGTATTGAATTATAGATACAATTTGCCTCTTTACGTAATCTTTCATGTAACTGAAAAGTCGTGAAGGACTCGTGTAAGCAGATCGGACTTTGCTTTAACTCCACGTTTTCCCGCGCTTTTTACCGTTCCTGTCGGTTGGCGCCGGTTGCATCCACTCCCCGCTTTGTGGTCGTTGTATGTTTTCCCGCGATTTTCTCTTGGTTAATGTTTGCCCATGCGCCTGGCAGCGGTCGCATAATAATTCACGAAGAATTAAATACACAGTTTCCCCATAAAGTGGGTGGCGATTCGAGCTGTAGTGTAACTGGTCTTCCAGGTGTTACGGTTTATTTTTCATCATTCATTTTTTAATTGTTTAAACCTGATAGGAAACATCGTGACCACCTTTTACAAAGTCTTCTTCACTTGAGAATTCACGGAGCTCTCCAGAAGATTGAGCAGAACAGCGTATCTGTGGGAAGACCTCAAGTTGCTCATGGACAAGAATTTGTACAAAATGGAACACAGAATGAGCTTCAAATTATGAATAGCGAAGAAATGACAGAATCAGAAGATTTCTTCGATGCTGAGGAAGAGGGTTCGAATTTATGTCGTCAAGATTCTAACTCTTCATTTGATATAATATCGGATTTTTCCGATGAAGTATGAGGATATAGGGTCTAATTCTTGGTGTTTGAGGATTTTTGAAAATCTAGCCTTCTAATTCCATTCCGTTTGGATTTTTGCTTATCTCTTTGGTGTTTGCATGTGTCCACCGTATAACACTATTTTGTATAGGTTTCGTATCTTTTTCAAGCAATTTTCCATGGCGCCCAGAATAATGCAAAAACCAAAATGTCATTGATTCTTTATCAGAAGGTGAGCTCGAGATTCCAACGTCATTCAAATTAAAAGTTAGGCATTGGACTGCCTCGGAGTTGGTTTAAAGATTGTTTTACAGTTCAGTTTTATGGATTTTTTGTTTTAATATAAAATTTTCCTATTGAAGAATTCATCGGCGAAAATCCATACCGTGTTCCACTCACTGTCAATAAGCCGAAAAACATGGAATTTTCAACAGATTGCTTAGGTAGCGCCGGATTTACAAGAATCAAAGAGGACATTCAAGGAGTTTTACATTAATTTACCTACAGATGTAAATATATTAAAAGGTTTAACACGTACAAAAGATTATACATTTTCTTTACTTAACATTGAATAATGTGATAAATAAGATTCATGAAAAAATTACTCACTTCTGATTGATTAAGATAAACGCATATTCAGGTAATTCAATGTAGAAGAGGGTTAATTCAGTGCAAAGAAGTAACAAACCAGACTGAACAGTTCCTTGAACTGTTTAGCCGGACTTTCAACTTTTTTGCGCCTTAAAGATGTAAAAATATCATTGTTTATTATTGTTTTGATCGTACACGGTTGTTTTGACCGAACGCACAATGTCACTTGCAGGGTTTGAATAAAATATTTGCTTCTGCATAAGTATGATAAGCTATCTCGTAATTTTTTTTCATGTGTATTATTAATACGTAATCACATGATTTTTCTTGAGCAATTTGGAATGACTGAAAAAGCACTTGCAATTTTTTTCAAAGACCACAAATTGCACGAGCCCGTAGAGCTCGTGCAATTTTGTTAGTCGTGCTTATTTATTCCAAATTGCACTCGAAATCATGTGATTACCTATACTAACATGCAACGCACTCAGTAATTTTTCGTTAGGCATATTTTTGCCCTGGCATGTTATTTATGGTGCAATATTTTAAAAGGAGACCTTTAGGTTTTATATTTGAATACGCACGACATAAACTAGAACTGTTGGTCATGTTGCACTCGATATCCTTGTTTAAATTGTGCATCTTGACTCGTTTGTCGAGAAAAAAAATTTTTTATTCAGTGTCTTTGCCCATCATGTTATTCCATAGAGTTTTTGTTCAATGATATTGGAGTCATTTTACTTGCGATGCGCGAAGTTACTTTCCGTTCTGAAAGCGCACTCGAAAGTTTTCCACTGGAATAATCTCAAGTGATTTCTGGATGAACTGGTCGAGACTTTGGAAACTCAACCACTACAGTGACCTAGCGCATAGACTGCGCTTTGATAGGATATGACCCTGACCTAAAATGTCAAAATGAGCTAAGAAGGCCTCTCACGAGAAGCTGAACTAGAGAGCGAGCACCAATTGGTTAGAGGACCCAAAACCTAACCTATGTATTCTCAGGTGTTAGGCACCCACCCTCTAATAAACTTATTCCTGGACCGAATCCAATTGCCAGCCTTGACGACAAGCCCTGATAAATCAGGGCGGTAAGGCTGTCTTGAAGTCGGACGGTGTCCACCTTTAAATTAAAACCTAGCGGTCAGCGATGTCAATTGCACCCCTTCCCAGGCCTTCAGCCATACCCACCCTCAGGGTTTCGGTCCACTAGCTGAGCTGAGCGTATGAACCTGGCTGCGAAACGTGAAAGACAGCGGGTGATGCCCGGCTTGCAATGAAAACCTAGTAGGCATGCTTTTGCAAATTTAGAAAATTATATCTGACGAAAAACAAAATGTAAAAATTATGAACGAAAACTAAGAGCACAGTGTGAAATGTGAAAGTATGCACAAACCGAGCGCAGACAGGAACGCCACAAGTCAAAAGGGGAAGTTCAAAAGATATGTCAACTTTGGATTGAGTTCACGTAAACAATACTTGCCAATTTCAAGGCTTTAAGTAAAGAAATAGTGCGCGCAGAGTTGAGTGACACTCCCTTTCTTATTGGGGAATCAAAGGCTTGGAATGAGACAGCTGATTGGACAACTAAGACCTCATCCAAGAAAGTATTTACACTTCTACGCACCACACTGTCACCGAACAGGGCTCGCACAATAAGGAATATATGGGATTAATAAACAGGGTTCAACCGCTGTCTTCTCATCGCACCGTTATTGTAATATCTAAATTTTCCAGGGGTAAGACTATTGATGATACACAATTTCAACGATTAAATATCGTGTTTTGATTGTAGGTGTAACAAAGAGTATGAAACGAACCACTATAGTTCAAGATAACTTGGTTTCGAGTTGTAAGTTTACATGTAACTTGGTCACTGTAAAGAGTTTCTAAAGCTGACGTTGCGAGCGTTAGCCCATTTCGTCAGAGCGAAACCCAGAGTAGTTACGGCAGAAGATCCTCCCTGGCAATAAACTGTAGGGTCGTAAAACGTGTCCAGTCATGTGACCGCGAAAGGGAGAGGAGAGAGTACGTGAAACAAACGATGAATCTTCGCTATAAATCAAATGCGGCCGATCTATATTTCTATTCTTTTCTTTTTTTTCTTCGATGGTGTTGGGGGAAAGGGAAAGGGGAGGAAGCTTAAATAGCCAATTCTGACCACACTCACATGAGACATTCAACGTGAAAGGTTTATTTAGGATACAATCTTAACATGTGCACCCTGAAACTAGGGGTTCTATAAGATAAAATAAGACTTGACCGACCTAGGAGGACTTAATTTTCGGGTGAAACGCTTAAATAATGTGAAACTACCATAATGCCACGCGAACCTGTTCAACGAGCCATCAAAATATTAAATTATCGTTCCAATGTCAGTCAAACGTCAGAAATTTTCAGCAAAAATTCTTTAGTCAACAAGCGAAAAAGAAGAACTGAAGTGGAGCTTGACAACATAATGAATCTTTCCTTCAAACAGGGTTATTTGAATTGAGCACATTGTGAGTGAAGTTGGCATATTAGAGCCTGTGCATTACAAGTTAGTTTTTCTTTAGTGTCATTGTGTGCAAGGTGCAACGACTTCCTTCTTTCCAAAATTCTTTTTCCGTTTTCTCAATGCTCTTGAATGATCCGGTCACGTCAGGTATCGATTTGGTTTATACCTTTACTCGAGGATTGAAAGATCTAGAATAGGTCTATAACAAGACTTCAAGTAAGTTTTCGTCTTTTCCAACAAAAATCTCGTCATCGTATTTTTTTGTGTATTCTTTTCGCATTCTCTCATTCTTCGCGTCAGGGCACGGCACAACCATGCACCTCTTGATTTTCCGTTCCTTTGATCTGGTTGAATATTTTGAAAAATTTGGAGATCCCGAGTCTAAAGTTTTCTCTCCATGGTTGATGTGTTGATTCCATTTACAAGACGGTGGGCTCACGCAGACCTGTATCATGTTGAAATGAAGAGATCAATTCATTCAGAGCACTCCTGTCAGTGATCTTCACATTATCAGACAAAAAGAACTCCCTATTCCGGAAACTTCCTCTCAGGCCTTCAACCCATGTCCCAATCAGGCATATGTCCATAATGCCTATTAGGGTGAACGAAGTTAATGACTTACTCTCCGCCAAACCTTTACCCAGGGCTTCTCCCCAATCTATACACAGGTATCCGCCGTAGTTGTTAACTAATAGGGTGAATTCAGTTAATGACGTATTCTTCGCCAAACCCTCACCCAGGCTCTTTCCCCAGTTTCCACGCAGGTATAGGCGTTTGCTGTTGATTTTTAGGGTGAAAGTAGTTAATGAACTACTCTTCGCTAAACCTTTAGCCAAGCCTTCTCCCCAGTCTCCAAACAGGCATGTGTCGACGCTGTTCATTGTTAGGGTGAAAGCAGTTAATGACATACTCTTCGACAAACTTTCACCCAGGCTTCTTCCCCAGTCTCCACTCAGGTTGTGGCGAACGCTGTTGATTGTTAGGGTAAAGGCGGATAAGGACGTACTCTCTGCCAAACCTCCACCCAGACCTTCTCCCCAATCTCCTCGCAGGCATTCGCCTTTGCCGATGACTGTTAGGGTGAAAGCAATTAATGATGTACTCTTCCCTAAACCTTCACCCAAGCCTTTTCCCCAGTCTCCATCAAGGCAAGAAAATTTGTTGTTGATTTTTAGGGTGAAAGCAGTTAACAACGTACTCTTCGCCAGACTTTCACCCAGGCCTTTTCCCCAGTCTCCATGCAAACATCCGCCGTCATTGTTTATTGTTAGGGTGAAAGCAGTTAATGACGTACTCTTCGCTAAACCTTCACCCAGGCCTTTTCCCCAGTCTTCTTGCAGGCAACCGTGTTTGCTGTTAATTGTTAGGGTGAAAGCAGTTAATGACTTACTCTCCCCCAAACCCTCAGCCAGGCCTTTTCCCCAGTCTCCACCCAGGCATCCGTTGACGCTATTGATTGTTAAGGTAAAGGCAGTTAATGAATTACTTTCCGCCAAACCTTCACCCAGGCCTTTTCCCCAGTCTCCACGCAGGTATTCGTGTTCCCTGTTGATTTTTAAGGTGAAAGCAGTTAATGACGTACTCTTAGCCAAACCTTCACCCAGGCATTTTCCCCATTCTTCACCCGGGTATCCGTCGACGCTGTTCATTGTTAGGGTGAAAGCAGTTAACGACGTACTCTCCGCCAAACCTTCAGCCAGGCCTTTTCCCCAGTCTTCACCCAGGTTTTCGTTTCCGCTATTGATTGTTAGGGTGAAAGCAGTTAATGACGTACTCTTACCCAAACCTTCACCCAGGCCTTTTCCCCAGTCTTCACCCGGGTATCCGTCGACGCTGTTCATTGTTAGGGTGAAAGCAGTTAATGACGTACTCTCCGCCAAACCTTCACCCAGGCCTTTTCCCCAGTCCTTATGCAGGAATCGGTGTCCGCTATTTATTGTTAGGGTGAAAGCAGTTAATGACGTACTCTCAGCCAAACTTTTATCCAGTGTTAAGGTGAAAGCAGTTGATGATGTACTCTCCGCCAAATCTTCACCCAGACCTTTTGTGCAGTCTTTAAGCAGGTATTTGTGTCCTCTGTTGATTGTTAGGGTGAAAGCATTTAATGACGTTGTCTTAACCAAACCTTGACCCAGGCCTTTTCCCCAGTCTTCACCAAGGTATCCGTCGACGCTGTCGATTGTTAGGGTAAATACAGCTGATGAAGCACCCTTAGCCAAACCTTCAACCAGGCCTATTCCACAGTCTTTACACCAGTGGCCGTATTTACCGTTTATTTTAGAAGTGAAAGCAATTGATGACGTACTCTTCGCTAAACCTTCACCCAGGTCTATTCCACGGTCTTCACGCAGATATCTGTGTTTACTATTCATTGTTGAGACGAAAGCAATTGATGACGTAGTCTTCGCTGAACCTTCACCCAGGCTTTTACTTAAGTCTTCATCCGGATTGTTGCCGTCTTTGTCGATTGTACGATTGAATTCAGTTGATAACGCACTCTGCGTTATACCTTTACCCAGACCTTTTCTCCAGTCTTCACCCAGGTCACTGTGTTTCCTGTTGATTATTAGGGTGAAGGCAGTTAATGACGTACTCTTAGCCAGACCTTCAACCAGGTCTTTTCCCCAGTCTCCATCCAGGTATACGATGAGGCCATTGATTTTTAAGGTGAAAGCTTTTAATGACGTACTTTTAGCCAAACCTTTACCCAAGCCTTTTCCCCAGTCTCCATCCACGCATCCGTTGAAGCCATTGAGTGTTAAGGTGAAAGCTGTTAATGACGTACTCTTAGCCAAACCTTCACCCAGGCCTTTTCCCCAGTCTCCACCCACGCATCCGTTGAAGCCATTGATTTTTAAGGTGAAAGCTGTTAATGATGTACTCTCCGCCAAACCTTCACCCAGGCCTTTTCCCCAGTCTCCACCCACGCATCCGTTGAAGCCATTGATTTTTAAGGTGAAAGCTGTTAATGATGTACTCTCGGCCAAACCTTCACCCAGGCCTTTTATCCAGTCTTTAAGCAGGCATTGGTGTATGCCATTGATTTTCAGGGTGAAAGCAGTTAGTGACGTTGTCTTAGCCAAACCCTCACCGAAGCTTTTTCCCCATTCTTCACCAAGGTTCCCGTTGACGCTGTTGATTGTTAGGGTAAAAGCAGTTGATGAAGCACTCTTAGCCAAACCTTCACCCAGGTCTATTCCACGGTCTTCAAGCAGATATCCGTGTTTACTATTCATTGTTGAGACGAAAGCAATTGATGACGTAGCTTTCGCTGAACCTTCACCCAGGCTTTTACTTAAGTCTCCATCCGGATTGTTGCCGTCTTTCTCGATTGCAAGGTTAAAATCAGTTGATGACGTACTCTTCGCTAAACCTTCACCCAGGCTTTTTCTTAAGTCTCCATCCGGATTGTTGCCGTCTTCGTCGATTGTAAGGTTGAATTCAGTTGATGACGTACTCTTCGCTAAACCTTCACCCAGGTTTTTTCTTAAGTCTCCATCCGCATTGTTGCCGTCTTTGTCGATTGTAAGATTGAATTCAGTTGATGAAGTACTCTTCGCTAAACCTTCACCCAGGCTTTTTCTTAAGTCTCCATCCGGATTTTCATCGTCTTTGTCGATTGTAAGGATGAAGGCAGTTTGTGACGCGCTTTTCGCCAAACGTTTTCGTGTTTCTTCAGGGCGTTTCCTTAAGCATCTAGTTGCAGAAAGGCTGCGAGCCTCGCTGTAGTGCAAACCAATCTTCTGTTTTCCTGATATCCGCTTATAACCAGGCGGACAGATGGATGAAGCTTTGACATTAACCTCGTTTTGGGCGTCTCCCATTTCTTTGCTGACTCCGTGGAAGATTTTAGAAGGGGGATGTGCTGTTATCAATGGAAGTTCTTCCTCATTGTTTATCCATTCTTGAAGTAAGAGGTAATTGTCAATGCAGACCACATTACTTTCATGATCACCAAGAAAGAGTTCTTCATATAACTTTTCCTTTCTTTCGCTGCGGTAATAGGTCACGTTGATGTTTGAGGATGGAGGATTTGTTTTATCGTTTACAAGGCAAGGATCCTCTGACTGGTATTTATTCAGGGGTAAAGACTTTCCATGTTTATACTGACTTAACCAAGTCACTATTAAGCTCTTCCCTGGTGTCCTACAAGGAAAATAATATGTACTTATTGATTGAGTGGAGGTTACCCGGCCGGGAAACCGCTTGGCTCAGCTCAGCGAGGTCCGTACTTCAGGACCTAGTGATGAAGGGTATGTTCAATCAAAGAAAAATTAATTTTGCTGTAACATCCGAGAGGGTGTTACCTTGTTTGGCTAACTTTGATTACGTTTAAGCCTTTAAATTTAATCATTTAATCACAAATTTAAACGAAGTTTTATATCTCATAAATGTACCCATGATCTCAATGGTTACTTAAATTCCTCTTAATTGGTTGGTGATGAAAAAGTTCAGATCCTGTTTTCGTTTTGTTTCGTTTGGTTTGTTCTTTTTTAAAGACAACTTTCTTTTAGAGCACCAGACAGGTTGTGTGACTTCTAGGAGGTTAGAAGTGCAAAAAGGATCGAGAAAACTGAGGTTTTCCTTCCCCTTATTTGATGCCAAAAGTTTCAAGCAGATGAACCAAGCGATCAGGCATGTGTTTAAATTAGATTTCTTCGAATTTTCCGGGAGAGTTTGTTCCTGCGACGATTGTACTTATATACTTCAAAAGCGAACGGTGGTACCTTCGTCATTGAATCACGCGAGATGTTGCGTGAGAGATACACCAAGTTCTAATTTTCAATTGTGCGATGCTTAGAGTTATTTATGATGACTAACCTCGACGAGATGCCATCAAATATGGCGATGAAAGGTGGCCTTTCCAATGGAGCATGGACCCAGCATTGATGTATCATGGTATACAACCAAGTAGGAAAGCATTCAATATGGCGTAACACGTGCTTGCCTTGCACTTGAGGCAACATCTGTCGTGAAGAAACGTATCGTTCATACACCATGCGCGTCATTGTGATTTCTATATCTTACATCTCAACACATGACTGAGAGATTCTTTCGCCTTCTTTGCAGCTTATAAATTGCTGTAAGTAATACATATCAAAGCCACCAAAATCCTTAATCTCACTGAAAACCACAAACATACCTTTGCGTTGTATGTTGGAAGAGGGGTTGGGCCGAATTCTTGTCTCATTTCCTCTAACAATAAAAGGACAATAACTCAAATTAAAGAACTCGTTATATGTATCAATAAACTTATCGTCAAATTAAGAAATGATTTAGGAAAAAAATTGCACAATTAGAATCGTGTTATATAAGCCTGAGAACAACTCAGAACCTCACCAAGAAGCGAATCATAAAACTCCAGGTAAACCCGGAGCAATAAGTACCTGATAGTTTTCGCATTTCTTGTAGCCTATTTTGGACATCAAACAAACTGCTGCAGTATCTCTGCCACTGCCAGTACTGGACTGACAACTCGTATCTGTCATCATCGAAATACGCTTTTTGAGGCAAAACATCACCGTTGTCTGCAACCTCAAAACCAAAAAGCAAAGAGACTTTAAAGCTAACCGTACATTTACCAGCGCCTTACCTTCAATTTTTTTTCACGAGAAAGCGTATGGTCAATACACTGGTCGTTTATCTCTTGGCAGATAGCCTTTTACAGTAAAAGGATTTGAACCCAAGGGTACCATCTGAAGTGTATTCTGATCGTCCCTTCCTGAGAAGGACTGTTTTGGTATTAATGACTGATGTTTCGACAACCTGAGCGAAAGTCATCATCAGTGAAGTGTTGTTGTCAGTCGAGTGTTAGAAGTCCGGTACGTATAATTCCAGTGCGGAATAAAAACACTTGACTGACAGCTTGAAACAAGAGTAATGTTAAAAAGCTGAAATTCCCTTCACTTTTAAGAGAGAAAAGTAACGAAATGACGAGTATTTACACTTGTTTGACACTTACATATACAAACAAAATATTCCTCGCTGGACGGCACAGACAAGTCAACACCCATAAATCGGAAGTAGTACAATGTTTTGTTGACCCTTGAGTCGAATTCCATTGAACAGCTAACCCCGGATTATCTGACGTTGTTACGAGTTCTATAAAAAAAAAATAATAATGATAATAAAAACTCAAGTTCAGGACTTTGGCAGATGTAAGGCCGATCAATTGCTTCATTTCAGAGTGAGAATGATTCTCCCTAAGTTAAATTAGACTGAATTATTACACATACGATCAGTTCCTCACCCCTTGTTGGTTGTATGTAAGGAAGGTCTTCAACGCAGCTAAAGGAGGCTCCCATCATAACAGCTTGGGTTTCCTGATTAACTTGTTCTACAAAGTGTCCAACTTCAGCTGCAAACGTTTGGCTGTATAAATTGCCGTCTTTCATGCATTTAAACAGGTGGCACCACCTTTCATACTCCGTGATTAAATGACAATGGATAATTTCCTGTTCTGAGCCCAGGAAAAAAGAAGAATCCCATCGATTGAGACTTCTAAGGTGTTTCAAGCTGTAGGCCTCTCGAATGAAGTTATCTTGTAAAAGGGAGAGTTGCCATCCTTCTAAGGTCGGTAACACAACTATTTTGAACACTGTAGAATTTACTTGCGCTCTGTTAAAATGGCCATCTGTACAAAAAGACGTCGGGCTTTGGTTCACAGCTGCCTCCTTGATTCCAAACTCCTGATCTTTGTGTACCAATCCAATCTTACTGAGCCCATCGGCTAGATTATCCATTTCTATTTAGGAAAAAGAAGTGAAATACGTTGCGTCAACTATGACCATGACTATGGCCGATGACAATCAAAAACTTACGTTCCGTGAAAGGGTTTTGATAGTCATAACGATACTATTTTTCCCAATGAAATGGAATTAAGGGAAAATCAAATCAAAGGCCTCTTGTAGCCAGCTCATTCATGTTATGGCGTAAGTTTGTATTGATTTCTTGGACTTGTTGAATATACAGTTGAATTCGGTTTATGCGAACTTTCAAGACTTTTGAAAATTTTTTTTTATTCTTGGGCAGTTATGTGATAAGAACACTTGTGCATTCGTCGTGATGGGAACTGGAAAAAAGGTTGTGTGGGTTGGAAGCGGGAAGGGCAGAGGTCATTAGGCAGACAGTGTCCTTTTTGTTAGTGTGTGTGTGTGTGTGTGTGGGGCGGAGGATGGGCTGGGTGGGCATAATCAGGCATTAATTGTTCCTCTACCAGCAAAATATTGGTAACCTTCATCTTTCACGATCATTTGCAGTATTGTAAAATATTCGTGAATGTGAAAGCGATCTTCGCAGTAATGAACACTACTTAAGTAGTAGTGAAAAGAAGGCCTGAAAAAAATTCATATATTCATAACCGTTTATTCACAACCGTATATTCACCACTTCACGGGTATATTTTGAACCAACACATAAACCAGCTCCCAGTTGGCTTGTTAGCTCAGTTGGTAGAGCACTGCACCGATATCGCAGAGGTCATGAGTTCAAATCCCGTACAGGCCTGAATTTTTCCAGGCCTTCTTTCCACTACTGCTTAAGTAGTGTTCATAACTACGAAGATCGCTTTCATATCCACGTCTTTAACCGCAGTTCAAATATATGACTTCCATATATTCACAACCCTGTAAAATATTCCTAGCCCGTTTCTTGACGTCTTTTGTTTTTAATAAAGCGGCCATCGCATGTGGTTTCAGAGTTTAACCAAGCGGCTACAATCGTTCTTAACAGAATTTCAAGCTGCATATCGTCTGATTTTCACATATCATTGTTTGCTTAGTCACCAACAGATGAGGATAAAATCACCAGAAAAGTAAACAAATGACCAGTCACGAAATCAACGATTTGCTTTTCCCTATAAAAATTCGCCGGTCCTCATGTAAGCCAGCCAATAACAATATAAGTGAAAATCAGTGCGTACACCCCTGAACATTGAAAATATATCAAGTCGAAGCAACAGTTTTGGTCTCTGTCCACATTTTTGCCAACAAAATGAACTAATATCGGTTAAAAGATGAAACGTATGGGCCACGTGCAAAGCTGTCGATTGTTTCTCGAATATTTCGCGCGTTAAACATGTAATAGTGACATCTCATTTAAATCTACATCTACTTTCATTAAATTGGTAAGTTCTGTACAGACATCTCACCAACCAACTCGCGTGCATAGTGAGAAGAAAATATGAAGGCTTGAAATTATGTTAAGAACGATTGTGATCAAGATGTGTTTTATTGATGTGTGCACGGTATGTTAAAGAGCTCCCGTGGACATGCATAATGATAGAGCAGTGATTACTTTATACCAACTGAAGACGAACGCAAATGCGCGGTTTACCAGTATGGCTGCCTTTGATGCTCTTCTGTGTGATCACAGTGTGTGTTGAAATGAACCCGCTACGGGTCCCCTAGGTGTGAACATTTCGGCTTCTCGGTTCAAGTTGCATTTTTAGAGGTTCGGAAATGTGATTTGAGGTTATTATTTTTATTAGACCATACGAACATTTTATTTCTTTCCACGTGGGTTTCTGAGCTTCATCGAAATTAAGTTTGACTTTCGCTAAGTAGGGAGGGGTAGCATGCAAGATTACTTCCCTTCACGGTCCACAATGCAACTTCCGTCTACGGAATACAACTTCTGTCCACGGTCGACAACTTCCGTCAACATCTGCTTTACTACAGTACCTCATTCATTGCTTTCAGCATGAGTGAGCTAAAAATAACTCTTTTTTAGACGATAACAGTGAAAGCCTATAATTATGAGTTGCCTAACTGTACAACAGGTAATTCCATACTCTATTCATTTTTTACCTAGCAGCGCAGACGCGTAAATTCTTTCGACGCGAATGGCTAATGTTTGTCACAGCAACCACAAGTAAATTAGTTTAAAAAATTTACTGCTTATGAACTTTTATGACAAAAAACATGATCACAGGGTACCTTTAGAAGTCGCCAGAGGAATGTTATCTTCAGACTCGGAGCAAACACTCTCGCAAGATTCGTTGGACGAGGTGTCGATGTCTCCCAAATAACCAGTGTTCTTTACAGCATCACTGCTATCTTCTACAGTGCTAAGTCCTATTTGGTAAAAGCACAAAATTGAAAGAAATAATATGTAACTGCTCATACATCACCCTCCTCTAAGATCTTAACGAGCCACGGTTACCTTTACATAAACAGCATAATCTAGATCAGCAGTATTAAAGCTGTTTTCTCACCAGACTCCTTTTGTGCTTCCTCCGCAGCTCTCACAAGCTCAGACCAGTCGATTGTCTGAGGGTAGTTTTGGGCTTCGCTGGCCTCTGCAGAAAATCTAAGCAGCACAAACATGTTTCGACAACTGTATTTAAAATTGCTTGAGACACATTAAGGATCGCAAAAAGCAGTCGATCGAAACCTTACGATGCAGCTCAAAAATGACTGCATGAGCAATGACTACATTTAAAAGTTCAATTAGATCGACATTAACTCAAATGGCGACGGCCTATACAGCATAAGTCGCATTATCAGATCAAGACATAGCGTTAGCTACGCTTATTCATCGGCAGAAAGTACATAGAGCTTAAATATATGAAGATATCGCGAAATTATTTGATTTATAGCCTTTCCACGAATGAGTGCGACCACATTATTAATTTACATCATTTTTTTTTCTTTTAGTGTTTTTTTTTCTGCGAAATGACTTACTTCGTATCAAATCTTTCAACGATTTAGAAACGTAGGTTAAAGCTTCACAATCAAATATAAAAGCGCCACAACATGATTTTGTCATTCTCCTTTTACTACTCAATGAATGATGGAAAAGTAGCCTAGTTCCTCATATAGCCTCTCGCTGGATATGAAAAAATCTCAGGTTAGGTCGAGGACAATCAACACAAGCATGGGAAAGGATAATTACACATCTAGAACTCGAATCACTTTCGTCAGAGACATAGTGTTAATGGTGATCAAATCTCTCGCGAGAAAAGCGTTAAATAAGTTAACTAACCTAAAGAAGCTCACTATCATTTAAAAACAAAACAAAAAAAGAAACTAACGTAGGTCAACCTGAGTGGCAAAATAAACTCACCACAACAGTCTTAAAACAAACGTCGCATCTAATTGTCTCTAATATCGTGTATTACCGCGATGTATAACTCCAATCTTTTTGCAATCTTAGTTGCTTTTTTATCCAATTCATTATAAAATAAAGAACAGCTACGTACCTTTTAGTTATCTCCTCCAGATAAATTGCAGTCTTCTCATGTCCATACTCTCTGGAAATGGCTTCAGGAAGAGGTGACCTGTCTCCGTAAAAGTCAAAAACTACTCTTCCGGCAGACGATTTGAAGATCATTTCAATGAATTGTTGACTACCAATTTCTGCTGCAGCGTATACTAAGGCGCATAGCATCTGAACTGGCTGTGTGGAACCTAAAAAAGTGTTGTTGTTAACACATAATCAAATTGCTCTTTTGGACAAAACTCTCTGGCCGGAACAGTTTTAATGCTAAATTTGAATTCAATTTTCTGCTAATGACTCTGATAAAATCAAAGAACCATTTTGAGAAAACAAAACTATTAACTTTTGAATTGACTGGTCCAGCCGGTCAGATCCAACTACTAGTAAGAGAGCAACCAAGACAGTTCTTAAAATTTGTTCTGAAAAAGGTACAAATCTTTTCAAAGAATGATATTCAGTATTACAGTGCAATATATGACAAGGATACATATGAAGGGTATAAATGATGCATGATTTGTAAAAATTGATTGACTGATTGACTGACTGACTGATTGATTGACTGACTGATAGATCGCGAGATTGTAAGCTTGACTATGATGTTAGTAGCCTGCAAAGCAAGCGTAATTTTGGCGGCCGAGGGCTCAGTATTATCTTGCTTAAAATTATAGTTGCCATCTTTGATTTTATAGCAAGGGAAGGTTAGGGGAGAAAAAGAAATGTCTTGAAGAAATGTACCAAGGAGGTGAGCGACGGAAGGAAGGGAGGAGAGGGGAGGGGGTGGGGCAATAAGTATTCTTTCCGCCTTTCCCCGCCCCCTCTCCCCACTTTCGAGTCTAACTCCAAATAAAGCAAACGATCGGACTAATAAGACGCCTGCACAGCTGGCTATGATGTTAGCAATGATTCAAGATTCGAGCCTTGCATAATCTTCCGCATCTTTTTAAAAAATTCAACCATTTAGGATGTTCACTTTCATTTGCATCTGTTGAGAACACATGCAGTAGTACTCGGGTAGTTCTCATGAAATTTAGAAGTAATCAATAAGGTGCGTCACTCACCACAAATTCCAAAATGTTGTGCTTCACCGCCACTGACTGTTGCAGTGTTATCCAAACGTTCAGCATGATTTCGAAAAACGCGCGCCTGTAGCTTAGGGTTTTTAATGACCCGTTTGAGGGCCTCATCATCTTCATCATAATACTTAATCTTTGTTTCGCCTAACTTTCTACCATCAGGTCTTTTTAAAAGAATCTTGACCCAGTCTGGCTTCCTGGCAGCTATAATACCAAAACCACACAAAAATAATAATCATCACAAATAAAACTGTGGAGAATACGTATATAATACCTCGTGTTCAGCCAAAACGGGGAAATTACGATACAATGTAAGTCTCAAATGCATGTCCTTTACGTTGTCATAATCTTTTTATTTCTTGACGTTATTTTTTTTTCTTTTAAATCTTAGAATCACTCATTTATTTGTGTGTTTCTCGTTTGTTTTCGCACATTTTTGCTTGTTTTTTTATTCTTTAAACTTATGTCCAGTATTGTTGGGGTGTGGATTTCAAATAAAGTAAGCATAGAACTAGAATACGTGTTACTTCGGTCACACCAACATTAGTAAATGTACCATGCAAAATCACTTCCACTTGTAATTACAAAAAAAAAAGTACTGATCAAAGATGTTTGAAGTCAAAGCTCCTAATAAAACTCTAATAACCACGACAACACACATGCTAAACATTTCATTTGTCTCCGCACAAGTTAAGAACAACTTGAGGCCAATTTTTCGGCTATTATTAAGCAGTAAGAATCAACATACGTGGAATCCACTTTCCAAGAAGTTCGTTATTCTTGACCCTTTCAACATCAACAGTGTTCAGACCCTCGAAGCTGGCAGATGCAAACAGCACATCCTCCGGAAACTCTCGATCAGATTCAAACAAAACAAGCTCTGCCCCCTAGCAAACAGCAATTTGTGGCGTCACGAACACTGCATATACTATATATATATATATATATATATATATATATATAGGAAGTCTGCAAATCGATTTTCGCGTGGAACAGTGCTCAATACGTTGAAGCAGAGCAGAATAAATAATATGAGAGGAAAAAACGACGCAACTACATATCCCGACAAGCCTGTTTCGTGAATCGCTTCACTCTTCAGGGGTTTAAAGAGTGAAGCGATTCACGAAACAGGCTTGTCGGGATATGTAGTTGCGTCGTTTTTCCTCTCATAATATTTATATATATATATATTCATCGGATTTTGCAATAGAATTCCGATGCAATTATACCATCATAACATGCATATGACAGAGAGCCACCTGAATAAGTATATTTAACAAATAGAGAAGCGTTGACTGCGCTCCGTTCTGTTGTAAAGCACGCAGGAAGCGACTAGAGCAAGAAAGAAGTGTAAGGCGTATAAGAAGTGTAGTGACAATGAGAAAACAAACTGCTCAACGCGAGTGTTTCATGAATGAACCACAGTCAGTGTTTCTCCCCTCTTCTTGGGTGTTTTTGATAAAGAGTTTATTAAATTCCCCACGCATTACTTTTAATTTTCAAAGAAAACTACATTTCCAAAGCGAGTAACAATGTCGTCAGCATGCTCTATACTCTAATAAAGCACACCACAATAAGCCAGAAAAGAGTCAGAAAAGTTCCTATAATCCGATTGGTTGAACAAGACTAAAGCTGTCGAAAATGCCAAACGATCAAAGTGAAATGGTTCGGCGGGTCGAATTTAGCACTTTTGCCTGAAGTTTTTCAGACTTTAAATAGAGCCTGAAAGTAGAATGTTCAGAGAAATCCGGCCGAATCGTGGCTCAGAAAAATATGCAATTTTTTTTCACATGACAATTAGAAAACAAATTGCTCAAGGCGTGAGTTTTATGAATGAACGACAGCTGAATTCACGGGAAAATGAAGATTGTTCGGGATAACAGTGCCGTAAAAACTCGGCTGCTGCGACTGATGAGGCCTTCCACTCAACGCATCGGAAAGGATATCAGAGCAAGCTCTTAACTGTTCACTCGAAGGACGGCCGACGTAATTTCTGAGGCTGGCTTCACTACGATGACCGGAGATCGCCATGACGAGCTAGCCGCGATAGACCTCAGTACGATTGTAGTCGCTCTGACACGGTCATGCCTATATGCCAGTTTGGTTATATTTTTCATCATTCCTGTTTGTTCTCTTATGTTTTTTAACACGAAACTGTATATACTAAGCGAGAGTTGGCTGTGTTTAACCTTTATTACGGTACGTAAGTTTACAATTTAACTAAGCTTGAAAACCTTCAAAATTCGGACAGACAATTTTGTTTTCTCTCTGAGGATTTTCGTCTCTGCTAACCTCAATTACGGCGCTTGGTATGTTTACAAACCTTTATCTGGTTCTTTTGTTGCTACTTGCCGACTCGCTTATTCCGAAATTTCACTTTCAATTAACGAAAAAAAAGTTACAAAGAAGTCCGAGAAATTCGGACATAGTACAAATTGGGAGATGGCGTGACAGCTTTAGCTCAGCTCGGTGTTTTGTACTCTGACAGAGCACGCTCTTTCAACCAATGACAGCACGCATTATATACGAACTTTATTATAACAATCGCATAAGGTGTGCACTGATACAACAATAAATACAAAACAACGATAATTTTCGCAAATCCTCACCTCCAAGGGAACCATTTTCGGCGTGACACTAAAGACAAATTGCTCATCTTCAGCTGGTGACTGATCGTCTGCAGATCATTATTGAGATTTAAGAAACGAATTATGCATATGCAATTTCTGTAAATTCTCGGTAGTTCATTTGATGCCCCCTCAGAAATTAGGGAACATCACTAATCGTGACAGAGTAAAAAGAAGAAAAAAAGGAAAAAACGCATGATACTAAACTAATCCTTACTCTGAACAAAAAAGTTGAGATGTCCAATTAAAGAGTATCTGTTTGCCACAGAAAACTGCTTTAATTAAACAAAAAACGGTGGATATACTTTCAAAAATGTACTAATGTACCGCAATTTGTATCAAATAAGTAGGTAAACTTCAAAGATAATTGCAAAGTTCAAAAGTTAGCTCGAAATAGTGTATCTCTTTTCGTCTTAAGTTAACCAGAACTGGGTCAATGACAAAAAGCTCCAGTGATGGGTGATTTCGACAACCCCTATATCTGGCTCAAATGGCTGCTTTAAGTCTACACTGACCAATGTTGGACTTCCTGTAATACAATTTAGGGGTAATCATGCTCGCTATTTCAAATTGGCCTCACGCTACCCGCCCGAACAATTTGAAATCACTCACCCGATTTCTTCCTGGATTGTTCCTTACTTAGTCCTATTACCACTATTTACAGACTGAGGTAAATATGTAAGAATTTACGAGGATGCTTTGAATAAGTTTCCACCCAGAGGTGCAAGCATAGATTATAGCCTCTCACCTGAGGAGTTGTTATTAAGTTCAGAAATACCACTAGTGGTATTGTGGTTATCGGCTGAGCTGTACGACGTCTATTAAAAGAAACAATGAGGGCATGTAGTGATAGGCGTGAAAACACTGATCAACATTTAAAACACCCATCTTGCTATACTTTAGACAATAAAAGAACACTTTTAATTTAAATGCTATTGCCTTTTGATTCTTTACATTCGACACTATAAAAAAAGCCCTACTTGGCTTTTATACATAATGCTTTTGCCTCGCCACTCAAATGCTCCCTTAACGCTCCTTTTTTCCCCACAAATCTCCCTAAGTATCCCTAAATAAGTCTCTACAATGCTCAGATATTGTTCATTCTCCTGACACTTTTATTTTATTTACAATACTCGAAAAAAACCCAGCTTACTGTACTAAAGCCTGAACCCCATCTGAATTTTTCTAAATTTTACTTTATCTTTATTTTGTTCTTAATCTGTGGGATTCAGTGGCCGGGAATAACTAAATGTTTCTATTATGGGAAAATTCTGCCAGTCTAATCCTCTTTTTACCAAATCTTAAGACTTTTCATTCACCATTAGTTTAATAGATAAAATTTTTCATTCATTGAGTGAAATATTACCTCCGTGGAATTCAACAAGGATCCTTGAAGAGGGAGTTGAAATTCTCTAATTTCTGCAGTTCCTGCAATAGAAATACCATGTATAGTTTCACTTTCTTTTATTTACTTAGTAACGTTGTTTATTTATCATTTTAATTTTTTTTACAAGCTGATCAGAATTAAGCACGCATCTTGATTGGCTGTTTCTCATGGTCTTTTGGAAGACAGACGCATATATTATGTCACCATCAACAACTTTTGCCTCTTCATTATAGTAGACAAATGGATTCGTTGTTACCATGGTTCTGTACAGTAATAGATGACAGGAGACATGACAATACTATAAGAAATCTGAGACACTCTTGGCTACGCCTCATGTGCCACGTTTTTGTTTTCAAAACATCTGTGATCTATTGCTCAATAAATTCATGGCAACATGGCATATTTTTGTCAAATAAAAAATGGAAAATTGAAAATCGACTTTTTAAATGGAGATAAATATCTGTTTACCACCTAAAACACTATGGAGAACGTAAACGAAAGAATCCATCTGTGTAGAAGGGCAGTGTTAATCACTTTTCTGCGCCTATTTACTTTTTAAAATAGTAAAAAGACACTTTTAAAAGGTGGCTCCCTAGGGTATTCTTCCTTCAGTGCGCGAGTTACGAGAGGAAACTTAGTTAATTACTATAAAGTTTTTTCTCAAGATATTTACCAGTTCGGCTAACGATATAATAAGGTTTTTGTTTCAGATCAATGATGTTGCTATGGCAACATCATCTCTAATGACATGCAGATACATTCCAATTTTTGGCCGAAACACTCTGAGATCTTGATTTCCCTCGGTCAAATGACTTTGCTTTTTGCCACTTTATGGAAACGATATGGCATGATCTTTTGAATTTTAAAATTTCAAAGTCGTTCATATGGTTTTGCCAATATTCTCTGATTTGTCATATTCCTAAATATGATCGGTTAGCTCTGACAGGCTTTAACAAGTATGGGCTATTTGATAGGAACTACAGGAACTGTGAGTGGCCAGGACTGGGCCGATAAAAAAAAAAAATTTCATAGGGAAACGCGACAAATCTCACTGGAAAGATCTCCTTTCTCTCACCCCCAAAACATTACATCATTAAATAGCACTTTGCTAAAATCTATATCTGTGCACGCGTAAACTTTCTGTCGCCTTTTGGAAATCTTTCTCACGTTGTTGTCTTTCCGGTTGACCTCTGTTTCAGGCGTAGAAGGCCAATGAATATTACGGGTGCACTTGCTGGAAATCAAGATTCATTCACATAAAAACTGTATCGTGTCAGACTGTTTTAACACACCTTTTCAGATAACAATCGAGCATCCATGTTTGTTTTGCATGTTGACACTTTTGCACCTCGCGCTATGTTCGCACCCACATTTCGCACCCTCGAAAAACCCTATGAAGCCTCCTTGATATGGAAAATGTTTTGATCGACAAATTTGACATTTCTCAAAGCGAAACAACCTTAAGAGTAAATGTCAGTAAAAATCAAGGAAAATTCAAAAATCGTGGCCACGGTCAAAAAATCGATTTCGCTCATACTTTGTCAGTTTGAAGGCCTAGGTAAGTAACTGAAGGATATGAGGTTAGTTTTTTGAAATATTCCATATAACGGCAGAAAACCACGAAAAACGGTCACCCTACCGGAAGCTCGGATTTCACCTGGCGGAAACTCGAAATTTTACACTTTTCAGCTTCCCGCTACACAGACGTTTACATAGCTGTGAATCTTTCTTAAGTATAATTGAATACATTGATTCTTCCTTAGTCAAACCATGGGAATTATTTTTATCTCTGCTTATTTGTGAGCGAACTGAGACCCGATTAAGAAGACACACTTTTCTCATTTACGCGAAGGTGTAAAATAATCCAAACTCAGCGACGAAAAAAGCTGACCGGTAGTTCTTCAAATCCTCTGATATTATAACCAAAGACAGCTCAGTCATTGATTTTTAGGTCTATGGTTTTAAATCTTTAGGATCTAGTAGCACTTTTGCATGAACGCCGATCAAAATTCGATAAAATTCCAATTGAGCGCCTTTGAAATCTACAACTCTACATAACAAAGCACTATTGAATAAATTTACTCCTCGGCCAAAGTTTGTACATAAAACATAAGGGTTTTGCTTTTTTAGCGGTTTGAAGCGTTTTAAAAATATATATTAATGTTAAATATTGTCTACACAGGTAAAACAAACTATGAAACACCAAAATTACCACGAGCCGAAATTAAATCTCACAGGCTCGCTCCCTAATCTGCGTCACGCACGAGCGACTTAGCTACAATTAGCACAGTAACAAACAGATATTTACATCCGTTGATTTTAAATAAGTCGTATTTTTAAAATATCTTACTCAAAGATGTGCCAGGTTTCCCAGTTAACTTGCTGAAAAAAAAAGAAAACCTTAATATGAGAAGTTTTGTGCCGTCGAAAACCAATCGGAAGTAACTGTTTCCACGAAAAGCAAATATTGCATCGTTCTCTAAATAAACAAATCTACTTAACCATATAACCAGAGTATGTTGTTGGCGAAGTTAATAGACATACATAACAACGACGTCTTGCTCGTTCTTGAATATTGTCGGTGGGATTTGCGGCGCAGACGAACGCACTTGCTAAGTAACTTCCAATGGCTAATTACTACCCTTACTCAGCTTTCGTCACACTGCTCACGCTGTGTAACAAGGATATAAAACATCGCACGAAGTCCTAAAAAACTCTCCGGACTTGAACCAGAATTGATTTTAGCAAGATTGCGTGTTTTTAAAAGCCAACGAGTTTATTGGAGATGACTACCCGTACCGTCTCATCGTGTCACTTAGGCATAACCTGACACGATGTCGATAGTTTCGACTCCTGATGGCCGAGAGCACTCGGATTTCTTTTTTCCGAGTACGCCTGTGTCACTTACTGAATAATACATCATTCTCATTTATTCACCAGGCTTAAAAATATTCCATCACATTTATTCCATTGTGCGTATGCCACACATGACATTCCAATCCTAGCAGTATGCAGGATGTTTGTCCCATGAAGCACTCGGATTTTTTTTTTCCGATTATGCCTGTGTCACTTACTGAGTAATACATCATGTTCAAAAGTATTAATTTTTGCACCATACAGGAAGTTGTTTCGGGTCACTCAGCAAGAGCTGTGAAAAGTAGCCGCACTGGAATAGGAATATATTTTTTCCAATCCATGAAGATATTTGACCTTTCAAAATAGCTCGTCCCTATGGGCTCAGGTAAATAACAACTAAAAAAATGTACTACCAAGCAGGAACTGTCTCCAATGAGTTTTGTATCCTCTTCATTCTGTTGTCCAATGCGACTATTAAAAACACTATGAGTTTTACGACTTGCATGTTTTATTGATTGCGCTTGTCAAACAACACTACAGTCTGTCATTGATAGAGAAAATAAAGTTTAATTTTGACAATATTCGATGAAAAATACTAAGAATTTTCCAAAGAGGGCACCGAAGAATAAATAATGTGCACTGTCATTTTTACGACATTTAAAAAGGAGGGAAGGGGGTGGGGGAAAGGATTTAACAACCATACTACTCTCTCTCCCCAACCACCCACAAAGTGCACAGTTTGCACAGTATACTA